GCTCAGTGAGAAGAGCGTCGGGTTGGGGCGCTTGTGGCATTTTTGCCTGTTGAAGGTTAGTGAGTGGATACAGAAGTCGCATAAGCACATTGCTTACCAGGTCTTCTTCTTTGATACCATACTCCTCAACCATCTCTTCGACGTTTCTAGGGTTGAAGCGCACACTATCACCAAGGATATCCTCCATGCTAGGCGCTGGCCCGAGGCCGGAACCCTGCGAAGAACCAGCAGCATATTCGGCCATGCTGTTTTGTGTGGCTTGGTCAGCACCAATGTCCACAACAGTAGCACCCTTCTTTTTGGCTTGTTTGGCGGCTTGCTTAGCTATTCGCTCGCGTTCCTTCGCGGCCGCAGCCTCCTTACGCTTTCGATCTGAAGCATGTCCAATAGGCAGTTTGTCACTTCGCATTCGTGCCATAAGAGTCTGCTGCACATCTGGGTCATTAGTTCCGTACAGCTTAAGCTCGACTGGGCAGTCGTAGAAGCCCTTCTCCCCTGTGAGTTGCGCCTCAATGAGCAGACTGCGTTCGTCCATGTATCTGGCTAACTTGGCTGCGACACCTCGTGGAAGGTGTCCAATCTGTTCACCCTGCACATTGCTTACTTTGATCGCATTGCTGTCGTACTGATTATGGGGTTCTCGCCTTAGTACCACCGTCTCGCCGTTTGTTGCATATCCGTTGTAGTATCGCACACCCACAATCTTCCCATGCATTGCTCCGTATAGTACGAATTCGTATTGTTGCTGATTGTAGGCTTGTGTAGCATCCGGGACCTCCTGGGAGGCGTCGTCTTCGTCGTCGTCTTCTTCGTCTTCGTCTTCGTCTATAGAGATGGCTTCGGCTTGCGACGACCCAGATGTAGTGCGTTGCGCTTGGTTGAATGATGTACGCGCTCGTTTGCGTGCGCGGCGCGGGCTTGAAGAATGGGCATGAGAGTGTGCATATCCTTGCGATGATGACGGGTACTGCGACGAACGACCGAAGGATTGCGACGAGTAAGAGGGCGCGTCGTCGTCATCCCCTGTAAGATCAATGGCCTCGTAGGCCGTTCGTTTGGGAGGCATTGCGCGTTGGGTTGGTAGACGTGAACGGATGCGGGCGAGTGTATACGCGACGGCGGGGAGGCTCTATGACGTCTGTCGCAAGATGGTGTTCGCGAAACTTTGCGGCTGTCGAACGGCTGGGGAGGAGACGATAAGGATCCGGATAAGGGCCCTGGTTCACGCTAGGGCGCGGAAGCATGTGACAGGGATTATCAGGAACGCTCCGATTATGGTTTCAAGAGGGGAATGAGGAGATGCCAATGGCGATCCGCTATCAAGGACGCATCTAATATATATGACAGAGTCGAATGATTTGTCGCTGATACCTGAGACGTGCGCGTGCTTAGCAAACAAACTGACACATCGTTTTCTGGTACGGTAATACGCATTTTGCTCGATCTTGTATCGTACATTCATGCTCCGAAAATCATACACCATTAAACAGCGCTTCACTCTCCCACCAACCTTCGTTGTACTCTTCTGATCTAGCTTGAGGTTACGCACGCGATGGGAATGCACTTTCGCCCCATGGGTCGCAGTCGACACTGCCATCCCGCATCAGTTCATGTCTCATCAGAATTGAACAAACAGCGGCGGAAACAAGAAGAGGATGAACTGCACAATTGGCGGAATAGAGCCCAGAATGCCCCTGCACAGCTTGGCCATCCGCACGCTGCCCGTCTCCTTCTCTGCTTCGTAGTATGCGCAGACGATGCTTCCGATAAGCCAAAGTAGCAGCAAGGTCAGCATGATGGCGTACCAGGCGGCGTGCAGATGGTACGGATTGGTACCCCAAGACTCCCAAAGGCTACGGAAGTTGTAGTAGATGATGCTCCGAACTGAGACGCCGTCGTATTGTAGTCTGTAGATCTTCTTCCATTTTACCCACTGTACAAAGAATCGAGTCAGCCATGTTGCTGTGGATGAACGGACCAAACAATTTGTTGCACAGTCGAATAGCAAGCGAAGAAGAAGCCAGATCGATGGGCCAAGAGGAGCCCGACATACTCTGCCCCTGGCCTTTTCCTCTGCCAGCGCAAGTTCGTACGCTTCCGCAGCCTCCGCCTCTTCCTTTTCGCGGGCTTCAGCGAGAAAGTCTTCGATGTCGAGGATGAGGTATTTGGCGATGACGTCACGCTGTTTCTGGATCAGAGCGTCTTTGGCCTTTATCTCATCGGAGAGGGGCATTGTGATGTTACTGAGCGTATAGCACCTTGCGTGTGCTATAGTGAAGGCTGCTGTGGAGTCGTGGGGTTGTAAGACAAGGAGGAAGCGCAGCAGATGACCCCATTTCTCTCTGATCTCCTTTCGCTGGCCGCTTATCTGCTATCTTTCAGTGGTAGAAAGTGCGGACACGGAATGCTGAAGTCATGCTTGGGGAAGGAAGGTACGTCTCGGGTCGCCTCTGATACAGAAGCTGCCATGTCGCCATGTCCAGGCGAGAGCTCTCATCATCGAATCCAAACACTTGGTTCGCCTCAAGTAGCGTTACAGGTCGAAAGCATAGCCTCAAGCCACAGCTAGATTCAAGTGTCTTGGTATTGTTTGTGGCATGTCGGTCACTGCTAAGTCTTTCGCAAGGGGTACCCTTATTCCCAGCGAACATTGGTGACACGACCAGAGGGCTGAGTGAATTGGCAAAGTTCCGGAGTGTTTAGTGCCTGTGAAAATGTCTTGCTATTGTTCTGTCCAAGTTGATGAAAAGAGCGAGGTGGCCGTGGTTTTCTGCCAAGCAGCGGACATAAGCTCAAGTGCACCCCCACTATGGCCTCCAACTTCATTCGCGCCTGGCTCAAGGTCATCCTCCTGTCGCCATATCGTCTACTGCGCGCATTGCTAGCCACGACTGCAAATTCTGTTAACCCCAAGGCAAGAGGCATAAAGGGAAAGATGCCAAAATACTATCACGACGACGAGGCGTGGGCGGACATTGTGCCACTTCCACAGGATGACGGCGGCCTGCATCCCCTCGCGGCCATCGCGTACTCGGAAGAATACAGCGAGGCCATGGGCTACCTGCGCGCCGTCATGGCGAAGAACGAGTTCAGCGAAAGAGTCCTTGGCCTTACTGAGCACATCATCAGCATGAACCCAGCACACTACACTGTCTGGTAAGTCCGACACTCGGTCGAGTCGCGGAGTTTCGGAGGAGACGCTGGTGTTCAGTCGCGCGAGGAGCTCTCCAACATCTGCACTACTAACACCCCGCAGGCTCTACCGCGCCAAAACCATCTCGGAGATCGGGCGATCACTGAAAGACGAAATCGCATGGCTCAACCCGACCGCACTCAAGCACCTCAAGAACTACCAGATCTGGCACCACCGCCATACCATCATCGACGAGCTCGGCTCATGCGAGGGCGAACCAGAGTTCATAAACTCTATGCTGGAGCTTGACTCCAAGAACTACCATGTGTGGAGCTACAGGCAATGGTTGGTCAAGCGCTTCGATCTGTTTGACAAGCCTGAGGAGCTAGAGTGGACACACAGCATGATCGAGGAGGATGTGCGCAACAACTCTGCCTGGAACCATCGCTACTACCTAGTTGTTGGCGGCCGCGAGGGAAAGCCGAGTGCCGATCTTGTGCAGCGGGAGATAGAGTATGTTTCTGTTGTCCCTATAAGCTGCTCGACTATACTAAGCCTACCAGGTACACCAAAGCAGCCATCCGGAAAGCTCCTCAGAACCAGAGCACATGGAACTACATCTTGGGCATCATTCGCGCAGCGGAACTTCCCAAGTCGACTCTCAAGGACTTTGCGGGTGAATTCGCTGATGTGTGGAAGCCAGACAATGTCCACTCGAGCCACGCCCTCGATCTCCTAGCGGACATATATGCGGAAGAAGAAGATAGCAAAGAGAATGCGGAGAAAGCCCTGGAGCTTTTGGCCACCAAGTACGACCCGATCCGCGCAAACTACTGGAACTTCAGGAAAGGCCTCCTCGATCACCCGAAGGTTGCTGCTTAAATCCCAGTGTTAGCGTAAACTTGAAAAGCATCACAGAGATACCCAATTAGCGTTTTTAATACCGTTTGCGGATCCGCGTCATGTGTTCGGACGTCCGCATGCAAACTTCATTCTGGGGAAGCCCTGTCTGAAATGACGATAGCTATCGAAGGAAAGCTGGATAGTGAAGGGAGCATGGACGCGTCTTCCACTGAAATGCGAGAGTTTTCCTTTCCGTCGGGGATCCCTCGCGCCAATTCCGCGACCCCATCGTGTCATCCTAACATCAGCCTCCCAGCCAACCCCGTCTTCACTGTTTCGCCGAGTTGTTATCGGTTCCGAGCCTTCTGGACTGACCACCCGCATAGACAGCTGATGCGCGTCCTCTGATAGGCAAGATGGTGCCAAGTCCACCACTGTTTCGAGGCGGCAAACCCAGGCAGAAAATAGTCCCGCCGTTGATAACCGCTTCTGGAAATCCAAACCCTGGCCCAAGCTGCTGAGTACCGGTCTCATGCTTGTGTCATTTTGCAGTGGCAGCGTGGTCGCTTGTTCCTTATCGAGTATCTATAGGGTAATTTATGCACTTTATAGGGTAATCGATACAACATATCGTAGATTCGGTGTGCCACCATGCTTCCTTACCCCTCTGGCCCATCGACATGGACACTAGGGTTGCGGGTGCTTGCGGAGCGATAAGAAATCATCGTAAAGATAAAGGAAAGGCTCTGGTGCCCTCGAATTCAGACCACCAAAGAGTTTCTGAACGTCAAACACCGAGCTTCTTGTCTACCTATTCCTGAGTCTACGCTTGCTTCTAATACCTTTCTGTGATACCCCATTCTGTTTCCATACTTCGTCATGGCTGTTAAGGAGTGCTACGTCAATGAGGAGCCCCAGAAAAGCCCTTGGGTGCAAACTCCGTTGAGAGAGTCGTACGCATTATCAGAAGCAGCAGGATGGTACGGTCACACTTCCTCTTCACCCGTTACCCCTCCACCCCTCCATGGCATATCATGTCATCAACTTTGAAGAAAAGGGAATTCTAAATCGTAGAAGCAGAATCTTCCTCAAGCTGGAGAATCTCCAACCCTCTGGATCATTCAAGTCAAGGTAAGCATTCGCTGATTGCAGACACTACCTAACACAAGTGCTAACACCTGGACAGAGGCATTGGCAACTACATCCTCCGCCGTCTCGAAGAACTCCCACAAGGCTCGCGCCCTCACATCTTCGCATCCAGCGGCGGCAATGCAGGTCTCGCTGCTGTTCACTCGGCTCGTGCTCTCAACTTGCCTTGCACTGTTGTCGTACCAACCTCCACAGCACCATTGATGGTAGCCAAGCTACGAGCAGCAGGTGCATATGAAGTCATTCAGTATGGTGCAGCTTGGAAAGACGCAGATGCATACCTTAAGGAGCACATCATACCCTACGTACGCAACCCTCTATATCTCAGACAAGGCGAGAGGCTGACACAATCTACAGGCACAGACAGAAACCATTTACTGCCCACCCTTTGATCACCCAGATATCTGGCAAGGAAACAGTACCTGCATGGACGAGATCGCCGCTCAACTTGGCGAGCCCGACGTGTTGATCTGCTCTGTCGGCGGCGGTGGTTTGATCAACGGTATCTGTCAATCCATGGACAACCATCAAATGAGCAAGACAACCATTCTCGCCTTGGAGACCGCTGGTGCCGAGAGCTTGAATGCAGCACTTCAAGCCAAGGAAGTCATCACATTGCCCAAGATCACATCCCAAGCAACAAGTCTAGGCATTGCCCGTGTAACAGACGCCACATACAAATATGCCCAGCGAGGCAATGTCCGAAGCGTAGTCCTACCTGACGCAGAAGCGGCTATGGGCTGCTGGCGTCTGGCAGACGATGAACGTATCATGGTCGAGCTCGCCTGTGGCATCAATGTTGCTCTTTGCTACGACGGCCGGCTCGAGAAAGCACTTGGTCGTCCCGTTCGACCAGAAGACAAAGTTGTGATTGTGCTTTGCGGAGGAAGCAATGTCACGAGCAAGATGTTGTGCGACTGGAGGAACGAGTACGCGTACATCGAGGAAGAGACTGAGGCAAGGAGGAGGAAGAGCGATTCTGCGCTTGGCAGTGAGACTCAGAGTGAGACTGGCAGTGTGAAGGATATGGACATGGGAAATGTACCCAGTGAGTACAGCAAGCCTATCGTGATCGAGGGGATTGAGGTTGAGTGTGTGGAGTGCTCCGGGTAGGAGTCACGTCCTCTCGTTTCTGTTCTCTTCTTACGAATTTCCTTTATAGATCACGTTATATATGTAAGCGCTTTCATGACGGCGTATAATGACAAAACCTTTCTGTTTTATTCTACCTATCTTCAATCGTCACATTTTAGTTTAAGAGTTGTCCAAATGGGTGACGCGTCCCCTCATGACTTATGCGTGCTACGTCATTGAAAAGTCGCAGCTCACCGATGCTAGGATTCATTTTCAAGCACTTTGAAGAGCTATCGCATACATCATTGGAATTTTGCATGGAGCGCGAGTTAGCATAGGCAAGATTGCGCTAGGGTCTTGAGTAAGTCCTCCAGGCTCTGTGCCGTCGTTGCCGTTTAAGCATCCCTTCGGAAATTTCCCCACTATTCCAATGTACACCTAACGTCAGTCTGCAAGACCAAAGGCAAAACTGCTGAGACCTCAAAGACCGCGGTCTGCCACTACCAAAATTAACCTACTCTGCTCTTTTCTTCAAGGCGCGACATACCACTAGTAAATAAGTTCAGGGACGTGGACATTTAGAACAATGACATCTCGTACGTGGTCCTTAACGAACACCCCAATGACATGCTAGAAAGATATCTAACAAATAGCAAGACTTTAGTTCCACAAACGAAGGCGGCAGAAACACGTATCCCCTCCCAGACAGCCTCGGTTACGATGACGTTCTCGAGATTCTGCACAATCATTCTGTGCTGTCACAGATCTTCTGGCCACATTCATCCGCCAGAGTCCGTATACAGCCAGGTTCTGTGTCAAATATGTCGAATTTCCTGATCGAACAAGGTCAGTCGGAGTTTAAAGTGTCCTTGTGTAGCCAGCCAAATGGGATAACGTGCACCGAAGAATTACCGCTAGGGATCAAGGCAACAACAAAGTTTGTGATAGGTGGGTGCGATCAAATCGCAGGAGAGCAGACTGTGCATGATGAAAAGGGCGGGGCTGTGTCAACGTCAGATTTGCTCAAGTCGCCCATCACTCCGCTGAATCATCAACTCTATCTGGTTGAGCAGAGGTTCGTGACTGCTTTCAAGCTGCTTGTCCCCTGGGTGCAAATAAAACAAGGCACTATTCCTAAGACGGAGAATCTAATGGAGGTGCTGAAAAGTTTGGGTGAATCTCAGAAAGATCTCATTTCTGCATTATCGGACTTGAACGGCATTGCAACATATGTGGCTCCACATATCTCGAACGAGAAAGCTAATGATGGATGAAAAGTGAGTATTCCAATTCGTGGCAGTACCAAAGCTTACAGAGTGTGGCAGACTTGGATGTCCAACAGGAGATGGTTGTTAGGCAGCAAAGCTGGGCTCAAATTCTTCGTTACCGTAGCTGACATAAAAGACGTCAGCGAACTTTGTGAAATGCATCTCAATGTCACTTATAAAGCCAAAGGCAACTGGTTACATCATCGAACAAGAATAGACTGACAAGCCAACAAGGACTGCGTATGCTTTGTTCTATTGTCTCGTACGCTCTAAACAAGAACTTTGTGAGCCGTAGCATCATTCTGTCCCCTAACGCTTTGTCTCACATGCACGTAACGTTCGACTTGACCTTGACTCTTAACTTGGTTCAGAATTGTCTATGCTATTGGCGTTTATCTGGGTGCACTCTTTCGTCGTTCATCCAGTCCCAGTCACTAATTTCACGTATCTGCTTCTCACCTCATTACCAATTGCTCTAACATCGAACAAAAAGGCGAGTCTATCCACGAATTACCGAAAGCAGGAGCATACCTGATAGGACGATTCATTTTGCGATGGCTAACCCCCGGACAGTCATTAATCCCTTTACCAAGAATGAATATCGCATGAGGCGTAACACTAAAAGCACTAAATGGATCACAGCTGGCCCTTCAACAACAGCTGCAAGAAACATTAATGTTGAAAATCAAACTTCGAAACGCATCTTTCGAGAAATTATCTTGTCGAGCAGCGTCGAAGATACTTCTCCGAAGAGGCACGAGCCGCTGTCAATGAGGAATGACTCTAAAACGATGCCACTAGAGTCTACTACAGTTCGTACTAATGTCTCAAATCGGGACACTCCGTTATCAACACTCAAACTCATTGACTTCTCGATGCTCGAGCAGACTATGAAGAAATCGGAAGTGAATCTACCTCTTCATTGCCCAGCTCCAATAGACGACCATAACTCAAGCACCAATAGTTCATGGCAGAAACAGGATTTACACCAGTCGTATATTATGGGCTCGGCTACATGCTCGAAGCACGTACACGCTCAGCCGCAAGCTATCGAACATTCAACGCCGTTGTTCCGCGCCGCTAAGGAGATCTACCAAGCAGGCCCTAAGGGCGAGGGTCAGAAAGTGTGGGAAGCGTATCAGCAGGCACGTAATCATAGACGAGCTAACGATGAACCATCTCAGAACATGTCATCTGAACCAACGACTAGGAAAACAAATACAGCATGCCTACCTCTTCCATCATCAACAAGCCCCAATGAAGCACTCTTCCCACCGCTACGACCACGGACACCACAAAATCAGAGTGGACTTAAAGAAAATGAACCTGGGGGTCCGGATCTGAGAAGAGACTCCGGCTTCTCCAGCTCGAGCTATGATGTGCCTGTAGCTATTCATAAGCATGTACAACGCATTGTCGATTTGAACAAACCTCTTCCTCTTGTTCCACAGATACAACCGCCTCCAAAGGTACGAAATTCCAAGGACAGAACATCAGGAGATGCTCAACAGTGCACTGAGAAAGAGACGGTCCATACTTGGTGGAAGCATTCGCCTCCTAAGGCACCTCAAACCTTGAAGTCCAAGATCTCTCATCCTGGTCCACTAATGATATCGGGCGAAGGTATCGCAGTCAATGTCGCTGCAGAGTGCGGTGGAGTTGGCGGACCTGCAGCTGCCGTGTCACTTCCCGTTACGCGCACCGGCGTTCCGTTACCTCGACCGCCTAGCATCCATGAGAGGAAGAAAGAGGACAGGCGGCCTTCGCCACGAGCTTTCCACTTCCCGACAATTCATCTTAGCCCCTCGAAGAGAATTGGCAAGGGTAGTGAGAAAGGAAAGCTAGACGAAAGCGATGATTCTTACACAATACATTGGCGCGTGAGACTTGTAGGTCCTGCGTACGAAGCTAGTAAGTCATTCAAGCAAACGGCGATGGATACTCTAGACGGTGTACATGTAGGGAAGAAGAGGAAAACTTCGGATATCAGCTTCGCGTGCCAAGGAGTAGCGAACGAACAGCTGGACAGGTATCAAGTCAGCGAACAGCCATCGAGCGATGAGGAGGATGGGTTGGTTCCCGATCCGCTTTTTTACGCTAAAAATGCCGGAATGGACAGGAAATTCAGTTAGTTCCATGCTGAAGCTGTAAATACTAAGGTCCTCTTGGCATCCGAGCCTATCTGTAGAGTGCGAGAATGAACCCACTGCGTCATTCTTGTCCTCGTCCTTTGGTCAGTTTATTGTAAAAAACTCTAAGCAAGCGTGATCGTGCGGTTGTATTCATTAGCTACCCTCAACGGGTTTCGTCGTTTGACTAAAATTGCATCTTTTTGTCTGACGTCGAACTTCTACTTTTATCACGTCTCTTTCTTCCAACATCCATGTTGTATCGCCCTATGTAGTCTCCGTCACATACGGCTATTAATACCACTGTTCCTGGAAGGGCAGCGAGAGGAAAGGCAGAATCGGCCAGAGTGTCGTACGACCACACAAGTTTTCGGCCCCAGTGACGACAAATACATCAGAAAGCAGTGTGTCTTCCTGCACGAACAATATCAAAGCGACAAGGAAGAGGACGCACTCGAACGAGGTATTCCCAGCGAAAAGGAAGCGAGACTAAAAGAAGGTAAAATTGTTTCGAAACCGGTTGCACGGCCGTTTAGGCCCCGGCTGATCACCTTGCATCCGGTGGGGAACGGATGGTCCCAGTGTAGTGAGATTATCGGCATGGGAATGAGGATAATCATGAAATAGGATATTATTAGGTTAATGAAAACGGGAGGTTGGTAAGACCTAGCTGCTAGCACGGCAAGTGGGAGTGGCAAAAGCGAGTGCAGGCGGCACGATGAAGCGAAGAGAGATGGGAATATTCTTGGGCTGTAGAGTGCAGAGATTTGGCTCAGACTCGTGCTCCCTGACATTCGTGGAAGGGCGTTGTTGTTTCGACTATGAGGTAGAGTGAGCTGAGACCGATAACTGCTTGCACCATGGGCGTCTGCATGATGGGACGGCCCTGGGGCGTAGTCGGTGCGGCGGAATGGGCGCAGCCCATGGTAGCTTGTCTTCGCTCGAAAGATAGACTCAGGCGACGATGCCACCCACCAAGATCAACGTGGCCTCGTGAATTATTCGGATGCGCCAGCACAAGGACGATAGTTGCCTGTTGGCAGCGTGCAGCATCGTTGTCATGGTCTCATACTACCCCACGATGCAGCCGTGGACCAAAATAACCGTGCAGCAAGAAACGAAACGAAACAAAACTATCTCAAGACAGTTAGAGGGCCGAGGGAATGCAGGTAAATGTCTGGATGGGGTGCTAGCGAGGCGATCCGAGAAGACTTGGCATAGGTTGTGCCTGGTCGTGCAGGCTCTAGCTGGGTGACGGCTCTGATAGGCGCAGAAGACCCTGGGCACACAATGCAGCAGCGCTCACATCACCACGTACCGGCATTGCCAGTTGCTTACAGCCAAGGCGTCTTGAAATTGATCCAGACAGGCTGCTGATGAAGTGGCAGCGGACACGCGGATGGCTTTATGTCGTTGCGGCTGGCGTCACCAAGTTGGACCGAGTGTGCGACAGCGTGTGGTCTTTTGCGGTGCTGGAGAGACTCGAAGTCGGCTTTGGACTCGACGGTGGTGTGGGCCGCTATCAAAGCGGGGCGGCGCCTTCCCTCTCGTCTTGGGAGCTCCTTCCCGCCGCCATTGGTCGTCAGAGAATCCTGCGCGCTTCCCGCAAGCTTAATCTGCCCTAGCGCACACTCTGTTTAATGCACTGTCCCTGCACCCTTCAACCACTCACCGGCGACAATCACCATGTCGCGTTTTGCAGGCGTCAAACGTCTTGCACTTATTGGGTGTCAGCAAATCTATGCCCTGCCGACCGCGACGCCAACTCGCTGGGCAGACTTCGCTCCCGAGGGCACGAGGCGTGGTAGCATGGTCCCGTCTCTCGTTTTTCCTATACCTCTGAGGGTCCTCGCAACGGCTCAAGGCGCAAGAGAAGACACGCACGACTGACCCATCTGACAGCCGTGGGAGATAAACAGCTATCGCCACGCTGACAGACAGCATAAGCACCTTGTCAGACTTGCCCATAAACCAGCTTCTTCCCGCTGCAGTGTTCAGGCCTGGATGCGCATCGTTTGAAAATCGTTTATTGACTTCACCCGGGCGTCTATTTCTGGGCCACCACTCCCCTCTCTCCTCTGCGCGCCATTGGCATCCAGCTCGTCTCCCAAGACAGCCTATCAGACGGCCACCTGCAGTACTCCCAGCAGCAGCCTTCTAGGCGCCATACATTTAGAACGTTGTAAGTACCCGCCCGCTTTCCCATCGCAACCTTCTCCACCTGCTGCCATCCGTGCTCCCCACTATCCAATCCTCGACCGTTCCCTCTTCCAAGCGCCCCGAGTCTATAAGCCCAGCGCTTCGCCCATTGCCAGACCTTTTCTTTTCTCCAGCAGGTCTCTTATTGTAATACGTCGTGCGTCTTTTATCAAGTGTCTCTCTTAACCTCTTACGACTGGTCTAAGCTGGGCTGGATTCTAGTCGTTGTCATTTTGTTGCACATTCCTACCTGTCTTTCCTCCGTCTCCACTACATGAAAGCCTCCAACTTCCTCGAGTGAACCTTGGAAAGTTTTAGAATGGCCGCCAACGATAAGAAGATTACCCAGATTACGATTGAAAGACGAAGCTCCAAAGACTCTCTCGACGTCAGGACACCACGCACAGCACGCTTCGCCGAAGCAACATCAGTCCACTCGCCGGTTGATCCTCCTCGGTCACCTTTCGAGTACCCAACCAACCACTACAAGCCACAACCTCAGATCGCAGACACAGGCTTCGGCTTCATGCAATCCGTCGAGATGGAAGAGACCGATCGGAGGTACCTTCCTCCACCAACGCCAAAGACTCCCCTCAAGAGCGCGTTGAAGTCGCCTGGCGCTCCCCCACGGACACCCGGTGGTGCAATGTCAATCATGAGCCCTACCTTTCGGGAAGAGCACCAGCTTGAGAAGCGGGAGGCAATGACAGACAAGGAGCAAGCAAAGGACTTGGTACGTCTGTGGTCGATATTGACTTCAATATAGTTACTAACAATACCTAGAAAATCAAAGTTCGTGTTCGACTAGCAAAGATCTTCCTGCGAGGCATCAACTTTGCTTGCTCGCTCATTGTTCTTGCCATGGTTGCAAGTGCTTTCGCTATCTTCAACGCCACAAAGACTCTCGCGCCAAGGAACGGCCTACCACCATGGGCCGACAACACTAAAGTCTGGCCCCAGATCCTCTTGCTCTCCATCGCCTGTGTTTCTTTGGTCATGTCCATTTTCGTCATCATCGCCTACTGGAGAGGAGGTCACCATCGGGCTGAAAAGGTTGCCGCGTACTACACTGTCTTTGCTGTCGGGTTTTTCATCTTCAGTATCGTCATGTGGGGTGTTGGTGCAGCCGCGTTCAACCAAAGTAAAGCGCAGAACAATAACAAGGATATGTGGGGTTGGTCTTGCGTTGACAACAAGCGACGACACCTTTTCGAAGACGACATTGCCTATGGCCTTGTCTGCCGTCTCCAGGTAAGCACAATACCTTTGTTACGATAAATGAAGCCAGGTACTAACAATCTATTAGAACTGGGCGCTTGTCTGCTGCATCATCGAAGTCGTAATCGAGGTTCTTGTTATCGCCATCTACGGAATCGTCTTCTACCGCTTCTGGTCCAAGCGCAAGCTTCGCAAGTCCATGGCCATGCGCGACCGTGCCCGATCTGATCTCTACCTTGCCCAGCTCCGCTCGCAATCTGCACCCAACACCCCTGGCTTTGGTCCCATGTCTCCTCGCTCAGGCGGTTGGCGCCCACCTCCAGGCCACCCAATGTACGTTGACCCGCACTCTGCAGCGGAAGCTGGCGAGAGCGACAAGGTGCAGTACGCATACGCGCGCGAGATTGCCCAACCCCAGCCATTCACCCTCCAGGCGCCGCCTATCAAAGTCACTGGTGCGACACCAAGAATGGAGCAAGACGGCTTCGATTCTGCACCAGTACGGACTGGTACCGTATCGCCACCACTGCCATCCCCAGGATTCCAAGAAAGGAGGAACGATCACGTTGATGCCGCACCAGGTGAACAGCAGTATGCTGCTGTTCCCATCCCCGGTGCTTACACACCGCTAGCATCGCCCTCATACCCACCACCACAGCAACAGCAGCCCACTGGCTTTGACTTTGGGTCTTCAGTGACCGGTCAGCGATAAGCTTTTGAGCTTGCTGTTCGCGCGTGTGTATGTTGATTTGTTGATTTAGCGCGCATCGTACCCTTTCTCTTCTCAATCAATCTGGAATCTGGTTGCATGGATTTTGCGAAACGATATCAGGAAATGTACATTCTTCCACCTTTCCAAGCGGGGCTTCGGCCTGGGCTTGTTTTTTCCTTTGTCTTACTGTCTATCGCTAATCTGGTCGGTGTTCTTGGGCTGGGATTTTAAGATACCTTTGAAGTAAAATGCCTCTTCACTACGCCTCTCGTTGTATGACATGGGGGTTGTGGAATTACTACAACAGAACAGAGTAGAATGAGATTTATCGCGATCTCTGAGAATGCTAGATGCAATATCAAGATCTTGCCTTTCGTACAAGATTGTTCTTTTTGTGCAAATGTCGTGATTGACGCTACTATAATCTTCAATACATAATGTAACACACTTTGACATTCATTCCTTTTGCGTCACGTGTCTATCGAACCATTGCATCACTCCCACCATCTTCTGATCCCTCTCAAATTAACGCAAACCCACGCCTCACAATTAATGTCAAGCACTACGCCACGCACACAGCCCGAGCGTCACGCCAAACTACTCCGCTGTGATCCAAGGCCGCAGAACAGGCCTACAGGGTTTGCAGCCGCCCAATTCTCTTTAACGCTCGGGATGCCTGTGGCACAGCGCATGAACATGCAATTACGCAACGGCGTGGCTGAGCACCGAGTGGACTTGAGGATATATATTCAACGACGATATATTTATCATGTATTTACCATGACTACATGACTAGTTTTAGATGGATCATTTTATATAAAGAAATAGTGCTAGGACGAACATCGTCACGATCAGAAGACGTATATCCATTGAGCATGCAAGCATACCGTGACAAGATACTGATGAATCATTGTCATATGTGGAGGGCCTAGCCTTCGTAGAGGTGTCGCTTGCGAATCTAGACGGAATGTTCATCGTTACCTAAATCTCGTAATGCATAGCCATCACACTCGTCCAGCACAGACATGTAGATCAAGTGTTGATGGCATTGAGGTATCTGGGTGTACTAGTCGGGTCCTGTCATGTCAGTACAACACAAACAGACACATCACATGCGACAACAAAGAGCATGAGGATGATCACACAATGGTTATGCGGAACATTCACCCAAGTGAAGCCTCCATTGCTTTTGTGATCGTAGACCCGCTCGTTAGAGACGAGGTCGCTCCATTGATAGGCCGCAAGTTCAATGCTTGCTCTTTTGTAAGATACATTCCAGGACTCCGTAGGACCGAACCCCCCGAGACCGAAAATGCTGGTGATCGTGCAAAATCTTCACTTCGTTCCTTTCCCCCCAAATCGACGATACGTTTATCGGACGATACCCTCGAATCGGTTCTTGTACCACTTGATGGTCTCCTGTTGGTTGACCTTGTGGGAAGCGCCGATCTTGCTCTGGCACCTCCTGCGCTTGGCAACACGCTCACCGGGGCGGGTCATGCAGACGTAGAAGTCCATACCGTAGATACTGCTCCAGTCAGCCAATGTTTCCCTCTCTCTCATTCAGGATCCAGATTCCACATACCCAATGCTGGGGTCGTACTTGATACCCAAGTCGATGTGCTCGCTAATACCGAAACCAAAGTTGCCAGACTCTGAGAAGTTGCGCTTGCGGAGCTCGTACTCCTTGACCTTGAGACCACGCTCGAGGATCTCCTCGGCCTTGGGGCCACGGACGGTGACGTGGACGGCGATCTTTTCGTTCCTTCGGATACCGAAAGTACGGACGGTGTAGCGGGCCTTGGAGTAGACGGGAGTTTGACCGGACAGCTGCTCGAGCACCTTGGCGGCACGAGTGAGACGATCACCAGACTCGCCGACGGAGATGTTGAGGACGAGCTTCTGGATGCGGAGCTCCCGCATGGGGTTGGAGGCCTTGGAGTCGGACTGTCATGGCTGTTAGTTTGCGCAGAGCAATTGGCGATGGTGGTGCGGTGCGTACCATGGTGATGACTGCGGAGGTTAGTAGTCGTTGGGTGGGTTGTCGTGTCGCTGGTGTTGAAGTCGCGGTAAAATGATTTTGGCACCTGGGAGCGGATGTGTGCGAAGCGAGCCAAGCCCGCCGTGCACGTGCCAGGCCGCGATGCGGTAGCTACGAACTCTTTGATCGCGAACAAAGAGCTCTATACGCCCCGCCCATTGCCAACGTCGAGGGGACAATCTCGCCATACTCTTACCCGCCCGTCTTCTGAGCTTCCAGTCGTCCTCGGACGCGCACTACCAATCATGTCTGGCGCCGCAAACCGACAGGGAAAGATGGTAAGTAAATCTGCCTAGCAGCTCGAGTCCTTGGCCTGAGAGAAGACGCGCATAGAAACTGACTGACGCCTGGTGATATAGCAAAATCTAGTAAGCGCTCCAGATTCCGCTCATAGTCGCATGCAACTCACAGAACCAGATCAACTACCGCATGAAGGTTACTCTGCAGGATGGCAGACAAATGGTCGGGCAGATGCTCGCATTCGACAAGGTCAGCGCCGCCCGCCGTTTCTCCCTCTACTCTGCTGATAAGCTCTGCAGCACATGAACCTCGTTCTCGCCGACACAGAAGAGTTCCGACGCACACGAAGAAGGGGCAAGGCCGCACCCGGCGCAACCCAGCAAGTCACCGAGACTGAAGAGCGACGTGCAATTGGACTCACCATCATTCGTGGCGCGCATGTAATCTCGTTATCTGTCGACGGACCACCGCCTGCAGACCCTGCCGCGCGACTTGGCGCGAGCGCTGGAGGACCATCTACTGCTGCCGCGCTGGCTGCAGGACCCGGTGTTGCTCGTCCTGCCGGACGTGGTCTCCCAGTCGGTCTTACTGGGCCAGCTCCTGGTGTTGGAGGCCCCGGCCCTGGATTCGGAGGCGGTTTCCCAGGCGCACCTGGAGGCTTTGGAGGCCCGCCTGGCTTCCCTGGCCGTGGCGGCCCTCCTGGTGGACCACGTACGTTCCCCTTGAGCATATCATGAGAACACCTGCTAACCATCTACAGCTGGGTTCCCTCCCGCTGGTGGACCTCCCGGATTCGGAGCACCACCAGGCTTCGGTGGACCGCCAGGCTTCCCTGGTCGTGGCGGACCTCCTGGTTTCGGTGGCAGATAAAAGGACAAGGAACGATCATAATGAAATATCGCTAGAAAGATTTGGCATTGGACCATCGAACACGGCGCGTGCCCATACCACACATCTCAGGAGCCACCTTGGAAGAGGACCAAACTCACGTCCAACATGTCGCAAGGGGCTGCGTGTCCCTAAATTGCGTTACAATCAGCGATTGCGAGGAGCACCGGCAGAGCGAGACACCAAGTTCAAAAGTGTACTGAGATTTGGTTGAGGGACAGGAAATATACCACTGGCTTAAATGCATTCATAAGAAACAGTCGCATCATTTCACCATAAGATAAGACTGAAGCTCCGATTATTCAAGTCCAAATGTACCCATGTCTTGAGTGTCTGTCATAGTGAGATGAATGAGTCCCTAGCTTCGTACCCTGTCTTATGCAACACTAGAGAGGTAGCGTGCAATTCGCCGACCGTACAAAAGTGACCCATATGTAATCGTTCTCGTCGCCTGTTCTATCTCCTGGTATTTCCGGCTGAATTAATGTGCACGTGAAGTCCTTCCCGTTGTCGGAAGCCCTTTGCGGTTCCCGGTCCCTGTTCGTTCGGCCCCAATTATTGCTTGGCATCTAAACCGTCCGTCGTGCGTCCGCAACTCGCAAACTGCGACTGACTGACCCACGAACTTCACGTCAATCCGCACGCAACTCGGTTCCTCGGTACCTCCCGGTAAATCAGTCAAGATGGCCGCCGCGATCAAAGCCCTCAATGCGAAGATTCGCTCCAACCCGTACACGGATTACTTTTGCTCGACTCGTATGTACACCCGTCTCGTTGTGAGGGCACCGCGCATTGGAAGAGCTTGGGAAAGGGCGCGCAGAGGATGATGTCTGGAAGATACAATGAAGGAGTTGCAGAGGGAAAGAGTAGTCCGCTGACGTAAAGATAGATTTCTGGGGCCCGGCGAGTAACTTTGGTATTCCGATTGCGGCTATTGCGGACATGAGCAAAGATCCTGAGATGTACGTCCTACACCTCTCAATTCCCTTCTTCACCTTTACCCAAACCTTTCAAACTACAAGCCATGTGTCCAGCCCTATCCTGCGGCTCCCATATTCACCCTTCCCCACCTAGACTCTCCGCTCCCACAAACTCCAGCTAACCCCTCCTCGCAGCATCTCCGGCCGTATGACCGGCGCCCTTACCCTGTACTCCGGCACATTCATGCGCTACGCCATGGCCGTAACACCAGCAAACTACCTGCTCTTCGGCTGCCACGCCATCAACTTCAGCTCGCAACTCGTTCAAGGGTACCGATACCTCAACTACTGGAACTTCGGCGGCCGGGAAGCTAGCCTGGCGGGCAAGGCGGATAAGGCCAAGGACGAGGCAATGGGCATGGTGGGAAAGGCAGAGCAGAAGCTCGAGAAGGTCGCCGAGGATGTGAAGGGCGTCATTCCGAAATAAATGGGATAAAGCAGAAGTGGATGTCGGAGCAGAAGACGCCTATTGTGCATATACCACTTGATGAGCTCGTGGGTATTTCAAATGCTATTCACTTGACTCACAAACTCATTATGACACATTTGTCGATACCTTGAATAAAATGTTTACACACATATATTACATGAGACTGCTCCTCCCCCCAATCTCATTCCCTCCCTGTCCATTCGGCAAATCACCGTCCCTCCCATCAACAAACTCCCTATATATCCTCTCAAGACGCATCCGCTCTTGCGCCGAGATACTGCTCCGTCCACTAGAGAGGGAAGACTCTATATGTTTCCACTGGATCTCTGGATCCTTTCTCTCACCCCCCTCCTCGTCTTCTTTAGTCGCTCTATCTTCATCTTCCTTCTGTGATGAACCATCGGAACGCTGAAGTTGTTTCTGTTTCTTGCGCAGAGCCTGTAGCGCAGATATCTTCTGAGCAATCATAGCACGTTCGGTGAGCTGAGCAGATGTAGCCAAGGCGGAGTTGGAGTTGGAAGACGCAGGATCGTCGCCATAGCGGAAGTAAGAAAAGTCAGGAATACCTTTGCCATTTGCCGTACCGCTGCTCCCTTCTTTCTTGTTGTGGTCGATTTTCGAGGGATCTACGTCGCCGAGTACATCGTGAATGGCTTCCAGTTGCGCGTTGTATACAACCGCCTGGAGATCGGCACCGGAGTAGCCTTCTGTTCTCATTGCTATTTCGCGCAGATTCTCGCCTTCGTGGCCGTCGCCTAGAAGACTGGGCGCGAGGTGCAGTTTACGTGTTACTGCACGCAGGATGTCGATCCGTTCTTCTACGTCCGGCATGTCGCACAAGAGGGATTTATCGAGACGACCCGGGCGAAGGAGCGCGGGATCAATCAAGTCAGGACGCGACGTAGCAGCCAAGACGTAGACACCCGAAAGTCCTTCCGCTCCGTCCATTTGGGTGAGAAGCTGGTTCACAACACGGTCCGTTACACCTGTTGAGTCGTGTCCACGCTTCGGTGCGATACTGTCGAACTCATCAAAGAAGAGAACACAGGGTCGCGCTGCTTCTGCACGTTCAAAGAGATCGCGTACAGACTTCTCGGAAGCACCAATGTACTTGTTGAGAATTTCTGGCCCTTTGACCGAGATGAAGTTTAGACCACACTCACCTGCTACTGCAGATGCGAGGAGAGTCTTGCCACATCCGGGGTAGCCATATAGGAGTAAACCTGATCGAAGACGTAGTGGGCATTTTGCGAAAATGGGCGCGTAGGTTGTAGGATATTGAAGGGTTTCCATGAGAACCTGTCTCGTTGTGTGCAGACCACCGATGGAATCCCATTTTGTGGTCGAAGATTGTAATGTGACGTTTCGCAAGGAGGCGGGGGTGAAGCCGGTAATAGCTTGACTGTAATCCTCTCGTGTGAGGGACACAGTAGGGGACGTAGATGTGACTGAACGAATCAACGCTTCGTTGCGGGCACGCGATGTGAGTAACACAAGATCGCCGGGCATGTATCCGTCTGTCTGGCCGGCGAGGTCGAGAAAGTCGATCGTGGGATCGATGGTGAAAGCGTAATCGTCAGAGGTTTGCTGTGGTATGCTGTCAATGCTAGGCTGACGGCGGTGAGCGGTACTGGGTCGGCTGTCTGATGGTGATGGCGGAAAAGCATGGCCATTTGGTTCCTGGGGTTGCTCCACTTTAGCATCCTTGAAGGCGAGCATCTCAAGAACCTTCCTTCTACCGTCTTTATTGGGCGCTTTGAGACTGACAATCTCGCGGACGATATGTCCACCAACGATGACATTGTTCAGGGACTCTTTACCTTGCGCAGTTGCTAGCAGCACTACACCAGAGTCCATGGAACAGTACTGTCTGACGATATTGATCAGACACTCGCTGACATGTCGACTTCGTCCGTTGTCGTTGCCAACTTGAAGCTCAGTCTCTACAGGACATAGCTTATCCAGGTCATCCAGAATGACCACAGCATTTCCACCCCCTCGTGCGCCCCATGATGCTGAAGCAAACAGTCTGTTCAAAGTCTCTTTGATAGTTGCAACTCGCGTCTCATCCGTTACAAGTTTGCGACAGGGGAAATATATGGTGTTGAAAAGATATTCAGTCCGAAGTTGGTGGGCAAGCAGCTGCGCACATTCCGACTTTCCTGCTCCCAAACCACCAGTGAGTAGAACGGAAGAATTGTGCGTCAGATGTGATCGAAGTTGCTGGATAAGAGGATCTATGCCAACCAGATTTGCGGGCGTCTGCGGAAGCGGATCACCTTGCTGCCAGCCTTTAGCCCAGCTTGTTGGCATTGACACTTCCTGGCCAATCTCAAGCGGTGGTTTCCTCTCAGGGAAAAGCACCCATGAGACTCCAGTTGTCGGTGCTAGTGGTTCAAACCTTACAATGCCTCCTTGCCAGCTGAGCTCGGAGTCCTTGGGCGCAGGCAGTATCATACCATCTGTGACTGGCCCGTCAAGGAGTCCATTCTTCTTCCCGTATATTGTTTTGATCTTCTCTATCGCTTTCTCTTGATCTTGCTTGGACTCGCCACCAAACTTTAACGAGGCATTGACTTGTGATGCAACAGTGGAGAAGGGTATGATCTTGATGGACTTGACAATGGGTTCTCTAGACTCCTTGGATGGCTTGATCGCTGGCGGTTTGGGAGTTTGAGCTGGAGCGCCTTCGAGTCGGACGAGACCGCCGACGAAGTTCTCGAAACCCAGGACCCTGCAGAGGTCGGTTGAAAGGGCTACATGCCGACTGTCTGGCGCGTCTTCCCATGCCATGATCTTAGCAACGACGCGTGTCGCAGGCTTCTCCTGCTCCTGCTCCTTGGACATGTCGACTGGCTCTTGTAGTCCTGCGGGCTTGATGATTGATACAGAGACCCAGTTGGCGCCTCTGAGAGCCTTGGTGAGTAGTACATCCTTGTCCACCCACACTCTCAGCCCCCCAGCGTCTATGTCTTCGTCTTCATCGAACCACTCTTGTGCCACATTGCGATCGAGTCCGCGCAAGAAGATGACTCCCTTGCTTGCAGCGTCCTCGCGGCCACTGCGCCGGCGGACTGTACTTGCAGTGCTCTTTCCGCTCTTTCTCGAGGCAGCGCCCACGCTCCTGCTTTCACGGGTTGAGCTCCTCTCCTTTTGTCTTGTCTTGGGCGCGACGATGACCTCGGCGTCAGGCGAGATCTTGACGAAAAGGGATGTGTTGGCGGGTGCGGGAGCGATAGAAGTGACGGTGATGTTTGCGGTCGTCGTAGGGGACAGATGCAGCGTAAGAGGATGGGGCGCTCCGGCCTGGGGATTCGGGAGTGCGCGTATCTGAGAGAGGAAGTTCAATTCCAAGAATTGGGCATGCAGCTCGATCATCTCCCAGTCCACGGGGGTCAAGGGCTCGATGTTGATGGTATGCGCCTGTGGAGGATCCACGTGCAGTATTATTCCTACCTTCTGCCCCTCTTGCAGGCCGATCAATCTGGCGAAGGTGGCATCCACCTCGACAGCTGGCAGGTCTTGTTGGCTGACTGCTGGACTGCCTCTCAGGCCGTCTCGCCCGACTACAGGCGCAATCCTGCGCTTGCTCTGCATGCCCGTCCATCCCACGAAAACCGACTTGGGCGCGGCATTCCTATTGTCCGAGGCACCCGGTGGTGGAGGTTGGCGGTATGTGAGCTCGACGACAACATTCTGGGCGACCGTGTTCGCATTCACGAGTACGGAGACGAGCGAGGACGGGAGGTTGACAAGGCAGTTCTTGAGCGACTGTTGCAGGGCAACCTCAGCCTGGACAACGTTGCCGGCAGGCTTCTTGGGCGGCATGGTGGTGAGAATCGAGGAGTGAAGGAAGTTGGTACTGCTGCAGCTGCAATCGCATGGCGCATACCTCAAGCTCCCGATGCTCGCATGCGGACCGAGGTTGGGGTGTTGGTCGGCGCCGATGGCCCAAAGCGGTGGCAGAAAGCGGCGGTCCAATCGCTCGACTGCCCTGGAAACGCGGGTAGACGCGACTGGAGCTGCAACGCGACCAGCCCCAATTTTGCTACCGCGCATCCCTCCCCGCTGCATCACTGCACCACGCCCAGACACGTACTCTCACACCAACCCCAGACAGAATGGCGCTCCTTACCACGAGTGCGCCCGTCAACTATGACGAGCAGGAGGGTAAGCGGGCACGGGCAGGACACCGACAACCCCCCAGCTAACAGCCAACAGCTGCCTTTGTTGACTTTCTCAAAAACTACAAATCCGCCTCGACCGATGCTGCGGACCAGCTCGAGGGCCTGAACATCAATGGCCATGGCGAAGAGGAATACGACATGGTGGACGACTCGGACGATCCCGCGCCAAATGGAAATGGGGCGCAATCCCGCAGCAAGTCGAAGCTCAAGTACATGGACCAACTGCAAGACGTAGCGAATCGCGTGCGCGACGAGATCCAAATCGACCTCAACGACGTCGAAGCATACGAGAAGGCGACATCAGATGACGAGCACAACTACAGGCTGGTCGAGTCCATCGAGCGCAATGCCCACCACTACATCGAGATCTTCTCGCGAGCCGTCGACAAGTGCCTGCCTCAACCGACTAGGGAACTCGACTTCAAAGACGATGTCTTGGACGTGATTATGACGCAGCGGTCCAAGCGCAACGAAAGACAGCAGGAGATGCAGGGAGTCGACGACAATTCACAGGCTGCGCCAGAAACCATGTTTCCTCCTGCATTGACCAGGCGATACACCCTCAACTTCAGGCCCAGGATACCGTCTGGTTCCAGCAGCCAGCGCAGCACAAAGGCACTAGCGGTCCGCAATGTTCGCGGAGAGCACCTGGGTCACCTCATCACAGTCCGCGGTATTGCAACCAGGGTGTCGGACGTCAAGCCTGCCGTACAGGTCAATGCCTACTCCTGCGACCGCTGTGGAAGCGAGGTCTTCCAGCCCGTGACGACCAAGCAATTCACCCCTCTTGTTGAGTGCCCGTCCGACGATTGCAAGAGCAACAAGACCAAGGGCCAGCTCTTCCTCTCGACCCGCGCCTCCAAGTTCCTTCCATTCCAAGAAGTCAAGATTCAAGAGATGGCCGATCAAGTTCCTGTTGGCCATATTCCTAGACAGCTGACTATCCACTGTCATGGCGCGCTCGTCAGACAGATCAACCCCGGCGATGTCATTGACTGTGCTGGCATCTTCCTCCCTACACCCTACACTGGCTTCAAGGCAATCCGAGCCGGTCTCCTCACCGACACATACCTCGAAGCCCAATATGTCATGCAACACAAGAAGGCCTACGACGACATTGTGCTTGCCCAGCCAACTCTGCGAAGGATGAACGAACTCGAAAGGACTGGTCAGCTGTACGAGTACCTGTCGCGATCTATCGCGCCTGAAATCTTCGGTCACGTCGACGTCAAGAAAGCCCTTCTCCTCCAGCTCATTGGCGGTGTCACAAAGGAGGTTGGCGACGGTATGCGAATCCGTGGTGACATCAACGTCTGCTTGATGGGTGACCCTGGTGTGGCCAAATCCCAATTGCTCAAGTACATTACCAAAGTAGCGCCCCGTGGTGTCTACACGACTGGTCGTGGTAGCAGTGGTGTTGGTCTTACCGCCGCTGTCATGCGCGACCCAGTCACAGATGAAATGGTCCTTGAAGGAGGAGCCCTTGTGTTAGCTGACAACGGCATGTGCTGCATTGATGAGTTTGACAAGATGGATGACAGCGACCGAACAGCCATCCACGAAGTCATGGAACAGCAAACAATCTCTATCAGCAAGGCTGGTATTACAACCACTTTGAACGCTCGCACGTCGATTCTCGCGGCTGCTAATCCCCTATACGGCCGCTACAATCCTCGCCTCTCGCCGATCGAGAACATCAACCTCCCTGCTGCGCTCCTATCTCGTTTCGATGTCTTGTTTCTTATCCTCGATACCCCTGCGCGAGACTCTGACGAAGAGCTGGCTCGTCACGTCACTCACGTGCACATGCATAATGCCCACCCTGAGGCCCCTGGTGGCATTATCTTCAGCCCTGCCGAAGTACGACAATGGGTTGCTCGCGCACGATCATACCGGCCAACCGTGCCAAAGGAGGTATCAGACTACATGGTCGGCGCCTACGTCCGCATGCGTCAACAGCAGAAGCGCGACGACGGCAACAAGAAGGCCTTTACCCACACTTCGCCGCGTACGCTGCTTGGTGTACTTCGTCTTGCACAGGCTCTGGCACGTCTACGATTCGCCGAACAAGTCATTTCGGAAGACGTTGACGAAGCTCTTCGTCTTACCGAAGTCAGCAAGGCCAGTCTGTATGCCGATGAGAACCGCGGAATCGATCACACGCCGAGCAGTAAGATCTACCACCTCATCAAGTCTATGGAGGCTAGCGGTGCTGCTGCTGTTGGTGATGGCACAAGGGGTGAACTTGACCTTCGCAGGGTCAGGGAAAGGGTTTTGGCCAAGGGCTTCACAGCCGATCAGTTTGAACAAGCTATCGACGAATATTCGTTGCTCGACGTAAGTATCACCGTCCAATGTTCTAGGAGGTTCAACGTACTAATGCTTCTTGATAGGTCTGGCAGACAACTGGAGAAGGCACAAGGCTTGTCTTTATCGAGGCTGGGATGGAAGATGAGGACATGGATGCTGATAACGACTTCTAGAGCATGGGATTGGAATGTTGGCATTGGATGTAGTAGTGTCTGTTTACGGCGTACCAAGGCGTTGGATATCCGAACGACGTTGAGCGCGCGTCTACTTTGCTTGCAGCTGTTTGTAGCTTCGCATAGAAATACCAATGAAGCAACGACGAACCAATGCTTCTCTGATTGTCGTCTACTGAAAGTCGCGTGCGCCAGGGTCGCTGTCACATGCCAAGGCAGCTGTCTGCAAGCAAGCATCATCGGTGCGTGGTGAACCCTCGCGGGGTCGCTACCGAAAAGTGGGAGAGCTCAAGTCCCCCAGCCCTGTTTCACTGTACCCCCTCTCACAACAACTCACGTTTTCTCTGATTACTCATGTGGTGAGATTTCGCTACAAGCCTCGTCCACGGTTCTACCTTCTCAAAGAGGTTACTTCCAACAGCGAATCTCGCGACGCGGCAGAAACCGACAGATAAGCTTGCGCCAGCTGTTCGCATCTGCCTGCGATCTTCTTGTCAATCGCAGATTCATACAGATTCGCCTTCTCCAGCATTCTCAAACATGGCTCAAGGCGCCGCAAACAACTTTGCGCAATTCATGGTTGTGGGACGTAAGTAGACCCCTCCATGCTGCCTCAGCCCACTTCCACAACGTTCAATTGCGCCCCCAATGCACCTGCTGACGAGCTCGCAGCAACATGTTTTTTCCTCGGAATCATGTTTGCGCAACTACCTTATGACTACAATGTCTTGTGGAATGTGCCTGCCGACCGAGCGACCTACTTCGACATTCTTGAATCGCACATCCAGTTCCTCTATGCCTCTCCTCCCATCGTGTCGCGCATCCTCAACCTAGCCATCGGCACCGGTCTCCTCGGTTTTCTCATCAAGCTCTTCAAGCCAAACCAGGCCAACATGCTCTTCGATGGCGCGTCGCTCGTTCTCTACATGGCTGGTATCACCGTGTACCTCACCAACATCGTCAAGGGTTTCAGGGTCGTGACGGCAGGCATCTACGGAGACGTGAACAAAGCGGCCCCCGGAGAGATTACAGACGAGGATATGGGCGATTACATTTCCAGGGAGGACACGTTGAGGGTCTTTGCGGCTAGTAACACGATTCTGGCGCTCGTGCTGGTGGGTGTGCTGGTGCTGCAGGCTGGGCAATGGTATGCCAAGAGGGCCGAAGAGAAGGAAATTGAAGAATTCGAGCGTCAGGCTGAGGAGAAGAAGGGTGCGGGAAAGAAGAAGCAGTAGATTACTACTCCTCCGATGGAGTGGGCTGATGGGTAGCGGATGCGCTTTCCAAAGCATTGGGTTCAGGTCGAGTAGGCTTTCAGTCCTAAGTCCTCCTTTAGCTTGTGCGATGATTAAGAGCTGGGATTTATTTGTTAGTATGCCCAACAAGTTTTGTAGGAACAATGAGGCGTGTAACAAGTACCTATGACATACATGGGTCTCTGTGCTCAGTATTTATCTCGATTGTGGCTCTTGATTTCTTAGTGATTAGTATGAACGGTCGCTCTTCTCACCTGTACGATTCTGATGTTTTCTTGTTATCCAAAAAGCTCTCTGTTTGCTGTTAACACGTAGCGCTTTCCTGTTTGGTACACCTCAACCAGCAACAGCAGCTCACACCTGCCGGTCTCGACCTCTCCAGTCGAGCTCATCTGTGTCTCTACATCGATCAGAACCTCTTTCCTCGATAATCGGTGACGAGCCAGCTTGATCGGGGCATACCAACGGGCTGATAGCGTTACTCATCTAATCGACTGCCATACAGCTGGAGTCATTCCTTCTCACCGTTCACGAGTGAGCCTGGGCCGAGCCGGAGACGATCGCTTCGGCTCAACCTCGACACGTCATACAAGGGAAAGCAGTCGCAATAATCAACAATGCCGCAGCGTGAGGCATCCACCGCTTACGAACGCAAACAGAAAGCAAACGGAATGATACACCGAGACCAAAGGGCTGCGATCTCAGCCAATGGTCTACTCAGTAAACAATTCGCCAGCATCACGGATGTTCTTCTCAAAGCAAGCCGGCGACGTAATCAAGACCTGCAGCAAAGGCTGTCGAGACCAGTGCCAATCTCAACATCATTCAGGCCTGTGAGCAAGCCTCTTGTCGCCACTGAACCAGAGCTATCACAAGTCAACGCTTCCAGTGATAACCGTATCGATCTTGAACAAGTCAAACAAAGCAATAAAGATACTATCGGAATCAAGTTGATGACGGTTGGCACTAACGAGGAACACTTGGGTGAGCATATACGTATCCTGTCATGACATCCAGTCCAGTTTCATTGACTCGCAAGTAGATGTGTCGGAGACACAGACCAGTCTCCGTGGCTGTGACGCACCGAAGTATGCCGACAATCCAAAGATGATGCTCGCTGAGCTGGAATCGTCGAGCCCGGAACATTCCAGTCATGATGCGAATGAGGAGCTTGACGACAGCTATGGGCAAGAGAACATCTGGGTAGACATGAAATGTGTCTCGTCGTTGATGAAGAGTGCCGCCGTTGAGCACGTCAAGGACGCGAAAGAAATACCTACAAGCCCGAGCATAGATGAGGCAGACGCCTTATCAATCTTGGCTAAGCGTCTGGGCATCGACAGTAATGAGGACGAGGCTATCGGAAGCATCGAATTCACGTTTGATGAGCTCGACGAACAATTCTCTAATGCAAGCAACACCGGATATAAGGACAACGACCTCAAGGCTCTCCGTGAAGAACTAGTGGCTGTGTTTTCGCCAGCCTGCGATACAACCTGTCGAGATTTCCAGCGTACCACTAGGGACACACCGGTCAATAGCATGAGATCAAATCCTCAAGAGCAGATGATTGAAAAGCTTCAGCCAGACGACACACCGCCTGTTGCTGCCTTGGTATTGGAGCCTGGGGACGCTGAGTGCAAGGATGTCCAGGTCGGGTGCACGCAACCCTTCAGTGACGACATAGATGAACAGGAGACTCAGAGAGAAAAAGAGAAGATGCTCGACAGGGAAAACGAAAAGCTTGAAGCGACTATAAAGTATGTCCTGGAGGAGGAGAAGAGATACCATGCAATTGAGGAGAACAAGCGCCTCAAAAACCGTCTGATTGTCTCCAATTTGGCTGCTGATGTAGACGATAAAGCCATCCGTACCTTCTTCGCTAGATATGTGACGGAGATGTAAGTAATTAACCCTATCTGCATGTCCAACGAACACTACACTAATGCTTGTTTTACTAGCCGCAATGTCACCATTCTATCAGTACGCGATCCAGTCAAGAGGACTAGAACAGCGTACGTCGATATGTACAGCAGGAAAGTAGCGGCCCGTGCATCATACGAGGTCGGAGGTATTTTTGGATTGATTGTGAAGATCAAGTTGGCAGTGGAGTAATGGAGGTCGAAGGGTGACTTTTGTGTATATAAGTCGTCAGGGCCATGGTGTATTACATCTTCTCAAGAGACCTAACCAGTAGCTATGTTATAAGTAGTACATATCTCTCATACACTATACAGCAGCTCTGTTAAACAAGCTGTCTCTCAAGCTCCTTTGTCACTTGCTAACGCCTTCTCCAACTCACGATCAGCGCTCAACTCCTTTTCTGCCCCCTCTATCACGCCCCTGAGTCCCTTGGCACAGGCGTCCAACTGCGCTCTCTCCTCCTCATCAAGCTGAATCGGCATCGCCTTGATAATACCCTTCCGACCTACCACTGCCGGCATCGACAAACAGCAGCCCAACTCAGGTTGGTAGAAGGACAATGGTCGAACAGAGCGTGAGTCGAACAGGATATACTTGCAGATACTAGCCGCAATGTTTCCGATGCCATATGAAGTACAACCTTTGGCCGCAATAATGGCACCAGCTGCTCCTCGGGTATGAGACGAGATTTGACTTTTGAACTCCGAACTCAGTGTGCTTGGCGGGAGAGCAAGCGCGAGAGGTGTTGTACCAATTGTAGCACTTGACCAGGCGATCTGTCCCTTGCATTAGCACACACATAACCTGGATGCCTTCCTCGATTGAGTCCTTGTTTCGCTGCAAAGAGGAATAAGGAACACTTACAAACTGGCTGTCTCCATGCTCCCCAAGCACATAGGCGTCAATGCTGTTGGGTGCTACCTCCGCCTTCTCCGCCAACACACCCCTTAACCTCGCAGAATCCAAACTCGTCCCCGTCCCCAACACCTGGTTCTCGGGTAACCCAGACAATCTCCTTGCAAAATATGTCAAGATATCCACTGGATTCGCCACCAGTAGCAAGATTGTATGCGGGCTGATCGGCGCCATGGCCCCAAAGATACTTTCCAGGATATGTAGGTTTCTGGAAAGCAGTGATAAACGTGATTCTCCCGTCTTTTGTTTCGCGCCTGCGGTTATGACGACGATATCGGCTTGGCCAGCGTCTTTGTGAGTGCCTGCTCGAACTTTCACGCCGCTGCCGCCACGGTAGGTTGCGTCGCTCAAGTCGCGGACTTGAGCTTCTAGCAGGGAGGCTTTGAGATCCACGAGGATTACTTCTGAGCAGATGGGTTGGAGGATGAGGGTGTAGGCTAGGGTGGAGCCGACATCTCCGCAACCGAGGATTGCGATTGTGGTTTTTAGCTTGGGGGATGCCATGTTTGCTGCTACTCTGTTTTTGCTATAGAAGTGAGCAGGGTTAGACGAGTACGTGGATTGGTATTGCGAGAGGTTACGTAGTGAGAAACGTAAAAGTGCGAGGGTCGTAGACGTTCGACTATAAGAAGGAAATGGGAACGCAATCTGATCATCCGGTGTTGAATGTACCTATTTGTACGTGAGCCCGTAGTCGCAAGTTGTGGTTCGTCGCCAAGGCCTGGGCTGCAGAGAAGTGGTGTGATGTATGGTGGAGCTCAGCCACTCACAATTCGCCTCACCATGCGAATACGTGCTTACAACACCAACCCAACCGCGATGTTACGAAAACTCTTATTGTCGTGTTTATGTGGATACGTGATATATCATGGCTTTAACTCGGATCATGCACTAGATAAATCGAGTCCTCAAATCATCTGCTGATATGCCCACTGATTCTGCACATCGTCCTCCAACGGCAGCGTCGTCTTCTGCAATTCCTTTGCCACTTTATCAGCCTCACCCCAGACCCGAAGCAGGTTGCCTCCTGCAATCTTTGCAGCATCCTCATCGCTGATGCCTTGTCTCAACAGTTCGGCGATGAGATCGGGGAACTTGGATACATCTTCTAATCCCTCCGGCGTCTTTTCAATGCCGTCGTAATCTGTGCCGATGCCAACGTGATCATAGCCAATCAATTCTCCAATGTGCCTAATGTGGCGTACCACATGCGCCAAGGTATTATTCTCTGGAACAAACTCTGGGAATGAGTTCGGTGTCCCAGAAGCTTTACAGGACACGAAGTCTGGGTTGAAATTGACCATGACAACAGAATTGCGCTGCTTCACGAGCTGAAGTATGTCATCCGGGACATTTCGAGGATGTGGACAGATTGCGTGTGCAGAGCTGTGACTGAAGATTGGGGGTGCGATGCTACCAGTCCAGTTCCCGTCGCCTCGGCCTACAAGGACATCGCGCATAGTATCTTGACTCACGTGCGCAAGATCCACCAACATTCCCAGGCGATTCATCTCTTTTACGAGGTCGCGACCAGCTGGGCTAAGACCCTTCCAGTACGGTTTCGCGATACGCGCGCTGAAGTCGGAGCCAGTCTCAATTGCTGCATCGGCATATTTGTTGTGGCAGTTCCATGTCAAAGTCGCATATCTGACTCCAAGCTGATAGTAGAGTCGTAATGTAGAGACTGAGTTGCCGATCTGGTGCAGGCCTTCAATAGCTGCTGGGGCAATGAAATTGCCGCTTTCGAAAGCTTTGCTGGCCTCTGCGCTGTTCCTAGATGGAGTGAAGTACTTTGGGTAATTTTGGCCTAGGCGGTTAAACAGATCCAGTTGACCCAGCGTTGCCTTGACGACTACATAGATTAGCAGCATACTCGCCGAACGTTGTTTCGTACCAGCTTACTGTCATAGTATCTGTCATCCGCAAAGTTCGTTTCATCACCCAGTGGGCAGAGCCAAAATGCGCTCCAGAATGCTCCGCCTTGTAGGCCCTTTTGAAGGCGAGGGATGTCGACGTGTTGCGCGAGTCCGCCATTCTCAAACTTGTCTGCAAAGTCGCTGCCGGACTCGTTGTAGATGTGGTTCTTGTATGTGCCTCGAATGAAGATCAAAAGGTCATTATGGCCATCTCTTAGGTAGTCAGCATTCGGCCCTTGATGTCACATTCATACAGCTGACCAATAAGTGGGTTTTCCTGCAGAATCTTTACAGCTCTTTCTTCAACTGTCAATAGCTTTCCACATGTGTGCTTTTGGCCTGAAAACAACGTCCGGACTTCCGAGAACCATATGGTCGACGCGATAAGGAAGAGGACTACGAAGAAGATAGCGTCATCAGCGCCGCACATGCGCCGTCTCGAAGAACGACGACGCGGTGTATGCGCGTGCTTCTCGCTGACGGGGAGGTCTCCTGTCTTCTCCATAATCGATACTCGAGGTCAGAGATGGAAAAAGAAACATGGTGCAAGGGACGCCGTATCATTGAGGTACATGTAGGTCTTGGCACGAGACGCGGACGGAGTTAGGGGTTTGGTCCGGAAACACCACGCGACGCGAACGCTGAAAACATCGTCAGAGCCACAACCGTCTCAAAGCACATCGCCAGTTTCTCGAATTATACCTCACCTCACAATCCACAGACATGGCGATAATATCAGCAAACACCATGATACGCAGTATCGCACTGTTCCACCTCACACTCGCAGTCGTCCTGCTCAAGAATCCCGCCCTGATATCAAACCAAGGGGTCGTTCTCCTGCTAGGAGAATCAATGCAACTTGTGCGTACTCTTGTTCCCTCTCCGCACACTCATATTTTCCCTGAAATTGCTAACACCTGTCAGCCGACACCCCGCGACTTCAACAAAACCTCCGCAGCAACGGCCTTCATAGCCGTCCTCTTCGCCTTCATCGGCCTCTCCGACCTAACCGCCCTCTCTCTTCACGAAGACGTTTTCGACCATTTCTGGGGCCTACAAGCACCTATGCGTCTCTTCTTTCTCTTTGGTATCACTGCATACTCGTACATGTTCAAGGAAGGAGGCATGTTCGCTCCTAGGGGTGTCGACTTCAGGATGAGCACCGGTGCCAGTCTGAACAACAGCCTTATCTTCACATGGGGATTTATGGAGATTTCGGCATGGTTCTGGGTGTTTACCGCGTTGAGGGAAGAGCGGTCAGCGAAGGCCACCAAACTGGCTGAGAAGGAGGCTCGGGAAGCTGAGATCAATACGCTATAGGGTGGCTATAGGTATGTGGTTACCCCTCAGACACACCAAAAACGAACCGCCGACGCCCGATTTGCACGCAAAGAGTGGCTCTCTGCCGATATGTTATAAAAGAAAGACTGGAAAGATACCATTCTCAGTCTTCTCAGATATGCGTAGCTGAAGGTTTGTACCTTGTGCAGATATTAAAAGCTTCGATCCAGTATCAAGGACTCTTCTAGCGAGACCGATGTCTACCGGCTTAGGAGACTGCAGTGAGACGACGGACGTTTACGGAGAACCACAATATACCAATGCACAGGGTCAGAAGATGTCTACCACAATCGGAAGCTTATCAGAAATTTATCAAAGGCATCTAATAAGTGTAGCAAAGCGTTCCGCCTTCGGTATCCAGCAAATCCTTGAGCGTGGCATCGCCTGCTAGCGCCCCAATGTTGATGGTGAAGTCCAGTGTAACATTCTTACCACTGTAATCAAAGGGTGTAATGGGACCACCGACTTGGTTCAGACGTGTCTCGAGATCCTTCTGTTGCCATTCCCAAAAGATGCGGTCAATGTTTCCATGATGAAGATAGAAGAGTGGATCTGCCATGTATCAGTCAGTTTTCTAGCGACACCAGAGGGGATGGGAAGTAACTGCTTACCACCAGGGCTCTCCGCTGCGTTTCCCATGGTCCCTAGGATGCCACCAACACCGAAGTGACCGCTGGCATGGATGTTTGGAGGATCGAAGCTTTGCTTCTTCTCAACTGTTCTTGCAAGACTGGTGTAATCGGGCTGTGCCAGGACTTCTTCGACCAGATTACGATCTGCAAACCTGTTGATGATCCATGGAACAAAGTCACGTTTCAAGCAATGCGGAGTGGGCACATTTACGGCAAAGTGAGGAGGGGCGAATGGCCCGTTCATCACACAGCCTCCACCAGTATTGCCTGTAATGTTTAAGCGGTTCTGTTCCGGCGTAGCTTGGACAGGATAGCCGTTGCCACCGAATCCTGTCTCAGGGTCAAAGATGTCAGACTCAAAGGCATGGGTAGAGTTTTCATTTCGAGGTTCAGCATCCAGGGACCAGTCCCAGTATCTGCGTACAGATTAGTTCAGAAACAATTTGTATTGAGAGAAGATATTCCGTGAACGGGGACAACTTACGGCTGGCCTCCGGTGTATCCGCATTCGTCTCTCAAGGCCTTTTCGTAGGTTGCAACGAAGTAACGGTGCCACAAGAGAAAATGTCCCTAAGAGTGTAAGGTCGCGAAAAAGAGGTTCAAAAAAGAGGGCTTAACATACCACCCAGTGGATCTGAGGCTTTTGTAGCATATGGACGGCTTGGTGATCATCGAATCGGTTCACGGTGCCTGAGAGACCAGATTTGGCCTCCGTATGCGACAAGCACAGGACCGCATCGATGTATGATTTCTTCTGTGGCACTGATAGCTGTCTCCTATGTTCTAGCCTTCAGCGATGCGTTCAGAGTTGGACGGTGGTGGGTCATCTCACCACTCTACCCTTTTAGGTGGGTTTTTGCATGTTTCCAACCCTGTGGATGAAGGCAACGCTGCAGCTGTTGACCATTGTGCCAAGCTCAGGCCGACAGGGAGAAGTTCGAGAAGACGCATATTGATCGAGCAGACGCTTGGAGGATGAAACGTGGATGAGGATAGTCGTCACACGTGCCAACCCTTCGAGAAGAGAATCGTTTTATGTGCTGCGCCGTATTGAAGAGCTTTCCAGTACACCCACAGCCAAGTAGGCACCTGAAGTAGCTGATGGGTTTTAGTGACCGACACTGTTTGTATGTTTAAAAGAAAGCTGTGCGAGCTGGCTGCCGACAGCCGATCTCGAGATTTGCGGTCAGATCGTTCTAATATCTTTCTGGACCTTTACCCGCGGCTGCATTGGAACCATTGTTGAGTATGGCAGATATGTTTGCCGACAATCTATACCTGTTGCGTGTCAGACCAGTATTGCGAACACCACGGTGGCCCTGATCTACCCTCCAAGTCTGTAAGCTACCTGGCTATATGAGATCAAATCGCCAACTGTTCTGGAAGAGACCAGACCTTATTCTCGCTTCAAGAAGCGTAATCTCCTCACACTCTACATGTGCATTGTTGCCAACTAGGTATTCTCGTTTCACTTCCCAATCTTCAATCCTTGGCCGAGCACACCGACGGATGCTTTCATGCAATACGACCCATCTACGGATACTTGTATCCTGTGTCTGCGCCCAGTCCCAATCTTGCCTACGCTTTTGAGACTCGCCCGTCCCAGGAACTTTACGGTGCGGGACGAGAGGTCCGCGGCTCCCGGAGGTTCACTCTAACATGGCTTGCCACCCCGTTTGCGAATGTGTCGATTGGGAAATTGTTGCCGCCTGCCGGGTGTAGATGCGGTTACCTCACTAGCAGGGATGGTAAGATTGCTCGGCTGCAGCGGGTGGTCATGGTTTCTCGGGATAGGTCCTCAATACGTGACATACTGACATGCACAAACACGATGATTCGACCACAGAATGGTTACACATTCCCATTCTAGATCTTGTTACTTCGTGAACGGTGTACTCACCTCTAATGGCTCATTAGCGATGCGGGCCCTGAATCCGACGTATAGACATGGATTCAGATCCTCTCTGATATTCGCCGGTGGTTAAAACATATGCGTTGGCCGACAACTGCGACAGAACTGGAGACGAATGTTCCTGATGAGCCACGAGCCATATTGCAATGCGTGCAACGTGATTTCTGTATATATGTATAACAAGGCATCCTACTGACGTGTGCGGCTGAGGGCCTACTGGCTCTCGACCATACTCTAGTTCATGTCACCCGTCTCAAGTTCGAACGCTTTTTCCTGCTCTATATGGCCATGATCGGGCCCAATTTCAGTGCAGATCATGACTCTAGGCAGCCCATGTTCTTGATCACCACTGGAATTCTCATCCTGCTTTCGACCGTTGTGGTGGCTCTCAGGTAAGTATTTGTGATAAATATGGAGAGGCGATGTACACTTTATTGATGGCCATGTAGGCTCTACTGTCGTTTCTATCGCGTCCGCAATGTTGGACTCGACGACTACTTCATGGTTGCTGCACTTTTTGTCACGATTGGCATGGCGATCATGAATGGTTATCATATCAGCTGGGGTACAGGGTATGCAAGAATGGCGAATGTCACGGAGGTCGAAATTGTGGCTGACAGTGATAGACAACATTTGAAGTACTTGGATGTACCTTCAATGAGGATTCCAACTCTCAAGCACTTCTATTTCTACCAGTTGGTTTATCCTTTGGCGCTGTTCCTCGTCAAGGCTAGCATACTAGCGCTGTACCATCGCATTTTTGAGCTGGTAGAATTCCGATATAAAGTGTGGTCTGTAGCTGCATTTGTCACAGTCTACACGATCGTGGTCCTTTTTGTCAACGTAAGAATTCTATTACGTTCTTCCGCCTTGCAGTGATATTATAGTAATCAACCTCATCAGGCTTTCGAGTGCAGGCCCAACCCTTCGCAAGCGTGGTCACCGACATTTCCTAAAGGTTGCAATAACCTGCGAGCTACCTATTTTGCGCTTGGAGCCATAAATGTTCTCACAGATATCACGATCTTTCTCCTGCCATTGAAAGCTTTCTGCAGTCTGCAACTAGATCCGAGGAGAAGATGGGCACTACTTGGTGTTTTCATGATTGGCGGTCTGGCTGTTATTGCTTCAATCGTAAGGATATATGCGCTTTGGTTGTACAATGTTACGGAAGATATATCGTATGACTCAATCTTCGTGAGTCGTCCTGCAGGGGAACATTCGTTTTATCGGATACTAATCGCCTTGCAGATCCTCCTTTTGTCACAGATCGAAGTGAACGTAGCGATCATATCTGCCTCGGCCCCAGCCATACGACCGCTTCTCAGGAATACGCCGCTTTCTTTTAGCCAGCCGGAGGCGTATGGGAGCGGCTATCTGCGTACCATAGGCAGTGAATCAGCCTCTAACAACCAGAACTCGCGGAGTCGTACAAGATCCAACGGCCAAATCGAGCTCCTCACGTATGGTGGGCGTGGTACACCGGTAAAACACAAAGCCTTGTGTGGAGGAAGAGGCAACACGAGCGAGGAGTCAATCCTTATAGATGGCGGGATTACAAAGACCATGGAAACGAGGATAGATTTTGAGCAGATTAATGATGAAGAGCTGCCGCCGCGCCGGCTACCTACGAAGGACCCAAAGTGAGCAAGATAAGAGAATACATATATGTCATTTGATGTATAGAAACCAGGGCTTCTACTACTATGCGAGCGAAGTTCCATCTGAACCGTCATTACTCGTTGTGCAAGTGATGTCACTCTCATACCCAACAGCCCGCATAAAATGTCTCCATTTCGACATTGCGCGGCCGGCTCATAGTATTACACTCAAAGCAGAAGCATCAGCATACCCGGAGTCAAGATGAAGGCTCCAAGTGTGAATGCGAAGACGTTTCCAGGCACTATAACACTTCCAGCACGTAGGCTGGTGGCAGCTCCGGTGAACTGGGTTAGGGTAGCACTAGACGAAGTACTTTCGACAGTTGAGGTAGCATCCTCCGAGGACGTCGACGCCCTAGAAGAAGTAATCACCCTCGTTGACGACGGCGTAACTATGGATGTTGATACTGGTCCCAAAGTTGCACTCGAAGCTGGAACAGAGCCAAGCGTAGGCGTCTCTGACTGTGTAGGAATCGCTTCAACGAAAGCAGCGGTGAAAGACTCGTACACAGAGCTTGCGGCCGCATCATCCGTCGCTGTGAACGAGAAGGTTGTGTAGTATGTCGTCTCAGTAGATGTAATCTCGTAAGTGGCGTCGAAATAATAGTAGTAGTAATAGTAGTAGTAGTAGGTATATGAGTAAGTATACCATGAGTAGTCGACGACGACTGGATCTGGGATTGAAGTGGCGGAGGGGGCTGGCGTGATGGAAACAGAAGGTGAACTGGGTTGATCGATGCGGGGGACTTCGGAGTATCCTTCAGGGCATTCCTCGCCTGGTAGATGATAGTAGTCGCCTGTGCAGCATGTACCCGAAGGTGGGATACATGGAAGATCGCCTGATCATGTTAGTTCGATGTATGGTTCATTCGAAAGGAAAAACTCACCAGGGCATACTGGAATCCATCCTGGAGTTAAACAATCGTCGAGCTGACGGGGCGAGACACCAGATCCTCCTTTGAGTGGTCCCGCTTTCCCAGCGAGTGCACAGTACCCAATGGCACTCAGTAGCATTAGTGAGCGAGTAAGCATGGTTGCTGGTAGTCTGTGAAATATCTTCGAGAAACGAGGGTTGGATTTTCGGGACTAAGATATCTGCTGAGATCTGCTGGTGAAACAAAATCATGTTTCTCACTCAGCCCTTCCAGACTTTATACTATCATGCCACCGAGGATGCGATAAACACAGCCTGCCTGACAGCCTTCCTGGCAGCCTTCCTGGCAGCCTTCCACGATCATAAAAGCCAGCTTTTTCATCTCCACTGCTGCGGTTGTGTAATATAATTCTTGGCAACATGTCGCTGTCCCTAGAACTTCTCCAATAGGCCTTACCTCGGCACGCCACTTGGATGAAGTGTATAACGCCACGAAATTGCTATTGGTGAATCATCGTAGTATGCGAAGAATGCGAAAAAACAAGCGAAGCGTACCTGGGGGCCAAATTCGAGGTGGCCAATAACACGACGTGAAGTTCGTTAAACAATATTGAAAGTGGTGCTGCGGGTCGTATAAAACCTCAGCCGCAGTCCTAAGACGGTGAAATCGTCCCTCGTGCACGCCAGAAAGTTTGGGTCAAAGCAAGTACGCCTTGTGCCAAGGTGAGGTGATGTTATCTTAGGCTTTTCTGCATGTGTGCGGTGTAATGGTCGATACTGAGGAAGGTTCAAAGACTTGCGAGAAGTTCTTGTGGCGGCGAGGCTGATAAAATCATACATCGCTGTCGATGACCAATTGAGCCTCGTTGATGTTGATCATATTGTGATGTTCAAGACGTCTTCGTGGGGGCCATGCGCCAGTTTCGTCTTCGCGTTCAACTCGGAGGCGCTCGCAGCTGGGCAACTACCATGAAGCTGCTAGAGGGGTGTCCCATTGTCTACTTCACTTCAGCGCTTCGAACTGCATATCTGCATCTACAGACAATTCAAACTAGCGGTTTCTTCTTTCTGGGCATAGTGGTGAGATAGTCTGATGTTGTTTCGATTCTCGTGATGGGTACGCAAAGGTCCTTGTACTGGCACATGGGTAGGCGTATGCAGCGGGCGCGTTACTCCAGGAGTGTTCAACTTCAGATATGCAACTCGAGTCGCTTTCCATAGCAGATATATGGTGTCGCAGAGCTACTGTGAGTCGAGAGAATATATGAATAGTGGTTGTCGCGTGTAGACGGTTTCGGTGATGGCGCCCTCCGAGCGATCGGGACCGCCCGCGTATCTCCCTCTAGGCAGGGTCCAAGGTCACGACTCCACCATTCGCCATCGCGTGTCCCCCACTCTCGCAAACACGCCGCTTACCTAGGAACAAATGGGTTTCTTCGCAAACTCTACTCCTTCTTCCTCTGCTCCAGGTGACTACGGCTGAAAAGTGTTGCTCCTGATTGAGACGAAACACACCAGGCACGATGGAGGAGGCAACACACCTTAGCTATAACGGTGCGATCCAAGAGCTCCGCGTCAAGGAGTATCCCATGTTGCAGGGTGAGTTTGTGTAGCTGCTCAGTTGGATGCGTGCTTACCCTTCAGACACGACTTATCTGGATCATGCCGGCACCACGCTTTACGCCAAGTCGCTGATCGAGCGCTTCTCTGCTGATATGATTGCGAACCTCTACGGCAATCCTCACTCCGCCTCCAATGCCTCCCAACTAACGACGCGACGAATCGAAGATGTACGACTGCGCCTCTTGCAAATGTTCAATGCCGATCCTCAGGAGTTTGACGTTGTATTCGTAGCCAACGCTACTGCCGGGATAAAGCTGGTCATGGATGCATTTCGCGATCAGGATGAAGGATTTTGGTATGGCTACCACAGGGATGCGCATACAAGTCTGATAGGGGTGCGCGAGGCAGCGAAGGAGCATCGATGCTTCGCTTCGGACAACGAGGTCAATGACTGGATTGATAGTCAAGACGTTGGAGTTGGATCGGCACAGCTGTTTGCATACCCAGCGCAATCCAACATGAACGGGCGTCGCCTGCCGTTGGAGTGGGTACACCGTATACGCACGGGGAACAGAAAGCATGTCTACACTTTGTTGGATGCTGCGGCACTGGTCTCGACATCGCCTCTTAACCTTGGGAATCCTAACGAGGCCCCCGACTTTACTGTATTGAGCCTTTATAAAATGTTTGGCTTTCCCGATCTCGGCGCCCTAATAGTCAGGCAAGCATCAGCATCGGTATTCGACAAGAGACGCTACTTTGGTGGTGGCACTGTCGAGATGGTCGTGTGCTTGAAAGAGCAATGGCACGCGAAGAAGGTTGACTCGCTACACGAGAGGTTAGAAGATGGCACTCTGCCGATACATAACATCATGGCGCTTGATAGCGCAATGATTGTCCATCAGGAGCTCTATACATCATTGGACCAAATCTCGAGGCACACTACATTTCTTGCTCGGAAGCTGTACGAAGGGCTTTCGTCATTACGGCACGGGAATGGTGCAGAGGTTTGCCATGTATACAAAGACCCAGCCTCCACCTATGGGGATTCGCTTACCCAGGGCCCAGTTGTTGCATTCAATCTTCGCAATCAAAGCGGCGGCTGGGTAAGCAATGCAGAGGTGGAGAAGTTGGCTGCAATCAAGAACGTCCAACTCAGGACCGGCGGGCTTTGCAACCCTGGTGGTGTTGCCTCGTCACTAGGATTGGCACCCTGGGAGATGCGAGAGAACTTTTCTGCCGGGCAACGATGCGGCAACGACAACGATGTCATGCGTGCGAGACCGACCGGCATGGCACGCGTCAGCTTCGGAGCTATGAGTACCCTATCGGATGTCGACAAGTTTGTTGACTTTGTGAGCGAGTTCTTCGTTCAAGATTGTCAGCCGCTAGATGTGTCTCCAATAATGTCTGCCGCTGTAGAGCCACCAACGCAAAGTCGCTTGCACGTGGAAAGCCTATCTGTCTACCCTATCAAGAGTTGCGCAGGATTTAGCGTACCGCCGGGTAGAGCATGGGAGGTGCGCCCAGAGGGTCTTGCGTGGGATCGCGAGTGGTGTTTGGTCCATCAAGGCACTGGAGCAGCACTGAGCCAAAAGCGCTACCCGAAGATGGCTCTCATACGTCCCAGTATCGACCTCGAGAAAGGATTGCTACGTGTGAATTTGGCGGGCGCCCTACAGACCGATACCGATCTGCATGAGATCACTGTACCTCTTTCCGCGGATCCACGGATGTTTACAGACGAAAGCGTATACAAAGAAGCGAGAGCTAAGGTCTGCGGAGATTCTATCGAAGCCAAAACGTATAGGGCAAGCGACATATCTTCATTCTTTACGCGAGCTCTCGGAGTGGCTTGCCACCTTGCGCGCTTTCCTGCCGTTAGCAACGGGAGTGCCATCTCAAGACACTCGAAAGCGCATCTGCAGAAATACCAGAAAGCGGGCGCTATGCGAGTGCCCGGCGCCTTTCCAGAAACAGTTCCCATTACGCCCGGCGCGTGCGTTTCGAAGCCAATTTTGCTAGCAAATGAGAGTCCCATCCTTACTATATCACGATCGAGCCTCAACCGCCTGAATGAATTGATCAAAGCGGAGGGCGGTAAGGCGGCGCAAGCAGAGGTATTCAGAGCCAACATTGTGGTTGCGGAGAACCCAGCGTACCCGCCTGGGCTGGAAGACCCATATGCGGAAGACGACTGGCGCTACCTCCAGATTGGCCAGCAGTACTTTGAGATGCTGGGAGCGTGTCGTAGATGCCAGATGGTTTGCATTGATCAGCAAACCGCTGAAAGAAACCAGGAACCATTCGTAACGCTTTCCAAAACACGTCGTTTTGATGGTCGCGTCTACTTCGGAGAGCATACTTGCCATCTGCCCTGGGATGATGTGTCATCTCCCCTTCGGCAGAATCCCACCATCATGGTCGGCGATGCAGTAAGCCCTATTAGAGAGGATGAGATAGATCAGAACAGTCACCTGCAGGCCCTCGTAGGTTAAGCCGCCCAGGCGGCCCGAGGACTAACTTACGGCCCTTGTTGGAAGGCGGCATAGCTGAGTATACCTCTGGACCACACGGTCGCAGCGTTCGCGCGTGGCTTCAGATGGTATGCCGTAGGACGCGATCATTGGTCAAGTAGCTATGTACAGTGTAACAGAGATTAGACGGGCGGGACGCCGAATACACGACCATGTAGCAATCGAGACGTTGATTTAGGCAACGTGATAGGCATACGCAATCCACGGGAAGGCCCATGTGTAAGCGCTGGTAGTGACGTTTCAACGGCGAACCAGAGTCAGGTGTCTGTACGTAAACCAGGTGGCAGATGGCATGAGACGGAAGCGCGCGCGCCCTCCGAAGCAGCGTAGAGATACACAGCGGCTGCAAGCAAGACATAAAATCGTCTAATGCTCCCGCGAGGTGAGATGCACAGCTTGCATACAGCTTCAATCTATTTCAAGCAACATTCGTTCATGAGGCACGTTGACTTGCTTGCTACTTCGCCTTATTCTGACGCCAACGTCTCATCAGCTCGTCTCAGATTCTCTTACCGGGCAGACTACTAGGTCGCCACGTTCAGCTTCAGATTACGAGCTTGCCTCCCGCACAGCGACCACGCACATCACACACCCGAGAGCGACGCGGCGAATCAGGCGCACCTTCTGGCCGGTCAAAGTCTCGAGACCTGCAGGGGCCGAACAAATCACATATCTTGTTTCAGCGTTGGGCAGCGAATCGAATCCCTGTGGAGGTGTTCGTCCGTGCACGGGGCCTGCATATCCTAGTCCTCGGCGCTTAGAGAACGCTGGGACTCCTCTCGCCCAAAAATAACCGGATACGACCCATACAGCGGCCAACAACAACAGCGCATCCGCGCCAAGCTAGTGTCATAGTACATACAATAAACACTCTCTTCCCCAGGCGCCAAAGAGTACCTGTCTGCTGGCCTCGCTCTCTCACTCTTCCACTTTGCTGTGGACGAAGGCATAGCACAGCTCGCAGTAATACCGACAAGCATCAAAGTCATTCGTTCAACTCAACGGTATACTCAACACCATGGCTGCCACCGACTCCAAACCCACGCTATCTACACTCAAGACACCCATGTCTGCTACCTACCCCTCGGAACTCAGGTCGCCCATGATCACCTCTGCAACAACCCCCATCTTTGCCAATATCAAACGGGAGGATTCAGATCTCAAGACACCCATCACACCACCGACAGCCTATCTCGAGTTCCTCAAAAATTTATCACCTGTCTTGTCAAGCCCAATGTCCACTGGTACTAGCTCCAGGTTTGTCTTTGGTGACAGCCGCCCCACTTCAGTAACATCATCGGCGTCCAGTGCATCATTCACATCAACATCGGCTCCGGCAGACAAAACTAAGAACAAAGATTCGCCAACAACCTCAAGGTCAAGCAGCTGCAGCAGATGCGACACCACCAAGGATGAATCGCCAATGTCTGCACCTCCAACCAAGGTCCAGACGGTCACTATCCCACCACCATCACCTTTCACACGACCCCATTCTGCGCGGACACCCCGCCTTTACATCCCCCAATCACCCTATTCGCCCGCTGCAGTACGGTCACCAGCCAGCGCAAAGTCTATCCAATCACCGTTTTCTGCCGTCTCATCACCCAAAACCTGGGATGCGGAAAAGAAGACTAGCCGCTCAAGGCGCGTTAGTGTGCGCGAAGTTGTTACACGGACAGTGACATACAGTCGCACACCCGTCGACGCAAAAGCTCCACAGTTTCCGCAAATTGACCCCGCACCCCGCGGTAAGAGGAGGAAGGTCGAGTAGAGATGCGCGATTGTTGCGCAGACCACCGCTTCTGGACTGCTTGGCTTCAGCATGGGCAACCGTCCTGTGCTACTCCATGACCCCTTAGGCTCTGCACTTGCGCCTGGCCGTAACGCTTGCATTCCCATTCGTCAAATGTTTACCATTTTACATTATACACGACTTACACAATCCAACCCGGCCATTTCAACTAATAACTCGGGTCCAGGCGATCCGATCGCAACATTATCTTCAAACAACATCATCAATCACGACACGACATAACTACCTTATCACTCCATCACCATCCATATCCCACTTTTCTTATGTTTACTACCCCACATCAATAGAGAAACGACGTTATGGCCACGTCACTTCTCTTTCATGACCCTGTCACGGCGGAAAACATGTCTTTGGCGTTGGGGTTCACCATTACATTTTACCACATTTTACTAGCGGATACCAATATATAGCGGGCAGGAATGCGCCGGCGCTGTTTGATTGGTTAAGCGAGATCCAAGCACGGAGATTACCTCTTCGATTTACTCGAGGGATAGTAGCAGGGCGATGCGCGCGCGACGTGGTGCGTGCTGGGCGGCAAGTATCTTGCATGCAGGTTTTCTGGTATTGCAGGTGTGGGCATCTGGAACGGGCCTTGTGGTGATAGGCCCAGCGGTAAAAGAGACGAGTGAGAACAATAGCCCTTGCCGCCGCAACTTATTCACTTGAACAAGCTAGCAAGGTCAGATGGCAATGGTTCTCCACTTGCATCCAGGTTTCGAATCTGCTAGTACTAGCCAAAGGGAGAAAGAGAGAAATGAAACACGATACCTACTATCCAAACCATGTTCTCTTGCACATGTTGATCTCGATTGTCTTGCTCGACTGACTGGGGTGGGTATACCACACAACATCCCTACACATAGAACCACACACCGCTCGGTCACACCGGTGAGAAGAAAAGTCAACAAACGAGCCTCCTCTGACCATTTGCTCTATTGACAGACCGCCTTGTGACGCGGGCACGCATACCCGCCGTAAGAAGCCAATATTTCCCCAGATAACGCACGGCAATCTATATGCGCTTAGTCTGTCCAATCAACCTCCACTAGACGTTAGCCACCTTTCGTGAAAACAGGCCACATCCATCTGGCTTCTTTGTTTATTCTTTTAACCTCGGCAACAGCATGCAATCGAGCTTCGATGCATCATGACCTGAAGGTCTCGCCACTCTCTTCCGTGCCCGCCTCAATTTTGCAGAAGGAAGGGCAAAAAAAGGCGTTTTGTTACCCATTTACCGTGTATGACTGACTGTGCAGAGAGAAGCAAAGAAAGCTCAGGCCCAATGTTTCCCAAGGCTGCGTAACCTTCCCGCTTCTCCTAGCTCGGTATACCAGCTGGCGAATGAGATGAGCGAAGTGGTGTGGACAGGGATAACACAGGGGTGGGGTGGGCGCTTAACCAGGGCTGTGGAGACGGGTGGCGCTAGGTGGGCTGGGGGTCGCCGATTCTTGCGTATGGTCATGTGAAGAGGAATGGGGATGCGGATGAGGTTGCGGATGGGCTATTGAGTTTGTTAGGCTAGTTCAGAAGTGTAGTCTGAGCTAGTTATGCCCATTGATTGAAAGGCATGGGTATCTGTTGATGGGGTAGTGTGTGAAAAGTCAGGTGCGAACGAATAGATGCGAGACACACACCAGCCACACGGGAAGGACGCTGAGAATCGGGAAACGGCATCATCGCTCGCGGAGCAGTACGCCACTAATTTCATGCACGTCTGTTTTCCGCTCTCGCTGTTCGAAAAATACTCAATGTCGTGACATGGCATGTACAAGAATCCTTCGACGCGAGACACGATGGAATACATAACGCCGGAACAGCGCCGAGCCGCGTCTCTTGCGCATAATCTTCCCTTGCCTTAGCAGATACTTTCACAGCCCACATCGTACACTCCCAGCGGCACATGGCCAAGCGTACACTGCCGACTCAGCGAGAAGCGACTTACGGCGTCCCGACCGCGCTTGTTCTGACTCATGTAATCGAATCTCGGGATTAGCAAGTCGTGCCGCAAAGGATGTCATCGGTGTGCTATCATCCCAGCGCCAGCGGTGTTGCGGCATAGCACGCAGAATAGCGACGTCCTTCATATGTCAGACGCGCTTAACGCCATTCCCAAGACCATGGCTAAGGGGGAGGACGGCTGTGATGGGGCTTAGGCCTTTGGGATGGCTACGCCCCGTAGGTCGTGTTGGAGGTCCGCCTGTGAGGCACGGCATAACAACCAACACCTTCAGACTTGAGATGAGAAAACTTCCGACATGGCTATTTGTTCGGAGACTTTCTCGCATATCTAGATCGGGTAGTGCACTCGGCGGAGTAGACCGCCGCCCACCAACAGGCTCACATAAACTTTGCGCTTGTAGCGTCACATCACACGTCGATTCGACACCAACTCCAACAGGTAGCAAAGGGCGATGGGCGTGCATGTATGTTAATCACATACCTTACTTACATGCAGCGGGAAGGCTATCAGATATGCCCGTCGAACCTAAAACTGTTTATTCGCATGAAGATCGCACCATCATCGTTTTGCAAACTGTGCCTCGTTCTTGCAGATATTAGTGAAGAAAAAGAAGCGATACCGGGGCATAGGGCTGGAACATCGCATCATGAAATGGGAAGGGTGTTGTGCTGCAGGTCGAGAATCAGGCGGCCTGGTACGAAAAGAGCTACGCCTCGGCTTGCAGAAGCGAAGGAAGAGTATAGTTTATGAGTCAAAGTTTGTGGCACATGGGTTTTATCTCTCATACGTAATTTGATGGCGCCGCACAGATTATCCGGTGCTGTAGATGAGATCGTCTCCGATGACTTTGGCGAGTAGATGCGTTCAGATGAAGAGCTGGTGGAGGAGCTTTACTTGTAGGGGTTACCAGGTTTTGAGCAATTAGGCTGGTAACATCACCAACTTTCGCAAAACGATGGGCATCGGGTTGACACCAGCTGTTTGGAAACTTCAAGCTCAGGATGTATGTTCTTTCTATATTTCTGGTGGTAAGTCTAGAGTCCAGCGATAGGTCACTCTACAGTATCAGCCACGTCCTACATGCTCAAATGCTCTCTGAGCTGCGCTAACACCCCGGCAACGATCTTCTCGTTCTTACCTTCTTGCCTCTTGCTTTCCCTTGTTGCAACCTTTTCCAACTGCTTAGCCACATCCGTATTTTCCCCGGCTTGCCAATACGCTTCTGAGCGCTCCACAAACCGCACGAAAGCTTCTAAAACAACTTCTTTTCCTTCCCAGCTTTTTCCACTAAGAGCCTTGTCCAGTACTGGCCAGATAGTTTTCGCAGTGACTGGCTCGATCTTCTCGCTACCCACAGCATTAGTAATCTGTAAGACACAGTCTGCGATAGTCTTCGCAGCAGTATGTTTGATGGCCCATTGTCTGCTTTCCAGATGGTTCTCAGAGAGGGCGAGTATTTCTTTCAAGTAGAGAGAGACCGTGCGTGAACCTGCAACATGATCATCCCATGTCTCTGCGAAGCTCTTTCGGACGTTCTCTTCCGAGTCGTGCTTAGCCAGGAAGATGAATGGTAGCAGTTCCGATGCAAAAGAGGTGAAGCGATCCGTAGCGTACAAGGAGATAGCGCGCATAATGTCTGCGGCTAGCAGGCGGTTCCTGTCGCTGTTCTCTTCGGACTCGAAGTACAACTTGTTCACAAAGGCGATAGTGGAAATGATCTGCTTATCTGAAGCCAGTCGAGCAAGATAACCAGCCGCAGCCGCATACGAAGAGCTAACGGTCTCATTGCGGTCGTGAATTTGCTTCTGGACCAACTTGAGGAAGCTGTCAGCGTACGGATTGAACAGGAAACGATGTCGGGTAGCGAGCGTGACCAGAATCCTCGAACATCCCACTTTTGACGGTAGACCAACTGCGTTCTTCATCGCAGCTTCAATACGCGGCACAAGAGCGGCCATAGTATCTGCGTCTGCCAGATCTAAGCAGCGCTCTACAGACTCGGTCAATGGCGACGATCGCACGCTTGCAAGTCGCATGTCGTCGATCTTTTGCTCTGTGAGGTTGTACTTGCTAGCGTTGAGGTGTACGTAGTTGACGGCTTCGGGCTCTAAACTACTGAGCAATCCAAGCAAACTTTCAACAAGTCTTGGCACATGTGGGTTCAGCGTTTTGGCGTTACTCTTCTTGACGATTTGGAGCAACGTGTGCACCGAGAAAAGGCGTACTTCTTCAGCCGAAGATTCTAATCCAGAGGTTGAAAACAGGAACGGTATAACGCGTTCAAGCTGGATAGTTGCAGATTTGTTTGAGCCATCACCGGCTTCCAGAGAACGTGTGAGGATGCCAGTGAGGACGCGGGCAAGAGATGCTGCCGCGACACGTACGGTCTCCTTGATGTCATCGAGAACCTTGAAGGTTTTGCCCCAGATTGCGTCGAGATACTTTTCATACTATACGTCAATGTTAGCGTGCGCCATGGTTCGCACTATGACCTGCTTACCTTTTCGATGCTTCTTCCCTGCACAAGATCCGCGATAGCCGCGCAAGAAGCCTGTCGAACGCGCCATTCTTTCGTGAGTATGCTCACTAGCAGATCATCCATTATCGCATCGAAGTGCTTGTCGATAGTGGCCGAAGAGTCCTTGACAAGCGCATTCCAGATATCGTTCATCGAGCGTTGTACGTTAGTGTTTGGGTCAAATCTGAGCTTGTGTTAGTATGCCTACCAGTCTATGAGGTTATAATCGTCCGCTCAGACAGAGAACATACCGATACCGATAGAGCTTTGGATAAAGCTTAGGGTTCTGAGCCAGATATCCGTCGACACTAGAATCGGAGAAGATGTTGCTTAAGCCGAAGCGACCAAAGGCGGCTCGACTTGACCATATAGAGTTATTGGATGCCATTGACATAAAGCGATACACCAAACTTGAGTCTCCGACCTCGGCTGCCAGGTTCAGAATATCCTTATATGTTGTGATTGATCCATCTCCAGTTGGCAGCGCACCAGGCTCGAAAAGTTGCGTATCGTCTGTGACAGTACCGGCCATTTTGGACTTGTTATCCGAGAACGAGCCGACGAGATCGCGCACAAGATCATCTTTGAGTTGACGGTCGCCCTTTTCGTACACCAAGCCCAATCCTCTCGAAGCTGCCTCCTGAACGACCTCGTCGCGATCAGAAAGACAGTTCTTGAATGCTACCTGACATTGTCCAAGATAGCCTTGCATTTCAGGCTTGTGACCACAGTACTGTAGCAGACAAAGCAGCCATATCACAGAAGCTTTCTTCAACGAGGGTTTGGTTTGAACACAGCCCTTCAGTGTCTTCTCTAGAACCGCACCAAGCGTCTTCTCACGCTTGGGCCCAGTTGGTGTCTGTAGAGGCGCGTCCCATGGATTTTGCGGTTGGCTGGGATGTAGTATGTCAAGCTCAGAAGTCAGAGCCTTCGAATCCCAACCACTGGCGAAGCAGCTCAATGCTTCACCAACGGTAAAGTGTACTTCTGGCTGACGAACCTCATGCAGCTCATAGAGTTTGTCGGCGATGGCCTTGTACTCTGCTGTTTCCTCAGCTCCGGGTGCAGCTTCCTCTGTGATCATGGAAAGATGGCCCAAAGCCAGGATGGCACTGATCGTGCCTGTCTTAGCAGAATCATAGATGTGCTGAGCAATATCTTCAACCTTTGCATACTTGGAAAGTAATGAGGGGGTAACGACATAGAACAGACTGAGCTGATCGATACAAGAGAAGGCTGCACCTTTTAGTGTCGCGTCCCGAGATTCCTTCATAATTTCGACCACTGACTGCAACAGTTGCTGGATCGGATGATCGTCTGTGATTGCTGTGGGTGCTGCATGGCTTCTCCAGAATGCCCTGCTGTAGTAGTAGCCGAGGGCAAGAATTATGCCGCTGATCTGATTGATATCAGCGCCGACTGCTGACTTCCAAGTACTAAGCTTGTCGAAGAATGCTACTTGGGCGGTCTGAAGGGCGTCTTGGTTGATGCTTTCGTGAGACGCTAGCAGACCATACGCGTGGGCAGCGGTAAGTCGTCGTCCGGCGTTGTTGGCTGTGATGGACGGTTGTAAAGCGCGGAAGTCTCGGACGATGTTCGCTTGGACCCAACGACTTTGAGGTAGCAAAGACAACATTCGCACGAAGGAAGTACCAACATCGCCAGTGTCACTAATGTCGTCTTGGGTAATCTTGTCGAAACTGGCTCGCAGTATCACTGCAAGCGATCGAGCATGGGTCTTGTCTGCCGCATATGCACGGAATGCTTGCCGGGCGCGCGTATCAGTAGTCATCTGGGCGTCAAGTTTCCTTTCCCAATCTTCGGGAATCTCGTCAGCTATGTCCTTGTCAAGTAAGGCAGACTGCATAGCGACGCTGGAACAAAAGCTGATGACGACCGGCAGAGCCTCTGGACGATGCTGATAGAAGTGTTGGATCTGAATAAGAGCGTCCTCCGACTCGTCAATGTCCATGGCATCCTCATCCTGCCCTTGCTGCACGATAATGAAGTTGACCAGCTTGTCGAAGTCCGGAAATTTCAGTGTACACTGGTCGCGTTCACCAGGAGGGGTGTTGGACATCTTGAACCAGTACGGATCGAGACCACGCCGTCCTTCCTCGATGACTTCATGCCTTTCAGAAGCGCCTCCACTGACTGCAAGAATATCTATCCACCGCGCTAGCACATCCTCGTAAGGAAGACAACGATTGGCAAATCGTGTCGCAACATAACGAGTGCTCCTTGTAAATTTGCTCGAAGCTGGCGTACTGTATTGATCTACAGATGCATACCTGAGCAGTATCTGTCGAAACCTGGGCATGACAGAAGGATCAAAAGACTTGGAGAAAGCGCCTAGTATGGAAGAGAGAGCCTCCTCTATACTGACAGCTACATCTTTACCGGCCGAGTCTTCGCGAAGAGACCGAAATAAGAACTCTAGCAAGTCTAGTGACGGTTCAAGCAAGATCTTCTCGGGGGCAGCTTTGGCCAAGAGCCCAATAGTCTCATATCCATAGCCTCGCAGCTCCATGTCCTGATCGCGATCCGGAGTGGGCCAGCCTTGGTCTTGTATGAAAGCTCTCAGATTTCCCACGAGACTTTCAGCAACCTGGGAAAGATCGGATGACTTGCCACGACGAGCGACGAAGTTGACAAGAGAGAAGATAGCTGAGCGATGCTTGGAGGCTTCTCTCCCCGCTGTCTTATTTGTCGCATTCAGTTCTGGCGAGAGGAGGCCTTCTTCGACGAGCCTAGCTATCTGCTGTGGATATGTAGTGCATCTGACAGACTTTGACAGGACGTTTAGTATCCGAATCTGTAGTGGTGTCTTTACAGGCAGCGAGCCGCTAGCAGAGTCTGAGCCAAAGTAGAGTTCGAACAGAACTTCCACAATTTGCGGTTGTTCGAGGTCCTTGGATAACATCACACGTTTCAGTGTATCTTCACCGACTTCTGATATCCGAGAATTGGTATCAGCGGACGCGAACAATGCAGGTAAAAACTTCTCATCCTCCTTGAACAGTCCACTTGCCATGAAGCGTGTGACTAGAGCCTTCGATTCGGCCAAGTTCAATCCTGCATCTGCGGTGGGATCCCAAGCGTCTGGCTTGCCCTGAAGCGTCAGAAACCTGTAGTCATCTGGAGACAAGCCCGGACACCGTGGCGAAGCTTGGGCCTGGGGATTACTCTCTCGTACAATGCTCAGCATGAGCAGTTTTCCAAACCACTTCGAAAGGAAAGCCGCATCATCATCGGAGAGACCTAAAGTGGTTCTCAGCTCATCGTCTTCTTTACTGCCGCGGAGGGGAAGCTTGAAATGGACCAAAAGACGGAGGATGAGATGGAATAGCTGAGAAGCATGCTGCTCGGACTTGTCATAGTCTTTGGCGATGCCCTGTAGCAGAATGGGAAGAAGCTCTAGTCGTTCGCCAATGCTAAGCCGGGATATACCCTGCTGGATGTAGAGAATGTCAAAATGCCGTATAAGGGAGGCGTCAGGATTGTCTTTGTATTGCTTCAGTAGAGCGCTCACAGGGAGCTTGATGTCTCTGGAATGCTGCGTTAGTGCAAGGTCTTGTGTTTGGGCAAACTGGATTGCGTACTGTGACTTGATGCGGGTGTTGATGTGTTGGCATATGGAGATGACCTGGGAGAAGCCGCTATCAGCGGTGATCGAGATGGATGATGTCGAAATCTAAGCCGACTATATGTGGGTCTTACCTTATTTCGTACAGCAACGCTATCTGACCCGAGTTTGAGTAGCAGTGGAGAGAGATAGGTTTTGAGCAAGTCTTCAAGCTTCTTGTCCGAGCTAGCAAGAGCAATGCGCATCTCCACCTTGCCAACTAGAGCAAGCTCTCTGGCTTCTGGTGTTTGTTCCGACGCCATGTTGAGATGTGCTGAGGGTATCGCAATGACGAGGCAATCAACAAACGAAAGTCTTATAAGAGACGCAACAGGCAGAGGCGGATGTTGCGTGGCTCATCGGCTTCGGGAAGGATAGATGACCAAGCGATGCAGTGTGTTAGCGTATTGCCCTGTTCGTCCGTGATTGCCACAAGTCGTGTCGGACATTCACTCTTGTGAGGCGACAGGGGTCGGGCGCACGGGTACCGGGATGACGCAGTCGCAACTGCCTGCAACAATCGCATCGCGTCTTCGACGTGCTTCTAACAACGTCGACGCCTTCGCCTGTCTCAGACACCTGCAACACCGCCAGGCTAGTAACTCGCCCCCTCTCACAGCCTGAACTATTCCTTTTTTCCCACCCTCTCCCCGTGTACCAGCAGACAAGCCGAGCCGCGCCTGTCACAAGTCGTCCACTGTACCTGGAATCACATTGGTACTCAGCACCCAAACCTCACACCTTGTAGGACATTCACCGCCTCACCAAGTCGCGTCTATTCGCCTCACATATCATTGCCATACCTTTGTGCGCGCACCTCGATAGCTGTTGTCGGACTTTGATGGGTACATAAACTGCCCCACCACGGTTCTACCTCGATTACAGTCGCGACCGCCACACACAATTCCTGACACACGCTCGACGACCGAAATACCCTCTGCGACCCAATCAACGCATTCGGAATAGCACGCCACCGTCACAAAGGCCTCCACTACCTATTTCACAGGTCAAAGAGACGCAGTTCCCCACCCAAACTCAATACCAAACTCAAACACCAGAGGGCGGAACACACACACTCGCCCAAGATGGATGAGGAAAATGTTGCAAACTTCTGCGGCATCACGTCCTGCAGCCCAGAGCAGGCAGCCCAGTACTTGCGCCTAACAGATGGCAACTTGGAGCAGGCCATACAACTCTTCTTCGACTCTCCTGGACTTGCCGATGCTCCTGCTGCGCCATCACAGCCCTCAGCAGCCGCCTCCTCCGCACAGAATCCCATCAATATCGACTCCGACGATGACATGGACTTTGATTCCGCACCACAAGGCAACGCGCCGTCCACACGAGCACAACCAGGCGTGGAAGACGATGAAGCCATGGCACGGAGGTTACAAGAAGAGATGTATGGCGGCGGCGCCGCTGGTGGCGCTGGAAATGATGAGATTCGCGCGCCCATAGAACGAAGAGTGGAAACACTCGTTGGCCCAGGCTCAAACTGGGGGCCTGCCGACGACGAAGAAGATCTTGATGCAATGGTCCAGGAGCAGCTTGCTCGTCGGCGGACAGGTATGCCACAGACCTCATATATACAGTTTTCGGACTTTGCTGACCCATCTGACGAAGGCCGCGCCGGTATCTTCAACCAGCACACAACCCATACCAATGTCTGGGATAACACGACCGATTCGAGCACCCGGCGACGCGAGCTTGCGACCGCGACGGGCGGTGCTTCGGAGCAGTCTTCTAAGATGAACATGCTCGCAGAGCTATTCCGACCACCGTTTGAGATCATGTACCAAGGATCGTGGGAAAAGGCGCGAGATATGGGCAAGGACGAAGAAAAGTGGTTGCTTGTCAACATCCAAGACCCGGCAATCTTCGACTGCCAGCGCCTTAACAGGGATATCTGGAAGAATGACGATATCAAGGCAACTGTGCGAGAGAACTTCATCTTCATGCAGTATGCAAAGGATGATCAGCGTGGACAGCAGTACATGAACTACTACTTCCACGCCCGTGACAGTTCCGACGCCTACCCCCACATCGCCATCGTTGACCCACGAACAGGCGAGCAAGTCAAGGTCTGGTCGGGACCACCAATACCCGAACCAGTCGAGTTCCATGCTCAGCTTCATGAGTTCCTCGACCGTTACAGCCTCAATGTTAACGCGAAGAACCCCGTAGCGAAGCGCAAGTCTGAGTCTAAGAAGAAGGATGTCGGTCGCATGACAGAAGAGGAGATGTTGGAGATGGCGCTACAAAACAGCATGGATAACGGCAAGGGGCCGAAGGACGATGACCCAGATGCTCTCACCAAGTCTACAGACAACATCAAGGGCAAGGGCAAGGCTGAAGACGTCGATTCTGAGCCGCCAGCTGAGCCCGAGGCAGCTCCTTCAAATCCTGTCTTCGCTGCGATCTCCGCACATGCTCCTCATACCGAGCCTACCGTTACTGACCCCAAGGTCACAACTCGCATCCAGTTCCGTGGCCCGTCAGGCCGTCCCATTGTGCGCCGCTTCAACCTTACAGACCCTGTTCGCCGTGTCTACGAATGGATCAAGTCCGACGTGCCCTGGGAAGGCAAGCAAGGAGCTGAGTTCGATCTGGCGTTCATGGGCAAGAACCTTCTCGACCATGTCGACAACACGGTCGAAGCCGCCGGACTCAAGGGTGCCAGTGTTATGGTAGAGTTCTTGGATAATGAGTAGTCAATGGATGTGACTTCTAGTATCCTTGGGTCGTTGACACGGCCACCAAGTATGATGAGCTTGCGTACTGCTTATAGGCATACGAGAGATACGAATAACGAAATATGCACTTAGATGTTTTTACGCATCACCCGCTTGGACGGGATCCCGGGGTCTATAGATCTTTCTTACATCGTCACCACTTGACCGTGTGTGGTCCTATACCCTTGCATTCTGTGGGCACTTTACGTTGTAGTCCTGCTAGCTTAAGTGTTGAAATAGATTTGTTCTGAGTCTTGACTGGTACTGATTGCCTCGGGTGAAATGCAAAGCATGGAGAAGATGAGGACTACCAACGTATAAGGCCATCCTATAACCTCTCTAGCCACCTGTCGTAACCTCCGTTGCATATCATCCGTAGACAAGAGGCTAAGCGAAAGCCTACTAGTGATTCGAACTCCCATCGCCCATGTCAACATCGTCGTCTTCATCGACTTTGAGGATTTTGACATCGTCGTCTTCAGCGACTATGTCCACATCCTCATTCGGCTTGAATATCATGGGCGAATCGAACTTTTTTCTTTCCGTGCATTGTACTTCTTCCTCATTGGAGCCAAAAGTCTGCTGCTTGTCGTCCGTAACCGAGCTCATAAAGGCATCTCTGTTTCCGCTCGGTGTGAACATTGGCTCTTCGCCATGCGCATCGCTTTGCGTGCCTGACTCAGAGCCGACCATGTTTTTACCATAGATGTCCATCCGGTCTGGGTCACTGTCGTACCAACCATCTTCCTCTTCCTTCGAGTCGAATAGGTACTTGCGTTGTTCTATCTCGGCGTCGTCTGAATGGTTTACCGTTTTTTCAAGATCCCGTGGGTCGACGAAGGACTTGGATTCGGTATACCCCTGCTTCACATTATGTCTGTTGTTTTGTTCCGCTCGTTCCATGACGTGGTCAAGGTCCATCTTGGACGGAGCTTTATCGTCGCCCATCACGGAGTCCTTTTCACTTTGTGGAGGGCTGTGGTTATCGCGTGGAGAATCGTTGTCATCTTGGGTGTTCTGCCCTAACGCACGCATTGTCACATTGGACAACGTGGCTGCGGTTGTTACTTCTGCCCTTTCCCCAGTCATCTCACCGGATCCATCTGCATTAGCGACTTGTTCTGCTTCATCTAGTACGTTAAACTGTGAGTACAGCAGTTTCGCATATTCGTGGTCTCCTTTCTCTTGGGCTTCTCGCTCCTCAGCCTCGAGCTTAGTTGCCATTTCAACGTCTGCAGCATGGGCTATTCTCTCTGCTCGAACAGCTTCCTGCTTCTCTCGATGTTCGATAGGGGCGTTTTCCTGCTCAACCTCTTTGTGCTCTCCAGAGTCGTCGGTGTCAGTATTCGAGACTGTATTGTCCTCGTGCTCAGCTCTTTCCCCGACAGGAACGCCCCGGAGGGGATCCGGGTCGTCGAACCACGTGCTGGAACCGTAGTACTGTACATGCAATCTCTCGCGCATAGCCCGGTATTGTTCCCATAAACTTTTCGGGGGAGGCTCTGTATGCAAGTGTGATTTGAAATTTCCCTGAGCGTCTAGTAGGATGGGTTGGCCGGTGTGAGAGCGACCTGTTCGGGAAGTGTCTTCCGTGAGTTGCTCCTCGCCCTTCGTCTTCGTAGAGTCTTCTTCGCTGGGCGTTTGTGCATCCTTTTTAGGCTCGTCGTTCGTTGCCCAATCATTAGCTGCAACATTGCGTTCACCGCCAGGAGGTTCAGATTCAGGTTCAAGACTGGATTGCACGGCTCTTTTCAGCTCTTCTGAATCGACATCCATCTTAGGGTCATCAGAATCTGAAGCCTTCCTGTCCGCCACTTGGTCTTCGAAGTGAAAATCTAAAGCTTCCTTTAGATTGTAATTGAAAATTGCAAGCACTTCCTTGGCGTGGTCGACACTGGCGAAAGTAACGGAGCAGAAATCCCGTATAGCGGCAAGGTTGCTTTCACTCAGACATGTAGACTTGTCCTTGGCTATTGGCGTATTTTGATCTTGTTCCGCAGGCATATGTTCGTCCTCTCCCTGGAGCGACTTTGGGGACGAAGTTGAAGATCTGGCCGTATCGGATGCTTTAGAGGGTTTGGTGATCTCATATTGTATTTGTTTGATCAGATCATCCCTCTCTGTAGTCAGCAAAGCCTTTTTGCTCTCAAAAGCTTTGCTATCTGCATCATCTGGATTGTCAGGGCTGCATAAGTAGTCAAACTTGTCGAGAATCTCCCCGAATTGAATGAGAAGGCGGGTTTGCTCGTCCGAAAGTTTGTGTCGTTGCAATCGCAACCGCCGACCATGCAGCTCATTTTTGAGGAAGCAGAGGATCTCGTCATCATCATCTTTCTTTTTGAGTAACTTCAGATTCATCTCGATAGCAATGCTTCTCGCCTCCTGGCTCGTTCTCTGGCTCGCGCTAACGGCGCCTTCCCCCCATGTCTCCTCAGTCTCTGGATAGCTAATCTGATTGGTAGCAGTTGCCAGAGACTCTTCGAGTAACTGCAGGGACCTGGCGTCAAAAGTCATCTTGTTCCATGCCAATCTTGCTGTCTCAAATATGTACGACCAGCGAATTTTGTTCTGCTTTCCTGGCTGCTTGCGTACCCTGTCGAACCTGTTCCAACAGATTGGCGGAATCCTCTGACCATCGTGTACGACTGTCTGTCCGAGTAGCGATACAACCGACGCGAGGATTGGGCCGTTGTACTGTAATGCGTACGATTAGCGTCATTTCGATCACAACTCCATGCTTAACCCGACATACCGCGTCTCCTCCGTGCAAGTCAGAGTGAAACTTTACAAGATTCGCAGGCCCGTGTATGCAGTAGACAAAGTCGTGTGGAGTACGTAAGAAGTTGCGGATGTAAACGATGCAGCATGTGGCTCTGGTGCCAACTTCGTCAGATGGTTTGTTGTAAGCTTCGATCTCATCGCTGCGGTAGGGTGAGTGGGACCACTCTGCGCGAACTCTATAGAAGTTATTCGATGCGCAGTTTCCATGACTGAACTTGTTAGCTGGTGACTGCAACAGCGACGGGCATGTTACTCATCAATCCATATGTTGCACAAGTCCTAATTGAATGCGTCTTCAGTCTCTCGTGCTTTGTCGCATTTGGATGGGAATCTGCCAGTCGTCTCGGGCGGCGCCATTGCAGTTGTGAAGAATATCTCGGCGTGTGTAAGCGATAGTAACACTGCAAAGGTGGTAATGGGGTAGCTGAAATGATTAGCGATAGCAAACTATTGCCTCTGGTGAGAGTGACTGAGGCAAGAAAACAGTTACTGGAAGGTAAGCAAGTAGCCATGAAGGTACGCAACAGCATCACATGGCTGGAACTCTTGACTACTTTGGTAGGGAAGAAGGCACCATCAGCATTCGTGAGCTAGGTGCTGCGAAGGCAACAGCATCACATGGCTGGAACTCTTGACTACTTTGGTAGGGAAGAAGGCACCATCAGCATTCGTGAGCTAGGTGCTGCGAAGGCAACAGCAGTCTCTATCACAATACTCCAGTCCTCAATGCTCCTTCATGATCTTCTCGTCCCCGATTCGCTGGGTGAAGGTTACCGTTCTGTCCTTGATCCTCCAGATACCGCTTGCACCGCGCACACCATCGAAGTCACTTTGCTTCGTTTCTAGCATTACCATATCGTCCACGTACTTGCCATACGCGCATAGCATCTTGCCCTCGTGAGGACCTTGTCCGAACTGCAGAATTTAGTACTCAAATTCAAGCGTAGGTTGAATACATATTCGTATGCGACACGTTAAGTTGTCACGCAATCCAAGCGCATACACGAGACTTTGAGCGTATGTGGAATGCACCAACCGAGCTGGGATTGAGAACTGAAGCAGAGTACTTACATGAACCCCTTGGAAATATGTCACTACCCGGGCCGTCTGCGCATCGGATCTGAATGTGATGGTCTGTGTGGTGAGGTTGTGATGTGTTCGGATTGGTCCAAGGCTGTGTATCGTCAGACATCATCCTTGCCAATCTATGGAGGATAAAGCTACCGGTTCTTGATCGCATCCGTCAGTTCTTCAAGGCTTTGTATGGCTTCATTGAAGGGGTAGCTGGCTTCAACGTCCGGTACGAAGACCTTGCCTAGCAGATCGAAGTCCTTCAGATCCAGAGCCTGGCAATACCGCGATACGACGTTCTTGATGGCCAAGACGTCCAAAGGGTTGATATCTGACATGGTGTACGGTCTTGTCTTTCGTGTGTCTAGCCCATGAGATAGGAAAGCATTCAAGGATTATAACCTGCTCCTCTCGGAACCCCGCTTTAGAGAGCCGGAGCCTGTAAGGAGGGCGGTAAAGTGGGTTTCTACTCTTGGTTCAGTACCAGGCATCGCTACGGATTGTGGTATGCACTCGGGGTCCAGACGTGCTGTCCCTGTGTGTTGTTACATCACGCTACCGTAAATAACCAAGATTCACACGGAAGGACGGCGCACATATCGCAGGCGGCAAGTCATTGTGCTATCTTGGAGCGGCAAAACATGACAAGAACAAGCTGTACTATCCAGAAATATAGGTATGGCCACTGTCAATGGAGGTCATAGCGAAGTCTGCTGGTTGGCGAGAGTCGCAGACACAGAAGAGCAAAAGGGGCGGGGTTCTTGCAAGCAGTCCTGATTGGTCAGAATGACCCAGTTGCCAAATGCGGCAGGTTTGGTGCACGTGTAGATAGCAGCGCCAGAAACTCAGGTGAACACAATGTCTAACCTAACACCATCTTTGTCTGAACATGATTTTCGCGCCAACATGCTCTCAACATCATTTGCGCCCTGACGTCGTCTCAGAGCTGTAGCGGTATCTCAACTGTGGATGAATCATGTGTTGGGACAGTACATGGCGTGTGAGCCGAGAAAGGACGATGACTATGCACTCCCGATATGTCAAAGAGAGTTCGTTGAGCCTGATGCTTTTCACTCGAAGTCGCCGGAATCGATGGCTCGAGCCCCTACTTGCCCGTTTAAGAAACCTAGGTAGATGACGTACCTGCCCGGTCTGGTCGTGCCTTGGTCGTACACGGCAACTTTCTTCTTCCAACCTCCTCATATTCGCCATGCTATGTCTTTGCGCCCATGCAATCATTGACGCATACTGGACCTACGCGTCTTGCCAGATTAGGTGATGACTGAGGTTCGTTCCGCACCATCCATGTAGCAGTGGCTGCGGCAAAGACGCGTATTTCCTCCCGTTAGGATTCCCGCATGCCACCTGCATATCACCCCAGCCAGCCCCTCAAAACACATGAACGAGGCGTGATATGCGCCGACTCGCCTAAGCTTCACTCACAGTCCTCAAACAGTCCTAGCTAATCAACTAGGGTTGTTTCGTAAGCAAAGTTTTGATTAATCCGCAGCTGCTCAGACAGGTGTTTTGCTTGGTTCGGTGGAGGCACTCAATATGTTCACACGCGCCGAAGGTAGGCATCCACCACAGCACGAATACGATAGGCCTGACCTGTCACAGTGTTGCAGCTGCAGCGACGAGCATCCCCCAGAACGACGACTTTCCTTGTCTTTGCGTCCTGTATGCCGGTATGACATGGGTTTACCCCTCATGGAGGGCGAAAAACATGCAGCCAGTGTGGGGTGGGTGGGCGAAGAGGAGTCCTGTCGAGCAATATAACCATCTCTAGCGACTCGTTCTGCTCTCCTCCCTCTGTTCTGTGTTCTTCTTACCATCAATCAACAGTTTGCGCATGCAAGTCGTGGGCATGATAGCAGTGATGGATACGACAGATCTTGTTGCGAAGGCTCTCAACGCAAGTATCGCTGCGCTTGTGATACTCTTGATATCAATACTTGGTCGAATCTTTTACATGCAGAAACTGCATCCTCTTTCAAAGTTCCCAGGGCCATGGTATGCGTCCTCGTTCTCCGTCTTTGGGGCCATAGTCTCTGTATTGCACAAAGAGCCTCAGTTCTTTATGTACTTGGTAGAGAAATATGGAAGTAAGCGGCCCCCGAGTTCCCTGTGGCCATAGATTCTAACCACAAGCGTAGCGGACAGCCCCATTCGCATCTCTCCTACGATGCTGCTCTTCCCCAAGCCTTCCGCCCTCAAGGACATCTATCGGGATCCACAATGCAACACAAGGGGCGGCATGTATGACAGTGGGGCTTTGGGTCCCCCGCATTTGGTTTCTACGATAGACGGCGAGAAGCATCGTGTCTTACGCAAAGCTTTGTCGAATGCGCCATGGTCTATTGGTCCACTGAAGAATGCATGGGAACCTCGCTTCGATGAACAGGTCTTTCTTCTTATCAAGAAGCTGAAAGAACATGCGGAAGCTAAACGCACCATTTGCCTCTCCGACAAGGTTGCGGAATTTGCGGCAGACATCCTCAGCATCATCTCATTCACCCAACCCTTTGGTAGTGTCGAGAATCAGCGCGATGAGAAGTATCTATTGACCAACTGGCGCAAGGGCCTAACATTCTTCGGCTTCTCGGGAAGGTGTCGATTCTTCAGAGAAAGGATTCTGCGACTTCCTGTTGTAGGTTCCTTGCTACTACCAACTACATCCAATGATTATGGAATGGGCTGGTTGATGGGCGAAGCGGACCGTCAGGTTACCAGGCGGGAGCAGCAGAACAAGGAGAAACCATTTGATGGGAGGCCAGACTTCCTGCAGCAGTAAGTATACAACATGTGGCTGGCTACTGATCTGTACTTATCGCGTTTAGCTGCCTTGATGCCCGTTACTCAGATGGCTCTCCACTGACTCCAACGCAAAAGCGTGCTCATGTCACACTTCTCTATCAAGCTGGAGCAGACACCACTGGTACGGCGCTAGGATGTATCCTTCGACTAATCTTGACAGACCCTTCTACGCTGGCACGTGTCCGAGCTGAGCTTGATGCCGCAGAGTCGTCTGGCCTTCTATCAACACCCATCCGTTATGACGAGACCCTCCAGCATCTCCCGTTTTTTGTTGCATGCATCAAAGAAGGTCTTCGCCTCTTTCCACCGGCCCCCAACCTGTTCCCTAGAGTGATACCAAAAGAGGGTAAAGTCATTGATGGACATTATGTACCTGGTGGAATGGATGTAACCAGCCATGCATTTACTGTCCAACGTGACAAAGAATTCTACGGGCAAGATGCTGAGGACTTTAAGCCTGATATGTGGTTGCAGAGCGAGAAAAGAAACTTTGAGCTGGAGGCGGCTCAGTTTACATTCGGTATCGGAGCTAGAATATGTCTAGGCAAAGATGTTGCGAAGTTAGAGATGTACAAGGTGTTACCAGAGGTGAGTTCCCCGTACAAAGCCATGCAGGGGTCTAATTCACTGACCTGCAAGATCATTCGTCGATTCGACATCCAAGTCAAGAAGCCCGGTAGCTATGTCGTCGATGGCGGAGTGGCTTATAACGTCGACTTTCTGGTTGAGCTGACTGTTAGAAACTCTGTCTAATGAGCCTCAGTCATTTGAACGATAGTCGTCGGGTCGATCATGCAGGTTGTCAGTGTTGCCGTGAGGTGATAAAGTGTGTACCGAGCGGGTAAAGAGGTTAAAAGGCTATCCTAAAGAATCCCTTCCCCCGCCCACTCAGCAGATACCAAGCCCATCGGCCTTGCTTTTAACCATCTTTAATTTCTCCGATATGTCTTGCATGTCCCACACACGCTGTACATGCTTGTGCCAGATCTGCCCAGTATGATCGCCACTATGGAAAACAGCTATACGGGTATCGCAATCTATATAACACATGTCAAGGCGGGTATTTGCATCGTATCTCGAGATCATCAGATGGAAACCCAGGTTGGAATCGCCTCTCAACTGGGATGATGGATTAGCTATTTAGAGTCGCACACCAACTCCCATCATGGGATGCACGAACAATCCTCACAATGCATCTACTTACACTCAGTACTCTTCTTGCCTTTGGTAGCATCGCCGTATGCACGCCTCTCGACCCTCGGCAGCAAACAGCTACAGCGCTTGATGCTGCCATCAAGGCGCGAGGCCGTTCATACATCGGTACTTCTTTGACAATCCGCAATGACAACACTGAGCAAAACATTATCCGCAGTGCAGAGTTTGGCTCCATTACGCCTGAGAATGCGATGAAATGGGATGCCACAGAACCCAACCGGGGTCAGTTTAACTGGGGAAGTGCAGATGCTATCGCGAACTTTGCGACCCAAAATGGAAAGCAAGTAAGTCTTCTTCGTCACCACGCAACCTCCCATAGGAATTTGAGCTGATGGTTGGCATAGATGCGCTGCCATACGTTGGTTTGGTACAGTCAATTGCCGGGTTGGGTGAACCAAATCAACAACAATGCTACATTGATGAGCGTAATGGAAAACCACATCAAACAGGTCATGGGAAGATACAAGGGAAAGTGCACTCACTGGGACGTCGTCAACGAAGGTAGGACGATTGATGAAACAAGATAACCGAAAGAAAGTAAGGAATAGCCAGCTAATCACACAACAGCTCTCAATGAAGACGGTACAAACAGAGACAACGTCTTCCTCCGTTTAATTGGGGAGCAGTACCTTCCCATCGCCTTCCGCATGGCCGCAGCTGCCGACCCATCGGCAAAACTCTACTACAACGACTACAACCTCGAATACGGCACGGCCAAGCACCTCGGCGCCCTCCGAATCGTCAAACTCGTGCAATCCTGGGGCGTCAAGATCGATGGCGTAGGTCTACAGGGTCACCTGGTTTCTGAGCCGACTGGCACTCAGAGCGAAGTAACACCGAGTGTTGCAGTATTGACCAAAGTGCTGCAAGATTATGCGAACCTAGGTGTCGATGTTGCGTACACGGAGCTCGACGTACGATCCCGTACCCCGAGCAATACGCAGAAATTGGCGGATGCGGCAGCAGCTTGGGCGAGAATTGCCCAGAGTTGCATCAACGTGCAACGTTGTGTTGGCATGACCATATGGGTAAGCCACTTTTATTACATTCACAGTCTGTTGAACTTGGAGATCATGCGCTGACTGGTGGAACTCTAGGGTATCGCGGATCGGTATTCTTGGGTTCCGGGTACTTTCAATGGAGAGGGGTCTGCATTGCTGTGGACGGATAACTTCCAGAAAAAGCCCGCTTATACAGCGTTCTTGGACGTTTTGAACGGGAAAAATGTGACGACGGTGTAAATTGAGGGACATGCTTTGGAGGATCTGCTCGCAAAAGAGACAGAGTGCTCATACATGTGGGTTGCTAGGTAACTCCATTTTGTACATCCTATTCCGCTACTCACATAACCCCAATTGACCTCAGCATGTCATCTCTATAGTTGTGCCTCCTTTTTCTTCTAAATAGCAGCTCCATCTACAGCTGCTTACCCACCACCCTGTCAAAATGCTTGAAGCAGAATTGTCCTCCAACAAAACAAGTTCCGACCCACTTCCACCACGCTGCACTCATGAAGCCAACACCGTGCTCTTTCAGTCGCTTCATAAACATGACCGTCTCAACTGCATGCGCGCCAAAAAGGAAGTAGAACAAGCCAGCTTGGATCCATCGGCCAGCTGTAGCAACATTCTCCGGGAGTGGTGAGCCGAAGTTGTCAGGGTGGAACATGGCCGGTACAGGAGCGGCAGAGAGCGCCATGACAACGCCGCAGATGATGATGGGTTTGAGATGTGGGTGAGAAGGTGGCGTGTAAGTGTTGCGGAGGTTTTTCGGCGCCATGGTCGGTGAAGATTTGTGTATCTTTTTGGTGGCTGGACAGTTTGTTGGATCGTTATTTGATGCTATCAATGAAGGTAGTTTTTTGATCCTGAAAACTTGATGCTATACTAAACAGATCCGCAAGATGCCGAGGTACCCATTTCCGCCAAGACCCCAGCTTGAATGCTTTCTCGAGAGGACAGTCGCTCCCGGCGAGTCATCGTACAAACGTTCAATCCATAAACCTACCACCTCTATGCCCTCTACCGCAGGCTAGAGGTAAAGACACCCAGCTCATGGGTCCTTTACCGACCCTGGCCGGCTCAACTACTGAGGGTGGGGCGGTTTTCCGTATATGGCAGGCTGACATTTCGACTGTAGATTACTGGAACGGCTGCAAACGTATACTTAGCCTTGTGATTATGCAGTAGATTGCGATCACATGAAGCGCTAAGGGCCCTCTTTGGGAGCTTCGGACGCGGCGTGGAGAGTAGTGGGTTGCTAGGAGTTGGGGCCGTTCATGCAGCCGTGTGGCACGGGGTCGAAGCGGGAGAACTTTGGAAAGAGAGATGGTAGCGAAGGCTAGGGACGGCACGAAGCTCTCCCACGGTTTTGCCGAACGTCAAGGGTTGAAGCGTCGATTGCTGATGTTGTGTCATTGTGCTCTCCTTGTTCGCGTGTGAGTGAGGAGAGGGTGTGGAGTCCACAAGGAACCGGTTTCCTTTGAAGTTTGGTACCATCATGCACCAGCGCTTGGTGCGGAGCCGCAGAACGCCTTCCACAACACAGCTCTCTCACAGTCTTTACTTAACAAAGCCTTTGGAAGCTTCCAAACCTCCTGCTTCCACAAAACCCACACTAGATCCCGAATCGCAGGGAGTCTTTTGCTGTAGCAGTGACGCTGGTGTTCAATAGCTCGTTCATTTCCACCAACCCAGCCCAAGCCAACTTTACCCCTCCAAAGTACTTAGGTACCTTGCTGCAGCTCAAGGATCTCACTTTCCCTATTCCTCCCACACCTTTTCCTTTTATCCACAACATTGCATGCCTTTCAATACAACGACAACAGGGAACAACCTAACAACTTGACACCACGCGGCTCGATGCCAATATGTACCGGGTAAGTGTACCGGTGTGACAATCCACTCTCCAGCGCAAGCAACCCAGCTTTGAGCCAATTACGGCGCGCCACTTGCCACATCCCGTGCAGCAGTGCCGGTACGCTGCGCTGCGACTCGCTTTTTTTCTCGTCTAGAGATGTTCATGGATCAAGGTGGTTGTGTTGCAGCAATCGATAGAAAAGCTGTAGTTGCTTGATGGGGTAAGTGGGTGGGTTGGGTTAAGTTGAGTTGTGCAGGCATGGTGTCTTATTTGCTTGGTATAAGGGTAGTAAGACATGTGGGCAAGCGAGTTGGATGAACAAGACGGAGGACCCGGAATGTTCCGAGCACGCGTTTCTTCTGCATGCTTCGAAGGGATGTGTGGCTTTCAGGAGACTTCAGAAGAGGCGTGTCGCGGGATGTATCTGGTGGATATATACACAGATGGTGGATCGATTACGCTGCTATGATTCAGATTGTAGCACTTTGTTCTTTTTCACCGATATTACAGCGAGAAGTACCGTACGAAGTTGGCACAGTCCATTCTACATTGCACTTTCTGCTACTCTGGACCTTCATTGTCACATAGCCCCAAGTCCCTCTTATCCTTTTTTAATAAGTCGAGGTTGTTTTTCTTTTTCCCATCACCATAGCTCATCAGTTTGGTACGCGCCAAGTTCAGCCATCGTTAACCGCATTCTCCATCAATTCCATAATTTCAATGTTGGCGTAGCTACAGCCGAGTCGTGGCGTTCAAGAAGTGGCTTTGAAACTGTCGTTCGGATCGAAACAAGGCTTGTGACAGGATTCGAGATAGGACTTGTGGTAGGGCTGATATTGCAGTTTGACTGTAGTGTACGGTACTATCTCGTATCGTCTGGAAGAGAGCGAAAGGAAGGAAATTCTGACGCATCGAAGAAGGACCGCATCATGTAGTTGAGAGGTCTAAGGGCCTCCAAAATGATGTATGCGAAACAAAATCGTAAACAATGGTAGCCAGCAGGACAATTAGGGAAACCAGGGAAGACTCCCTATATAACTTGTATCATGTGGCTGAATCATGAGAGGCACTCGAGGCTCCGTGGAGCTGGAACGTAATGGGCAAACAAGAGGGCTGAAGAACAATAGTAAGACATGGGGTGGCGGTGAAGAATCTTGGAAAGGGTTTCTTGTGGCAAGCGAGCCATGCATATAGAGTCGTCAAGAGAAGATCCTACGTCTGAGCTTTGAGAAGACCGACAATCGAGAGGCAAAAATAATGAGAATCGGGAACCCAAATGAAGGACATGATTTACATTGTTCGGGCCATACCTTGGCATTAAGCCACTTCCAATGGCATCCTCGACCTATTCCCCTCTGGACGCGACAGGCAATAGATCCTCTGACACAGCTGTTGACCCTTCCAGAACCTTTCGAACTCAAAAGTAACACAGCCAATCAATACCCGATATCGCACGTTGTAACGTCTTCTACAAAATGCTTCTCCCGATAACTCCTCGTCCACCAAAGATACCATGGCACAACATTCATCTTAATCTTATGCCCTAACCAAGGCGTATCCTGCACCGTCTTGACAACGCTTTGACTCTCATCGAAAGCAGTATCGATCCTCGCACGTCTTAGAGATTCATATGCGTCAAAAGCTTCCTTGACAGGTACGCCTTCGTCACGTTTCTCTTCGATCCATTTAGCCAAGCAGCGCGAGAACAAGACACCATCTTCGAAGACAATGCCTGTAGATTCACCTTGTGGAGGCATGGCGTGTGCAGAATCTCCAATCAACATGACACGGTCGGTAGCCCATTTACCCGCTTTGGAAAGAGTGAACACCGGCCAGAGGTATAGGCCCTCTGCATCTTCAATCCAGTGTGCAATCTGCGGGTTCGCAGCACCTGAGTAGCGATCGAGCATTTCATTGCGGATCTTCTGCACATCTGCTCCTGCTGCTTTCCAGCCGTTTCGATCAGCGATCTCGGGGACTTGCATCAGTGCGCCTACGTAGATGCTTTCTTGGGCTTGGTCGTGGAAGGACGTCAACATCATGCCGCGACGACCAAAGTTCATGCCGCTGACTTCGAAATGTGTAGGCTCATAGTCTTGACTGGAGTCCATCTTTCGCCGGGGTGCAAAGCCAAAGGCATTGCATATGCCACTGTACACTGCTTTCCGCTCGGGCTCGACGTGCTTGAGGCGGGTGACGCTATGGATACCGTCACACCCGATAAGTATATCCGCCTTTGCGCTTCCTCCGTCTTCGAAATCGATGCTCACACCAGTGTCGCTTTCATTGATCTTGACCGTCTTCTTGCCGCATGTAAGCTTAATGTTTGGATGTTTCTCGATGGCAGCAAGCACGCCTTTGAGCGCTTCCCCTCTCGTGATTCTCAGAGCGGTGAATGGAGGATCACCCAATCCCTTTCCGCCTGGTCCTCTGAATGAGCTTTCTGCTATCTTAACGTTGGTGTAGAGGTCGAAAACTTCGACTGCAAGACACTCTGCGCCATAATTTTTGGCGCGGATCTCATCAAGAGCTCCGAGATGTGAAAGCAGACGTAGAGCGTTGGGTGTGAGGTTTACAGCACCGCCGATAGTTGCAGGCTCAGGCCTGATCTCAAAGATGGTGATGTTTGGTGTGGACGAGGCAGGAGCAAACTTGGTTAAGGAAAGAGCGGTCGTTAGGCCGGCTATGCCGCCACCTAGGATGATGATATCCATCGGCTTTGGGAAAGCCATAGCAGAACGCGTTGGATATATCTTCACTAGTGTGTTATTGGAAGTACTAGATGGATGGAATGTACGGCTTCAGGTGGACTAGTCGATGGTTTGTCGCTAGAAAGCAGTTGAGGCTTGTGATAAGGTTCGAGCACAAAGAGCTTTAGATATACATGTTATATCGGAGCGGTGTCCAGACGTCGGACTTAGATCCCATCTTCGTGTTTCTGCGGATGCATGCCTTAGCGCTGACTGCATACGTGAGTGGTTGTTCCGGCACGTCGAGTTCTCGGTAAAGGGTTGGGGAACCGGTCAGGTAACATCATCAGTCTAGCACGCCCGAACGGCCCGGCAGCGTGCATTCAAGTCCACACTTGGAGTTTGGTATATGCAGGGTTTCTGCTATCAGCATGGCAAGATGTCAGATAACAACACAGCCTGGGTACTACAATGTTGGTATTTCGCTACAGACCCAAAGCCACATGAACGCCGGTTCCTCATGCCTACTAACTTACAAGATATACACTGCGCGCCAACAAATTCCATGATGCATTCGAAAGACGTCTACTGCTTCTTCTGCGCGTTGGGACCCATCTCCTTGCTAAAGGCAAAGTATGAAACCTCGAGACTGGTAAGGGCTCGGATGCCGACCAGAAGGATGAGAAACAAGGGGATGATGGCAGCGAAGCCCATGAAGAGTCCGGGTGTGAAGTACTGATACTTTTCGAAAAGACCACCTTCAGTCGAGTTTGCCCTCTTGGCATGCGAAGAAAGATCGCGCTTCAGCTCCATCTGCACAGACTCTGGGAAGGATGCGTCCATCTCGTATGCGTAGTGCTCGAGCGTCTCCTTGGCTTGCGCCTCGGTCTGAGGAGTGGTGATATAGATTACGGTGTAGTCGTGGGACTTGGCGTCGTTGACGATGAAGTTCTCGAGCGTGGCATCTGCACTAGTTAGCCCTCAATCCATTGTCCAGGACGCATTGTTCCTACCATCAGACTGAAGCTGCTCGATGCGAAGCGCGTGTGAAGTCGATGGTGCTTTCAGAGTCTGCCTGGCGAACCATGTATCGTCGTCATTGAAGCCCCGTCCGCACTTGGAGACGAGATGTTGGGTGATGGCTGCGGCATCAACGTTTCCGACAACATCTGGGATGGCGACAGTCGACTTGACTTGTTGGTGGTGGCCAGCCATGTAGCGGCTCAGCTGTGGCGCGGCGCGGCCGTCTGCATAGTCGGCGGCGGAGACTCCCCTTTGCTCAACGACGACGTAGGACCTGGTGGGACAGTGTTGGAGGGCCTTGAGGACGTCGGCCGTGATGTCTGATGACTCGGCGATGGCGGCGTCGTTGTTGGGGATTAGCAGGCTGCAGCTGTTAGCTTGGAGACGTCAGGATGCGCTGCTTGTTGGCATGCGTACTCGGCGGTGGAGAAGAGGAAGAAGGGCGATGTGTTGCGGAAGGCGAGGGCCGAGGGCAGCGCTGCCAGAGCGAGGGCGCCGACGAGTGTCTTGACCATGATGTGGGTGGAGATGTGCGTGGGCGAGGTCGATGGCCGATGGTGTCGTTCGCGATGTGAAGCTCCAACGCGGCGCCCATGACCGCCCGGAACTAGCCGCCGTCTCGATTGGCCGGACCCTGGGTATGACGCGCTGGCCCATGTAAATTCCCATGCAGCAATCGTTTGTATGCTCGCTCGCCCTCTGCACTGCGCCACTGCACTCGAGTGCCCGAGCCAACGTGCCGCTCTGCTTGCACACATGAGTCGAAATTGACTCATGACTGTTAGTGTCTTTCCTCCGCCGCCTCTTCCTTCTCCAGTATAACTGCTCGCCACTGCAAAGCTTCCCGTCACAACACCACGCCAGCCGCCTTCTCTTTAACAGTTCAACGTGCCGTACATTTCCCAGAGCCCGTGATATCACTCTTTTTCCTTCACCCGAGGCGGCCCAAGGCCACAACATGTCGACTCCTACAGTTGCGCCACAACCACCCACTGCGGGCCCATCTGATGTCTCAAGAGGAGCACGAAGACGGCGGCACCCACGGAATCGAGGTGGAAACGCAAATGCCGCCGCACAGCCAGACCAGTCACAGCAAACGCAAACGCAACCAGCACAACCGTCACAACCGTCACAGAGAGGTGGCGGACGGAGTGGCAGAGGACGAGGGCGAGGAGGTCAAACAGATAGTGCAAGACCCTCACAACCAAACGCTGCCGCTCTTGAATTCGTACCCTCGTCTGTACAAGAAGCAGCGCACCGAGGAGGAAGAGGTGGGCGTGGAGGTGGGCGGGGTGGCAGAGGAAGAGGTGGCGCAGAGCGTTTCCCACAGCGTATGGCTGCTGGTGGCCGTCAATTTGGTGGTCAATTGACTGGGGAAGACGATGCAGCTTCAGCCATATCAGAAGCCCAAGGAGGATTACAAGCAGATGCACCAACCTTTCAGCCTGGCCAACCCATCGCCCCTCGCAAGTCGCGACCACCGCGTCAAAAGCAGCCGCAAGCCCCCAAATCGACCGCACCCGATATTGCCACTAGAACACACGAGGATATTGACAATGGACACTACGAATGCGCAATCTGTACTGAAGATGTCACAAGGCGCACCAAGGGTGTCTGGTCATGTAGGACGTGTTGGACTGTTTTTCATTTGGGGTGTATCAAGAAGTGGTCAACAAATGAAGGCTCGGCAGCAGCGCGACAGCAGACGCAAGACGGAGAGACGCCTCCCCCGAGGCAATGGCGCTGTCCCGGCTGCAATCTACCAAAGGACACCCTCCCCAAGAACTTCCACTGTTGGTGTGAGAAGGAACTTGACCCGCGATCAACGCCTGGCCTGCCACCTTTCTCGTGCGGTCAGACATGTTCACGACCCCGACTTCTCCCCAAGCCTTGCCCACACCCTTGTGGATCGACATGTCATGCCGGTCCTTGCCCGCCTTGCGGTTTAATGGGCCCCACACAGCACTGTTTTTGTAGCAAGAAGTCAGTCACCCGTCGTTGTATTGATACCGATTACGAGCAAGGTTGGAGCTGCGGTGATGTCTGTGGAGGGCTGATGCCTTGTGGAGAACATCGATGTGAACGTCCATGTCACGATGGCCCTTGTGGCGCTTGTGAGGTACGAGTGCCAGCGCGATGCTACTGTGGGCAGAGCCAGAAAGATATCTTGTGTCACGACCGAGCAGAAGCCAAGCACAGCAGCCAATCTCATGTCGCCACTGATGGCAGTGCGACGGTAGAGACCTGGGTAGGATCGTTCCAGTGCCTCGATCTTTGCGGACGTTCTTTCGACTGCGGGAAACACACTTGCGAATTAGAATGCCACCCACAAGATACGAAAGCACCTCATTGCCCGAGATCTCCTGACGTAGTCACACACTGCCCATGTGGCAAGACTGCCTTGCGCGACATGTCTAGCAAGCCACGAACAACATGCGAAGACCCGATACCGAATTGCGACAAACCTTGTGGCCAGACACTTGCATGTGGCCACAAATGTGAGCAGCTTTGCCATCAGGGCGAATGCCAGTCTTGCCTGAAAACCGTCGACATCTCCTGCAGATGCGGGCGCACTTCGTCTAGGACCATCTGCCATCAGGGAATAGACGAGCCTCCCCAGTGCAGGCGCATCTGCAAAGTATCCTTGAACTGCGGCCGTCACGAGTGTGGCGAGCACTGCTGTGCTGGGGAGAAGAAAGCTGCCGAACGCCAGTCAAACCGCCGCAAAGGTAGACCGTTAGATTCAACTCCTCGGCAGCCTCGCGAGAACTTCGAAGCCGAGCATATATGTACCCGGAGCTGTGGCCGGCAACTGAAGTGCGGCAACCCCGAACATCGTTGCCAGGAACTCTGTCACAAGGGCCCTTGCGGTACATGTCGCGATGCTATCTTCGATGAGCTCAGCTGCCATTGCGGACGGACTGTTTTGCAACCTCCGTTACCATGTGGTACGAAGCCTCCGCCGTGTCGCTTCAAGTGCGAGCGACCCAAGGATTGCGGTCATCCTCAACTGGACCACAGCTGCCATCAAGACGACCAGCCATGCCCCAAGTGCGCTTTTCTAACAGCCAAGCCGTGTTTGTGTGGCAAGAGTGTTCTGAAGAATCAGCCATGTTGGCTGACCGAGGTACGCTGCGGTCAGGTCTGCGGACGTACGCTCAAATGTGGGACACATAAATGCCAGAAGCAATGCCACCGGCCTGGAGAATGTGAAGACCCCTGCACTCAAGCATGCGGCAAAGAGCTCAGTGTTTGTGGCCACCCGTGCCTGGCACCCTGCCATTTCCCTCAACAGTGCAAAGAAGAGAAGCCATGCCCACACAAGATCTTCGTTACCTGCGAATGCCAGAGAATCAAGCAAGAAGCCAAGTGCAATGCTTCGCGTAACGGTGACGGTAATCTGAAAAAGGTGCTCAAGTGCGACGAAGAATGTGCACGATTGGAGCGTAATCGTGTTCTGGCACTTGCGCTCAACGTTGATCCGGAGCACCAAAACGACCATATCCCATATTCAGATGCCACACTAAACATGTACCAGCAGAACGCCACTTGGGCTGTTACACAGGAGAAGCAACTTAGACTGTTTGCTGCCGACCCGGATCAGAAGCGTCTTCGCTTCAAACCAATGCCCCGCAACCTGCGCAAGTTTATTCACTACCTTGCTGAGGATTTTGGCATGGACTCCGAGAGCATGGATCCGGAGCCGCATCGACATGTTGCCATCTTCAAGACCCCAAAGTTCGTCATGGCGCCTATGCGGACACTCGCAGACTGCGCCAGAAGTCGTCAAATCCAACAGCGTCTTGCCCCTACGCCAGCGCCAGTAACGACTTCGGCCGCTCCTTTGCGTCCTAAGCCCAGTAATACCAACGGAGATCCCTACAACGCGTTCATTATCCTGAATCCTCGCTTTGCACTCACCATTGAAGAGCTCAACCCCATCATCAAGAGCGTACTTGCTACAACATCCTTCAGATGCGAATTAGAGGTTACTTTCCTCCCTAGTGAAGCAGTGGCATTGAAGCCACCTCTAGCAGCTCGTCTTAGCATCCCAGAACATGACATGCAGAAAATGCTCGAGTCGATCCAGGCACCGCTGACTCAAGCTATCACGACGCAAGGTATCGGCAAAAATGTTCAGCTCGCACGTCTCGATTCTTCGCTCAACATACTCCGTAAGGAATCTGACGTCGGTCCTGGCTCGGGTTGGAGTCAAGTCGCAGCCTCAAAGGGTGTTCCGCTTCGCCAGATCCAGAAGACTACAGGATTCGGTAACAAGGGTGGTTTTGCGGTCCTGAGCTTGAGCAGCAAGAAGAAGAAACAAAAGGAGCCTGTTGAGGAGGTTGCGGAAAATTGGGAGGAAGCGGAAGAGGAAGAGGAGCAGAAGGAGAAGGTTAGCGGGGCCAACAGTGCTGCAATGAGTGAAGACGAAGGGGTACCGAAGAATACAGGAGAAGCTTCGGATAGTAAGGCAGCCAGCGGCGAGGACGAAGGTGCGTCAAATGGTGTCTCAGAAGCTTCGAGTAGCATGCCTGCTAGTGATGAGAACAGCGTCGCGCCAAAGGACGATGTTGCGCTCTCTACTAAGCCACTACTTGGACGCTGGTCAGAGCTGGATGACGAACTAGATTAGCTTTGATGAATGTGTACCAAGGATATTGTTGAAAGACTTGACTATCAGAGAGCAGTTTGATCTTGTTTGTCGATTGCCAACAAACCCTGCCACGTGTTTTACATTATTTCAATCCTTCTCAGCTCTATCGGGTATGTAAGAGACGAAACTGGACTCTTTTACATCGTCATATCAATTAACCATGAACGCCAGCCCGTCAAGTGTGATTACAGGCCATATTTTGTCCTTTGTCTCAAGGAACAGACGCCTAACACATGCAACAACACAATTCCCATAAAAACTCCGTTCAGTCCTGCGGTGTGGGAGCTAACCAAGGATGCTCTAAAAGTTATTCTGCTCCCTCTGCTGCCTCTCCGCCTCACCCTCGGACACAATCCTCTTGCCCAGCCACTCAGTCTGAAAGCTTTCGTTCAATTTGGACAAATCCTGGATAACCAGTTTACAAGTAGCCATAACAGCTTCCTTGGGTGTGATGGTGCCATCGGTCTGGACGCGGAGTTCAAAGGTAGCGAAGAGTGGGTGAGGGACTTTGTACGCGGCGAACATGACGGCGGGGTTCTTGAGGAGACGCTGCGAGAGGAGGTTGCCGAGGGTGTGGTCTTCTTTGTTGAAGGTGAAGACGGCGGTGTTCGGGACGCCTGGTGCGCGTTAGTCTTGTGAGGGGCGGATGTGGGGAGATGCTGTATTATACTTACGGGTCTCTGCTTTCTCCTCAACCTTTTGCTGACCTTCGTCTAGCAGGAAGAGCTCGAATCTACATTCATCACCGTGGTCAGCTTTGTGCGATACATGGCGGTTGTTTTTTGAGCTGTCGCGCAGTTCACAATTTGGGTTTTGCTCGATGAGTTGTCCGATCTTTGGTGAGAAGGAAGACGTTGGATTTCGACTCATCGTGAGGTATATCCCGTTCGTTCCTTGTGAGGCTTTCGGCCTAGAGTAGTGACTCTCACGGTATCGCACACTTTTGAGGGCGCATATATATGGTGCAGCGAGTCTTTGTGATCAGGTGCCAGTGCCATGCACTCGTACAAGTGTGTACAATTTTGTTGTTTTCACCCGCTTGTGATGAAAGGACAGAACAAACCGTTTGGATACGCAATCGATATCGCGGTGGCCTGGCATTGTGGACTGTGGACTGCGCGTACAGAGAACACTTTGCAGATAGAACGTGAGTTATGAAAGACAGGACATACCTGTCTGGCGCGTTCATGATGCCTGCTCTTTCTTTTCTGGATGCCTATTTACTCTTGCCTGCGTATATGAGAACACCTGCTGCTGTCGCAAGTGAGGAAGATGCGCGACGGTTGTAGAAGGAAGTGATCAGAACCAAATGATAAGAGAAGCAACGATTAGCGCAGTCCGATCGAGGCCGAGGGAGTCTGGAGTGGTTGTGGTGGCGTGTGGTGGCCGCTGGGGAAGGCGTTGCGGAGGTGAGGGTGGACTTCCGCGCGCGCGACGTTCTTTGTGCCTTCACCCACCGCCTTCCACGTTCGAGAGCCTCGCGTGGCTTAGTCACCATAGAGTCCGCGCCCACAGCACCCGGTATCAAGCGCGTTGATTGACCGAAATATCGTTCTCTTCAGAGTTGCTTTTGAAATTATTGCATTTGGTTTTAAACCTAGCAAGAAAAAATCGATGCTTCAGTACTTCGACTTACCTATACGGTATACAAGTCACGACAATAGCATGAGATGAGGCTGCGCTTCAAAGGTGTGATGTTTGTATCTCGATGTTATGCTCGAGTTGCATGATATTCAGAAAGCTATAGCTAGTGTAGAAGTCCATCCCCAAGACGTGGATGGGTGCCGCTCACAAGAGGCGACACAAAGAGTTTTTTTCCGTCGTCCCAACCACCTCCCAGAGCGACTGTGAGAGCGCCGTTCAACGCCACAAACACCATGCTTCCTCATGGGGTGCGCCCACCGCATTGCAAAAAAGCCTGATTTCTCCCACGCTAGAAGGATACCGCTAAAGGAGGAACATTAAAATTATATACAAGGCAACAGTGTTAGAGCCTCACGGAGGCTCCCTTTCTGCCGATCAGAATTCCTAAGACCGGTTGATCTGCGCTTGCTGCATACCCGGACTTTGTTGCATCTGTGGATTCTGAGGCGTGGCGCTCCGACTAGGCGGTCGCGCGTTTAGTCCAGGACTACCGCCCTGTTGTCTTGCCATCAGCCGTTGTTGTTGGACCAGTTGGGCCTGATAATTCTGTACCGCGTTTGTTTGAGGAGCGTTGGCCATGCCCCCGTTCTGTTGGAAATATTGATTGTTCTGTATCTGTGGAGATGGAGATATGCCTGGGGATCCAGCTGCTGCGCTCATTGCCTGCGTACGTTGCTTAGCCAGGTAACGGGTGAGGTGATCGGAGGCCTGTTTGGTAACCTGTTCTGGGGTCCATTCCGGATGCTGTACCTTTAGCTGGTTCTGGAATGCCAGTAGCTGAGGCATATGCCCGCTGGATAGCGGTCTTGAAGGAGTTTGCATGTTTCCGTTGCCCTGGTTCATTCGTGGAGATCCAGCAGCGTTTGACATCCCTTTCATGGAATTGTTCATATTCCCGTTCATGGCGCCGCCGTTCTGGTTGGGAACAGGTGCCATCATGTTTGCGTTGGGGATACCGTTCATGCCCATGCCCTGTGTAAGGTTGCTAGCCATATTGATCTGTTGCTGTTGCAGTTGGAACTGATGTTGTTGAGTGGCGTTAAATTGACCCCTTTGCATAGCCATGCGCATCTGATCAGGTGGGCCCATGCGCTGAGGGTTCTGCATGTTGCCCTGCATCTGTGCTTGAGGAACGCCCGGTGTGCCCATCGACATGCCAGACATATTTCCGTTAGCGAAGTTGGCTTGCATACCCTGTTGAGACTGGTGCGGTCGCGCTCCCATCGCGGAGCCGTTCTGTCCCTGTTGCAAAGGCGGATTAGCCATTTGTGGAGGAACGTTGTTGGTGCCTCCAGGTGTCCCGTTACGCTGCATCTGATTGACACCATTTGCCATTCCTGGTTGCGCCTGTAGTTGGGCCTGCTGCCGTGCCACCATTTGTTGCTGTCTCAAGTCAGAAATGAACGAATGGTTCAATTGTCCATCACTTACCCTTGCCATCATCTCCTGCGCAATGTGCCTCTGCTTGAGCTTCTCTTCGCGTTCCCACTTGAGACGGCTGAATTCTTGCGGCGTGTGGACATTGTTCTTGGGTGGCGCAGGCTCATGGGCTTTCCGAAGCGCAGCAGCCTTCTGAGATTCCGCTTGCTTGTGGGCAGCAGACTCGCGTTTCCTAGCCAGTTTGCGCATACCATCGATGATGGCGAGATGACGGTTTTCTCTCCTTCTCTCCACCCGTATCGGCGTGGTTGTAGGTCTTCTACGCGGTTGACCTGGAGTCTGGCCTTGTTGCTGCTGCTGTTGCTGTTGAGCTTGAAACTGGGCAAATACAGTCTTGTTGGCCTGCTCCAGTCGGCTCTGGTAGGTCCGGAAGTACTGTGTCTTGGACATCTCGGCGGGAAGACCTTCCAATTGTACCCAGCGCTCGAAGCATTCCCATGGCGTTCGTCGACCTGACCCAGATACAAACATCGAAGGTAACGACAGTTGCTGTGAAACAAGAGACCAGTTGAAGGTATACTCTTTCACCAACGCCCGTAGCTTTTGGTCCTCTTCCCATAACCACTGGGAAGGCGTGCGATTCTCGAAGAAGGCGATCGTGGGCATGTTGAATTCTGTAGGTGGTCTGAACTGATGGGCTGCTTGTAGTCGGTCGCGGACATGCTTGTTTTCGGCATTGAATAGGGCAACGTTGGTCATCTCTGGTGGCAAGTCGTTGCGACAGAATAATCGACGACCAGGTGTGGATGGCATTGAATGCTCGGCAGACGTACCAGATCGACTAGGTGGCGAAGACGGCTCATCTTCGGAGTCGTAGTCATACCTGCTACGCTTCTTAGGCGGACCTCGTATCTGAGAGACGAGCTTTCCTGTAACGAACTTGGACACGGGGAGGATTGGGGGCTCCGATAGAGAGAAGGGGCTGGTGTCGCTAGAGCCTTCGAACATTGGGTCGTAAAGAGGCAGTTCTCGGAACATGGTATCACTGGCTGGTGTGCGATCGATCTTCATGACGACGTCGTTGAATCCAAGAGAGAACAGACCTATAGGAGGCGTGGCATTAACGGGAGTAAGGACATCGTCCTCATCACCGTATGACTCACTTTCGGTCTCATGCGTGCTAGAATGGACGAGATCTGGCGTGGGAGCATCGTTCATATCCTCATCGCTGCTTAAACGTCTGGCACTCTTCGGAATACAGGTGTTGACTCGTAATGCTGCTTGCTCTTCAGACGTACTGCTTACGTACTCGGCACACCATTCTGCAAAGGTAGCAGCGAGGGCCTTCTTCCATTTCCTCTCCTCTTTGAAGTCCGTCTGCATCCATTTCATTTCAAGGAGTACTTGATCCTGATGGGTAAATGGACGCTCGGGTTCGACTGCCTTCTGGAGTTGCCGTAAAGACCAGCGGTTAGCATTTTGCAACTGGTACACTCTCTTCAGGATCTTATAGTCTTGGTGCTCCCGAATCATAGCAAGCGTGCCAGCGGTCGATACTGTCTTCCTTGCAGATGCCACAAGTTCCTGCAGAGGCACGGACCTAGGTGGGTGGTGAGCCTGATACTTGAATAGGCCTTCCAGATAATCTCGACTAGAGTCTTCCGAAGCACCTTGGAGCGAAGCATAGTCTTCGTTGTAGGATTGCAGAGCTTTCGATGCCTTGGTCGGTGTCTTCTTAGCGAATACGACGGTCGAGATCTCTTGAGATTTCCGACGCGCAGTTCGCGGTCGTGGAGGACTAGTAGATGCCGAGAGGTTGCTTGAGCGAGGAGTTAGCATGTTCTTGGGAGCCGCCTTCTCGGCGATGATCTCAGAGACAGACTTCTGTCGAATTGCGCCAGAAGCAACACGGGTGGTCATTCGCTCAGAATTGGGCATTGGAGGTTGCGGTGAGGTTGTGGACTGTGCATCCAGGGAGGGTACGTCGCGCATTTCGATATCAGTATCAGCAGGGGGAGTTGGGTGGTCGGCGGTGGGAGACGTATGTTGTTGGTTAATGGCTTGGTCGGCGTTATCGCGATCCATGGTCGGAGGCTCCGCAGCAACTGTGGTTGGCGTTGGCAACGAATCAACCGCAACATCATGACCAGTCTTTATCCCAACAGCATCGTCCCCTTCTGTTTTTGTCCCATGTGGAGCGTCGTCCACGCCCTCGGTCAAGGAATGTGCATCTCCGGCGGGCTGCGACTCGCTTAGGCGACTCTTCCCGTCGCGAGCTAAACGTATTGCCTGTTCGTCCTCAATCTGTTTCTCGATATCGGGTGTAGGGGAGTCTTCTTCTCTTGCTCGGGCGTTTTCTCTCGCCTCCTTCATTCGCTTCTGTAAGGCACGCTCATGGTCATCCTTTACTTGCTGCGCCGCGGGATCAAGGACATCGTCGTTTGGCAATGGTACATTGTTGCGCTCTCTGTAAGTCTCGGAGTCAGGACTGGTATCAGGCGAATGGTGTTGCGCATGCGGTGTCGCTTGAGAGTAAGGCCCGACGGTTGACGATGGGGAGGAGACATCAATAGATGCGTTCGTAGGTGGAATAGTGAGTCGTTCCTCTTCTCTTCGCTCCTTCTCTGCAACCTTGTCCAACTTCGATTCTGTCTCCTGCAGCCTAGCCTCTTGAACCTCTTTTGGTGGTAGATGCACGACCTTTGATGGCTTTGGTTTGACATCCGTCGTGTCGTCCATCGCAGCAGCGTTCGTGTCTTCGGTAGTTGGCGATGCAACAGCACTAGGGTCAACCGTAGATGTGTCGGTGGGGAGGTCATCCTGGCTTCCTACAGCCTGAACTGCAGGGGCTGCTTCAAACGAAGTCTGGTTAGCTACCTCGTCTTCCACCATAGGGGATGCAGCACGCGAGGCATCCTTGACGCTAGGGGTGACATGAATGGTATCACTTTGCAGTGATGGTTCGACGGACGGTAAGGTTTGCGTCGCAACAGACGGCGAAGCAGAGGCGGCGCGAAGTTGATCTTCGAGGCTTGGGGTGCCGATAACTGGTGATGGTGACGACTTGATGAAGGACTTGGTTGCGTTCTGGAATGGCAGGGTGGCAGGGAGTGGTGGCTGATGGTCAGCAACGGCCACTGGGAAGGGCAGTGTTGCATCGTTGAAGCGTTGACCTCTGTAGACGCGACCGTGTTAGTGGAACGAACGACGACGACAACAACACCAACATTGGGAGTGGATATGTCTGCAGTGTCTGGGCGCGGTGTATCTTACTGTGAGATGTCATTTTCGTCAAGAAAGCGACGTTCGTCCTCGTCAGGTTCGCCATAGACGAAGTCGTCTGCCCTCGGCTGGTGCCCGTTCAGAGCGGCATTGCAGCAGCCCGTGACCTTCCAGAGTGCCCGGAGATGGCGCTCCAATGTTGCGGATGTGAGTCTGGGGACATATCATTAGCACCACCACAACGCGTCAACAAAACAAAACGAGCGATTTTTCCGTGTCGCATGGCTGCATTTAGTCGAACTGATCGATCAAACTGCAAACGCGATGGATAGTCGTCGACTTTGACTTACGCGGCTTCATTTGTCTTCTCCTGGCGTAAGGTTTCCCGTAAACTGTCGAGGGACATATGAAGACCGACGAACGGTGGCCGACATCCGTTATCCACGAGTGCCGCCGTTGTGATGAATTATGGGGGATGTTAGACGCGTTCGTTGATGGAAATGTGTTTTGCGATATGCTGAACTGATGGGCGGGACTTGCGAGAACGTGAGGGAAGGGCTGCGCACGCCGCATACAGGGATGGCCGTGATAAGCCCTGCCTAGTCTGGGTTCATTGGGCCAACATTGGGGACTAGCTCCACCCGGCCTAGTCCTGCCGTCTGCATCAAAAACTTCTGGATCTCCAAAGACGCGACAACTGAATAAAACAACAGCGAATCGTCAGAATGCCACCAAAGAGGAAGAGAGAAGCCGCCGAGAGCGCCGCAAAGTCAAAGGCACTGAAAAGCACAAAGGAAGCAGTTGCCTCAACCCCAAAGCAGCCGGCTACCAAGGAAAATGCGATCCGCAAGAGCAAGGAAGCTGCAGCCAACGGGAAGATGGACGTGAGTATGAGCAAACTTCAAATCGATTCCACAACAGAAGTCGAAGATGCCGTTCCTGATGTCACGACTGTTCAAGTTATAACTGGCTCCTACGAGAGGGTTCTACATGGATTCGCGGCTGCTCTTCCCAGCAGTCTCTTCACTGGACAAGACGATGCATCGACACCTGAGGCAGACAGGCCAAAAGTGGATTTTACCGACACATTCCTTTTCAACGCCCATGCGTCTTCCATCCGCTGCCTTGCTCTGTCTCCTCTTTCAAATGAGACATCTAAAATCACACTGGCCACAGGCAGCACCGACGAGCGCATCAACCTGTATTCCATCTCAACAGCACCACCTGTCGCCTCCAAGCTCAGGCCAAAGCTGCCTTCTCTACATGGTGGCTCCATCACCGAGAACCCCAAGAACAAGGAACTCGGCTCATTACTTCATCATTCATCAAATATCACAGCCCTCTACTTCCCCACGAGGGCAAAGCTTCTAAGCTCCGCAGAAGACAGCACAATCGCTATCACAAGAACGCGCGATTGGACCGCACTTTCAACCATCAAAGCGCCGATACCAAAACCTCAGGGCCGACCAAGCGGAGACACAGCCGGACCCGGCGAAGTGCCTTCTGGGATCAATGATTTCGCCGTGCACCCCAGCATGAAGCTTATGCTCAGCGTAGGCAAGGGCGAAAAGTGTATGCGGCTCTGGAACCTCGTAACGGGAAAGAAAGCCGGCGTGCTAAACTTTGACCGCAACATCCTGGCTGCAGTAGGCGAAGGGCGCTTTGCGTCCGGCGAGGGTAGGAGGGTAATCTGGGATAAGGAAGGCGAAGAATTTGCAGTGGGCTTTGAACGCGGTATCGTTGTTTTCAACATTGAATCCAAGCCAAAAGCAAAGATTGCGCCAACTCCGAGGACGAAGATCCATCAAATGCACTACTTGCCGTCGGAGTCGCATCAGGCCACGCTACTAGTGTCCACAGAAGATGGCCGCGTACTTCTCTACGACACAGCCACCACAATACCAACCGAAACATCAGAAAAGAACAAGGACGATGTGCCAGCTGCCAGATTAGTCGCTCAAATTGGTGGCCCAGCTGCAGGCATGACCAATCGTGTCAAGGACTTCGAAATCGTATCTCTCTCGCAAACAAGCTTCCTTATCGTCACTGGTAGCAGCGACGGCACAGTGCGCTTTTGGTTCTTGAGTACGGATGAACTGAAGAATGACGATGCGGGCAAGGCAAAGGGCTTCACTGCAGTTCAGGTTGGCAAACTGCTTGGGTCGTATTCCACAGGCACCAGAATCACATGCTTGAAGGCTTTCTCCATGACTGGCAAGCCTGATGCAGAGGAGCATGAGGAGGTCATCGAGAAGGATGGAAGTGCGTCAAGTAGTGAAGATGACAGCGAGTAGAACACAGTTGCAGTTGTAGCATTAATGATACCACCCTGTTCTTGCGACTTGATCATATCGTATCAATCTGAGCAATGCGGTATACTTTCATATTCACGTCCCATCTTATGCTTCAATCCACCATCCATATACTTCCCTCCTTTCTACAGATTCATAGTAACAGTCATACTATTACTATGTACCAACAGCACAGGCGGCAACCCCTGACATAACACCTCCAGGTCACTAATATACTTGACACTCTCAGCCTCACTCTCGCACGTGCCCTCCATTGGACTGGGTAGCGTCGTAAACACTACAGCCGTGTCCTCGGAATGCTGGCGTATGAGCTCGTTCAAGATAAGATGTTGAGCGCGACAAGGCAGGTCGTTGAAGGAAAGAGGAATAGCTTGTTGGGCGGGGAAACCAGATGCTGGGGAAGCGGTAACGGTGTCAGTGGCCCCAAGGTTTGATGATGAGGCAGCGGCCGAGTGGGGACTAGATGTGGCTGCTATGTTGTCTGCAGCGAGCTGGGTAGGTTCGCCGGAGGTCACGATGGGGTCTTGTCTGTCAGCTGTGCTGGGCTTGGGCGTGTCGACAAATGTTATTGACGGGCCAGTTGTTTCTTCTGATGAGATCACCGTCCGGGGAGTCGGGTTTGACGTGAATTTTGGTAGAGATTGCCGGCGTGTTGGAGATGGCTTGGCAAAGGATTTTGCAGAGCGTTGCGAGGATGAACTGGCTATACTCTGAGATTTGGATTGCTTTCTAGCACGCAACACGGCCGTATCAGAGGCAGCGGCGTCTGGATGCGGCCTGAGTGGTGTTACAGAATGTGTGGTTGGCCTATCATCTTTTTGCGAATTACTGTCTTTGCGCGAGCTCTTCCACATGGTTTTGCGAAGATCTAGCTGCCTGGTGAAGAAAGAGCTGCTTGGTGCCGTCTTTCGTCTTCTTGGAGACATCCTCTGCCCGTTGTGATCGCTCTCATCACTCGATGCATCCAGATCGTATTCGTCAAAGTTGCTGCCGCTGACGACAGCCTCACTATCTGACGCCATTGCTTCGTCATCGGCATCATCCTCCTCTTTGCCGGCTGAAGATGGCTGAGTGTCGCTATCGCTATCATCCAGTAGCTCGACAGGTATTCTTTGGCTTTGCATTTTGATTCTCGTCCCATCACCAAGATTGCTGACCGACGTCCTACTTTTGGCCTTACGTAGCATCTTCCGTAGTGCTGAGAAGCGCTTTGGATTTGTCTCTTGCCTGCCATGTTGAAATGAGGCGATAGGCCAGTTGGTGACAGCTTCAAGGATGTCAACAGTCTGTGCTAGTTCCTGACTAGCGCTCATGCTTTCGGTTTGACGCAGACGTTTGATGTCTTGCCACCAGCGCTCGTCTTCCAGCGAATAGTCGATATCACGACCAGTCTGGTCAAGTTCACCATCGTCTCTTCCGTTGATGATGACTTCGTACATGCTCAAGTCACCAGATGATAACCAGAAAACATGTACTTCAGCCTCTAAATTCGAGTGTAGAAAGTCAGTACATGTCTCACATGCAATTCCTATAGGAAGACTTACCAATGCGCAGGTTACGTAGCAGTGTCGTGACGCGATCTCGCTCTTCTTCTACATCCGTTTCGTACTCAACAAAGACGCAGACTCTCAACTTATACATGCGTTTCCAAGAAGGCACAGTATGTAAGATACATCCGAGCTGGAGGATCAGCGTGTACGTGTCGAAATTAGTTGTCAGCACATTTTTGCGAAGTGGTTCGTCACCAGCGGTAGCGATCTCAGCTGACATCTGTATCGGCCACAGATCAATATACTTCTTTGAGGGATCCTCGATCTCGATATCGCTGAGACCCATGAATTTGAATGCTTTTTGTTTTGCGGTCGGCTTTGCAGGTGGCACTTCGAGTTCTTGAAAACCCTTGCCTATAGCGACGTTTGCTTGCAATCGCAGAATCAGATCTTCGATTACGGTCACGTAGCTGCGTATGGCAACTGCACTCTCCGGCTTCATGGCGTCTGTAGGAAGCATACTGTGAGTGTTTCCTGTGACGCGTCGCCTGGCTGCTGCTTGAATCGCTTTTCGGGAGACAGGATGATTTGCAGCCTTGCTAGACGGTCGTGATGGCTGCGGCGAAGGTATGCCAATTGAAGGCTGCGCTTGCCTCAGCTCAGGTAGATTGTAGAAGCCCATGACAACTATGTTTGGTCGCATTCCACCCAGTCCTGCACCGAGTACGAGATTGCGAGCGCCCCATTCTACAGAAGGAGATATAGCGATGTTTACAAACGCTTTGATCCTGGAAAAGTCTATGTATTTCGTCCAAGATTGTTGCTGTCGTCTGGCCTCTGGCACAGCTTCACCAAAGTCGTTAGAGACAATGACGTGCCCGAGGACAAAAAGGCCTCCCTTTTTCAACGAATTGCAAAATTGAATCAGCTTGTACTGTCTTCGCGGGTCGTTGACAAGAAGCAGGATCTGGGGTCTCCAGAACTTGACATGTTCTTGGCGAAGGCGCAGCAGGTATTTTCGCACCTGGTGATAGATGAGACCTTGACTGACATCACCCCATGGCTTAGGAGGTGTGGTATAGTGAATCAGCAGGAAGATGATCATAAGTAGAGCTACACAGCCAGATGCATAGAAGCCGTCGACGAAGAACATGGTCGCTCCGCATGCGACAGTCCCAATCAAAGCTGTGGGCCAATTGAAATAGTGAAATGAGGGCCGGAAGTTCGGAGCAGATCCGATCTTGAGTAAGAAACAGGCCAAGTTGGTGACTAGAAACGTCATGAGATACGTCATTGTGATGAACGAAGCGATTTGGTTGATATCGGCAAACATTGTGATTTGAGCAATGATGAAAGTGATGATGATGGCGTAGATCGGCTCGTCCGACTTCTTTGTTCCTTGACCAAAGAGAGAAAGTCCCGGGATCAAATGGTCGCGAGCAAGAGCCTGAAGAAGTTTGGCGGAGCCAATAACACCCATCAGCACCGAGAACAGTGATGTTGCCATCTCGCCAGCAAGTACGACTGCGCCGGAGATGTTGGTCAGCTGGATGACGTTTGTGTTGTTGTAGAAGGTTTCGCGTGCTATCGATGCCGCCATCGCAAATATGACGAGTGTGTACAGGATGAAGGTTAGACCTATACCATATAGCGTCCCCTTTGGAATGGCTTTGCTTGGATGTTTGAGATCCCCACTCATGCTTGCGCCGGCAAGAATGCCTCCTGTGGCTGGGAAAAGAATACCAAAAAGATCTTGGAAATTTTCGCGGTGACGACCAACACTTCCAGCGGCGCCTCGCGTGAAGTGTGGGAGCAAGTTTTGACGGAAAGTATCCATACTGAGGCCTGTGAACACAATTTCCTCCTTCGGATTTGTGAAAGGAGGCCTCACAACAGCTGAAAGAGGGATGCTGATCGTTGCAACTAGCAGAACAAGGAGCAGACCGTTGCTGCAACGGGCAAAGAGTCCGCTTCCAGCAAGACAGATCAGTGTGCATACTGCCAGAACTAGGGTAGCCCAAAGGAACTGCCACCAATAGCTTTGGGGCAGCCATTCTGCCATGTCACCTCCGTGGCTGCCGAAGTTTTCGATGAGACAGTCGATGAGACCAACAGCGTTTAGGGAAGTATTAAAGACTGAGCCAAGATAGTAGACGATACCTATCGATCCACCAAACTCAGGACCCAAGCTTCTGGAAATGAGATAATATGCTGCATCCTGTGTTAGTTCAGACAAAAAGAAACTGTCCAGAGTTGAGCTTACCGCCACCCCCTCTAACTGTGCCGTTTGTAGCAACAGCAGAGATACTCAATGTCGTCAGGAGATTGATGGCATAGGCCGCTAACAGCATGCCCATCATACCGATCAAGCCAGCTTGACCAAGGAGGAAGCCAAATCGTAGAAACATTAGAATAGATAAGACGTTGAGAGTCACGGGCACGAAGACTCCAGCAAAGGTGCCTAGTTTGTCGGTACCTCCAACGGGTCTGGGGAAAGCACCAGGTCTTGGTTTGGTAGTTTCGCTGACTGCATGTCGTTTGCTGTCATTACTGTGATCCTTCCGCAACATGGATCGCGAAGTGTGAAGGAAGCTTGAGAACCAGCTGCTCATCCCATCTCGGGTGTTTCCTGTCTCTTCAGTGCCATCCAAGATGTTGGCATTATCTGGATGCTGGCGTCCACTGCCTGGCAGAAGTGGTGTTTCCTCATCGGGTGGCGGTGAATGCTGTACGAAGGAGCGCCTGTGCAATCGTTCACTATCATCTCGTGCTGTGCGGGTTGCAAAGTTGGAGCGTGTTCTCGGCAGGGTGAGCCTGGCCGTCTGGTTCGCATCCGCATCGGTCATGGTCTCGGCATCTGCGAACCTGGTTCAATGTTCCTGGCACGAGATGTCACTGCGGTTCCGGTATAGCCGTACACACGGGATGCGCCAGCTGGTTGTGGATGTTGGTTTGTGAGAGCGAGACATGGACAGGACAGCTGGGAGAAGTGACAAGGAAACAGTACCGAGGAGCGATGACGCTCCACACACATCGCCAACATCAACTCGTCTGCTATGCTTCACTTTAGCGGCTTAGCGCTCGCTTCACAGGGAAAGATGCAGGGCTTAAAACGGCGTGACATGGTCATCCCGCGCGTGGGGCGCCACATCTCTCCGGCGAATCGACGAATGACCTCAACCTCTCGGCACAGGCCTCGAAGCAGCCCGTCCCAGCTTTCGTTGCTTCTTCTGCGCGTCTCCCTCTTGTTGCTGTACATATCGCGTAGCATCTCGAAGCCTCGCGGTATGCATCTACTGACACTGCCATCTACACCACCTCTATAGCTTATTTTCATCCCCAAGAATCCTGTCGCGACGTTAGACGCAGATAGCCGAAGCTCGCGTTTCTTATCACAGAGCTCAACAGCACACGCAGCCCAACATGCCGGGTGAGCGTTCGGCTTCCACGAATCCACAGGCGGTGCCGTCGTCGCGAAATTCTGGAGGAAGCTCTCCGTCACAGTCTGTTCGCGCAGGCTCTCTCGCGCGACTGGGCTCGCCCATTCCTTCCCTACCCAGCGGTACACCTGCCGTACGCCAAATACCCACACCTTCCCAAACCGCCAACTCGTCGTCGATACAGACTCCTCTGCCCGGACGCGCAGATCCACAATCGTCACTGCCCGGCCCATCCGAGTCAAACCTCTCTTCGGCTTTGAAAGAGTCTCTGGGCAATTCACCCCCACGATTCGGCCCACCTCCAATCCGCCCGCTCTCACCCGCCCAAGAGGCGCCTCCTCGTGTCCCACCTAGTGATTACGGTTCCTTTGATGGCCGGGGTCGCTCTCCAGTGCCTTATGAAGATGCCGAAATCGTGCGCCGACATCTGGTAGGTCACTATGCCTCACCAAGCAGATCAAATCGCGGACACATAGGCGAAGATGACGCCCAGTCAACCGGAATGAGGCCCGAAGAGGACGAAGAGCAGTTCTCGAGCTTGCAGCTTCAAGGAGGTGACATCACGCGGCAGATTTACAGATGGAGTGAGCAGCAACAAGCTGAAGAACAGGGAAAGTTGCAGCGTAGCAAGAGCTTCCATGGATCTCGGCGCAAGCCTGAGGACGAGGCACTAGACATTGACTCCATCCGCCAACCAGGCGGCTTCAGACGAAACTACCTGCGTCGGGCTGCGGATAGTCCCTCGCCTGGTCCGGGCCCATCTGGATACGGAACAGTTCGCCAGCCGCGCCAGCAGCCTCAAGTCTTTACGAGCAATTTCCTTGAGTTCCTAACTCTGTACGGCCACTTCGCTGGTGAGTCTCTCGAAGAAGACGATGAGGTCCTGGGCCCAGACGAATACTTCTCCTCTGATGCACTCGATTCTGGTGCACAAAGCGAGGATGAAGACCGCGAGTATGGCGAGTCAAGCGCACTGCTCACTCCTGGAAAACGGAGGAAGCGCAAGGCGAAGAAGACAGGTACCGGCAGCCCTACAGGTGCAGCCATGCTACTCCTCAAATCCTTCGTTGGCACGGGTGTTTTATTCCTTCCAAGAGCCTTCCTCAACGGCGGTATGGCTTTTTCGAACCTGGTCCTTCTTGCTGTGGCAGGACTCTCCTATGCCTGCTTCGTCTTGCTTGTTTCCACCCGCCTCGTGGTGGAGCACTCGTTTGGTGACATGGGCTTCCATCTCTACGGAAACTGGATGCGCAATATGATCAACTCCTCTCTTGTCGTCTCGCAAATAGGCTTCTCATCCGCCTATATTGTCTTCGTTTCTGAGAACCTGCAAGCTTTTGTTCTCGCGGTGTCCAACTGCAAGACCTTCATCGACATCAAGTACATGATTATGATGCAGATGGTCATCTTCTTGCCGTTGTCGCTCTATCGCAACATCAACAACATTCAGAAGCTCGCATTGGTGGCAGATCTCTTCATTCTCATGGGTCTTGTATATCTGTACTACTATGACCTCTTCACCATCGTCGACCAGGGCGGCATTTCCGATATCGTCAACTTCAACTCCAAGGATTGGACTCTCTTCATTGGCACTGCCATCTTCACTTTCGAAGGTATTGGTCTTATCATCCCCATCCAGACGGGCATGAAGGATCCAAAGAAGTTCCCCAAGGTCTTGGGAGGTGTCATGATCATCATCACTGTCATCTTCCTCAGCGCTGGTGCCCTGTCCTACGCGGCGTTTGGATCCAAAACCAAGACTGTGGTACTTCTCAACATGCCTCAGGATAACAAATTTGTCAATGGTGTCCAGTTCATTTACTCACTCGCCATCTTGCTATCCACTCCGCTGCAGATCTACCCTGCGATCGAGATCACTAGCCAGCAGCTGTTTAGCAGGACAGGCAAGTACAATCCGTACGTCAAGTGGAAGAAAAACTTCTTCCGCTTCTTCGTGGTCTTGGTGTGCGCCTGTCTTGCTTGGGCTGGTGCGGGCGATCTGGACAAGTTTGTCAGTTTAGTAGGCAGCTTTGCCTGTATTCCGCTGGTCTTCATCTATCCCGTAAGAATCTCCCCTGCTTCTTCTCAACTCACTACTAACAAAATCCAGCCTATGCTTCACTACCGTGCTGTCGCACGAACAACAACTGCACGTGTGCTGGACGTAACACTCTGCATTATCGGTGCAGTTGGCATGGTGTATACAACAACTCTCACTATCCAAAGCTGGATCCACGGTGGTGGTCCTAAAGCGCCTGGCTACTGCGACGGTCGGTAGTGGACGTCTCCTACTCGCAAATTGACTCATCTCTTACTTCGCACTCCATGTAGCATTTTAGCGATGTGCATAAGCATCAATCTCTGGGTGTACCTCGTCATAGAAGTGGCGCTACGCAGGCTGGGGTTTAGGGTGTACTTGGAAAGCGATCTATCACACGCGCATATCCGGATGAATAGAAGCGACGAGGCTCAGGTCCATCCGTTGTATCAATGTAGAACCAGACTAGTCTCTTCTTTGCTTTTCGACCGCAGCTGCAGCGTGACATAGTTGTGAGTACATGACATGTGCTGTGTTATCATGTTGTATGCATCCATCTGGCATCAAGACGGCGGAGAGCATCTGAAACGGCGTAGGGCGAATAGTGTCAATATTTCTCCGAAGATGCAGCGGATACCTAGCTGGTGACCAGGGCTCAGATACGAGGCGATTCAATACTCGCGCAAAACATTTGGCGAGTAGGATACGAGAGATGTACATGCAGGGCGCGGAAACACCGGAATCAGGAATCGGCACAAATGCAACGGCATAACTGGTGTCAAGGCGTGCATGTGCGGCTGATGCTCGTATACGCCACTTGTGGTGGTGGGGTTTCAGATGCCGTCTGTTGTGGGATGGATGGCAATTTGGAGGCGGTCAAGGGAATCGAACTGCTAAGGCATCCAGACGTTCCCAACGGACGCAGGCAAAGCGTTGTCGTCGGCACGCTTTCCTATAGCTGAGCTCACACATGCAGGTAGGTAGAATAAGCTTTTGCCAGAGCGGAACAAGCGCGTAGCAGCCACAAGGTGCTCACCGTTGTTCCACTCCCCGCCATTCCAGTTGAGCAAGTGTACACGCCCCGAAGTCTCAGCTTGATCCTACACGTTTGTGATTACAGTGTGTGATTCGTTCGCAGCGTCAGCCACGGCAGCTCAAAAGCGTTCTCTGGCTCCTTCGAGGTGTGCATTGCTGCCGCTCTTGTGTGAGATGCATCTTTGCGAAGCCAGACGGCATGTTGCTTCTCACCGTCTGATTGAGACACATTACACGGTGGGGAGCACATGGCGGGTAAAGTTCCGCCGTTAGTGGGACGGATGGTGCAGCTAGCGACTGGGTTCCACCCATATCCCATATTTTGTTTTGCCTTGTCGGTTTTCTTCAAGCTGCTGCTGCCGACCCTGTGGCAGAAGATCCTCAAACAGAGTTTACAGACGTCAAGTAGTGACGCACGGCGATAATTCCAAATTGGGAGCCGTACCCGCGCTGACGTAGCGAATCCGTGGTATTGAATGATGAGAGCAGAATTAGAAACAAATCCATAAGCATAATCATTAGGACACCTGAACGCCTCCAGTACGGCGACGGCGGCGCCCGTCAGGACACGAGAGGCATAGTGGCCGTACTGTAGCATTGAGAGGAGAAAGATTCTGGCATCTTGACATGAAAATAGTATAGGAACGGGTCTAGCGTTGCTATTTTGGAGGTGCTGCGCCTCTTGGTCCCTGAGAAACGATGTATAGCGGGCGATCAGGTCAGGAACAGCAACGGAGACTACTGGCTGCATTCATCGCGGAAGCCGATGGACAAGGATGATTCCGAGAGACATGACGAAATAGGGGACGACGAGGGACGGGCAGTGGGATGCATGGGCGTGTCGACGAAAAGGCCGTAGTCGCGAGTCGCAGGGACGACAAGCAGGCAGATTCAAGGGTGGTAGAGCGGCGTCACAGATGACTGCGATACGCTGCATTGGCGAGGCTAGACAAGGTCGAGTGGAGAAGGGCGTCGCTGGGGCATGCTCAGTGCTTGGCTCTGGAAGATATAAGTCAAACACACCACCGCTCTTTCTCTGCTCACACACCTGTCTGCTTCCCCTCGCACCCATATCTTCTCCCGTCCACCAATTGACACCGACTGCCTTACAATCGCTTCCATTCATATTTAGGACCCTAACTTTCGTTTCGTCGCCATGTGGTAAGTCCCCGCCGCCCCACCATGGGAAGCTGTCGAAGCTACGGGGAGCTCAAGCTGACGACTGTGTTTGCAGCGGTATCTTCGGTTACATCAACTACCTGGTGGAGAAGGACAGGAGGTACATTCTCGACACACTCATCAATGGTAAGCTCTCGAGCAATCCCTTCCCCAGACGCGCGTTCCACGGAATCGGAAGTGGTTTGGTGGGGCTGAACGGCGATCACTAACACGTCTCCTCGCCAGGTCTGCAACGTCTAGAGTACCGTGGTTATGACTCGGCCGGTCTTGCCATTGACGGTGACAAGAAGAACGAGGTCTACGCAGTCAAGGAGGTCGGCAAGGTTGCGTCGCTGAAGAAGCTCGTCGAGGAGCAGAACTTCGACCTCAACAAGGTCTTTGACAGCCACGCCGGTATTGCCCACACCCGATGGGCCACCCACGGTCCCCCCTCGCGTGTCAACTGCCATCCCCACAGGTATGTCATATCCATCTTCTATCGACGACTTGAATACTGACAACCGCAGGTCCGACCCCAACTGGGAGTTCTCCGTCGTCCACAATGGAATCATCACAAACTACAAGGAGCTCAAGACCCTGCTCGAGAGCAAGGGCTTCAAGTTCGAGACTGAGACCGACACCGAGGCCATTGCCAAGCTCACAAAGTACATCTACAGCGAGCATCCCGACCTGAGCTTCCCCTCGCTCGTCAAGGCCGTCATCAAGGAGCTCCAGGGTGCTTTCGGTCTTCTCCTGAAGTCCGTCCACTACCCCCACGAGGTTGTTGCTGCCCGCAAGGGTTCTCCCCTCGTCATCGGTGTCCGAACACAGAAGAAGATGAAGGTTGACTTCGTCGACGTCGAGTACAACGACGAGGGTGCTGCTCTCCCCGCTGAGAGCGCTTCACACAACGTTGCTCTGAAGAAGGGCAACACCCTCCTCGCTCCCCCTGACAAGTCGCTCCTCCACCGCTCGCAGTCTCGCGCTTTCCTCTCCGACGACGGCGTCCCGATGCCCACCGAGTTCTTCCTCTCCTCCGACCCCTCCTCCATCGTCGAGCACACCAAGAAGGTTCTGTACCTCGAGGACGACGACATTGCACACATTCACGAGGGTTCGCTGAACATTCACCGTCTGCACAAGGATGACGGCTCGTCCAACGTCCGTACCATTCAGACTCTTGAGATTCAGCTCCAAGAGATCATGAAGGGCCGCTTCGACCACTTCATGCAGAAGGAGATTTTCGAGCAGCCAGAGTCTGTCGTCAACGCTATGCGTGGTCGTCTCGATGCTGTCAACAAGACCGTCACTCTTGGTGGTCTCCGTCAATACCTCTCTACCATCCGCCGATGCAGGAGAATCATCTTCGTCGCTTGTGGTACTTCCTACCACTCGTGCATGGCTGTCCGTGGTATCTTCGAGGAGCTTACCGAGATCCCCATTGCCGTCGAGCTGGCCTCCGACTTCCTTGACCGTCAGGCACCAGTCTTCCGTGACGACACCTGCGTGTTCGTTTCGCAATCCGGTGAGACTGCCGACTCCCTCGGTGCTCTCCGCTACTGCTTGGAGCGTGGTGCTCTGACTGTTGGTATCGTCAACACTGTCGGTTCTTCCATCTCTCTCCTCACCCACTGCGGTGTTCACATCAACGCCGGTCCCGAAATCGGTGTCGCTTCCACCAAGGCCTACACCTCGCAATTCGTCTGCATGGTCATGTTCGCGCTCTCTCTTTCTGAGGACCGTGCATCCAAGCAGAAGAGGCGGGAGGAGATCATCGAGGGTCTCACCAAGATCTCAGACCAGTTCAAGGAGGTGCTCAAGCTCGACCAGCCCATCAAGAAGCTCTGCGAGAGGTTCAAGAACCAGAAGTCTCTGTTGCTCCTTGGTCGTGGCTCCCAGCACGCCACCGCGCTCGAGGGTGCTCTCAAGATCAAGGAAATCTCGTACCTCCACTGCGAGGCTGTCATGTCCGGTGAGCTCAAGCACGGTGTCTTGGCTCTGGTCGACGAGAACCTTCCTATTGTCATGATCCTTACCCGTGACGACATCTTCGCCAAGTCGCTCAACGCCTACCAACAGGTCATTGCCCGTAGCGGACGACCAATCATTATCTGCAACGAGAACGACCCCGAGTTCCCTACCGACAAGACAGACAAGATTGAGGTGCCCAAGAACGTCGATGTTCTCCAGGGTCTCATCAACGTCGTTCCTCTGCAACTCATGTCCTACTGGATGGCCGTTGCCGAGGGTGTCAACGTTGACATGCCCCGTAATTTGGCCAAGTCGGTCACTGTCGAGTAGATGTATTATAGATTTGGCGTTCTCTGGGAAAGAGAAGCTGGGTCTGATCTGGGTTTGATTTACGAACGAAAGCTCTTGGATGTAGCTTATGTGTATGGCACGGGAACTTTTACGATATCTAGAACATGGAGCGATGCGATTTGCGCGCTCTGATAGCTAGCCTGATTGAATGAACAAAATCTCTTCAACTATCATCCATGGCTTGAGTCGTGAGTATGTTATGGTGAAATTGCAATCAACGCGCGGTGTTTCGCGATAGCTTACCCCTGCTCCCGATGACACCATTGCACGATGCGGGATCCCTGCCTTTCGGTTGCGGGGCGGCTCCCAAAGTGGTGTGCTCAGCGTCTTGTTCCTGCATTCTTCAGCCCACTCACCCACGATACCCGCACTACCTTGATCACACCTACTCCACCCTCCCATCGCACCTTCTGAATCCTAACTACACATTTCCAAATACCGACCGGCAACATGTCAGGCATCAAAGGCCCCGGCGCCCCCAAGACGTACGATGGTATGTAAGCAAGCGAGCTCCCATCAACCCCGCCCCCACCACAGCCAACAGAGTGACTGACACAAGCTACAAAGGCTCTGGGCTTCGCATCGGCATCGTCCACGCACGCTGGAACACCAAGATTATCGATGCGCTGCTTGAGGGAACAAAGAGGAAGCTCAAGGAGGCCGGAGTCAAGGATGAGAACATAGTCACACAGAGCGTGCCTGGGAGCTACGAGCTACCCTACGCTGTCAAGCAGTACGCCCAGCCACTCGAGAGCTCCAAGCAAGAATATCCAAGAGCTAAAACAACCTCTGCAGATTATACTCGGCCTCGCAAATCCAGTCCTCTTCCACAGGCGTCGTAGGCGCAGCAGCAGACCTACTGGGCTCGGCCTCGGACCTCACAGCCCTCACCGGACAAGCCTCACAATCCAAGACGTCCAACTCGCCCTTTGATGCGATAATCGCCATTGGTGTCCTGATCAAAGGAGAGACGATGCACTTTGAGTACATTTCAGAGGCTGTGAGCCATGGACTCATGCGCTTGCAACTCGACAACAACGTACCTGTCATCTTCGGGCTGCTGACGTTGTTGAGCGATGAGCAAGGACTTATGCGCGCAGGCATTGGTGGTCAGGATGGCAAGAGCGGACACAACCATGGCGAGGATTGGGGGAGTGCGGCGGTGGAGTTGGGAGTCAAGAGACGGGGGTGGGTTGATGGCAAGTTCGTGGACTAGGATGGCTTATTGCGAAGACACGGGATGTAAATGTATTCGGCCCATTACTGAAATGAGGTCCAGGAACGTGTATAGTTGTCGCAGAAAGAATTTATGCTCAAAAAGCGAATCACAGGGCTATGGGCTTGGGCATCACGCACACTCTTTCTACAATGCACCAGCGTTCATGCAAGGAGGTGATGGCTGCTTTCCTTGCGCTATTTCTCCATGAATGCTCCATCGTATGCTGCTGTCTACTCATGTCTGCACCATGCCGGTCTTTGTACCACTACAGTAGGCTAGCGTGGATGCGTGGCAGGCAAGGCGATCGCGATGACGCTGGGGCTGGAAGACTATGCGGGATGCGGTATGGACCAAGCTGGATGCGCGCGTGCGAGAGTCAACCTCAGAGCGGCATTTGTATGCAGGAGGTGTTGCAGGAGATTATGCGACCACATTGGGCAATCTTAGTGGGCTCATTGCAAGAAGATTGTTGAGTGTCAGAAGGATGGTTGGCGGATGAGTGAGAGAGAAGCACTCTCCTTTTCCCGCGAAAAGACGCTAGGCCAGGATCCGCAGTGCCTCACCTTGGAACCTCAGATTCCTGAACGACAGCCCTCACTCAACACCACCCCCATCTGTGCGAGCAGGGCGCTTTCTACGACATCGCCCATCTCGTCTTGTCCTCCTTTTCTCTTTCCTTCCCTTTGCCGCCTTTCCCCGGGCTTTCCGACACGTCCTCACCGCGTGGGTGCGCGTTGTCCATATATCCTGTTCCTGGCTTGCAGCTGCATCGAGTACAGCAACGCGCAGCGCCACTACCAACCCGCCTGCTACTACGGACACATCCACACACACACACAGTGATGGAAGGAGGATATATGTGCCAGTAATAAGCTCAATCGATCTTGAGGTGCGCTTTTGCAGCGCAGCCACCAGAGACTGGGCTGTGATATCAAGTCCATGTCAGGCAGAAGACGCGGCGACAGAGAAGAGAGGTCTCTACGGCGAGAAGCTTCACGTCGCTCCGATTCATCTGCCACCTTGCACTCAGCTTCGGCTGGTCCAGCGACACGGGCAGGTGGTGAAACGCGCAGGATTGGGCTCAGGAACAACTCGGATTCACCCAACAACGATGCGCGCCGCCCTAGCGACCTGCTAGACGACGTTGACTCGGACTCTTCTGCTCCTACTCCCGCCTCGTCCACTTTCTCCGCGCCTCCCACCATGTCGCGTTCTGGTCAAAATATTTCTCTACACGCCCTCACACCCTTGACCAGCTCAGACTCGTCTCCGCCTGGCAAGCTACCTAGTCCGCGCTCTTCCAAGCTCTCACATGAGACGATGCACACGACCTCATCCTCTACACACGCGGCGCCATCGAGTGCGCCCAACAATGTCGCCGATACCATCACACCAATAAATACGCCGCCCGAGACGCGCATATCCGTCTTCCCAGCCGACGGCGTGCTGGGCCAACGCTCCACCTACGATGCGCAGCTTGATCCCAAACTCGATAAACGGGCGAGAGCAAAAGGGACGGCGAAATACACCACAATACTGGACAAGGTACGTGATGGTTATACATACATAGATGTGGTCGCCCTGTGACGCTAAGGCTAACTTAACTTGTGTTACAGGGCGACCCATCTCCTCCTCCCGACCCGCGCCTAGCTATTGCTGGTTACACCACTGGCCACTATGTCATCAAGACTTCTTTCGTAGGAGCCCCGAAATCAAAACTCAGGATAGCGCCGTATGTCGCTAAGCCATACTCCTTTGACCAACGCATATCATGCGGTCCAGGGCCCGCGACCCAAGTGGTTGTAACGGGATTCGATCCTTTGACGCCCGACGCGCAACTGCGTGGATTCTTCTCCACATATGGTGAAGTGGAGACTCTTCGCAACCAAGTACATCCTGATAACGGCAGCCCACTTGGAATATGTCTAGTCAAGTTTCGCGATACCCCGCCTGCGCGCGGTGTACCGGGCATGAAAGCGACCACCTCAGCAAAGCGGGCCGAACGAGAAGGCACGAACCAGCGCATTGCGCAACACACGATCAGGGTAAAATCTGATCGCGAGGGCCGGAGATGCCAGAAACTTGTGGATATGGCGGTGCAGCAAACCCGTCAAGAGGAGGAGAAGCAGCGCGCCAAGTATGCTGCGAAGGCTGTTAGTGTAGCGACACCGACTGCACCAGGAACCTTCGACCTCCCAGCCAATGTTCCCAAAGGTCCATCTGGAAAGGGCGCGCGCCCACCAATACCAATACCTCGAGAGCCTTTATCAAGGAAGGCCGCGCTTTCCTACCTTATCGAACGCGAACCAGTCAAGCCCACACTGAAACGGAAACCTTACATCTTCATCGCACACGCATACGTACCTGTCCTTAGCACGACCGTCGATCATCTTAAGAAGCGATTGAAGAACTTTCGGTGGGCTGCGGTGCGATGCGATCAAACGGGTTACTATGTAACCTTCGAAGAATCAAAGCGTGGTGAAGACGAGGCTGTTCGGTGCTATAAAGAATGCCACATGCAAGCGCTATTCACATATGTTATGAATATGGAGTGCAATCAGTATGGAGATCCCAACTACGAGCGTAGTCCAAGCCCGGAGCGCGTAGTGGCAGACAAGAAGCGCAAGGCCATCGAAGAGCGAATAGAACAGGAAGAAGCGGAGGACCTCGAGTGGGAAAAGAAGCAGAGGGCAGACTCGCTGGATCCTGTACGAGCCGCTTTGGATGTGCTGAAGCAGGAGCTCCAAGAGAAGCTCCTTGGAGATATCAAGACGAAATTAGCGGCGCCCACTATACTTGAATTGCTGGATCCGGAGCTCCATGTGGAGAAGCGTCGCAAATTTAATGTCCCAGCTCCGTCCCAGAAGGAAGAGATTGCGCGGCCACCGGCTCTTCTCGCCCCAGGGTTCGACACTTTTGGAGCAGGTACTCCCAAGGGCCGCAGTGGTGGTCTTGGTGGTCGCAATGCACGTAGGGGATTGGGTGCGTTTGATCCTAGCACTAGACGTGGAAAGAGGCCTCCGAAGGTTGTCAATGCATTCGCAGACGAACGGAGGAAAGCTTCTGCGCCCAAGCCTCGTGTGGCTCGTGGTCTTCATCGCCAGATGATTGAGATGTTTGAGCCCGAAGAGTCGGACGATGAGAGCCGTAGCCAGCTAACTCGGGGTACCGAAGAGCAAGAGAGCCGCCCGATCAGCCGCGCTCCTTCCACTGACATTGAAGAGGAGGTTGAAGAGTCATCGAGAGCCCATCGTGCCAAACGGCGCCGTCTCGAGACAGGATGGGGTGAAGACAGTGACGAAGAGATGGATGATTCACACGCCAGGAGTTTGCTTGCCCATTGTATCCACAAAGATCCTGAAAACATGGCGGAGAAAGAGCTGGAACAAGTGCTTGCGATCCTTCCCCGCTCTTCGCCTATTTGGAAGAAGGCAGAAAAGGCACTCAAAGGCTTCAGAAGGTTACGGAAGATTGAGCAAGAGGCGGATGCAATCTTTGGCGTGGAAGCAAGCCCGATTGACAAACTTGAGCCTGAAGTCATCATCACCCAAGATGATGAAGCACTCAAGCCCATTGAGACTACTGAGCTGCCAGAGACGCTCACGTCACTCAAGAAGAAGGCCGCGACCAAGCCTAAGAAGAAGACCAAAAAGCAACTTGAACAAGAGGCCAAGGCTGCGAAGGTTGAAGTCGCAGAAATCGAGGCGCCAGCTGAAGAGGAGGTCCCTGAAGAGAAGAAGGTCGAAGAGGCGGTTGAAGAAGCTGTAGTCGAGGAGTCCACACCGGAAGACGACGGGCGAGCGTCTTCTGTACTCTGGGGGGTATCTTCTGGAGTGCCTCGTAAGACTGTTGAAGATGACCTCAGTGTTGTAATGGACATTGATGGTTGGCAACACTTGCTCAAGGACGAGGAGGATCTACGTCACCTGAGGGCTGCCATGGAGTCCATCAGCGCCGAAAAGATCGGAGATGCACAGTCTTGGGCATGGAAGCAAAAATCCATCAAGCACCTAAACCGCAACGGTGAGGAGGGTGTCTCGCGTACCGAAACGAAGATAGAGGGATACTACGTTCCTAACTCAACTGGCTCGGCCCGTACGGAAGGCGTCAAGAAGATTCGCGAGTCTGAAAAGTCCAAGTACCTACCTCATCGTATCCGTGTCCAGAAGGAGCGCGAGGAGCGCCAGCGCCGTGCTAAGCAAGAAGAGCGAAGCGTCGTCTCTGTCGAAGGCTTCAAATTCCAGACCAGCGCCAATAAGACATCGACCGCCAATTCGCGTGCCAACCGCGCCAACAACCGCCGCATGGTCAACGATATCAACATCTCCAAGAACTTGTCTGGTGCGGAAGGCGATGCCCTCCGCTTCAATCAGCTCAAGAAGCGCAAGAAGCTCGTCAAATTCGACCGATCTGCCATCCATAACTGGGGCCTCTACGCCCAAGAACCTATCGCTGTCAATGACATGATTATTGAGTACGTGGGTGAAAAGGTTCGCCAGCGGGTTGCCGATCTCAGGGAAGCCAAGTACGACATGCAAGGTGTCGGATCAAGTTATCTGTTCCGTATTGACGAAGACACCGTTATTGATGCAACCAAGATGGGTGGCATTGCAAGATTCATCAATCATTCTTGCACGCCGAATTGCACAGCTAAAATTATTCGCGTGGATAACACGAAGCGTATCGTCATTTACGCGTTGCGGGATATAAACTCTGGTAGGTTCATCCTCTCCTCTTGAATAATGGAGGTTATTAAACATTTGCTAACAACGATCCCAGATGAAGAGCTCACCTACGACTACAAGTTCGAGCGTGAGATGGACGCTACTGATCGTATTCCTTGTCTTTGCGGTTCAATCGGCTGCAAGGGCTTCCTCAACTAGGGACCTTTACATGGCTTCAACTCTGCTTCGGCTTTTAGCGCACACTCCTTTGCGCTGCCTTTTTCAACATCACACTTTTACAATGCTGCCCTGTTGCTTCTTTTTGTTTCAACACCTACACTGGCGGGGAAAAAAGGTGAACTCTTACCACCGATTTGGATCCAGGGCGGAAATGAATTCTGCATTGCATGGCGTTTTTACAGTACTGCTATTCTTCACGTCCACCTAGTGCTCCCCGCTTGCACCTCGAGTGGAGCGCATGTGTATCATTTTTTTCGCACAAGAGAACGGGTGGCGATGGCTTTGTCGGTCACGTCCTTGGCATTGTATCTGGTGTTAGTCTTTTTTTCTACTTCAAAATTACCATTTGTACTATTTAAATCTCTTCACGGAGAAGAGCCTCAAGAGGTAGGATAGTGGCAAAATTATGGTGCTCCATGGGTTGGTATGGGAGCACTTTTTTGGGCTGCATTACCTTACCTCGTTAGCTATAATCAGTTCGCAATAGAACAGAATGAGAAGACTAGTTTGTATGAGCATTCTTGTGTCACGTCAATTTAATGTAACAGTGCTGTCCATCATATCTTCTTCTATCTAGCATTTAGCTGATTATAATGATATTTAGTTGAGCTACGAGTTGCAAGGTGCTTCGAGTAGACTACTCCAAGGTCCTGTTGCGAAACCGGCAGCTTGGTAGCACAGCCGGGGGTCTTGGGGACCTAGAAGATGGACCGGCCTTTGGGGTAGCACGTTAGATGCTTGTGACTCGATTGTATGATCGATAGCTTACATGAACATAGTCTCACGGATCTCATATCGATGGTCGTGCATATCGCTTGAACCAAGAGCTGGGAAGTCGTGCCTGGCGGTGCATACATGTCAGTCTTGTTGTCATGTGTTACGATCCGATATGCCATTCTGGAGGTAACCCAGCGATCAGGGGATAAGTTATAGTGGTCCTGGGATGTGAACCGGAGCTGAAGAGGTGGCTATGGCGTAGGTCAGATCTACAAGATGAGACAAATGAGATTGGGAGACTGACTCTGTTTCTTCAGGAAGTGTGTCGTGGTTGCAATTTGTGTATGTATCGTGACCAGGGGCAGACTGCATCCATAGATGTCCAGAGGCGTTGGATATGTGACCAGAAACCCTATACCTAAACTGACTGTTAGTACCTGCATACTGATTGCTCGTTGACAAAGGGTTGCTGGGTACATTCAGAATCTAGAGCCTAGAGATTGCGAGAGTGGAGGCGCCTTTCGGTGTATCCTATCCTTTCTAGACTTGATCCGGAGGCCCTGCTATTACAGGCGTTCTTTTCGATAGTAGGGCCGTCTCATGAATTTGGAACACACCCCTTCTGTGTGTTTAGTGCAGCTCTTTCATGATGGGTGTTCATGAATGTGCTGTCTCAGATAGCCAGTCCAAGATCCTCTTTGCTGCGGCTGACTTTGAATCCCGTGGGATGCAATGTCAATGAATAAAAAGAATGCATACGTACCATGGGTTGACCAGTTCTTCCATCTTCTGCTTATTCAATATTTCCAGAATGACGGCAGCCTCTTTGATGACGAAGTGATCAGCGATGTGCTGTAGCTGTTTGATACTCCATTCAACTGCAGCTTGTGGACAGCTTTTCGACCATGCAACGACGTATAGGCTGAAGATTAGTATGTAGACATCCAGGATGTGGGGCATGCTATGTGCGTGTTGCTTTCCTGTGCTTTCAATAGGCAGCTTATGTTTTGCAACCGATTCGCAGTCTGTCATTTGTGGGACTGATGCAACAACTTCCTGGACTAGGTTCAAGAGGGCAGTTCTTGAGCGTTCAGACTGGGCGTACGTTTCGGGGTCGGAGCTTACAGCGCAGGACGCGATAATTTCCTCACATAGAAGCATGCGTGCTATGCGAAGGACATTCCACATCTGTGTGACCATGCGATCCGGATAGACGTCGTAAACAAGTGGAAACCCATCCGGTACGAGTCTTGCTCCATCAGCTCCACTCAAGTTTTTGCGCTCATAAGTCCAAACTGGGCTTGCCTCAAGCGCAATGAGCTCGAGCTCTCGATCGAAATAGGCGCTTTTGGCTATTCTTTCTTCCGTCGTCATACATCCTTTTCGCATTTCCGCAGCTAGATCGGTGACTTCGAGCATCAGCCCGCTGAGCTTCCACTTCGGGTGATCGGTATTCACAAACTGTGCTGCATGTACTCGTATTTGTCGTATGGCATCGTCGACTGGTTGGCCGGTGCTGAGTGAGCATACAGTCGAATTCAAAGAGAGTCCCATCAACGCTCGCATTTCCGTGCCTTCCTTGAACGACTCTACGCCCCGCAATTTCACTAATGCGAGTGCGCCTTCGATATGGGCATGTCGCGATGTGTTGATTTCCGAAGCCGACTTCATAATCTTCTCGAAGAGGTCTAGTAACAGCACTCCTTCAAACGTCGAGGTAGCTCTTGCTGCTACAGGGTCTTGCAGCGCGATGTTGATCTTCCGTAATGCCTCACAGTATTTTCTGCGTCCAAGATCTTTCGCTGTATGGGATGAAACTTGATGAGACAGGAAGGCAAGACTGACTGCTTCAATGCTAAGGATGAGATGGTTGGGCGCATGAGCATAGTCTAGGTATTTGTACAAAAAGTCCCACGTTCGACTGAAATCAGAGACATAGTAGGTGAAGAACATATCTCGACCCATGATGAGAAGATCCTGGGGAAGATGACGAGTTTTGAGCTTGAGCTTTGTTTTTGGTTCGCCAGCACTTGGTTGCTTCTTAGAAGACTTTACATTTGCCAGGGCTTTTGTCCGTACAGAGTCGGTTTGGTCGCTAATCCGGAGGTTGGTTGTGTCGCGATAGCCGGTACATGCTGTTCCTACTCTAGCACAAGAGCTGCAATTTGGCCGTTGCTGGTCGCACTACGAAAGTTAACGTCGCATCTATATTGCGAACCCGAACATACCCGTAGTCTTCGCTCTCTACATCTTTCGCAAGCTTTAGATGGTTTGCCGCGAAACACCATTGGATAGTTAACAGCGCAAGTTACTCTGCCAGGCTTAAGGACTACGTATCATCCAATGATATGAACCTAGCGACGCCGAAATCTTTTCTTGTTCAGAAAATCGAATGTTTCAAGAAGACGAAAGTAGTTGCTTGTTGAGTAGGATTCCAGAATATAGATAATCGAAGCGTGCCATTCGTGCTAGTCCTAAGAAGGAATGCATTTCGTGCTGCGTCAACTAGTGCGGAGTAAGCAAGAAAGATGACCTTCAGCCAATCACGTAGTGAGCAGATGCTGAATATTTAGACCTGGCTTAGCGTCTGACAGTCCGGACTTACTGACAAGAAGCGCAGCAGCATAGTCTGGCAATATTCCATCCTATTACGATGCACGTATGCACTTCCTGGGTTACACGACCAGGCTTCGCATATCGCAGTTGCTGGTGCCTATATCGATATGTGTTGGGTTAATGAGAGGGAAGTGAAAAGGACTGGAAAACTCCCATGTCACCGACCAGTAAGACTCTTGTCGAGCCTTCCGGCTTACGAAGCGCTCATGATATCCTTACAAACTGCATCGCGAGCATTCCCACAGGCCATCTGAGTTGAATGCATTGGTAAAGCGAGACTGAAACATGCGTTCGTTGCATGCGATCGGTCTAGAATTTGGATCAACGAGAAGCCTAATCGCTATCATCGTATTTGTTTCCAACCCCAACATCACCTAGTAGGATATCGTCAGGCGCCGGGCCCCTATAATGCCTCACCCATTCTGTCTCCACGCGGAAGAAGATCCATATCCATCTTCGCAACACCTCCAGAACCTCCATCGTAAAGATGCCCCCTTCTAAGTCGTTGAAATGGTCCAAATGCACGCTAAGTTTCAAACTCCATGTACACCTCAGCATTGCATCCACCACAATGGCTGCATAGTAAAACTCTTTGGCATGGAACCAGCGATGCCGTCTTAAACCCCATGGGTATTCGGGACTATCCCGAGTACGGGCATTGGAGAAGAGGGTGAGGTCCCAATCCTTGGCTACATCCCAGTAGAACGAGTAGCCCGAGTTTACCACCACCGCAACAAGCCACATACGGAACAGGGTCGCTTCCGAAACGCCAAAGCGTGAAGGATCGGGCGAGCGTTGCAGAGCGCTCAGTATGACGACGGGAAACGCGGTCGAGTACTTCAGTGCGTTGGCCAGGTGCTGGCCACCCCATCCCGTCGCTGGACTAATCTGCCCAGTTTGCTTGTTCGCCTTCTGAACACGATAGTACTCGGTAATACATTGCCGGAGACGGATCATCGAGGGTATAGCGATGATGAAGGGAACCCAGAAAGCCCCGCCGCAGCTCCTGTTCGGAGGCCCCGTTGAACTGTGCGAGGACGAGAAGAACATGCATAGCGAGACGAAAAGATCTCCTAGCACTTTGGCATAACTCGTCAACGCATCAGCGAGCAATATGTCCCCAAATTTGCCGTCATGCGCTTCTGCGATGCCGCCAATGGAGATGCGCTTCAGGGTCGCCAGTGTGCGAGACCGCCCATTGCGACTAACAAATGGCAGCGGCACTACAAAACCGACTACCAGTACTAGAAGGTATAGGTTTGGCAGGATTTCCCATCCCGCAATGTCTTTGGGGCTGCCGTGTGTAAGGGTCCAGAATAGGAGCAGCGAGAGCGCGAGCGGGATGGAGAGAAGAGTGGCGATGCGGTAGCAGGAGAGGTGGTGTGGTATGTGGCGGGGTGAGGTACGGCCCGGGTAGCGGATTAGACTTGGGACGTCTATCTTTATGAGGGTGAGATACTGGAGGTTAAGGCCCCATGCCCATATGCCTACGCACTCTTTAGTCAGCCGGAGAAAGCAATTACTGGTGGAGAGAAGATTTGCGTACCAAGGACTATGATAAGCGCGACGCGATAGGGTAGGGGAAGTACGCGACTGAAGCCATCGATTTCTGGCTCGACGGCAGGGTCACCGTCCATTTCTCGAATGCGCGGCGGATTCCGTGACGGTTGCTGTGTCCCAGCCTGTTCTTTGCCGTATGATCATGAAGCTCCTCGGTATAAGCCACGCCCCCAATCGATCCCTCGCTTCCCAAGTAGCCTGGGTCGTGTTGGCGCAAGGGGGTAACAGATATCGCGGTGGTATCGTGTCCACTTCCCCGAGTTGCTGGCGCCCAAACAGACTAGCAGGCAATTTCACAAGCCACACCGGCCGTTTCGTTACGTCAGCCTGAGCTTCAGCCTCAAGCGAGCTAGCTCGATCGTGCCTGGCTGGGTGGGTATTTGGTTTGTGCGACGACCGCGGGAGCTTTGCCTAAAGCACGAGGCCATGACGCGATCATCGAGACGACAAAGTGACGCTCCTCTGTTAGTTCTCCGCAGCGTGTCATTGGGTACCCGACTTACAAAGGGAAAACAACGCCCAGATCTCTAGACTCATTGCACTACTTGCTTCTTCTCCACAAGCCAGGTTCCATTGACAGTCCCGATTTGTTGCGTCACTCCACCTCGCACGACACAAACCACTTCCACACTTTCACTCTACCTCTCTCCCTCCACCTTATCTTTCCACAACCTCAATCGTCCGAGACACACACAGCGCAATCATGTCACCTCTCTCTGTTCCCAAGATATTCATGGCTGGCGGTGCCGTCGGCTTCGGCTACTACCTCTTCATGCGCCAATACTGGTTCCCCAACCCGTATAAAACACAGGGTGTCCAGAACATTGAGGACCGTTTCTCATCTGGTGGAGGCCACCCTACACACACACCTGCTGGGGGCAGCCAGCGCGGTACGGATACAATGAGCTCCCCAGACTTAAAAATCTGGAAGTACGTAGAACGGAGTTTGCTAACGTTCATCTGTAGGCTCTGCGACAGCGAACGAGGGAAAGCACGATGGACCAAGCAAGGGTCCTGACTCAGAGCACTTCAAGAAGAACATTAGCGACCAACAGAGCGAGGTACGTGGACGACTGATTTGAAGAATCGCATTTGTGCTGATACTTGATAGCCTGTCTGGCCGGGAAAATTCAACGAGATGCAATACAACAACCCCAAGGGCAAATGAGCGCCTCCGAATCGATTGAGCGAACACACAAAAGCATGGCAATTTATAGCCAAGGGGTAGCGGGCATCTGATGCATATCATCATTGGCGTTTGGCAAATGAGTGATGCACAATTGCATCCTGTAAATTTTAAAGTCCTTGTTGCTGCCAGTCGGGCGCTTGGAGGCATCGTACAGTAATCGAAATATCACACCATCAAACATGCCAGACCTATCCGATGCTGCTCCAATCTCGTTTGCATTTCAGTGCTAATCGATGCATGATAGTGCTCCGCGAAAAGCCGTTCTACGGAAGCTATACACGGGAGCTCGCGTGCGATCATATTGACAATCACACAACGTCATACAACAACACGATGACCAAAGACAATGCAGCAAATGCGTTTGGCAAGATAAGGTTTGTAGATGAGGATTGTTTGAATAAGCAGAAAAATTACCAGAACGCCAGTATCTATACCCGTGAAATCACCGGTTCTATATCTTAGGGTTTCCCGTCTTCCTTGCTGCTGTGTTCCTACTCGCATCTACCACGAATCCCACGTGATGGCTCAAGGCCACCAGATCGCCCGCAGGATCATGCACAAACACTTCTAGGTCCATCCTGCCTTTCTGCATCTTCTTCATCTCAACCCTGACTTGCAGCCACTTGACTCCTTCTGGTGGCAGCGACTTCTTAACATCCAGGTTCAGCAGTAGCGTCGGGTACCAGAAGGGCCCCTCGCCCTTTTCTTTGAACGACTCGACCATCAACGGGAACATGTCTGCAACAAACGCAACAGATGAATTTGTAAAGGTTTTCCCATCGGAGAAGCAAACTACCTCATCGGCAAGATACGCTGGGCTTTTGTCTTCTCGAGGGAAGTAGAACTGAACTCTCTTCGTAGCCTTTCTGAACTCGGCGTGTGGCATTTCGGCTTGATACCTCCAGTTCGGGTCTTCGCCATTCTCTAGCTTCGAAAAGTCTACCGATGGAATGGGTGGTGAGGGCCGATATCCGGTGTCGTGCGTAAAGCCCGCTTCGGTATCCATGTTAGAGTTTGTGACGTACGCGACGACTTCGGTCCGTCCGTCTTGCTCCATGGTTACATGCACGACAGACGTTTGTCGGCCGAGCTTCACATCTTCGACTTTGTATGTGGCAGGTCCGGCTTGCGTCCGTCGCAGAAACTCAACATGGAGGGTTATTGTGTGTGGTTGGTTTTGTTTTGCCAAAGTTGTAATGAAATGTGTTTTGACTACTTCCAGTATGCTGTGAGTACAAGTCTGATTAGTGTCATCCCTGTTACCAAGCACACTGATGCCTACCATCCGGTAACGTAACCACCGTTAGGAACTGGTGCCGTTAGTTTACGTGGATGATGTTATCTATGCTGGGGTCAGATCTGACATACCGCTTCCTATGCACCAATCATCTTGTAGGTTGCACGAGTACGTGTTAGAGGAGAGTTTCTCCACTGCAGTAGCTTCTTCCCAGCTCGTCATCTTCAGCAGGCTAATGTCGCGGAACCGAGACGTGAATGGAGAACGTCAAAAGGTCTATATGGCCAGATGGTTAGGAATCGCCAGTGTCGCAATGCCAATGACCTCGGAAGCCGCCTGCAGCTATCGCGCCGCTAACGCCGCAAAAGGAAAGAACCTCGGCCGCAGTTCCCCAAGTTGTGGGGAGTTACCCCGGTCGCCTATCGTCACCAGCCGCCTCAATGCGCGGCGTCTGCCCTCGGTAATCCAATGCCAGTTAGAATGCGCCTGGTTATGTCCGTCTTCTTGTTCTGGCATCCTTCTCCTTCCACTCCGCTCTCTTCATAAGATCTCTTGGCTGGATATTAATTACCATCACCACGTCGATCATCAACCGCTAAAATGCCTTCAAAGAGCCTGTACCCTGACTTGCCAATTCCAGATGTGGATCTCGTAAGTTTTGTACCCGGAGATAAGCTTATAGATTGATTTCGCGCTGACGTTCGTCTCTAATCGTAGTGGGCGTTTCTCTTCGAAAGGAAGGACAAGCCATATGCCGATGACAAAGGCATGTTCACACGTTACGGCCAGATGAGTAATCACTAACGGTAATAGTAATCTACTTCGACCCGTACACCAAGCGTTCTTACACCTATGCTCAAGTTCGAGATACTGCGATCACCTTTGGCAAAGGGTTGAAGTCACTCTGGGAGTGGCAAAAAGGCGATGTTCTCGCTTTGTACACACCCAACTGTATCGACACACCTGCAATAACATGGGGTTGTCACTGGGCAGGAGGTATTCTCTCTCCGGCGAACCCAAACTACACTGTTGAGGAACTTGCATTCCAACTCAAGGATTCCGGAGCGAAGGCTTTGGTGACCCAGCTTCCTTACATCAAGAATGCGCAAGAGGCTGCGAAGCAAGTTGGCATCCCTCTTGATCGCGTGATCGTAATGGGTGATCAGAAAGATCCGTCTTACAAAGTGAAGCATTTCACTAGCATCGTTAACACAGCTGGAACATCGAGATGGCGAAGAACAAAGGCCACCAACCCGTCAGAAGATCTGGCGTTTCTGGTGTACTCTAGTGGAACTACAGGTCATCCTAAGGGTGTAATGCTGACCCATCGCAACATCGTCTCCAACACAATGATGATCAAAGCTGCGGAGGCTGGTAAACTACAGCCAACCGGTGGACCGACTGGTGAAGGTGATAAACTTCTGGCTTTCTTGCCGTTCTTCCACATCTACGGTAAGGTTTTGTCTATATCCTATCTAGATTATCCCCAACTAACTCTGTGTAGGCCTGACTTGCCTGATCCACCAGAGCTTGTACTCTGGGCTCCAACTTGTTGTGATGCCAAAATTTGACCTGGAGGACTTCTGCAAGTTCATTCAAGAGCTCAAGATTACATTTGCTTACGTAGTACCGCCAATCGTTCTACTCCTCAGCAAACATCCTTTGGTATCGAATTACGACCTCAGCTCAATCAGGATGATGAACTCTGGCGCAGCGCCCTTGACTAGGGAGCTCGTAGATGCGGTTCACGACAGATTGAAGATTCCAGTCAAGCAAGGATACGGCTTGTCAGAAACTAGCCCAACAACGCATACTCAACCATGGGAAGATTGGAACAAGACCATCGGATCCGTAGGCAAACTTCTGCCCTACCAGACAGCAAAGTACATGTCTCCAGAGGAGAAGGAGATGGCAGTTGGGGAGGTTGGCGAATTGTGGATCAAGGGCCCGAACGTCTTCAAGGGCTATCTGAACAATCCTGAGGGAACTGCGCATGCAAAGACAGCAGATGGGTACTTCAAGACAGGTGACGTTGGATACCAAGACAAGGACGGAAATTTCTTCATTACCGACCGCGTGAAGGAACTCATCAAGTACAAGGGATTCCAGGTACCACCTGCGGAATTGGAGGGTATCTTGGTCTCACACCCCAAGATTAACGACGTGGCTGTGATTGGAGTGTATTCGAAGGATGATGCCTCTGAGCTGCCGCGCGCGTACATCGTACCCAAGGATGGGCTTGGCAAGACCGATGAAGATGCAAAGGAGATCATAGACTGGCTGAGCGCAAAGGTCGCGCATCACAAGAGACTACGCGGCGGAGTGAGGTGGGTTGATGAGATTCCCAAATCTGTAAGCGGAAAGATCCTCAGACGGATGCTCAAGGTAAAGGCGCAAGAAGAGGAGGATGCTAAGACCAAGGCGAAGTTGTAGACCGCCTTTACCTTGGGACTGCCTTCACCTTGAAATGTACAATGTATATCAGGAACTACCGTTTCCTTACCACCTGTATTCTTGTCCCTTCGTATGACTATCAACTTTTCTTACCATTCCTCTGCTGTCTCTCTCCCACCTCATCTGCACATTGCACGACTTGACAGAACTAACTCTCTACCTATCGATCCTGTAACAAGCCCCCACGAACAATAGCTACTGCGATACTGTCAATGTGCAGTATGAGTAAAGACTTACGCAGTAAGTTGGGTTTGAGTACGAACCTACCAAGGTTTGTGGACACGTTCGAACTAATAGTATTGCAGCCCCAAGGGCCACTCCAGCTCCGAGAGCGACAATTAAGCGGAAACCGGATGTTATCGATCTCGAATCTTATGAAGAGAGAGCTGTCAAGAAGCCACTCATACCGGTAACCAAGTCGCTGGCTCTGCGAGAAGAAGATATGCTCTTCCAGATCTCGGTCACGGTGAACTCCAAAATCGATGTATCCCCCCCAAAGCTGCGTGAGGCCCTCCAGAAGTCCTACCAGACCGCGTGCTACACGCACATGTTCGCACTCCAGGCTGGCACGACACCCAAACATCATCAGATTTATAACATTGTCAAAGGAGAGCGCATCCGCTCGGAGTCAGTTACTTTCACCAACACGATCGTCCAGCACAACATCTTCGATCTGGGAATGGCCAACATCAGACTATTAGAGATTCTCACGGATGCTTTAATGGGCAAGCTCGACAAAAGGACGTTCGTGGAGCTAAAGACGGAGAGCGGCTTACTGAATCCGGAATTCATTGAGCTTCATTCTGTAAGGCATAGAGAAATTGGGTGGGGATTCGATGCAGATGGGTGCTTATCCCTGTACGGCACTATTGTTGTAGAGAAAAAGCTTAAGGAAAAGGTCTGGTATGTTACCACTGGTGATGTCAAGCTCGAGTATGAGGCTTGAAGATGTGGAGAAGAGCCCTGAGGGTGTGCAGATGCCTTTCGGGGCGCTAGATCGAGTGTGAAAGGCGTTTGTTACCTATGGGGCTTCTTGACCTTGACCTTGGAGTTACCCAACGATTGGTACGTCTTAGTTAGCTTCAGCTGGACAGATAAGGATAGAGATTTGGCTTCTGGTTCCTGCTTTGATTCTCGCTTGGCAAAATAGGTTGCAAATATGAACGATTTGCATCGATGATGTTCGTCCAAACGTTACAAAGGTCTCAACCAAGGCAGTTCTGTCCTGGCAAGTACCCTCACATACCAAAATGACAAAAAAAAATCAAGGGCCAATTCCAGAAGAATGATGCGCAATATATTCATTCCAGTGTTGAAAAAGTTCGAAACGCATGCTAATGGTGTTCGCGGCTTCAGATTCATCGAGGAAGGCACGTGCCTGCTTACAGCTAGCGCCATCTTGGCAACACCGCACAGCCGAGCCAAAATTACCCTTTCAAATCTGCGACTCTGAACTCATCGACAATCGACAACATCACGACCGTCACGATGCCGAAGGAAGTCAAGCAGAAGTCTGGCCTCATCGTTGGCCTCAACGCCGGCCACAGTACGTCACCCCGCTCGCCGCTCTCGATACGCACCGATCGCTCCAATTAAGAAATTTCGTGGATGGAGGCTAACACAGTCTACAGAGGTCACCCCCAGGACCCCCGCTCCCAGGATCTCGAGGAGGAAGGGTTTCCTCTCCAAGCGCACTGCGTTTGTCCGTGAGATCACCAAGGAGGTTGCTGGGTACGTTGCAGCTCAGCCTTTGCAGGAACTGCGCGACAACCATTGGACAACGTGCTAACTTGACGTGTCTACAGTCTTGCCCCATACGAGAAGCGCATCATCGAATTGCTTCGCAACTCCAAGGACAAGCGTGCCCGCCGTCTAGCGAAGAAGAGGGTACGTCTCTCTCACCATCACAACAACACGACCGATCTCCAGCCCGCTTGACCACCCCCCACATACAAACAGTCACTAACAAATCACAGCTCGGTACCTTCGGTCGCTCAAAGAGAAAGGTCGACGAGATGACCAAGGTCATCGCCGAGTCGAGGCGCGCTGGTCACTAAACGGTTTCACGATTTGCGGTGGATGAAGCAACACGGCGAACGAGCGACCGACTTACTTTCCGATTTTATCCTGGGTGTTCGGTCTCTTTTCACAACGGGCGGCTCGATACGATCTCGGAACGTCACAGCATACCACAAAAGTATGACACGATTCATCGGAGTATGGCAATGGACAATGGTGGTTCTTAAACGTACCTAGCATGTGTCACTCAAAATCATGAAATGTGACGATTGGTTCACGCCAAACCAACCTGTCCCGGTGCACGTATGCATGCGTGTGTGCGCGTGAGGTGTGATGCGTCAATGATACCTACTTAGCATGGATGTCAAATTCCTACTCTATTGCCCTTATCAATGGCAGAGTAAGGGCCGAGAAATGCTTATATTGAAACGCGCTTTGCTTGGAGACAAGACTGCTCAGGCCTCACACTTCCTTGTGTGTGAGTGAGGCCTCGGGCAGAGGCGTGGACATTCCAACTACTTACGTGACGTCTTGTGTTATTCTTATTGAGACCCTGCGATGCAAGACAGTGCATGAAGTCACTTTAGTGTCTCAATCAGGCGGTAGTACCATCGGACATGACATCCCCAGATTAGTTCTAGGATCGAATGTAATGCATTGATCGTCATGTCTTCCAACTCCGGTTCCCACTCTAAGACGAAGCCATGTTACTCTACTGACTTCAGTTATGACGTTGTCTAGTCGTCCTGACCAATCTTCTCCAATTTGCCGATTTCACGCTTCTCGCCGGTCTCGCCAACAAAGCGAATACGATCGATGCGCGTCTTCTCACTGTCGCCTTCTCCATCTGCGACGAAAAGTACCAGTGAGTAGACGTTCTGGAACTTGACGAACCGAAGTTCGAGCTTGGCCGTTTGTGTCGCCTCATCCCAATCTGATGGCTTCAGCTCAATTGTCTGAGTCGCTGGGATGTCCTCAGCCTCCTCAAAGCCTAGGTTGTTCGCCCGATTTGTCCAGACGTGAATGGTCTTCGGCCGTACTGGCGCCTCGTCGTCGTCTTCGTCTCCGGACACACACGATGTGATCTGAATCGTGTGGACCTTCAAGTTGGCCATGAAGGGGACGTACAGCATAAGCTGGTTGTCCACATCACTCTCTACCCAGTCCTTCTTACCTTCTGAGCCAGTCGATGCGCCCTTGCCCTTGTCGAGCGAGCTAGGTTGTGATGTCTCGAAAAGCGTCTTGACGGTGCCGAAATCGCTGTCCGCGTTGAGGAGATCGAGGCCGCGTGGGTCAACCGAGTCGGTTACATCGGTGTACCCGCGCGGTAGGCTGGCGCCCATCCACGCACCACTTCCGCTGGTGATTCCGCCTGCACCGGAAGCGCTACTGCCTCCCTTTCCATCGTTCTCTGCTTCTGCGGCGAGGGTTTTGATCGCTTCGGAAAGTTGCTGGGGATTTGAGCCGGCGTATTTCTTTATCTGCTGGTTGTTCTTGTAGATGATGAATGTCGGGGTGCTATGGGATGTTAAATATTGTTCAAATTACGTCGTTTCAACGATGTACATACTTGGTGACATTATAGCTCTGTGCAATTTGTGCTTGCTGCACTGTGCTGACTTTGGTGAAGGTGATCTGTCCGGGCCGTGTAAGCTGGCCAGCTAGTTGTTCGTATACAGGCGCAATGGCTTTGCTCGACGTGTTTTCTTCGTTGTAGACTGCAAGTAACAGGTATTAGCGTCCGAAGTTTGTCCAGCAGATGCCGGGCCGCGGCCTACAATTTACTACTACGACGCGCGACGAGGAGAGCAGAGAGCTCAGTTGTGCAGGCGATTTGATCTCGACGGTTCTAGACATGATTGTTGTGGCGTGTATGGGTCGGTGTAGTTGTTTGTGGAGGAGGCGCGACTTGGACAGAAGCTCTCTAGATTTAGTGGGGGCGGGGTGTTGGTATTCCGTCACCGACGATCGACGTGTAGGGCAAGGTACAACACCTGCAGGCACCGACACCTGAATACGCGGCAAAGCCTCCTCGAAGCTTCCAGAACCACGCTACCGGCTGACACTGCAGCTGCGAATAGTCAACCGTCGACTGAGTGCCTGCTCCCTCGATATCACGGAAGCCTGTGACGACGACCGTCCGCCGAGTCTATAAACGTTCCATTGCCCTCGACATCGCCCGAATCAACACCATCGCTATCGCCCCAAAATCGCGTCTCTCGCCGCGAAACCTGGTGATTACACTCTAGACCTTCGCACATACAAAGGATTGGTAAGCGCCCCTATTGGCGTTCACCGTCCGCGACACTGTGTGAACACGCTCCCTAATCGCCTCTTATGGCAGGCCCAAACAACCTCCTACTGAGTTTCGCCGAAGCAAAGCTCCTCCACATCGCCAGCATCATTCTCCTGGTTGAACGAAGCGAAGCAACCCGAAAAGCACATAGCTGGAACTGCTGGTACTCACGCGCTATCTTGATAGCCAACGCTCCCGCTGCTTTCCTTCTCGCCTTCGGTCTCTACAGACTCATTCGCGCATAATGTCGCACGTCGTAGTTTTCAACTCGTATGCGAGGACTTTCAAGATCCCGACATCACCCACCAAGTACTTGACTGAAGTCCGGGACGAGGCATGCCAGAAGTTTGGCGTCAACAAGGATCAGTTTACGCTCAAGTTGGTTACAAGATGCTGCTCTACTGGATCACGACTAACCAGGCTCCAGGTACAACAACAAGCCTATTTCCCTATCCCAGCAAATACGGCTAGCGAACCTTCCCCAGGGAGCCCGATTGGAGCTTGTCCAAGCATCGCGATCACCCACCGTTATATCTGTCGCGCTCCAGCTTCCCGCAAGCGAGCAGAACAAACGCCTTACAAGCAAGTTTGCAAGCAACACTTCGTTATGGGAGATACTGCGACACTTCGAGAGTGGTCAGGGGGTCAACTACAACTTCACACAGCGCGGTATCCCTGAGATGAGCGGCGCATCTGGTGCTGGCAGGTTACACTACGAGCAACCTGTCATAACGGTCATGCCAGGCCACAAGGAGCAGTCCAACTTCGTCGAGCTACAACAGACTCTCAGCCAGCTGGGTTTCGATAGTGGGTCGGCCTTGCTAAAGCTGTCATACAAGAACAGCGGCACCCCGCTGGAAGAAGCCATGGCACAAATAACGCAGTACTTCAAGTCTACTGAGCCTGCGTCTGCTGGTGCGGAAGGTGCACATGCCTCGACAACTGATCAATTAGCATCAATACCTGATCCTGCCCAGGCAGCTCCGGAGGCGACACAAGTCGTAGCAGGCGAGACCGTCCGTAACGACGAGCCTGATCCAGAGCTAATGGAAGTCGATCCGAAACCGGCTGCGCAGCCCGTACAAGAGCCCCAAATATCTACAGAGAACAATGCGACCAAGAATGTGGAGAACATTTCGCCGGCTGCAGCGTTGGCTGCAGCAACATCAACAGCGTCGTCTGCACCTGCAGAACCTACTCAATCCCATGCACCGGCCCCTCAAACCTCGTCACAGCCATCCGAACAATCTCGCAACGTCCAGATCTTTTCTGCGCCAACATCGTCAACTCCACAAGCAGCGCGAAATGCCTTTAACGAAAGTGATTACCTTCCCACCATCGAGCATGCAAAGGCACATCAAAACGCGTTGTTAGGCAAAACACGGAACACGAGGCTGCTGTCCGACAAAGAGTTGGAGGAGCAAGAAAAGGAACGACAGGCCAAGATTGACGCGGCAGCCGAAAAAGGTGGTGCACTTCGCATACGGATGCCAGACGGTGCGCTCATTCAAATGAGCTTTAACAAGAACGATACTGCAGTTGGTCTGTACGACTTCGTTCGTGGGTTTTTGGAGAAGAAGAATGAACCCTTTCAGCTCAAGAACACGAGTCCAACCGGTCGTCTCGTCCTCATTCCACAAGACAACAAGCGTTTAGTGCATGATCTTCGTTTCTTCAACAACGAACTTATCACTTTCCAATGGGCCGACAATGCTAGCGCTGAGGTGAGGGCAAGTCGACATGCTCTTTCGCAGGAATGGCAAGCGAAGGCTCAGGCGCTCAAAGTTGAAGAGCCAGTACGAGAGGAAAAGGCACAACCCCAGGCTTCCCAGGGTCAGACAGTCGCGGAAGGCAAGCGCAAGGCTAACATGAGTAATGAAGAAAAGGAAAGCAAGCTGAAGAATCTGCTTGGAAAGGGTTTGTTCAAGAAGAAGTAGGACGATCCGCGAACAAGCATGTGATTGTAGACAGTCATGTATTTTCAGATGAGCATTTCCTGGGAGTTTGATATCGGCGATGGAGCGCTTTCTTTTCTCCAGTGCACTGTATGTTGGCACCTGGAAGATAGTTATTGCTAGCAACTAAGAATTTTGATATGCGAAAGATGTGTATATCTTCGAGACTCTTCTTGAAGTTGTGTGACGCGCTTTTTTAGGTGGCTGGCTAGCGCTAGACGCCGCCTGCAAGGACCAACCTACAGCGACCATCCTACCTGTACTGTTATCATCTTCACCTTAATCGGTCCCATGACAACACCTTCTGAAATACTCTCTGAAGGTTTGATGGATTCAAATCTGACGATAGATATGGTGGGAAATATGTGTTTTGACAGGTTTGTCGCGCGACGCGATGTTACCACGCGACGAGAACGAAATGCGAACTTTTCTACATACACAGCTTCTCACTCTTGATGTGTTCTCTCGTAGACTCTGAGATGCACAAGAGCAAGGAAGTCGTGGCCAATGACGTATAGGCCAGAGGTTTCGAGGCTTGAAATGCGTAATAAGCAAGTACAAGATGATGCTTTCTACATTGATATGGGCATTTCGTCTGTCAGGAAGTAGCCTTCACTAACAATTTGTTTGGAATCTTGTTCGCTTCTATAATTCGGGATGCATTGTGCTCCTTTGACGTTCGACTTCGATGCGTCTCACCTTCACCAGGTCTTTGATGACCAAAGTCAGCGCATCGCGCCGCCTGATCTAGCCGCAATCTTCACTCACCTTCACCACGAGTGTAGGAGACAATAGCTGTCGGTCCTCTAGCCCCATGGCTCGAGCACTGAAGCACAACAATCGGTGACTTTTACAAATACGGTATGCGCGCCGCTTGCACCTACCCAACACACACTGATATTAGTACGAGCAGATGGACGCACAGTACGTCACCGAGGTAGTCTCAGACAGCATGGACGATATCATCTTCGTTCGGTCGGTCGAGAAGCCACAAACTCCGAAACCTGGTGGTGGTCGTCCAACAAAGCGCGCAAAGCCCAACGACATCCCAGCACAAGATGTTTCCCCCAGCTTAACGAAGCGTGCAAAATCTAGCGGCATGCCAGCGCAGGCTGTTTCGCCTGATCCAGCAACCAAACAGAAGCGCGACAGCAACAGCTCCCAGACGACCACCTCTATTGCCCACCCCAAAGTGCCTCAATCGGAACAGCCGTACACAGAAGAGGAGAAGTTGTTCATGTTTGAGACACGCAAAGCCTTGGAACAAGCGTTAGGTAAAGAAGCCTTGGAGGCCCACGAGAAAGTTCTGACGGAGGAGAAAGAGAGCACGGAGAAGTACATCTTGGACCTGGAAGCGGCAGTGAAGCAGCAGCATGGGACACCCGTAGTGCACGAAACCCTCATCCAGGATCAGATAGCTATTCTGAAGGTGAAGGCCGAGGGACAAGACGAATCCGCTAGAACAGAAATTAAGCTTCTTCGCGAGAGCAACACGAAGCTTGCAGAAGAAAGAACCACAATTGGACGATGTGTTCGGCTACTCACAGATGAAAACGTCGTTCTCAAGAGACAATACGAAGGCGCCAGCGCGGAGATTCAGATACTTCATGAACACAACACAACACTTGCCGAAGAGAATGCCGCACTTTTGCGCAAGGTCAAGCTACTCAAAGATGAGCAAGGCACTTACAAGGCCGAGCGACAAGAAGAAGCCTACAGAATTGCAATCAAGACACTTCGAGAGCAAAACAAGAAGCTGGCAGATGAGAAGGCCGCACTTGCACGCAATGTTGAGCTACTCAATGCAGGGCACGATAACTTGAGGGCCGAGATCTTCGCCTTGACCCAGGACATATGCAATCAAAAGGAGCTCTACAAGAAGGAGATGAACGACTCTGAAGGAGGTATGAAGGATAATGCGCGAAAAAACAAGAAGTTCACACAAAAACTGAAGCAGCGCAACAACAAATTGATCGAAAAGAATGTCAACCTATCGAGGAAGGTTATGGAGCTGGAAAAAGATGACTCTACAGAACTTCTTGAAGCACGACAGCGCATCCAGGAACTTCACATCCAAGTCGAAAAACTAGAGCAGGGCTTCCGTCAGCGCGGCGAACAGCTCATCGAGCTCAGCAGAGACTCCATGTCGAAAGAAAAGATCAAGATGCAGAAGAAGGCAGCTGTTGAAGCTAGGGACCTGCTGCAGACACGTATGTCTGGCATGTTCAAGAACTACAGGGTTCTCTTTAAGAAGAACACTGCTCTGTTAGATAAACTAGTATCGGTGGCTGAAGTGGGAAGACTCGGGAAAGTAAGAAAGGCTTACCGTCAAGAGATGAAGCTGCTGAAAGGTCAGCCACTTGAAGAGTTATACGAGTACAAGCATCAGGTCTGATCGATGTCGTCGGCGATCTGATTTAGCGAGAAGATTGTGTGGTTCTTGTGGGAGGCTTTTTGTCACGAGGATAAGAGGAGACGTCCACTCAGAGAAACGATCGCATGCGAGAGGCTTTCAGTGTATGATACCGTTCACGTTGCTATGCCAGGAAAGAAGTTCGTTGTTCCCATCATAGTGACCGCTCTGTGCATCACCAGATAGGTTCATTGACTTAAGAGGAATGGGTGGGGGCGCGAGTATATAGCTAGTCAACCTCAAACATGGCTGCTTCTCTCACACCTTTCGTATCCCATGATCAGCATTTCAGTTTAATGGAGACAGAGTCGGCTGATAGATTCGGTATCTCTGAGCGAAATCAGTCTAGCTCCACTGTATTGCTGGTATACATGCCTATCGTGGTAGTTTGTTTATCTGTCTTCTCGTTGTAAGCACACGATCTGTCGTTGACTCCGCGCAACTGACAATATGGCGATGATAGGCCCAATGAGAAGAGCGGAGCTGGAAAATGGAAGCCCGTAGATGCGGCGCTGTAAAGGAAGTAGGTGATGACAGAAGAATTCATGCTCACAGCATGCTTGTGAACTTGTGACTATGGTTGGACTTGTGGCTGGGATAGGTGACAGGTATGTAGTATCATAGGCCACAAGATGACATGTGTATTTGTCGTTTAGTCCACGCGCAGCTCTTGTCCAGTTCATCGCAAACCTATTGCACGTCGTTACAAGACCATCGTCTCCACATTCTAGCACTGTTCCTCAATCATGGCACTCAACACACCTATTTCTTCACAACAAAACACCCAGACATCTTATCGTACGAGTGAAAACTCCCAGTCTGTCGATGAAAAACAAGTGCCCGCTGTTAAAGTTATCGAGCTCCCTCTCCAGCGCCTGCAATCCGAAATCGAGATCTTGAAAGTGAACACAAAAGACCTTCCGCAGGAGATCAACGACCTAAGAAACAAGGTGATCGATATCGAAGCCCAACTGGCACCTGCTGCCTTTTCGAAAGCTTTTTCTTCTACTATCCATGATCTTACTACCAAAAGCAAGGCCGCAATCCATACTAAGGTGGGAAAAGTGCTAGAGAGTCAAGAGCTACGAGACAGAGTTTCCAGTCAGGTTGTCAAGCAGATGGAAACTGAGAAGATGCAGAGAGTGCTGCAAGACTATGCGAAGAAGGCTGTTAGTAGTCAATCCCCAGAAGAGATCTTCGAACGATTGCACTATATGGTGGATGAGGCATTCGTTGGCGTTAATGAGAGAATCGACAAGATCGAAAAGGAGCTCACGGCGAAGATGGAAGTACTAAGCAAGGAGACGGCTAGCCGGCAGGAATAAGGGATTATTACATCTAGGTGTCAATCTCGAATGGCTGAACACGTTGCCTCCTTGTACGTGCTATTCATCTTGTGGCGTCTTATGTCTTTCTAAACTTCACACAATAATTTCATTGTTTACTCGCCCACTGACATGCCTGTAACATGCCCATAAGCCTCTAGAAAGACTGATCGTACATCAGGATACGAAACAGCTCCATCTTTGCCACCAAGATGGCAAGGCAAAGCACAAGAGAGACGAGAAAATGGAGAAGGACGAAGACAAGAGGAAGGGAATGACGAACGAAAAGGAGCAAGATGAAAAGGAGGAGAGTGAAGAGGATGAGGACGAAGACGAGCTGAAAGTGAGAAAAGGATAGGATGATGAGAGGAAGACATGAGGTATGTAACCTTGTCAAGAAATGCGACACAGATGTTTCAAGCGGAGCTCACATCTCCATCATCATGCAGTTTCATATTCAGCGCCACAGAAACTCTCATTGATCATTCCAAATGCAAGTAAACTAAGATAATTTCTTCCCCTTTCCCATCCATCGCTCATGTTGATGCCTTTCCAGGACCCAATCGCTCAATGCCATGGTATAGTGCCCGAATGAATGACGCCAGTAAATGCCTTGATGAAAAGCTCGCTGAACCAGTTCTGATGCCGCTAAAAATAGTTGTGAAAACAAACATACACTCATAATCACATACACCGAGTATTTGTAACCCGTTCAAAGCTAAAGGAGTGTCGTGTTCAAAACACCGATAACACACGATAAAAAAAGAAAAGTCCATGGCAGCAGAGTACCATTTTAGATAAGGGGGCCCGCCATCATAGGGCTGCCCCGTGTGTTGTTTGTCAGTGTTGATTCGTATGCCGCCGGAGAGCCAGATGAAGATCCTGGTCGTGGGCGGTAGTAGCTGTTTGCGTACGCAATCGGAGGAGCGGTATATGCTCCTTGTTGCGGCGGGAGGACACCAGGTGGTGTGCTGTTAAGCATGTTGCGATTGCTCCTGCGTCGACCGAGTACTGGTGATGCTGGAGCGCCTTGAACCGTGCCGGTAGAGTTGATAGACTCATTCGAATTACTCCTCACATGCTGCGCTGTGGTTGGCTGCTGCATTTGAGGAGAGCCGGTAGGGTTCGCCGGACGCTGGAAGCCCTGGGTGAAAGGGTTGGTACGGGCTGGCACGCTAGTGTCTCGCTGACCAAGTGCTTGTCTTCTAGTTTCAATAAGTTCCCGAGCTCGGAGGTTACGCTCGTCTGGAGTCAATCCGACAGGACGAGCGGCCGGCTGTACAGTAGCTTGTACGTTTTGCGTAGGCGATGGAGGCGGTCTGCCATTCCCGTCTGCGCGCAAGGTTCGTGTAGATGCCTGTGGAGCGAGCTGACGCCGCGACGGCTGTGGTCGTAGATTGAGACGTGAGGGCTGGGGTCTCATGCCTTGCGGTGGGTTGCCAGCTTCTCTGATATTAACGCGAGAGCCTGCTGGTCGCAAGGTAGCTACGGAGGACTGGTCACGGAGAACTTGACGGGAGTTGCGATTACGGACACCGCGTGCTTGCACGAATGCAGCCCAAGGGTTACCACGTGCAGCGAAAGGCGGAAGAGCTGCGCCTTGGACATGCAAGCCCATGGCAGCATGAGGAAATGCGTTGGCCGCATTGAAATTGCCAGAGTTCCTTCTGCTATTCGCCGAAGATGGACGAGCGCCAACACGACTCTGAGGACGATCTATCATGTCCATGGCTGCAGCTGCCTGTGTCTGCGCTATAGTGTCGATGCCATTTTGGGAAGAGGTCGTAGAAGTGCCAGGAGTCAATATGGTAGAAGCATTGCTATTCGAACTAACAGAAGGGGCACGATCGAAGCGGCTCATGTTGCCGGCACTTCCCATCGCTGGTAAGCCCGGAGACATGGCGCTTCGTCGAGGTGGGGATATTGGGAGCCGCGGATCCATTATGTAGTTAGAAGTATTGTCCATAAGCGGCGTTCGTATGCGCGCAGGGGGCATGAAGGGGGAGTAGGCTTGCGCTGGACTGGGTCGGTTCCTGTTCCTTGTGCGAGGGCGAGACAGTGGTGTGATAGCCCGTGGCTCAACGTCTATCAACGCGCCCGCCATCTGGTGCTGCTGTAGGGCCGCCTGATGAGCAGCGAACATCCAACTGATGCGTGGATCGTACTCGCGACGTTGCATCCGCGGCGCCCTTCGCCTGTGCCCTTGCGAGTTGTCCGAGTTATCATCAGTATCCGCCTCATTCGTTCCGTCCCCAGCAGTGGGCCCTTGGTTGTTGACGCGAGCAGCAGGATTTGAGAAGGCTGCATTATTTCGCAGATGAGCTTGTGAGCGGCGCGTCCGCAGGGCGTTCATGGCGAGTTCGATGTCGCCTTCCTGATCAGAGTCATCGTCGTCCGCTTCTCCATCTTCGTAGTGGGCTGTCGAGGTGGAGAGGATAGAGGATCTTCGGCGAAGACCACGCGAGGTATTCAAGGTGCGAACGTTGCCGGTTCTGGAGGGCGGGCGTATGGGGGCACTAGGCCGAGGACGATCTGCAGTAGGTGTTAGAGAACCGCCCATTCGGCTTCTGTCATTTGAGTTCGCAAGCGGTTCCCACCCAACGGTCGTCCTTCCTCCATCGCTGTCATCTTCATCCTCTTCTCCCATCTCGTCGTCGTAGTCGCGTTGCAACTCCCATCCCTCCTCTCGCAATAGCGCCTGGGTGTCTTCGTCGAGCTCCTCGTTGGAGACGTCGGTGGACGTGGTTGAAGCTGTCTCACGAGAGGATCTTGACCCATTTGCTCGATGTAGAACGCGAGTCTGGGCAGGATTCCTTACTCCCCTGCGGATCGGTCCTTCATCTTCCTCGTCTTCGTCTTCTTCCTCAACGGTACTAGAGCGGTTTGAAGACGATTCAGACTCGACTATGCGACGCGCTCGGGCTTGTGCACGCGCTCTGTTGTTGGGTTGTTGAGGAACAGGACCGGGAGTGGACGACGCAGCGCTGGGTGAACTCGATGCAGGTACGACCTCGTCGTCAATAAAGTCGTTCATGGAGGAATCCTCATCCAGGCCGTCTTCATCTTCTTCCTCGACCGTGTCCATTTCGTCACCGTACAGGTCTGAGACTATGCTTTGTGAGTAGGAGCGTCGGCTGCCGGCTTCGCTGTGCGTGATTGGACGTCGTCTTGCAAAGGCCGCTGCGTTGGGTGGTATGCCAGCCTCCAAGAACCGTCGCATCATGAAGGAGTTTTGGTCGGGAGGGTATGCACCCCAATCCTCCATGCCATCTCCGTAGCCGTCGTAGTCTGGGTCCTCCATGTCCATCTCGGCGTCGAGGTCGTCCTGATCGTGCTCTGACATTTCGTCCATGTCGCTGAAGCCAGTGAAGCTGTCACCCCATGAGACCTCGCCTGTCTCGTCGAAGATCAGCCCGCACTGGGTGCATCCGCCGTCTTCCAACTCCCAGGTGCATACCGGACATCGGTCAACACCATCTTCCTGATCGCGCACGACTTGCAGTGATGGTCCCCGTTGGTGATGCGATAGCCTGAAGCAGCCTTTGAAGAGACCGCCAGCGCGGAGGTCGGTATTGTCCTTGTCTGACTGCACGGCGTCGGCCTCTTCCTTCAGCCACTTCTTGTGGTCTTCGATGCTCTCGCCCGTGGGTAGTAGTTCGGCTCGTGCGATGAAGACGCTTGTCATGTCACGTATCTGGCCGGCTGTGTTAGATGTTCTCGCTGGGGTTGTATGCAGGCTGACTCACCACATAGGCGGGGGCCGGTAGGTCCTTGACGACGATGCGGCAGTCGGGACATGTCTTGCGGGCCTTGTTGGCGACGAACCATGTGCAGAGACACTGGGCTTGTTAGTGGGTGACAGGTGCAGCGGCAAGGTGCGCATCTTACTGTATAGCAGTAGGTGTGCCCACACGATATGGTGTAGGGCTGGTAGAGCAAGCGGTCACAGATCTTGCATGTGAGATGGGAGCGGAGGCTGTCAAACTCGGACTTGAGCGCCTTGAGTTGCTGCGGCACGTTAGCGAAGAGGTCTATATACCGACCAAAAAACAGCGGCCCGTACTTCGTCTGCCCTGCTCGGCTGTGTGGGCTCGTCCTTCTTGCTCAGCATCTTCTGCTTGAGGCTGTCCTTGCTTGCCGCCCGTGTCGGCTTGTCCTGGTCGATGAGTTTGGAGGCCGACCGGGTGGCAGTCGGGGTGGCTCCGCGCCCGGCCCGTGAATTTGAAGGCATGCCTTGTGTCTGGGAGCCAGCAGCGCTATGTGAAGTCGTGTTGGACGAGGATGCGATGGACGAGGCGGAATTCTTGGGGCGAGCGGTGGGCGGGGTTGGCGACGCTCGATTCTCCATGGCGGGCGGCGGCTCTCTCGTTTCTCTCTCTCACGGCGAGGTGCAGCTGGGGGTTGATAGACGGAGCATCTGCTCACATGGGACTTGCCCTTGTAGAGAAGAAAGACTATCGTTGGCAGTGGTTATGCATGCAACAGCGGGTCGACTAGCCTAAGCATGTTGGCGCTCGGTCGCTGCTGCCCTTGCCCTCCGACCCGTTTGCCGCAGCAGCCGTTCACAATCGTCTCTCACTCCCCTCCTTAGCGCCAGCAATGGGCATATCATTGCTGTCCAGCGCCAACCATCTCTACGACTATTCATCTCCCCCATGCAGGCTACTGTCTGATTGGATCTAGTCTTTCTATTGCGAGCCTGACCCGCCAATGACGTGGGCCACGCGACCTTTCACATTCCTGTCACAATTGCTCCCATGGCTCCGTTCAACCATTTCTCCACACCTTTCTTTTGAAACCTTTTTTCTCATCAATCTCCAACCCAGCATACTTACAATCCAAACACGGCTGCACCCAGCGCTCCTGCCGCACCGAACAGAGCCTCTCTTCCTACACGGCCTGTAGCTTTGGGCGCTGCATCACCATGCGCCGTTGAACTGGCCGTCAATGTCCCGCTTATCATCGCTTCCGCTTCATTCAGCATACTGATCAACACTGTGGTATGTGCGTTAGCGATTGGCCAATATGACGTCTAAGCATCGAGTCACCCAGAGAGAATGCCTACTTATGGCTGGCACTTTGTCGGCCCCTCCGTAACCAATTGTGACAAGCATCTTGGCCGCACTGCTCAAATGCCCTAAGCTCGACATCTCCAGATAACTAGTCCCATCCTGAACCTCGTCCCAGGTCCACCTTGTGTTCTCATACTTAGCGCAAGGCCGCGTAGTCTGATCAACAGCGGTACTGCTGCTGCATCGATACTCGTATCGCGCACAAGTCTGACTCGACTGTCCAACGGTGGTCTTGCTGCATTCGTCCCAGCGGAACGAGAAATCAAGCCTCCCTAATCCTTTTTGCGTGGCAGTCATTCTACCCGCTTCAACAATTTCTTCGGCGCAGACCACTGACTGTGGACAAGCCCAAGGTTCCGTGCAAGACGGATGGTCTAAATTAGGTCGGCAATCGATGACATAGTACACGTAGTCGCCACGAGCGGAAATGACTGAAACGTGGTAGTTGCGGTATTCATGTTTCCAGAATTTGTCGTTGGTGTAGGATGTAATGTAATCGCCAGAAGAAGCGAGGGGAAATGCAATGTAGAACGGCAGGAGAGTGGGAGTCGTCAAAGGAGAGTCCTGTGCCGACGCCACTAGAATAAATGCACACAAAGTACTCAGGACGGAGAGATACATCTTGCAAGACACATTGGCTAGAGACCAAGAAGCAGCATCATAGGGACTATATCATCTGTTGCTCCGGTTGCCAACACGTCCCATGGATCCTTTCAATATCATATTGCCGGTATCCGAAGCCACGATGACTACAAGCTTCCTGCTTCAGCAGTTCTATCATCTGACACATTACACGATTCGTATTCTGTGGGTGACAAGCGAACTGCGGCTATACTATGTCAGCTTAGGGTTGTTCGCTATGTCCAGGATTACGGATGTAGCCTAGACGCAGGATCGAATGACAGCTTGGGTGCATAGACAATCAACAGCATGTCAGCAATCCCTGATAAGAAGTCTAGTGATATTCGAATGATTCGAATAGCCTCTTCAACGTACACTTCCCACGTCGCAGTTTTTGTGGGACTCCCCGGCCTAGCTCCCGTAGTAGTCTTCCCGCCCCCACACTCGATGAAGAGGCGACAGAGTCGGACGGGTTGGTCAATACTGATAGAATGATTACTGCTTAATGCTTCCCGCCTGGGTCTCGAAGATGAATCGTAGGGTAACGAGTAATCATGACTGGATCTGGTGGCATTGTGAAGAAAGCGCCTTTAGTCCTTCTGTAGACTCTGATGAATGAAGAAAGTCAGTAATCGCAAACCTACATGGATCGGATATTCAGCGGAAATGTAGATTTTGTGCCTGGAATACGAAAATGCAGGGAGACTGGTAGTTTGTCGGGAAAGTGCTCATCTCCAACTCTTCCGACTGCCGTTGTTATCGATAACGCACCTCATCGGCGCATCATCAACTCTCTCATCGCAACTTATGCGCCATCGCAAAACCGTCCTACAGTTACACACCATCGCGCAACCCGAGCCATCTTTCTTAGTACCTTAATTCGAATCCTTCAAAATGTCCGAAAACCCAACTCCTTCGAAAGCCGACCAATGGACTGGCTCCAAAGCTAGTAAATTCGACAAGTACGCCACCATGACATCCGCGTCGCAAATGTCTGCTACACAGGACGCGCACTGATAAATCGGTATAGCAAGGCATACAGTGAATACTACGACCCTTGTCAGGAAGCCGCGGACAGGAGCATAAAGTGTTTGAAGAGGAATGGAGGAGAGAGAGCTATGTGCTCGGATTTCTTCCAGTGAGTGCAGCGCCCGTAGCAAGTTCAAGAATCAGGAAGTCGAGGTGTTCGTGGGGATATTACATAGGGAATGGAAAGATAATCTAGAAGAGTTTTGCTAATGTGTTTGACCAGGGCATATCGAGATTGCAAAGAGCAATGGGTATGTCCCGCCCATCCCCGACTGGCCCAGCACGAACACGACCATTCCCTCCTGCCCATACAACGCGCCGTATCATCGCTATGGGACGAACGCTAACGATTGTATAGCAAGAAGCGAGGAGAGAAGCAAAGAGGAACAAGTCGTGGTTTGGCTGAGTGGTGTGAATAACGCTCGTGGTGAGCAAATGTACAACATCTCCTCTCTGCATAAGCACGGCGTTTGATACATGCTTGTATTCACTGTAATATATTGGGATAAATTGGGTCACTGGTCTGTTGGACACAGAGGTCAATGAGTCGTTAGAAAGTCTCCAGCTGAACGATTAAAAGTCATTGCCTGTGCTGACTCAATGCGACGATTCGAGCAGAACATCTACGCTATCATCATACACTGCCCAGCTCAAAGCCTTTCAAGCTATACATGTGTATCTGAAGCTATCGCTTTTCCAGAGACCTCCATCTGTTACCGCGGTAAGCGCGAATTCAAGCTTCAAAACACCCTGACGTACACAAGATCACGCAATTTCCCCAGACAAGCAATCAGCCCACCTCCAAGTCCTGACGTGCTTGATTCATTGGTCGTGCTTGTCGTACTTGCCCTGGTTACCTTGCCCTTGCAGTAGCATGAGGCTGTGTGCTGACGATCTGCACCCCACCACCCCACTAAAGCTACCCCTCCAAGGGCCCTTCTAGCTGCCTTCCTTCTTTCCGTCCAAAGCTTCCTTCCATCTTCCACTCACCTCTCTCACTACAATCAATGAGAAGCTTCCTTACCCCTTCTACCGTTCAACGCGCAACAACCCGAGCCTTTTCTACAACCGCACGCATCATGGGTGTCCAAAAGACCATCCTCTCAGAGGGCAACGGCCCCTCCCCACAGAAGGGCGACAAGGTCACCATGGAGTACACTGGCTGGCTCAAGACTAGCACCGGTGACAAGGGCAAGCAGTTCGACAGCACCACCGGCCGTGGTCCCTTCCAGACCCCCATCGGTGTTGGTCGCGTCATCAAAGGCTGGGATGAGGGTGTCGTTCAGATGAAGCTCGGCGAGAAGGCTAAGCTCGACATCAGCAGCGACTTCGCTTACGGCTCCCAGTAAGTTTGGATAGAGCTTCTTCTTTGCGCGCAAGCACTAATGTTCTTCTAGGGAGTTCCCCGGCTTGATCCCCCCTAACTCGGACCTCATCTTGTAAGTTTTCGCGTTGTGATGTATGTGTCTGGGTTCAAATGCTGACTCTAGAACAGCGAGGTCGAGCTCAAGAAGATTAACTAAGTCCACGAAGCAACCGATCACGGATAGACGTAATAGTCGCCGTTATAAACTTTGGGATAGCAAAGGGACCAGCATAACATTCAATATATGAAGTTATGAAACCTAGTTGCCAAACTTCTTCATCTCATGTGCAAGCTGTTTGCTTTCTTGCATTCTCAATGTGCTTGTTGATTGATCTCCCAGTGTCCTCTAATAGTGTTCCATGATCGAGATATAAAACCCATTATCATGCCTGGAACATCGCGCATGGCCACTCAAGCCATCTACATAAATTGGAAAAAACCTAGGCCCATGCAGATGAGAACACCAACCATGCTGAAAGATGGACGAATTGCAGCACCCTCATCGTCCTCACCACTACCGACATTAGTAGCCACCGACCGGTCTGTCAATGGGTTTATCCATAGGCACATGAGCTGTGAGTCTGTACCACTCACAGCGCCCTCAATATTCCCATCTGGTGACCAAAATGTGGTGATAACGATGTCAGTACCGGCACCCAGACCACTTGCATTATAACCAAAAGCGTAACTGAGGTCGTTAGACTTGGGAAGAGTCGGGTGACAGTTCGAGCTGGCGTTGCTTGCAGAATCCGGTGGTGTAGGCGCGTCCTTGCCAGTAAGTGCTGAAGAATGTCAGCTCACGATTACCTGCAGATGTCGACTAGAAGGCCGAATACGTACGTATTGCAGATATTCCAGGCCATGAAGTAGAATTCGTCACCTCGGAACACTCGTCAGGGAACGTTTCATTCAGTCCTCTTTGCACGCGAAGACAGCTCTCTTCCGTCATCTCTGTTTCATTGGCAGATAGTCCCAGTAGCGTGTTAACCTGGGTTAACAACGACGATATGCACGTCGCGCCGACAACCTTCTCGCAGTCCCAAGAGTTGTTCCGCCCAACAGGATTGTCATATAAGAAAATGGCACAGCCTCGATACGGTAGATCCTCACTATCAAGTTCGAGTGAAGGAGGGGTGCCGAGATAAAAGCTCTTCTCCGTGAGTGCAGTCTCGACGGGGTGGGTTTGGTTGTGGTGTGTAGCGAGGGTCCATGTCAGATTGTTGTTGTCATTTGTAATAGCTGTGGAGAACGATCGTAGCCCGATTGCTTCATAGGTTTTGTCGGTCACATTGCATTCTGCTCCTACAGGAGTGTCGTCGGGAGGGCAATGTACATCTCCACATGAGCCGACACTGCTGTTGAGGGCGTATTGTGCTGACGCGGAGGAAAGGAAGGTTGTGAATAGTAGTGAGGCTTGAAAGAACATATCGCGATATATGAACTTGTGGGGGAGATTCAGGAAGGCTTCTGCAATTACGAAGATACTATACTGGACTGGCAATTGAGTAGATGCCGTGGTCTGGCAGCTTATGAGCTTTGAGACCCACAGCCAGTACCTATTAGCTGCTGGACCGATCCATCCTTTGGCCTTATTTTATCACCAAACGCTCTCGTGTTGTAATTCTGGCTAATTGCGAGGCGCACAAGGACTGTTGCAGACTGCATACGGTAGTTATGATGTTAGCCAAGCAACAATACTGCCGAGCCACCATACAACGTCGTCTAGACATCCGATATCCGTGTAGATTCTGGGGTTAGGCCACCGAGGCCCCCTACACTTGCCCCCTCGTTATTATGACCGTGCCGCTTTAACATCGTGTTATAAGGTCACCAGTGCACACGGCAGCCTGAACAGGGGCAGACAAGGCAGATTGACAGATAGAACAGTATGACAAGCTGGGTAGAGTTGACAAGAAGGGCTACGGCATGACGTCATCTTATCATTATCAACATGCGCGCTTCGCAGATCTCCAAAAACACGCTAGCGACACTGCATCCTTCTATCCTCGATCCCTCGAAAAGTCCGCATGCGTATTCCTTCGTCGCAGCACACTTGGCTCGCCCTCATTCACATTGACGATACTACTATCCCGACGCCTCCTTAATGTCCGGGCTCTTCGCGATAGCTTCTCCCACCATCCCTGCCGATGAAGCCAGCCTCCTTTCAAGCGTAATAGTAACCACAACAAAGAACCGACAGCGAAGACGAATAGAAGGAAAGAGAGGACATTTCGTTCAAAAGGAAACACGGAGGTGTCGATAGCAAAGACACTAGAGGCAACGACTACAGGAGATATAATAAGAATGGTGAAATTGCTGTTGTTTCCGCCTTCCAAGCTAAGGCGGTACTGCAGTTGACAAGCAAGCTCTTTGCATGAATTTCGAAAATAGGATAGCTTCTTTCCAAAGGTCCTCAACTCCCTATACACATCGTCTAGCTCGATTTTCAAGCGCTCGATATGTTCGATAACCTGGGATGGTAGCGTCGCATTTGGGTCGTCGAAATAATCGATGTCGCTTTCCTTGAAGCTATCCCAGCAGTGGACCTTCTCCCCAAGATCTTTGATCAACATAGTCAGAAGCTCCAGCATGGGCTCGTTCCACTTCATTATGGCAGACTGCTCGGCTGGAGATGCAGTAGAAAACGGGCGGCACGTTATATGGTTTCTGAACGAAGCCTCCACTCGCCCGATCACCCTCTGGATCTCATTTTGGGCGTGCTTCGCTTTGACCAAACTGATGGCCAGGTAGTACTCCCGAGCATCAGTGAAAGGCATGTTCGCATCGAATTTGCCCATGGATATCTGATCCCTACGTTGGTACTCATCGCGTTCATCATCGCCGATCCCACGGTCTGAGTTGAAACTGGTATCTTCGAGGTTGTATGCGATCCAACGAGTGTTATCAGAACCGGAGACAGTGAACGATGATTGCGCTTGATACATACCACACGTATTCGGTTCGTCCGTTGGTTCAAGGAAAGAAAGGTCCGTCCATGTGTTTCGGTTCGACTTCTCACCTCCGGGTTTGTGCGAGACCTCTGGTTTTGTATCTTGAAATGCGAAGTAGGGAAAGTGGTTTCTGAGCTGGTAGATACGGTACCCTTCGAAGGAAACTCTGACTTCCATGGACGTTTGGAATGTGACGAACTTTCCTAAGAGATCTCGGAGTGCTGGAGCTTGGTGCTCGGTCGCCGTTTCAGTCAAGGTGAGCATGTGGCATGGAGATGGATTCGTGACGTGTATAAGTCGCCGGTCTGCGTCCTTCATATGCTCATGGTTGAAACGTCTTTCACGAAGATGACGCCTTAAATCTCTTGCTGTCAAACGCTCCTCGTACTCCCTAGCTTCACACGTAGTGCTCTGTGTTGAGATGAGGGGATGTCTTTCGTGGGCATCTGTGATATCACATTCGATGCTACCATGGGAGAGAATAACATCCAAGTGTCGCATATGTGCCGTGTTCGGAGTTGTCGGGTTACTTGTAGTGTTATGCACATTTTGCCCCATATTTGTTGAAACAAGCGGAGCTGTCCTGTCGTCGAGCCACGCCTCGCCTACGCTCATTTTTCCCGTGTCATTAAAATCCTTTTCTTCAACACCCTTACAGTATTCTAATACAGCCTCCACGAATGGAGATATTCTATCGTCATCATAATGCTGCATAAAGAGTTTGATCCCATGGTGCGGGGTCAGGAGTTCGCCCAACGATTTCATCCACGGATAGAGTTCTTGTGGCCTTCGGTCATGACTGAATATCTGTGGCCATTGTCTGCTAAGCCGCCGAGAGCCTGGACTAAGTATGGAATCCCCAATGTGAGCCATAGGAAACTACATGACAAGTCAGCTCAGACTGAAACAGCCAGCTCCAGAGCTTCGAATATAGGAGAATTTCTTGCGAAGAAGCTGGATCGTAACTGCAATCTCCATTCTTTCCTAAATTGGTAGATAAACGTAATGACGAACAAAACGCTGTTCAGAACGTACCTCGCGGAACGTGTTCTATCAAAACCGTAATATACAATTGAAATATCTCGAGTACGATGATGCTGTATCCATATGCTGGTGCATGTTGATAAGACACCTTTTGATAAGATCAAAAAGGCTTAGATGTATCCAGGAGGTCGAGGAATCGTCCACCCGGACTTGAATAAACCAGGTCGATCTGCTCCTCATATACGGCTCAGTCAACCCGGTTATCAACACTAGCAGATCGAGTGCTGGAATGTTCAATGCAGAGTCGTTTCGTATCGTATATGCCCAGCCAACAAGAGACGGAAACGTTATTCTTGTCCCAATGTTGTGTCCAGAATGCGCGTCTTACCATTCGTACACGTATGCTAGCGTTTGTGATACCATGGTCACAAGGTTGACGGGAAGGCCTCGTTTGCCTTGTTTTACTTGCGCCTCCATAGCTGCATTCTCATAGGGTGTCGGAGGCTTGCAGTACTATTAGTGGCGCGCAAAAGAGTCCATAGCCAACAGCCCCAGTTAGTTGCGATATTGGAACTGCCATGAATGAAGGATTTTACATACTACACTATCGTCATGCAGAGGTTGGGCAGCGAGATCTGTCCGTCTGACGTGCAGAGAGAGGGCGTCGGGTTGCCAGATAAAGACTTCTGGGATAATACGCCACCTGCAAGGCTCGGCATTGCGTATATCCGATACGCAGTCGTGACAACCCAGTATGCACTCCTTCCGCTTCCCGAAAGGAAGCCGCTCGTGACTGTATGGTCAGTATTAGCCCATGTAACTGATGGACCGAAATTCCTTACCAAGCCGATACCTCCCTGGTCGGCACGGAACATGCAAATGAGTTCCTAGGTAGCCGATGTCGGGCTTCGAGGCTGACACACTATATTGTTGCCCCTCATGCAAGATATTGGTTCAAGGGTCGTCTTCCATGATTGGTTGTGCCTTCGCCAAAGGTTATAGTCTAGCCACTACGTCGACGTGAAGATTTCAGGGACTTTCCTAATTAGTAAAGATGCGTTAGCGTTTTCAACTTCCAGCAAAGCTTATTGTAACGACACATAAAGATGAATACTGAGTTCTCCTACAATATGTGAACCTATTGTGCTTTTGAATATCTCAGTATCCGTTCGCCTGCAGTGTTCGAAGAACGAGTTCCGACCTCAGGATGTTGCGAATATGTCAATTATGGATTCTGACTTGTAAGAGTTAGAACAGGGAGCAGACTAGAGACCAGTTCAGTGATGGCCATATGGGCCTGCAGGACATAGGATGATTTGGGTAGCCAGCATGAGGTTGAGCGAGGTAGGACTGGGGGAGCGACTTATGGGTACAAAGAAGAGGTTGTGGTTTACCAAAGTATACGATCATGGGAGACAAGAATAGACGATAGCTTTGGCTTTTTTCTTCATGAATCACTATCCGCATCTCGCTTCTATCGCACAACGTGGCAGTCGATCGAATCATGCTCCGCCTCTTCTGCTGGGCAATGTACCCATGCTCCGTATGGATACTTCCTGTGATGATATCTGAAGGATAATCTCATAAGTGGCATATGAGGCCGCACCTGAACTCGTGTAGTCGTGCAGTAGGCACATCTTCCATATCCACAACTTGGGCATCCAGCGCTCGATATAGGAATAGAAGAGGCGCCACAGTGGCACTGAAAAGATACGGTTAGATCTAATATTCTTGGCAGTTAGAAAGATAGACTTGCACACTGCCAGATATAGACGTGGCGCTTCTTGGCCTGGATGGGTGAGTTCGGGTTCCTTATGTGACGAGTATTCTCATACGCAAGTACGATGGGGTAATTCTGTCGCTCTAGATGTTTCATTCGTCAGCTATCTGCAATAGTATTCGGTGAGCTTTTCTAACCGTATTCTAGTCAGCAATTGCTTTCTAAATGCTGTAGGCGAAGGGGACCTTTTCATTTCTCAGGAATTTGCGTGCCGGTTGCAGGTAAGCTCTAATTGGTTTAAAAATGTGTTCTAATCGAAGGTGACTCTCGACCGATGGCATACGTCTGGAATTTGTAGGACGACTTCGCATCTGGTAGACTTAGCTTTCGGACCGAAGTAGCAAACATGCATGCGCTGTCAACTGAAGAAGACTGAAGCACAAATGAATGTTATGAGGTGTTTGTAGGTTACTAGCACGTCGCGAATCTCGTCTAGCTTTATGAAGTCATCTAATTGTAGAACATCAAGGCTTGCAAGCCCTTTGTATCATGGCGTTCGCACACTGCATCCTTCTCTGATATCGGTTACTGTGCGGGATAAGTTGCGTCGTGGCTCGACAATAAATGTTGATATCTAGGTACCCTTGTGGTGGCGTTATGCATATTGACATCAAGGCACATTAGCTCCTCTCGCCAGCGTAGCCGCGCTATAAGGCGGAGTCAGAGCAGAGCATCTACATATTGAGATGCGTTTTCGTACGTTGTTACCGCATATATGGCTAGGGGTAAGAACCTATACATACCGAAGATCCCAGCACTTTCCCTGGTCAGATCCATTCCCTGTTAAAGGCTTTGCGTAGGCCCTTGCTTTTCTCGGACGTTTTGTGCGCAGTAGTGACGAACCTTACACCGCCAATCTCACTGTGGCGGAGGATTCCAAGCACCTACTGAAGCTCTGGCACGGGACGAATCTACCTATCATGGCCACAAATGACCCTGAACGGTGATGTTTCCCGAGCCGTTGCCGTCCCGAGTACCCATGTAGAGGCTCCGGTATGCTTGAAGAGTAAATCCAGGATCCTCAAACAAAACACAAGACAGTGGACATCACAGACGATCCTCGATGGTGAGTAATGGCGGATGTTTTCTTTTCAGTTCCAAAACATCGCAGCACCAATGCGGGTGGCTTCACCAAAATGAAATAGCTGCATATTCGTTAGGAAATACCTTTATCCATCGACCACAGTCGTTGTACGAATCTCCACATCTATACATATACTGTGGCTAGTTTTCGCGGCATCTTCCCGTTCTCTGCATGAAGCATTACTGACTTTCTCGTAGTGTTCTCGTAGAATTCTCGTGGTTTGTCGTCATTGCATAGTCTGATGTGTTTTTTGGGGCACGCTTGGAAGCCCTCAGAAAGCGATTGTGTTTCACTGAGGCCATCGCCGCATGGACCCAACTCCTTAACAGTCTTCTCAGCTGAGGTCAGACTATTAGTAATCCCAAAATCTTGCTGACCCGCTCACCTTTTTCTCGGTGATGAGGAACAAAACACCAATTACTTTCTGGTTGTTCCGCACCTAACCGCCACGGCCTACGATGTATATTTTCCTACACTCAAGCTTGTCGGGCGAATTCTGCTCTTTCTGGGCAGAAAATCTCCTAGTCATCAACTAAGAATTAAGTTCTGAACCAGCGCATAATTAATGACGCATCCTTCTCTTATAAGCAGTAGTGTTCTACTGCCCGTGCTTGCAACCAGAGAATCAAGTTATGGATGCCTTCAGAACAGATATCTGAGATATTGCCCTCAATCATCAGGCCGCCTGTGTTGGCATCGCAGATGTCATCTTTTGTCTACTTCTTCCGTAACCCCATCGTCTTGTTAGAACCAGCAGAAAATCAATCTCGAAAGCCACACGAGTTTTGGAAAACGCGAGGCCATTGTTTGCCTTCGATCTTGTGACTGTGATCGTGGCCGATTTTATGTTTGCTAATCCGGTTCGTGTATGTTCCATATGTATAGTCGGAATTAAGTGGAAGTGACACCGGTATTGCAAGATGTAGCGATTGGTCGTTAAGGTGATATCCGGAGGATACGTTTGCTTTCATCGATGAGCCCAAGGATATGATCGCTGTGCTATACGAGGCCAATGGCAGAAGCTTGATACCTGAATGCGTCGGCATTTTTGCTACCTACTGAAGACGCCTACTCCGTCGGATGATTGTGCTTACATGGAACATGGCGAAAACAAGTGCGTGAATACTTCAGCGTACAAGGCATTGACGGTGAGAAATGGTGAGATTTGGCGCAGAGCCTGGAGTTCGCTACTGGGTCACAGCGTCTAGCGTTAGTTTGCGCAGTTCTCCCACTGTGCCGGGAGAATCTATCAGCGGACGCCTGCTCGCTAGCAGTTCGGCGCGCAGCTCCATGGAGAAATACCGAGAATCGAAGTGGACAAGTGTCCGACGTCCATTGATTGTCCACCAAAGCATTAGGAGATGTCTGGGCGCGTGGTGACGTATGTCGGATATCAAGGCGAATCGCAGGACGCGTCAGACCGCATCGATGCACCCAAAGCGTGAGTTCGATGCGCATGTTGATGATTCCACATAGCTGCGTAATGGTAGGGCTATACTTAGTGACACGGCTGAGTATGCATTGCAAAACCCATGTAGAGACGGGTCGATAAAATGATAGGCGCACGGGTGGCGAGGGACAAAGCCGCCTGGGCATTGACGCGGGTCGCTACTAGGTTGACGATCGTTGTAGATAGGGATGACCTTGCATACGCACTGACGAAACAATTATACCTATCGATGCCACTATATCAGGTATTCAATCAATTCAGTAGGTACCTCAGAATGCTGCTATTGGAACACTTTCGCTTACATCCCGAAGTCTTTTCCTCAACACGGAAAGACGAGCTAACCTTGAATGGCAGAAGAACCGCTTTCAACATGAATCATCCAAATGATTTGGCCCTTCGGTGCGACATGATCATTCAGCATAGCCACTCGAACGCGTAGCACCACTGACTCTAGCAAACCCATTTTCCGCGATCTCGAGTCTCAAGCGTTGCTCGGACGGTCAGAATCCAGGGTTTGCTCGACCACGTTTGCAACTTCGATTGGCTGGTTTCGGCCCAGACGCATAAGGATTTTGTGCTGTAGGTGTTTCCTGTGCTGATTGAGCCACTCAATGCCGAAGTTGATGGTCGGAAATACAAGTAGCATCACGAAAAGACATAGAACGAAAGCTTTGGGAGTTCGTTCTATCGAGAAAAAGTTCTGTTCGCCACAAAAATACTGGAGTACGAAGGCGAAGGGTGTCGAGATAAAGAGTAACTAAAACGCTCGTAAGTAAGTCAATGGAACTTGAAGTCTGAAAATCCTACCTGGGCATTGGCACGAGTCGTGCGGCTTGTTTCCTTGGCGATTGATTGACTCTCGAGTGCTATTCTTATTGTCTGTTCACTGAGTTTACTTGTAAGAAGATTGAGGCTGTGGGTTTGATTGCTGAGTCTGTGGTTTTGGAGGTTAAGCTCATTGCTTTCAATCACCATACGTTGTGTAAGCTTTTTTATTAGCAATAGAGAACTCTACGTGCCTCAAGCAGACTCACCACATCTGTTGACTCCACACGGTGTCCATCGAGAATGCCGAGCTTCCGTTCCAAGCGTTTCAACCTCCCGAATGATTCTCGGAGCGTGTGCAGCGCAATTTGGGCATCTCTGTCGGTGATGTCGGAGAAGAAATTCATGTGCCCATCGGGAGCGCTGAAGTCATCCCACGCAGCTGCTGTGATCGACAAACGTACGCGAAGCTCCTGTAGAAGTTCTTTCAGGACGAAAGTATCCTTGAGTGATTGTCGATTACGCGTAGACTGATCTTGTTTCTGATGAACTTCGAAGGTGGTATAGATGATGTGCTTCTTCTGTCAAGTACATTAAATCCATGCAACAATAGAACTGATCAAGGTAGATTACCCAGTGTTCAATGCCATCCTCAAGCATGTCGATCATGTAAACGTATTCCTGCACTATTATCTCAACCCGTATAGCTACAACACGTAAGAAATATCTTCGCGGGTCCCAGATGACTGGGCTTATATCTGGATGGAGTATCAATCCGTCTGAAGCGAAACGATCATCGTCCAACATATCAAGATCAGCCTCCCCCTTCTCACTACCCTCTTCTCGACCATCATCAATCTCGTCTTCTTCTTCATCTTCTTTATGAACGATGATGTCCTCGTATTCGGGATCGTTTGGACTGTGGTCGGAAAATGCATATCCTGTCCAATCAAACTGGTCGCATCCAGATATGGAGACGGTTGTGTGCGCAACTCGAATAACAAAGAGAGCAGCCCCCCTGCTGTCCTCACAACCGATATTCAAGAAGCTAAGGTCGGTCTCAAATTGTTTGTCTCGGGTGTCGGAAAGATGTGGTCGAGTGTACTGCGATGATTTCTGCCTCAACTTGAGATAAGTAGCGCTGAATAACAAGTTGAACGTCAAGAATCCATCGACCTGTACGTCGTCATAAAAAAACCGAGTATATGGAGCTCAGACACGATCACATACCGGTATTATGGCTTCTATCCTTGGTTCGCGAGCAACGTGTCGATACAATACTGTCCTCAGGGCTAACACTTCTCTCCAAGATGCCGTGGTGACAACAGCGGTCAGAAAGCGTTTATCGAAGCTGGGTATGTATCTGTAACGTAAGTCAACTACTAGTCTATCACGGTAACGCAAATTTCCTATTGCCACCAATGTGTCAAATGCTCACATCAAACGTCGAATAGAATCTAGCTTGTCATTTCCCCGCGCAGACTTAGAGGTGTTAGCATTCTTCGGAACCTGGAGATGGAAAGACTGTTCGACCTACGTGCTTCGTAAGATACTCCGTGAGTTCATCACAAGTAAGCCACTTGGGTCGTGATTTGGATTGCTCTGTCGATTCTTTGCGAGACTCTACCCAAGCCCGTATGGAATTTTGATGAGCCGATCCTTCAGATAATTCTTGTCGCAGGAAATGCCGCGCTCGCTGCACCTCGAATTCCTGAGACGGTACAGAGCTCTCAAAATCTTGCAAAAATGCATCCAAGACGTCTCTCTCCACGTGACATTGCTCGAGGATCTTCGCAAACGACTGGTCGTGTAAGTTGCGGTTACGTGTTGCGAATGTCGGATTCCACTTCCTCAAGTAAAGATTCCCCGCTTGGTTCTCATCGGACTGATCTCGACTGAGGTTTTTGCATGCCTGGCTCGCCAACCGAATCATGTCGAGTTTTCGAGTTCCAACCCCTGGATTCGCTAGTTTGCAGTACACACTATGAAAGATTACACGATCGAAGGCGGTATACACAGTGAACTTGATGGTGCCTCGAGTGGATTCGAGGAATGGTAGATTGTTCAGCGGCGGTTGTAAAAATAATCGATGCAAATTTAACGTCTCCAGAAGTCTCAAGGCTGATAGAGCACATTGAAGACGACCACGTCTTCAGTTCTTATTCGCTGTTATATAGGGCAACTTTTTACACGTCATTCAGCCTTAAAGGGCGAGAGGATTGGGGCTATGTAGTTTGGTCAGACTCAGCCTGCGATTGACTAGTTCACTTGAACTCTTTGTCAACCAAGAGGCACGACGGCTCACATGACCACAAGAAGGGCACAATGCTTCCGGCAACTGTAGTGACTATATAACATTCATAATATTGACCAGCCAGTACGGTATACGATGCGTACGTAAACGTACCGAACGACCAAACTATACTGTTTATGATACTTTGCGGGTTTCTATAGTTGTATTTGTTGGCGAATGATCGAGATCTGTACCTGAAAAAGTAAATATCGTGCAGGCTAGAAACCCTATGACTTGTGACAAAAGAATTCTTTTGACTGGGAGAAACGAGAATGACCTAGGTATACAAAGGTACTAAGATTCTCGTGAAAGATGCATGTCTTGGCTCCAGCCTTTTGAAGCCGTAAGCATCTGGACGGCTTCGTTACATGTCTATGAGACTGATCAAGGCTCTGTAATACGTCATCTGTCACCCTGCTGCAATGTGGCGTCCGAAAACTGCCATGGAGATACTAACCGGTGAAGAAAGGTGTTGCGTCATCCTTGCATGGAGGGCTCGATTATAGCACTTGCAGTACTCTCCAATAGTGTATGCATGATCATTCAACCTCGCTCGGGCTGGGTTTGCCTAGGTAGGGTTACTCGAATCGTCCTCATTTAAGGGCCCCCGGAAAGCGCCTTCCATAGTGCGACACGTCTAGGTCTTCAGATCGCCACGGAGGCTGTTGAAGGCGTTCTTTCTGACAGGTGTTGCAGGAGTGAGGCTACCTAGGTATGTCGGACCTGCCAAAAAGGCAGTCCAGTTGGCTCGGTCACAGACGATTGCAAAGTGCATGCCAACGTCAGTTCATTCATTCGGTTGATCGGCTGAAAGAAAGAGAGGCTCACCATGATCGTTGACATATTTCATGTTTGGGGAGTAGGTAGTACTCAGGTAGCCATCAGCCAAATGGGCGCCTCCAGGCCTTTATGCATGGTGTGCATGCCAGCGCACCAGCAAACGCCACACACCACAACCGCAGGATTCAGGCTGCGCATGTCGGCAATCTACGCGAAACATCAAGTATCATTCAAGAGAACGGAAGCATTCTTCAAGCAACCTTGGCTAAGACATTATCTAGCGGATAAACCTCAGTCTGGTTTCACAGCTGTACCTAGGTACCTGGGTAGCGTTCAGTTAGAATGGTCGTTTCAATTGCTTGGCTACCACGTCTACCTAGGTAAATTTTCTCTTCTCTATTTTTGTGAGCCCAGCGCACGATTTTCGGTTTTAGTTGACCGGAAAAGAGGCTGGTGAGTGTTTGTGCCTTGACAACTGCCTACCGGGCTCGGACTCAACCTCAAGCTCCAGAACAGAAACAATTCAGGTTATCTGGGTAACGATACAGGACACGGGAATCTAGTACACTCGAAAAGCTTAGAGACCTCAATAGCAACCAGATATCCTCCAGCTTGGGTTGGGGAATACTTCCATGAGAGGACCTTTGATGGATCAGAATCGGAAGCTGACGCAAACCAGGCTGGAACCAAAGACGATATGTGTGTTTTGATAAGGTTTAAATAAACAATTCGCACAATTTCTCAACAGATGTCTTCCCATCCAAGTATTCTGGGATATATCATGCTTTCAATCTTGCTTGTCAGCAAACAATGCAAGGAGAATACTGTAAGGTCTCGTCGTTCGAAAAAACAAACGGCTAAACCTTTCGTCGGGCAGCTGTGCTTCGCCAAACCTGGTTCCGTTTATCATCCCTACTGTACCCTTTAAGTTGCCTTCGAGACCATGTCGAGTAAATGAGAGATGCGACTATCTGAGCTGCACTTTGGTGGTACAACAATTGCCACAACGCCCACATCCGCACGCAGAACAAGCTTGAATCTGATACGATATGTTTGGCCGACCGCAATAACAACATTGCCAGACATAAGTGTATCTCTTCTTGGCCTATCAACGTAAGCCAATCGGACCATTGACCAATTCTACACAGAGCTCTTCCCGTGGCTTACCAGTGTTTGTATAAGTATGTATTCGCGTCGGCTTGGTACTGTCTGTCCCGTTGCTATTAGGGGTAACGTTTCGGCAACAGTCTTGTTGCGGCATTCATTGTCGGCTTCTCTTCGACCGGTTCGGTGTCGGGGTTGAGCGTTAGGTAAACGACCTCGATAGACCTGCATAGCACGACCTCGAGCCTTATGATTGTTCATCTCGTATAACGAAAGCTATGAAGGAGTTTAGTTTATCGGGGGAATATGTTTGTTTAAAAGCGTAATAGTCTTGCCTCGCAATAGCAGGGTTAAACAAACGATGTTCGACTTACGAGAAGAAGTATTTCTACAGCAGGTGAGGAGCTGCTTCAGACCTTAAATACTCGATTACAAGTACTAAAACTCGAGCCGGATGCTACAAGGTATAATTTGACCTATGATACAAGCATTAAATTCTCAACCTTAGGAGGCCGTAAGTGACAGCGTTAGAAGCGGACCTCGGGAGGCATCCGAAGTCACTAACCTCTGAGTGCCAAAGCAAACCTTAGGTTGATAACGTGTCTTCTAAGATTAATTAAAGGACCGTTTTGCTCACAGAGTTTTCAGCACGAGCACGGCCTTTAAGACCCGAGCATTACGGCGCCTTATGTTATGTATTACATGCATGACCATCAGCGAACAACAACGATGTTTCTGAAACATCGATCCAGTCTGCTCTTCCCTGTTCGTGGATACCGTGGAGCTGTACACACATGCTTTACTAGTTGACAGGGTTCAAAAGAAGTTCTTTTCACTATGCTCAGATGGCCTCCAATGCAAAACAATGCGAACACGATCGGGTCACCGTGTAATAGGATCCCGCTCTCGGCACTTTGATTTCAATAAAAGGAAAAGCAGACTGCGGTACAATCTATGTAGCGACGCGATGCTCGATGTGGTGTCAGAATCATTACTACCTAGGTAGCCAAGAAAATACTATGTGGAATTGCAAGCCGCAAGAGCGTCTGTGGCGCTCCTAAAACAAAACCACCATACATTGTTTTCGACATGATTTGCTCCTGAGATTAACTGAGTTCAATTGAGGATCAAAATAAGCCCCAATCTGTCATGATGCGAACTTCGATCCTGGTACGAAAAGTGCACAGGTGCAGAACCGTTTCTTTGTCCTCGAAGACCTCAGGAAACTACGTAATTTTCCCAGATCGATCAATGAGTATGACAAATAAAGTGCGATACCGAAGACAAAAGGTCCAGGAAAGGAGAAATTGGGGATATGAGACGATCTGCCTGCTCTTAGATCTATTTGATGTGGTACCGAGTCAACAACAGGAAGGGAGCAATCGCAAGATATCGATGTAACTGACTACGCCGTTGCATCCATTGCGATACTTCTGGAGTACAGTACGAACATACGAACACTTAAAATATCGATTATACCACCGGGCGTTGTTCACGAATGCATCAAAAGGAACATGTGTGCAGTGTGATGAAAGGGGAGTTCATGGAGAAGCGGTGTGACGTGGTCATCCAATCTGTGCTCCCAAAAGGCATGTCTTGGACTTGTATGACCACTTTCAAGAATGAGATTGAACATCTTGATAAGTGTACATAAGAACTCAAACTGCGTTCCGAAGCCACTATACACTCTCGATTGTCGAGCATAGGTGTTGAAGAAGAATTGTGATTCAGGATCAGGTGCTCTGAACTGCTCGGTTTTCAGCCAATATCCCTACAAGCTTTGCCGGATTCTTCGCGCAAGATTGTCATTTTACACCTGGCAAACGGTTTTACTAACGTTAGATTTTGGTAAACTTATCGCTATGTGTGTAAAATGTGGGCGGCGCTCTGGTAGGTACATTGGACCTCATGAAGGTTACAATGTCGACGATCGACATAGGCGGCGGGTACCTAGGTAAGTAGCGAGGTTGGAGCTTGTGCTCAGGGTACCTAGATGTCAAGCTGTTCGGCGCCGCTCGATTCAACATCAACCCTCAGTTGAGGCACCAATTGCTCTACACCACAACGAAAATGTTGCCCCGAATTCTTCACGTCCTCTCCCTTGTCATCGGCACTTCTGCTGCGGTCACACTACCTCAGACACCCTTCGAGGAGCCTAATGTCCTCGGCTCATCAACTGCAAAAGACCTCCTCCATCTCCACCGCAAACTCATAGAGATCGAGTCCATATCTGAGAACGAGAAGAATGTAGGTGAATGGCTCAGCGACTACCTCCGCGCACGCGACTGGACTGTCGAGAAGCAAGAAGTGTCCAAAGATCGATACAATCTCTTAGCTTACGGCAGCAAACGCGAAACCACGATCCTACTGTCCTCGCATATCGACACGGTCCCACCGTACTGGCCGTACTACTACAATGAGACGACCGACATTATCGGCGGCAGAGGCAGCGTGGATGCGAAGGGCAGCGTCGCACCCATGATCATCGCGGCACAAGGCATAAAAGGTCATCTACAAGATGATATATCGCTACTCTTCGTTGTGGGCGAAGAAACAGGCGGCGACGGCATGCGCGCTTTCAGCGACTGGGACAAGCGCCCATCGTCACACGAGATCGTCATCTTCGGAGAGCCCACGGAAGCGAAACTCGTCTGTGGACACAAGGGCATGCTGGGCTTTTCGGTCAAAGCCACAGGCAAGGCGGCGCATTCAGGATACCCGTGGTTGGGCGTCAGCGCAAATGACATCATGGTGGAGGCACTGGGCGAGCTCCTCAAGCTGAGGGAACACCTGCCTTGGAGCACGAAATACGGCAACACGACTATGAACTTTGGACGCGTACAGGGCGGTGTTGCAGCCAACGTCGTCGCCGAAACCGCGACCGCAAACATCGCGACGCGCCTCGCCGCCGGAACCCCCGATCTTGTTCGCGGACAAATCATCGACGCGCTCAAGAACGTCAAGGCCGCCGCGCAGAAGGAAGGCGGAGATCTGGAAGTACAATGGGGAAGCGAGGGATACGGAGTTGTGGATATAAACTGTGATATTGAGGGCTTTGAGACAATGACCGTCAACTACGGGACGGATGTACCATGGCTCTCTGGTGACCACAAGAGGTACCTGTACGGTCCAGGCTCAATCTTCGTTGCGCATTCAGATCACGAGGCGTTGAAGAGGAAGGAGCTCGAGCAGGCTGTTCTAGACTACCGTCGCCTTATCATCAAGGCGACAGAGGTCAGGGAGAAGGAGCGACAGATGCAGAGCGAAGACCAGATTGAGCTATAAGGTGAGATAGAGATATACATATGAATTGTGCATAGCCGGATACCCAATCGCAACCAGTCCTTTCCTCCACGTCAAGTATCATTATATGATGTACCCCCACATTTAGTCTACCAGGAGAAGAGTCTCGCTCAATACAGGCAGGTCTGAAAGCAGGTGCTCAATGCCCCTTCCCGAGTTCCACCTCTAACTTTTGACGGCCGAGGAGAGAACTGGATAGATGGCATGACAATTGTTCTTGCGCATTATCCCCATATTTGAGGGTCAGAGCAAACCAGCAATGGGAGAGAATGCGTGGTCCGTCTGGAATCTGTTCGTTGCGCTGGCGGAGAATGTGTGACAGAGGGAGATGAAAGATACTTTGTTCCACGCACGGTTCGGGGGGAGGTAGGCCCGAAAACGATAAGACAGATGGCAATCAAAATACTTCACGGTGAAATGGTAAAGGAGGAAGGAGCGATGACACGACGCTATGCATTCAACTTACCCAACGCCGATGATGCTAGCCTTCCGCGCTTCATATCGTACATATACTTTTACAGTCATGATATCGTCAATCGAGAGACTCAGCTTGCGATAGCAGGCACGTCGTCCTCCTTTTGCGCAACACCCTCTGCCTCCTCGGCAGCCTTTGCGCTCTCTGACATACCCAGATCCCTGAATTGCCAGCCATCGACCTCCTTGACCCAGTCCTTGCGCTCGCCCAAGATGGCGACACTGCTCTCCTCGGCACGCTTGACAAGGAACTGGTCTGCTACAGCTTGTACCTGCTCAGCCGTGACGTCGAGCAGACGCTCGCGACGCGTCTGCAGCATGTCGTCCGTGACGCCGGACAGGAACAATCTCATGCCTTCGCGGCTGACACTCTGTGGTGCGTCGTATCCTTGGAATGTGCTCAGTTTAGCTTCTTCGAGGTCTTGAGGTGTCCATGCGCGGTCTCGCGCCCATTGACCTGCTTCAGCCATGATCTTCATGCTGTTCTGTGGGTTGGGATCGCGGTATGAGTACATGCCAAATAGACCACCAAGACCACGGGCATAGGCACCACCTCCATAAGCGCCACCCTTCTCACGGATCTCAGGATGGAGTTGCTTGAAGGTGAGGAGCTTAGCAAGGACCTCGAGAGGTGCGCTGGAAGCATCGGTGTAGGCTACTGTTGGCACAGCGCGGGCAGAATAGTAGACTTGGTAAGGAAGAGGGAAGAATGACTTGGCGTTGCGGGGGTACTGCTTCTGCTGTGATGTTGTCGGTACAGAAACGTCCTTTGGTAAAGTGTTCAAGAAGCGTTGGAGTGCTTCTTGGTTTGACGTTGAGCTGTCGTTACTGCAGTTGATTGCTACGCGGAGCTGGTTGCTGTTTGCGATAGTAAAGGACTGGATGGCTTTGAGTTTCTGAATGACCTCGTCAAGTGACTCTTGTGATGCGAGAGCTGTCATGACTTTGACTTGGGTAAGGCCTCCGGTTTCTTCCGCCAATCGGCTGACAGGACTGATACCAGCTTCGGCGTATCTCATGGCATAAGAGTGACCAGACTCTGCAATCGAGTTGATGGCGCCGCTTGCTGCACTCTGTAGAAGCTCTCTGATTTTCTTGCCCGCTTCAGGGCCATCAAAGTCTGTTTCTTGTATGATGGTTCGGAGAAGCTCATACATGTCAGGGATGTTGCGATCGAAAGCGTATCCTGAAAACGCCATGCCTTCTTCGTACGCGTTGAGTGACAATGGTGACTGTGACGAGTGGTATCCTACGGAAATGCCGCCTGTCTTTAGCTTGATCAGTTCCTCAAGCTGTTCCATCGTCTTGTCCTTGGTACCAAGACGCATAATAGCACTAGTGAACAGCGGGATCATTTCTCGTAACTCGTCTGGAAGGTCTTGCAGTTTGTGCACCGCACGGAAGTAGGTCAGACCGTTGGTGGGGGCCTCACGCCATTGGACCTTCACGCCATCCAGCTCGGTGTGTCGCAGTGGCTTCCTCTCTTTCTCTCGCGGAATGTCCTTTACGTAAACAGTGGGAAGACAGCTCAAATCCTCGTTCCTGGCCTTCTCTTGGACCTCTAGCAATTGGAGCTCTCGTTCTTCCAAGTACTTCTGTGCCTCCTGTTCGCTCGGGAACTGTTTTGTAGTCTCCGCAATCTTCGCTGCCAGACGCTGGCTTTCTTCGTCTACGAGCTCCTGGCTGAATATCTCCGAAGGCTGCATAGTGAAAATTAGGGTCTTGTCGTTGAGAAGGTACTTCTCAATCAAGCTCTCCAGGTAGTCACCTTCAGCATACTTTTTCTGGAAAGCATTGACAGTATCTTGCCATGCGAGCGCTTCCATTGGGTCGATACCGTTAAACCAGCCTGGCTTCAGCCTTTGAAGGATACCCATACCAAAGTTGGCAGTCTTGTGCTTGAGCGAAAGTTCCAGCTGATGCAGGATGCCATCAACCTTGATCTTGTCGAAACCGTTTTTGCGCGCTTCAAGAAGGGTCTCGGCTATGGCTTCGCGAACTTTGCCTACGTCGTCTGCTTTGACAGCGTCTAGTCCAATGGAAAACACCCCTCGTCTGCCTGCGCTGTCGTAGCCGGTGTTGGCACTGAAATCGGCGCCAAGTCCAGACTCGACAAGATTGCGATACAGAGGCGAGCCATACCCACTCATAAGCAGACTGCTCAGCACACCAAGCGCAAAGTTCTCCACAGCGTCTGCAGTATCTCCCATTAACCATGTGACTGAAGTCTTGTACTGTCTGTCCTGAGGTACTAACGGGTCCAGAGGACCGGCAACCGTAACCTGCTTCGGGCCGTCCAGAGTGATCGGAGCCTTCACTTCCTGATCCACGGCTATCTTGTCAAAACTCTTCAAGCGACTGTCCACCTCCTTCAGATGCTCGACCAGAGGCATGTCTCCGTAGGTGAGAATCTTAGCGTTGCTGGGATGGTAGTGGTCGGCGTGGAACTTCCGAAGCTGCTCCCAAGTCAGGTCAGTGATCTTCTGCGGGTCGCCGCCAGAGTTGTTGATGGCGGGGTAGAGGTGGTCCTGGAACTTGGTGTAGAACAAGTAGCTTGCATCTGACATCTGCCCCTTCATCTCATTGTACACCACGCCTTTGAACACGATGCGCTTCGCATTCGGGTCTTCCGACTCTTTTGCCAGTGGGTTCTCAGGCCCCAGCCGCCACCCCTCCTGCGTGAAATCGTTCTCCTTGAGCAGCGGGTGTAGCGTCGCATCGAGGTATACGGACATGAGGTTCTTGAAGTCTTGCGCGTTTGTCGTGGCGAACGGGTAGCCAGTGTGGTCGGCGAACGTCCAGGCATTCATGAAGTTGGAAAGCGAGCGGGGCAGCATCTTGAAGAAGGGGTCGCGAATGGGGTATCTGGAATGTCAGCGATGGAATGAGCGCACTGAAAGTCTGTCTTACCTCTCACTACCGCATAATGTGGTGTGCTCGAGAATGTGCGGCACTCCAGTGGCATCCGGCGGGTTGGTCTTGAAACCAATGGAGAAGACATTGTTGGCATCCTCACGGGCAATGTGCAGATACTCGGCGCCAGTCTTATCATGTTGAAGGTGCAAAGCCGTCAACTCCAGCTCTGGCACCTGCTTGACGCGCTTGAGCGTGAAGCCATGAAGCTGCTCGCCGACATTTGGAAAGTTGGAGACATCGGTAACGGCGGCATATCCACGCCGAGAGAGAGTAGACAATCGTTGAGGGGTTATCGTGGCATTTCGAGGGCTCTGAAACTGCCGACCGACGGAACGCAGCATGTTTGGAATAGAGGATTGATGACAGAATGTCGCGCCGCCTCACAGAAATGTCAGAGGCACCCGCCTTCGATGACGCCTGTCGCGCCGATTGGCCGAGGGACCCCATACCAAAAGAGATTAGCCCGCAAAATTACTAAGACGGAAGAGTGCTCCTGTATGGGCGGTTGATGCGTTATACGACTGGAGACAGGTCGGATTGGCTACTTTGTCACTGATCTCATCTGCCAGGTCCGATATTGAAGCTCGTGGGCGTTGTGGAGACTACCAGGTGTCTTGTGCCTTTCCGCGATCGACCAGACCACCGACTCCCTCCCCTCCTTCCTCTTCAACACCCGCCACGAGACATTGCCCGATCCGACCCCGACGACTGCATGACCTGACACTTCACATATTGCTACACCATACCCGTTGGCGCTACCTGCACTACGCTGGACCTCTGTTTTCACCCGAAGCAGTTCCGAGACGTCAGCGGAGAACTTCTACCTTCTGGACGCGCATTGTAGAGAGGCGGCCGCTGCAAGACGGATGCGCAACTTGGCTGCATAGGGGACCACGCTGGGGATACATGAGATTGAGTGCATAGGCGGAGGAACCATCGGGGGCAACACGAGGGGATCCACAGCTGAAGCGCTACACGGAAGAGTCACGACTTCATGGCAACAGTCGCCCAACAGCACCAACCGACGTCTGCCCAGTCCCGACCACACCACGAAGCAAGCCGCAGTGCATCTGCCTCTCCTGCAAACATGGCGCCCGCACAGCACAACCCGGCGCCTGCGCCTGCCAAAAAGGGCAAGGGCAAGAAGGCGACAGACCCCTCGGAACAGCAGAAGCAGATCCAGGCTAAGATTGCCCAACTCGAGCTGGACCAGGCGGGAGACAAGGAGCAGGAACTAGAAATCGGTGCGTCTACATCTTGCGACGGAGCTGCGGAAGAGGGGACATTCTGGGTGGCGCAGTCGATGTCTGGGGCTCTATCATGTGAATCGCTGGCTGACGTATGGCATGGACAGAACGCGAAGTCAAGAAAGCAAACCGTGAACTCTCCTCGCTCCTTTCCAACATGGACGGCCCGCTGTCTCGTCTCGAAGTCGTACAGAAACGATATACCGAACTCCTATCCGATATGAAGCGCACGGAGCGCGAACACCAGAAAGCGAAGAAGCGCGGAGACCAACTGCAAAAAGAGAAGGATGCGCAAAGGTCTGAGCTGAACAAGGTCACGACGATGAAGGATAAACTTGACAAACTGTCGCGTGACTTTGCAAAAGAAAACAAGAAACTCAAGGATGAACTACACAAGATCGAGAGCAGCGAATCAACCGCCAGGCAGGAACTGCACGAGCGTCTTGAGCACCTTGTCAACGACGTGGATGATTGTATAGCAGCTGCAAATGGGCCGGAACCCCAGAATCAAGCCGAGCAAGAGCTGGATGAGCTGTAAGTCTGGCGCACTCGGCCTTTGTGGCACGAACTGACCGAACTAGGTTTCGCCAAAAGTTCAAATCGTTCATTGACCAGTACGAGCTGCGCGAACTGCAATACCACTCGATGCTCCGACTCAAAGAGCTCGAAATACAGTATCACGCCGCTCGTTTGGAGCAGCAGCGCAAACAACAGGAAGCCGAGTCGTCAAAGTCGCATCAGTTGACCCGTCAAGTGTCAACGTTTTCCCAAACCGAGACTGAGCTGCGCACGCAGCTCAACATATACGTGGAGAAGTTCAAACAGGTATGTCAACCCGTTAACCCCTCGTTGGTCTGTATCATCATGGTTAATACTGACCAGATGCAGGTCGAGGAAACGCTCAACAATTCGAACGATCTCTTCCTTACGTTCCGCAAAGAGATGGAAGAGATGTCCAAAAAGACCAAGCGTCTTGAAAAGGAGAACCAAAACCTACAACGCCACAAGGATATTACCAACCGCAATATTGGCGAAATGGTGGAAGAGCGCCAGAAGATGCAAGAAGAGCTTGCCAGGAGGACCAAAGAAGCCGAAGATCAGCGGAAGAAGATCGCTCGTCTGGAAACGTTATGTCGTGGGATGCAAGCACAGGGTCGGGGACAGGTACCGATGCACGAGCTGGATCATGAAGAGCACGACGAGGAGGACGAAGAGGTTACGGAAAGTGAGTACGAATACGAAGACGAAGATAGCGCAGAGTACGACGACGATACTGAGGAAGACGGTGTTGAACCGGCACCTGAGCGTCGACCATTCGGGCCTGTTCCGCCACCTCCACCGCAGCCTCAAGCTGCACAGGGAAAAGTCAACGGGCACACACAAGCCAATGGGCAAATGAATGGAGTCAAACGCTAATAGCAATATCATAGACACTCACTCTTCGTTCGAGCCATTTCTTTGAAAATCTGCAAATGTTGCTTCTAATCTGCCATGTCAAACAGAACTTGCACGTTGTTTTGAGGACATCATAGCGCAGCTAGATTGTCTTGACGAGGGGCAAAAGCGGTTGAATATCATCATGAGCAGGACCTCCGGCTTTCGTGCATTGGAGGAAACAGAACATGGGGAGACCTAGTAGCAGGGTAAGGTGGTTGTATGCACTATGTGCACATAAGCTTGATGTCTGAACTCGAGTACAAACCATGTTGATCGTAGCAGCTTCCAGCGTGGTTTCTGACAATGACATTGTTATCATATCCACTAAAATGGCTCCGAAATCATGACAGTTCACATGATGGGCGATGGCTAGAATGATTTGCTAGTCTCGAGTGTTGAACATTCTTCACGTATACATTGTCATTCCATTAGAAACGGGCGAATCTCGGTAACGGTGAACTGTAAGAGACGTTGACGAGTCGAATCGTAGATGCCTCGGCTCATGCACCCACGTTTTCCCCGCAAAACCCCTGGCCGTCGAGCATACCTCCAGGCACGGCCGCTATTTAGCATCCACATGCCCATGCTCGCTATGCCGTCGCGTACAGCTTCAGCTCTGTCAGAAGCATACCATTTAAACCTACGTTCGGAGTATCCGACGTGATAATCTTATCTTCCTTCAAATATACACCATTCAATCACTACAGCCTACGCCATCATGTCGCCCCCGTCATTGCAAACGCCGCTTTCGAAGCTGCTGGGCATCCAGTACCCAATAATACTCGCCGGCATGGCGCGCACATCTGGTGGTCCCCTCGCGGCTGCCGTATCAAACGCTGGCGGCCTGGGCGTGATTGGAGGTCTAGGATACACCCCTGAACAGCTTCAGTCCATCATCGACGACCTCAAGTCAAACCTTCGAGACAAGAACCTGCCGTTCGGTGTCGACCTCGCGCTTCCACAAGTCGGTGGCAGCGCACGCAAGACGAACCATGACTACACACATGGACAGCTCGACGATCTCATCGAAGTCACAATCAAGAATGGCGCGAAGCTGTTCGTCAGCGCTGTTGGTGTACCACCCGAGCGAACGATCAAGAGGCTGCACGAAGCAGGCATTCTGATTATGAACATGGTCGGACACCCCAAGCACGCGAAGAAGGCACTAGACGCAGGTGTGGATATTGTATGCGCTCAGGGCGGAGAAGGCGGAGGACATACCGGCGATATCGCGAACAGTATCCTGATTCCATCCGTCGTGGACATCGCACGCAAATACAAGAGCCCCCTCACAGGTCAACCAGCCATGGTAGTGGCAGCAGGAGGAATCTACAACGGCCGCAGCCTGGCAAGCAGTTTGATGCAAGGCGCACAGGGTGTGTGGGTTGGTACACGCTTCGTCGCGTCCACTGAGGCCGGCTGCTCGCAAATGCACAAGGAAAATGTAGTTACTGCCGACTTTACAGACACAGGCCGGACACTAGTTGTCAGTGGCCGACCCTTGCGCGTCAAGTACAACGACTACATCAAAGAGTGGCATGCGCGCGAGGACGAGATCAAGAAGCTGACGGATGCGGGTATTGTGCCGCTGGCGAAGGACATGGACGACGGGAAGGATGTGGATATTCCGTTCTTGATGGGCCAGGTTGCGGGGGTAATCGGCGATATTAAGCCTGCAAAGGAAATTGTGGACGAGATGGTGCAAGAGGCCGTCGACATGCTGAGGCTAGGGCAGACGTATATCGGAGGGCCGAGTAGTAAACTGTAGATGATAATTGCCGACTTGATGTGTCTCGATGTTGGTTCCTCGGATTTCGCTTCTTGTGGTACTAGGTACTTTTGTGTAACACCAACGCAAGAAGCGAATTCTTCTTCCCGGACTTCTTCGGCATCGATATGAATAATGTGTCGTGTGTCTGCTAGTAACTAGTACGCTACAAACAATAATAAACCGCCCATGGCCATGTAGCCGTCGCCCTGTCTTGGTCGTCCCACACCTTCCCAGAGAAGCGGCATGTGGATGATCTGCGACCAGGATCGCGCTCCCCGAATCCATGGCAGCACCGGAAGCTCAGGAGAGATCTGACGGTAGGCCGCATCCCCTCCGCAGTATTCACAATTAATACACTTTGTTGCCATCCCCGGTCGGCCAAAAGCTAGTATTGTTATCCTCGCACGTCTCGAACGCCCTAGGCCCCTGGCGTTTCCGGCTATCTCCACTTTCGCTGCGACAGGACCCGTTCCTCTCTTCCGCGGCGCTCGCTCGCCAGACCGAACTCCTGCAACCCATAGATGACGCTGGTTGCGCAGGCGACACCACGGAGCAGCGGCGCATCCTTCCATGCAGTCAAATCTCAGAGCCCAGGCTGAGATTCAGGCCCAGAGGAAGAAGGTATGTACTGTCCCGTTGCCGCCAAACCGCGCTTGTGCGCCGCAACAAGCAAAACATTCAGGCGCATGCCTGGCATTTCGAGCACGACTGATGCTGAGACTGGAATTATAGCAGCTTGCAAATTCGTACAAGCAGTTACTCGAGTAAGCCTTTTCCTTTCTTTTGCGCGCCGAGTGCGTGTTTCACCCGCGGTAATTTGCTGACACGGGAACAGTGAGTTCGCCGCAACCGACCTCAAGACCGTCGGCAACTATACACTGGGGAAACTTATAGGCAAGGGGAGTTTTGGCAAGGTCTACTTGGCATCGCACAAACTCAGCAATGGCTCAAAGGTACCGTGACCACAGTTGCCATGGAGGAACCACGCTCACCACGAACAGGTCGTGCTCAAGAGCGCGAAGAAAGACGACGCCAATCTCGCGCGCGAAATCCATCACCACCGCCAATTCATACACCCGCACATCGCCCGCCTGTACGAGGTCATAGTGACCGAGGAGCTGGTCTGGCTGGTACTCGAGTACTGTCAGGGCGATGAACTCTACAACTACCTCCTAGCCAAGGGCGCCCTCGAACCCTCCAGAGTCCAGAAAATATTCACGCAGCTCGTCGGTGCCGTGTCATACGTCCACAACAAGTCCTGTGTCCACCGCGACCTCAAACTCGAGAACATACTGTTGGACAAACATGGCGATGTCAAGTTGGTCGACTTTGGATTCACACGCGAGTACGAGGGCAAGTCCAACTACCTGCAGACATGGTGTGGAACCATCTGTTACAGTGCGCCAGAGATGCTCAAGGGCGAGAAATACGCGGGTGAAAAGGTGGATGTTTGGAGTTTGGGTATCATCCTTTATGCGCTCTTGGTCGGCGAGCTGCCTTTCGACGAGGACGACGAGATGGTTACGAAGAACAAGATACTAAAAGAGGAACCAAAGTACCCAGAACACTTTCCACAGCAAGCAAGGGAGTTGTGCTCGTCGCTACTTTCAAAACGGCCCATCTTGAGACCTACGTTGGCGGATATACTACAAAACCCTTGGTTGTCGGAACATGCACCTCGCCAGCAGGAGATCTTGAAGCTGCAGCAGCCGGCGCCCTTCTCGACCGAATTGGAGAAGGAGGTGTTGCACCGTATGCGTGCTGCTGGTGTGGATATTGACATGGTGATTGAGAACGTGCTGGCCCAACGATGCGACTCATTGGCTGGCTGGTGGGCATTGCTACTAGAAAAGGAGGAACGCAAAGCGAAAAGAAGAGAGCGCAAACGCAAAGAAAAGGAAGCAGAGGCCAAGAGCCTCAGACGCTTGAGTGCTGCCAGTAGCCGACTTGACAAACTCGCGCCTACCATCAGAGAGTCGGACGAAGAGGGCATACATGCTCCAACCACACCGAAGAGTCGCGGCAGGACTATCAACCGAAGCAGCTTGCATGGTTAGTATTGTGCCTGCCAACATGAAAACAGATCTAACTCCGAACAGGTGCTCCCGAGCTTCCAAAACTGCCGGAATCAATGACCTCTCCCAACCTTACCGTAGACGACAAGCCGCTGCCACCAATCGATACCCATCGAGGTCGAAAATCTCATTCTTCATCACGTCCACCACTACCCGCGAAAGATTTGGATCGGCGGCGATCTCGCAGTAGCATGCTACAAGTTGTGTCCACAAACCCCGACCTTCTCTCTCCAAATGGCTTCGTGCCCAAGCGGCGCCGGAAGCAGCCGTTCATCAATCACCTTTTGTCACTCAGGAATTGGATAAAAGAAACGTCAAAACGAGCACGGTCGCCAGGTTCAAAAGCTAGCAGTGGACAGTCCCCGAAGATACCTCCAAGCACGTCTTCAGATTCAAGACGAAGGCAAAGTACAGCGAACCGTTCTTCTGTGCATACAAATCCCAAGTCTCCGCCGATGCCACACACACCAGGTCCTCGACCCCGAGGTTCAACTCACGGCTCAGGCTCCATGAGAAGGCTCTCGGCATCCCCTGCCCCACTGACACCGCGATCCTCGTATCGTCGTTCTTCTGGTGGTCTCCGAGGCCGGAAATCTACTTCCTCATCTGTGTCTTCGATCCGCAGTATGCCACACCACCACCATTCGCACTCGAAAGCTTCATCCACATCCTCTGCTTCACTTGTCTCTCCCGCTGTTTCTGTAAGCGGCCACTCACACAAGCCCTCCAAGTCCCCCCACAACAGCATCAAAGTCCTCCCTGCGACTCCAACTTCCTCAAGCTTCCCTTCCAACATTCGCCTTGTACGTTCTGGCTTCCCACCCGGCCTTAACGAGTCCAGCGCCGCTTTTGGAAACGGAAATAGTATTCCTCCACAATCACCTGGTCTCATCTTTGCAAAGAGGAAGAGGAGCCCTTTCAAAGGACCCATGCTCAATGTCAATACCGGTGTTCTGAATGGTGGCCATGCAAACGGTGGCGCATGGAGGAGCAGAAGCGGAGATAGCGGCATGGGTAGTAGAGGGACGAGTGTACAAGGACGTAGGAGTGGAGAGATATTGGGCATCACAGAAGAAGATGAGGAGGAAGAGGAAGAAGTTGAAGAGGTGGAGACATTTGGAGGAAAATTGGGCGAAGGCGAGTTTGTTGAAGAAGAAGGTCCTGCGCAGTTGACCCCACCTCAAGAGGAATTCAAAGAGAAGGCTTGATATTTGGAAAGATGGGGTTGAGGATGAAGAGGAGGCTTGAGGATTTTTGGTGAGATTGTGGAGGTTTAACCATTTCTGATCCCGGTTGTTGCGTAGGGGACGTTCACTTCTCTTCGCTTCTTTTTTACCTCTTTGAACTTTTGCACTTTCACGGCATACATTCCCGGCGTTGGTCCATTTCTGGGATACCTATACACATGTTATTTTCATATTGTCTACTCATTCTAATCTCATAGATACGTACTTATACTATGCACATTTTTCGCTCACCATATCTATCACTCGTGCCAACATCATAATAGCTTATACGAAACACACTCGAGGTTCGAGCGATATCCTAGTTGCCCTTAGATCTTTAGGCGATGTCCATACTGGGCTCCAGCAGCTTCCATCTTGTGAGCTGACCTTGTTGCAGTTGCGTGTGTAATGGAGGAGCAGCTAGCAGGGACTATGTCGACCAGCCGATGTCGGTATTGCACAAAGGCAGTTGTGGCCTCGTCATACGAACACATACCGACTGAAGCTGAGTTCATTCGCAACTAGCCAATAAGTCTTCCATTTAAACATTGTGACAACCATACTTTCCCTTGGATACGATCTCAAAGTACCGGGACCAACGATAATCGATAATGCAAGACAACATCGTACAACGACACGTGTACACAAATACACATGGAAGTACAGCAGCTGAATCAGTAAGGATATACTTGCGCTCGATGTAAGCTCTTTCGTTGCACACTGGCATTTTAGAAGCGGTGTGATGTATATGCGGCGTCGGAGTCGATGGCGAATTTGGATACGTCGTGCAACAACGTACGACATCTGGTCTTGACAAAGTTCCGAGAATGATCTTCGTTGCAGAAAAGTACCGATGTTGCGGCTGAAGGTTATGTCGGTGACATTCGCACCGACATGTCGAAAGCGCACTACTTGTCCAGTGTAGTTAGATTAGTGACATTTTGTTGCCTGTGGCAGCTTCCTCATTGATCATAGTCCTTAGAGGCCGTCTACCGCACTACGCATTGACATGACGCCGAATGTGTGAGGTTTGCCATGTGATGCGCACGAGGCAAAGGTCTAACAGCCGAAATGTGGGAGGTGGCGCATACGGTGGTAACGGTACGGTAATGCTGTGCTACGCTGAGAGCCGCAAGGGCCATGAAACAGTAGACATGGGATTCCAGAGCTACCGCAGTACACAATTCTTGATAGGGATAGCTAGACCAAATGGAAAGAAAGGGTTATAGTATTGTTTCCTCAAAGCAAACGCATATTTCTCAAGTTGTCAGCGCTCAAGCCGATCATAAGGGAGAAAGATTGACAAGTACGCCACTTCGATGAGCTGCTTCCTCGGACGATGCAAGGTAAGCCGGGAAGATCGGTCTGTGCATCAGTGCATAAACGGCGTGCGCCCTCGCTACAATGTAGACAATGGTAGAAGCTTCTTGCACACGCCAACTATTGACCAGATTCGCCTGCGGGACCATGAACAATAATGGCGTGTTCGTGTGGAGAGTTGGTAAGGTTCCATGTGACAACCTCGGGAGGCGTTTTCGATACAGGCAACGAATGACATGGGGAGAAGACGTTGCGAACGTGTGATAGGTACCCGTGGTGGCTTACCATGTGGGTTGGGGCGTTTTCTGACCACACCAGTAATAAATCGCACTCCCCAACGACATCGCGTCATGTCCATAAATGCTTGGCAAACGAAATTGCACATGTAAGATTTTACGGATAACGAGTTGGTGAAAGAGAAAGGACGGCAGCGAACGATGAGGTAAGATATTGGATTTTGCAGATGCATTGGTGGAGGTACTTGACTGATGCAGAAAAGGTACAAGGGTTGAGTATAACACATATGTATATTGATTCGCAATGAGCGAAGTTGTGTTCTTACATGACGATAGTGTGCGGGGCGTACTGCTGGTGTACGTCCTCTCTAAAGCTGGGTCGGTCGACAGGCATAACACACCCAAGTCAAAGGAGATTGCGGCGCCGTGTTGGTGCGATCCTTTCGTCGTAATGCGCGTCCTCAAGAGTTCAGCGTTCAAACACCAAGCGATGTTTAGGCTTTGTACCTGCATCGGATGAACACGAGGTTAGATTGTGAAGCATTGGAATACTTGGTAGCCCCTGCATATGGCAGGATGCATTCATAAGGGCCGTCAGAGGGGTCATCAAGCGATATGGATCGGGAAGACGTAATATGATTTACCCGTCTTTACCGACGCGACGCGATCATGGAGGTTTCCATACGGCCGCGCGTGATGGGTACACATAATGGGACAGTAAGCTAATGGCTAGGCTGATTTGCGAGCTGCAGGCTGCAGGGTGGCCAGATATCCATGTCGACCATCGCGTCGCCATTCAGACGGTAGAGCGGAGCATTTGCTAGGGTGCTGGTTTCGTAGACGTTCCAGGCCGGAAGCGAGCTCGTGACGGAGCATGAAGGGGCAGTGCCTAAAGCAGCATGTCGAACTATGCGCCAATGCTGCGGCAGCGGGACGGGTCAACGGGTGCTGTGAAAGGTCGAGTCCGAAGTCGTGCCGGTCGTAGTCACGATACAGAAGCTCGAAAAGTCAAGCAATGCAGCAAGGAGCATCTGAAGAATGCGATGGGGGTATTGAAAGGGTGGTTGGGGACGTTGGAAGCCTTGGGCGTGGGGTTGGTGGCATGTCTTGCGCGCACATGCCGCAACAGTACTGGTGGCTTGGAGATAAGGGCGGTCCGTGCACCGTTGGACTTGGGGAAGTTGCGCAAGCGCCACCAGGACTCGACACCGAGGTCGCCGTCGAATGTAGCGCCGGCAACCAGCGCCTAAAGACGTTACTTGGTCCGACACGCGAGACGCAAATCTGGAGTGGTGTAGAATAGAGTTAAGTGACCGAGAGTGACATTTGGTCTGCGGTATTTAGGGCTGTTGGACCTGTGGCGGTTCGTCGGTGTCTGCCGCTTCCAAGAGTGGAGGCGGAAAGAGCGAACTCAGCGAAGAAGGAGCGAATGTGCGACATTGTGCCGTCGATAAGGGATGTCAGTCACTTCGCCGTGCTCCGTGCAAACATCTCAGCAGTCCAGGCACATCGTTCGATGGTATTGTCACCAATAGTCACATCACTTCTGCACGACTCTGCCCTTGGACAGGCTCAGTGTATGTACTGAACCCATAGATGCGCCACGCCGCGATAACGTCGCTCCCACGCCTAGGCCAAATCCAGATGCACCCCGGCCGCTACACATCCTAGTCGATAGTCCCTACCCGGCACTCTGGAAAGGACACTGACCCTGGGCGCCTCAGTTCCGTAGTTGAGCTCGCGCGCCTCAAGAATAGGTCTAAGCCCAAGTAGCCTGTTCGTCAGCATCGCACTCATATCCCGCCCCTGCGCCCATCGCACAGGAAAAAGCAGATACCTCCAACGGCTGCACTGCAGCGACACCAACCGACGTGCAGAACAGCTGCAAATTACACTCTTTTTCGTCGCCTGTTATCGCGCCGTTGCGCCTAGCCACCATGACGATAGACGACGACATGTACGGCACCGAGAAGAGTTTTGGGAGAGCCTCGCAAGGGTCCGACTACTATGGCGAATCATCACGGTACCAGGATGGACTGGGTAGGAGGGTTATCGAGAGCTTCAAACGGGACCCGAATTTTGCCATGACGATGACGCCGAAGGGAAGCTTAGGCGCCGACGGGAACGTCTTCGATCCAGAGGCCGCAGCAGCGAATACTGCAAACTCACCACTTGCGCGGAGACTAAAAGGTCGTCATCTGCAGATGATAGCAATCGGTGGTTCCATAGGTATGGTTTGGCATGCATCTAATAAGCGGGGTCCGCCGACTGACTTTCCCAGGTACCGGTCTATTCGTCGGCTCAGGGCAAGCACTAGCAAACGGTGGTCCAGCATCGCTCGTCATCTGCTACTGCCTTGTAGGTGTCATGCTGTACACTACCGTCCACGCACTTGGCGAGATGGCAGTGCTCTTTCCCGTCGCCGGTTCCTTCTCGGCATACTCGACACGCTTCTTGGATCCTGCATGGGGCTTCGCCATGGGTTGGAACTATGCACTTCAATGGCTTGTCGTACTACCACTGGAAATCGTCGCTGCTACTTTCACAATCGAATATTGGAATGGTGACAAGGTCAACAACAACGCCTGGGTCGCCGTCTTCCTGGTCTTGATCGTTGTCATCAATTTGTTTGGTATCAAAGGATATGGTGAAGCCGAGTTCGTCTTTGCCATTATCAAGATCACCGCGGTTATCGGCTTCATCATCCTTGGTATCATCATCAACATAGGCGGAGGTCCAGACGGAGGCTATATTGGTGGCATGTATTGGCGCGACCCAGGTCCTTTCAACAATGGTTTCAAGGGCTTATGCAGTGTTTTTGTCAACGCCGCATTCGCCTTCTCTGGAACTGAGCTTGTTGGTCTCGCTGCAGCGGAAACGGCCAATCCGCGCAAGTCTCTTCCCACTGCCGTCAAGCAGGTTTTCTGGCGCATCTCGTTGTTCTACATTGTCTCCCTAACCATCGTCGGACTGCTAGTGCCCTACGATGACAAGCGACTGCTCCAAGACAAGAACGATGCCGACGCTGTTGCCTCACCGTTCGTCATCGCCATCCAGAACGCAGGCATTCAGGGGCTGCCCTCTGTCTTCAACGCCGTCATCATGATTGCTGTTCTCTCAGTCGGCAACTCCTCCATCTACGGTTCTTCGCGCACGCTCGCTGCACTGGCTGAGCAGAATCAAGCCCCCAGGATCTTCGCCTACATCGACCGCCAGGGTCGTCCCCTTGTTTCCATTGCCTTTGCCTCGGCTCTTGGTCTTCTCGCTTTCCTAGCCGGTGCGGACCGCAGGCTACAAGATGCTGCATTCAACTGGCTACTTGCCTTGTCTGCACTCTCGGCTGTCTTCACTTGGCTCTCGATCTGTCTCGCGCATATCCGCTTCCGTCAGGGATGGAAGGTGCAGGGACATACCCTTGATGAGCTTGCCTTCCGCTCTCAACCTGGTCTTATCGGATCTTATGTCGGCCTCATCCTCAACATCCTCGTTCTCATTGCACAGTTCTACGTTTCCGTCGCTCCAATCGACATGGCTGTTTTGTCCACGTCACAACGTCTCCAACGCTTCTTCAGCGTCTACCTCGCACTACCAGTCACTCTGGCCTTCTACTTCCCTTACAAGTTCTGGTTCCGCACCTCAGTCGTTCGCTCGCACAACATGGATCTCGTGACCGGCATCCGTGAGCTGAACATCCAGGTGTTGATCGAAGAGGAACGTGAAGAAAAGAAGAAGTGGCCCAGGTGGAAGAAGGTATACAAGTTCTTTTGCTGATAGGCACCCTCTTGCAGCATTCTCTTTTGTCGTGTTCTTTTAGCGATGGCGCTACGTGTTCTTCTTTTCGCGGTGTTCCTTTGTGATACCAGGCGGCATTCCACTAGGCATTGCGCAGCCTTGCGACTTGTATTCACCTGCCTCATATATGTTTACTGCTGGTTGGTATTAATAGACGCAGCATAGTGCTGTCGTGCACACTGTAGGATTTTGAGAATAGAAGACGAGCTTCATACTGCACATCGGCCTATGTGACGCTTTTTCTCCATGCAACTACCACCAGGTTGGGTTTGGGGTCGCGCTGTTGTTTCTCAAGAGCCCCACTGCCGCCATTCGAACAACTACCCCCACTGCCCCACTACAGCCAACCAGAAAAGTCTGCGCCCATCGCACCTTCCCCCACACTCATCGCTCCTTCCTTAAACGCCACACAATATATTGCTTCCAAATTTTGATTTCGTATCGGTTTTGTAGTGTAGCGGTTATCACTCCGGATTCTGATCTCAAAATCAGTGTCTTCCGGCAACCCCGGTTCGGTAAGAGACTCAGCCCCCAGTCAATTCTGGTCATCTGCTAATAGTAATTCAGATTCCGGGCAAGACCTTCTAGAACTATCTTTTTGCTGTGATGTTCGATTCCGGGCAAGTTCTCTCTTTTCACTTTTCGTAACTCTTTTTGCTTATGATCGAATGCGGGTACTTCGCCAATAGTCCAATGATGTCTCAAGGTGATAGAGTGATGTTGGAACTTTTTTCTCGTGGAGTTTGGGCCACGCGAAAGTCGGACGAATGCAGATTGTTTAGTGCTTACTCTTTTTACCACACCCTCGCGTGCTGTACGATTTCTTTGCACTCCGTCGTATGTGTGTAGGTACGTAGATGGATTGGTTTCTAACATGGGATTAGTCCATGGCTACGACGTGTCGCTGTCCAGTATCCTGAACAGATTCACATGATTATGACTGGCGAACAAATCACCGCTAGGCCTTTTCAAATAGCTGATCTCCGAGTGTGCTTGGGTTTACGTTGGAAATAGACCCCTTGCTTCGACTGGTGCTAGTAGTGCTAGTGGTGCTAGTGGTGCTAGTGGTGCTCACAGTTGTCGTAAAATGGAATGTACCGACAGTTGTCGTCGATAGTGTTGTCAAACTTCGCCAGAAAGAGACAATCACGTCTGGGAATATCCAGTCAATGCACGCCTGTCGGTGTGTATCATAGAGCTGTACACACAAACAAATGAGCTAGCTACGTGACAGAGTGACCAAAAATGACCACCGACTATGAGCAAAACGGCAACTCATTTCATAACTAGTGCACTCGAATTCGGATAGGTGTAAAGTCGATAGATACGCGCTCACCGTCGTACACAGCGGTTCGCTTTTGTTTGCAGATGCACTCGCTACGTCTCTTGACTATTTGTTCACCTACACTTCTGTGCAATATGTGCAAGTTCTTGATGGTACTTCAAGCATTGGTTACTGCCTGAACAATAGCGCCCTTGGCTCCTTGGTCCAGACCGTCCAGTTTAGCCATGTCCTCCTTGTCGAGTTCAAAACTGTAAAGATCTACGTTCCCAACGATGCGAGATGGGGTGTCACTCTTGGGAAGAGGAACGAAACCCTTTTGTAGACTCCATCGGATAAGAACCTGGTTTGGTTCCTTGCTGTGCTTCTTGGCAATGCTAGCGACAGTTTCGTCGTTTGCTTTCTCGTTACGGACGATCGGGCAGTAGGCCTCGACAACGATGCTCTTGGATTTGCAGTAGTCGACAACCTCGCGCTGTTGGCACCAGGGGTGGAGCTAGTTGATTCTGTTAGTTCGGTTGCGCAACGGATTTCGAGTGCGACAAACCTCAATCTGGTTGACAGCAGGTAGGCTGGCCTTGCTATCAATGGAAGCAATCTCATCGATGTGTTGGATGCCGTAGTTACTAACGCCAATGTCTCGCACTATGCCCTTTTCCTGCGCCTGCTTCAGAGCGAGCCACATCAACTTTCTAGCCTCTTTTCCTCCGTTGGGGCTGTGAATGAGGAACAGGTCTGCATAACCATCCTTCCCGGCAAGCTTCTCAACACTGTCCGCGATCTTCTTGTATGTAGACTCGACATCCTCGCCAGGGCTCAGAATCTTGGAAGTGATGTATACATCCTTTCGAGGAAGCCCGCTTTCAGCAAGCGCTTGGCCGACTTGCTCCTCATTCGCGTAGTACTGGGCTGTATCGATATGGCGGTACCCTGCTTCGAAGGCCTTTTTGCAGGAAGCAACACAAACGTCCTTAGGGGATTGGTAGACCCCAAAACCTATTTGTGGAATCTTGTACTGCGATTTCGGCAAGCTCAAAGTTGAGTTGATGCTCAGAGTGCTGGACATGGTGGATAGCGGGGTAGCAATAACGGATGAATACTTGAGTGTGGTTGTCAGCGATGAACGAATGCTGGTGTGTCGAAGAGCAGAGTGTGTCAAATTGAAGAATCTAGAAGGAAAGAGCATACCGTGATGTTGGGGGGATTTGAGCTGCCGTCAACCCTCCTTAGGTAGCTCTAGACACATAATGCAGAAGCTCCTGCAGTCGTGATGTCACTGCTTGCAGCCCATAGTTCGAGAGTGGGTCCAAGGACGATGTGGGGCTCCAAGAACATTACATTGACGGGTAGTTATGGCTTGTTACTATCAATGAGCGAAATCGAAACAGCGATTGATAAATGTGCTGGGGCGCGTGCGTTCAAGGGTCGAAAGACCGTCCGACGCGTTCTTCTTGCGCGACTGCGAGCAGCTGTTCGCGCTAAGACCTGCCACCCCACAAATACCGGCCCCCCTCCACAGTCATCCTTAAGATCCGTGCTGAACTCTCTCACAAACCCCTCCATCCGGTACTCCAAGCGGACGATAAGGTGCACAAAATTAAAATTCCCTCTTCTTATCAAGCTCTGTTATGTATCACTTGAAGGGGCTAATGTCAATTCGATGATCAGAGAGATGGTCAACGTGTCTATATATCGAGCAGTCCACTAAAACAAACTCGAAGAGATATGACGCTGCTCCAGGTGGGTTAACTTCGCTCAAGCTGTATGAGTCCTTAGCCGAAGAGGAACTCCGCTCTTTACGTATGGCTGCCGAGATGCATACACCACTCAGCTGCCTATATCTCACCTCACACCACGTTGTTATCCGGACAGCTCAGACAACTCGAAGTTCTACCAACACATGCTGCTTTCTCCGAACATCGGTCATGCACGACATATGCGCATACTTCTTGCAGCGTGGTTACTTGCTATTGGTCTGCCTCTTTGCTGTCTGTATACGTAAATCATTTGATACCCCGCCATGCATGCTGAGTTTTCTCCAGCTCTACCTTTCTCTGCCGTCATTGCATGAAGCAGTTGTTCATGGCAACACGAGGAGATCACGAGGAAAACCCACACGACTTCGCAGTTTTTAAGGGCGTTGCAAGGTTGCACTGGTTGTACAGGTCGTACAAACAGTTCGCAGCCGGAGAAGAATGGTTCGCGGTCCTTTTTCTATGCGCCTTTGACAGCGATTATCGCATCTACTGCATGAAACAGCGGTGTGAGAAAAGTACGCCATTAAAAGACGAGATAACTCTTCTTCAGTGAAGTCGGTCAATTTTCGCCTTCATTGTCCTGTAGACGTGTTGACGTCTCGAAGTGGAAATCAGGAACAAACGGGACCATTGTGACAACATTGCGTCAATGGCGCATAGATCCAGGCAGCTAGATCGGTAAGCGCCCTTCTTGATGGTCGTCTGATTAGCATTCTCATGTTCGTATATTAGGTCTTACATTCCGCCTGTCCAGACCCTAGTATGTTCGAGACGAAAACACTCAACGAATGGAAGTGTATAGCACTCACACTGGTACAGGCCAAGAAGAAGCACGTCTATATATGGCATTGTGTGAGTGGGCGCCTCACGATATCCCACGACCGAATTCTGACTGTAAAGTGTTACTGTGGAAAGTCGAGCATTCCTATCTCCTCCGCAGGTTGTCCAGGGTGTGGATATGGAAGATGTGCGTACTGCACAACGACGAGAGTACAAGTGCGAGCATCTGCCGCTAAATCTCAGTTGCAAAAGGCAGATAGTCCGGCTCTTTCCATACGAGCGCTGTCACGCCCTTCGGGTTACAGACCTTTGTCCAGTTCCAATGCATATAAAATTTGGGTTAAGCCCCCGGCACCCGATATGGATATACATCCATGTAACCAACAAGCTTTCGACACGAATACAGTTGTATGCAGTGGCGCACCTCTGCAACAGATTGTGTCAGGTGCCGAGTTATGCGAAGAGAGACGGGTGAGTTCACATGCAATCACCAAATGCAACTCACCTTGTGATTTTTGTGTTTGCTTCCTAACGCGTGTGTAGCTTTGATACGACGGCTTGTATGGGCGAGAAAATAGGAGGGCTGTGGAAATATATCAAAAGTAGCTACGATCTCTCTGAACAAAACTATCTTTTGGAACTCATTCCCAAATTCGTCCTCAAAGTCTCGATCCAAGGACTCGCGTACTCGATTCCGCGAAGAATTCCCACATACATAGCTACTACTGTGAGTTGAAACGCGCTGTCTTCGTCAAATTTACCAGTGAGACGCCCGGTGGTCTAGCCTCATGATTTCCAACAAGCTCGAGTGCCCCCGCTCATCGGTGAAGGTTTGCCTTACGGAACTTTTATCTCCAGATCATGATTCGCAAGGCAAACAACGATTGCGGGCTGCCGTCAAGAACTCGGGATGTAGATGCCCAACGTCCTTCATATGCAAGTGAGATTCGGCTATCCCCGGAGCCCAACGCCACGGATCCGATCGCAAAGCTGCCCCTCATTGGGACTATGTTACACAGAATCGAATTTGAGGAGATGCAATGCAGAAGATGGCCACCTCGACTTCTACATGGCTTGTCCTCTCAAATTTGCCTTGCCGGCAGAATTCAAAGGCTGATATCAAATGTAGCGAGTGATTCGACAAGTGCAACGGCACCCACTCACCTAAATGCAAAAGAAGGCAAGAACGAAAGCCTCGTGAGAGCCTCACAATACAGCGAAATTTGCAGCAAGCTACGTGTCTCGAGTCGGCTATAGCGAGAAGCTCACGCATGCACTCGCCCACCGCCGTATGATCATGACCCAGTGGAACGAATATGACCCATTGTATCCAAGATACGGAGATAATACGTGGCAGAATGTCGTGGGCTCATCCCTTGGATCTCAAGCGCTCGAGTACATATACTGACTCTCGACCGCTTTCTATGGGAACTTGGGTACCGGTTTCGCGCTCCGCACCTTTTGTTGTATCAACAGTGTCAAGGAACATGCGATTAGTGGACCTTAGCATGCACATAATATCCTCAACGCCGGCTCTTCCAGATGATACATGAACAGAGTTCTGATGAGCATGGTGCTCCAAGCAGGACCGCATGCGAGTACGTATCTTTACACTGCAAAGCATTTTGACCTAAGAGCTTCACTAAAATGCGAAGAAATCCCGCGTTTCCAGGAGAAATAGTGCCAAACAACCAATTCCCGTTTTTTTCCTTTGCAAAGCGGTGGAGTGATATCTATGACGAAGCTTCGACTCCTGATGAAGACCTTTCATATGTGGAGGAATTACGACTTTTGCCATTGGAACCTAAGCGCGAAAGTGTTGAGCTTTTCTTGCGTCCATATGAAGACGACTTCGTCTCGCCAACCCTAGAAACCATTATCCGTCTGTACGGGAGTGTCAGGAAGGCCGACCTTGACGAGCAGACTAAGGAAACCATTTGGCTGGATGATCGAACGTATAGCGCTTACCATCCAAACTCATCTCAACCACCTCCTACCCGAATACTTTACAACGATGGATCAGGTTCTCCACCGAATCCTCTCATTTCAGACGATCAAACTCAAGGCAGGACTCACAACAATCCTGCTACGACCACCCCTCAGATTACCATAGGAGACAAGCATGCAGAAAGCGCTTCAACCCGGTATTCTCCTAGTTCGAGACGCCCTAATGTTCCAGTGAAAGCAAGGGCGTTGTACAATCTACTCCGGAAAGAGGTAATCATTCCTCAAACTATTCGAGCATTTTGGTTTTCATGTGCGGATGTTGATAAACTTGTACCTGAATATGTCTTCATCACAATATTCGTTGATTTGGTGCTTTTTTGGTCTTTGAGGAAAAGGCCTTGCTTACTTGCCCGATACCTGTTGGGAGCTCGCACTCAGTGAATCATAACTGACCAACCATATCAGCGATTCAAACTCAAGAATCTGCCAGATTCAGACCGGCGCCTTATGTGAGTACCGCTTGGTAGAAAAGAACTTCAAGCTTATTGACGTCGGGATATAGATTTATACTAAATCCGGATGGTTACGACTTTGTTGCGCTTACAGAGACAGCGCCATACCATCAACACAGAGCCCTCAAGGACATCATAGCTAAATATCACGCTTTCTGTCCTTCGATGGGAGTCAGTCTTTCCGTAAGACACTATTCGTCCAAGTCAATTAGCATACTAATGATTCACTAGACCAAGGGTAAGCCTTCCTACCAACTTGACTTTCACTTGCCCTTTTTCGCGATGCGAACGGATACAATCCATGCAAACTACAGAAGCTTTAAACCGCACCGAGAGTGGGTTGATTTGTCGTTCATTGCCCGAGTTTTACCTGAAACAACCAAAGTCGGCGAGCTGGGCCTTTACCCTGCACAAATTTCTTTTACAATATGTGGTACCAGTGTCAAACACTATGTCGCTTATGGTTTTGAGGACAATGAATTCGATCCTGACCGGGAGTTTGGCGACGACGAGTTTTCACTCGATGGCTTCCACGCCGATCAGATGACCATGGGAAAAGAAGACGCAAACCATCCAATCTGGGATCCACGAGAGTACTTCCTGTTAGTCTTGAAGCATCGGGTGAGGCAGATACGCAAGGAGTGGGAAAGAGTGGTGTGGAACTTGTACGAAGCTTCGGACGTTCGAATTTCTCACTCTCTAAGATGGCATCATCGTATGCTTGACGTCCTCCGTATCCTGTTGCCGATTCTCGATAACACCATGGATACTTGGGAGAGATTTCTCGCGGCCAATGGAGACCATAGCTATCTCCGTGACTCCACTGCGAAATCTGATGCATCAAAATTTGGAAAGATGCTCCACAGCATTAACAAAGAGTTTGAGGAACTGCAAAAGCTCTATAGAGTCTTGTCACGCCTTCAGGATCAATGCGAAAAGGAGGAAGCCTCTACCGGGGCTCGAATGATGCAGCAGAACAACTATATCGCAGTCCTGATGCTTCAATTCATTGGCCCGCTCAGTCTTGTTACATCTTTCTTCTCGATGGAGGAACCTGTTGTGGAGTTCAAGCGTAACCTGGTTTCCTTCATCTGGTTTTACTTGGTCTTGATACTGTTGATTTATGCTGTAAGGTTCGTTGGGGAAGGACACATGTACCGACCTCAGTGGTGTGAAACTATTGCGAGAAGGGCGAAGCGGATATGGAGAGATGTTCGTGACATAACCACGAGAACCACAGCAGGTGGGACTGTCCTGCAGCGAAGGCGGACACACGAGTGGTACAAGTTGGATTAGTCGACTCAATACTCATCGATCACGTATCGCAGTAGTCTTGTGATATGCTGTATGGAAAGGTCTTAGTTGAGATAGATGAAGGCAAAAATGCCATTGGTTGAAGAATGATGACAGCGCTTACCCCGCCCAAAACATGACTTACACGAGAAGGCGGATGGTGGAGCGAATCAGTAAGCTACCCCACGATACGTGCGCCTCCAAGATAATGCATACCTTTATCTCATTGATCGTAGTTGATGATGTGCATGAAGCGGACCAATTGTGGAGAAACACGACAGTCCAAGATTTGTTGCCTGCTCGACGTGGCAGTCTGCTCTCTTATGATGAGGCTGAAGAGCATCACCGGTGAGCATTTCAGGCTGTCTGTGCCATAAGGTTCAATTCAGTCTGATTCATTGCTCAGTACCGCACTGTATTCTGACAGTCGCACCTTAAGCGCATGTCCATTAGTGTCATCTTGAGGCCTTCGTCAACAAAGAACATAGCCAGCGATCAACTGAGAATGGATGCGCTCGAGCAGTCTCTTGGTTCCTTGGATCTCAGTGTCCCGATTCCCGATGTCAAGAACGCGGAAGTGCTTGCCAACCCGCTCGATGTGTACCGTACCTACCTGGCCCAGGTACTAGCAGATGCTGTAGGTTGTGACATCGATGTAGCCTACAAATCCATCCAATGGCCGAACAACATATTCAATGGAGATCTGGCAGTCATACTTCCGAAGCTTCGGCCTGGTGCTAAAGCTGATGAAGTGGCTGTTGAGCTCATGAACAAGGTACGTACCTTCCATTCTTGACCCTGTATACCATCGAAATCGCTAAGCAAGCCTAGTTTCCAAGTGATCATTCACTCTTCCTCCTTCCGTTCCTAGAAGGAGTTCACTTTCGTGTTTTCGTCAAGCCAGATTCGCTGTCCCGTTTTCTCTTGCCGTACATCTCGAGTCGAAGACATGGATACGGATCGATCCCATCTTCTGCTAGCACGGAAGGCGTACACAAGAAACTCGTGGTCGAGCTCTCATCTCCGAATATCACCAGCGAGTTTCAGGGGAAGCATCTACGAAGCACCATTGTTGGCGCATTTGTCGGCCGGCTGCACGAGCTGATGGGATGGGACGTGACGCGCGTCAACTATCTCGGAGACTGGGGTAAGCCGATCGCTTTACTGTACGTTGGGTGGTCAAAGTACGGCTCAGAAGAGGCATACGAGGCAGATCCTATCGGTCACCTTCTGGAGGTCTACCATAAGATAGAAGAGGACTTTAAGCCAGAACAGGCTGCGAGTAAGCAAGCGCGCGACGAAGTAGCGAAGGAAGGTGAAGACAAGGGAGAGGCACAGGTCGAGATCGAAAGCAAGGGCATCTTTGCGGAACGCAACGAAGCATTCAAGAAGCTTGAGGAGGGCGACGAAGAACTCGTGGCGTTTTGGAAGCGAGTGAGAGACGTCAACATCGACAATTACACCAAGTTCTACGAGAGACTAGGCGTGCGCTTCGATGAGTACTCGGGCGAGTCGCAGATCAGTTCCGATACCATGGTCGAGGTCGAACAGATGTTGAAAGAGAAGGGAATATCAGAGGAGAGTGGAGGTTCTCAGATTATCCACATGCAGAACCTAGGTGCGAAGTCTGGTACAGCCATCATCCGCGATCGCTCCGGTAGCAGCACCTATCTCCTCCGAGACCTCGCTGCCGTCCTCGAACGGTCGAGAAAATATTCGTTCGACAAGATGATATACGTGGTGGCCAGTGACAACAGTGTGCATTTCACGCAGCTCATCAAGGTTTTGGAAGCACTTGATATGAAAGAGCTCGCCAGCAAGCTACACCACGTCAAGTTCAGTGAGGTATCGAAGATGGCTGCGACGCTTGGGAGAGGGTATAAGCCACAGGGCATACTGGATGCATGTGAGGAGGCGATGACAGCTTTCTCGGAAGCTGATGCTGAGAAGCTTGAAATGATTGGCGGTCCCGACGATACCAAAGAAGGGTTGGCGACATCTGCACTGCTTGTGCAAGAGCTCTCGACCCGTCTAACCACCACACACGCCTTCGACACGAGCACAATGGCTTCCTTCAAGCTCGGAACAGGACCGGACTTGCAGTACTGGCTGGCCAAACTCCGTCTGCTACTGAAAGGTGTCGAATCTGCAGCTGGACTGTCAGAAGAAGACTATGAGGCATTGGCTGAAGAAGACCCAGCCAATCTCTTGCGCGTTTTGGCTCAGTATCCCGAGGTTGTCAATGCAACATATCACTCTCTCGAGTCGGCTGGTGTCGTTACGTATCTCTCTAGTGTGACTGACCAACTTGCCGAGTGCTTCGCGGAAAATGAAGATGAAGATGCTGAGGGTGACAAAGATGCCAAGGTGACTCCTGGGTTTGCTGCATTGTATGAAGCGACTGCAGTCGTCTTGGAGAATGGCATGAAGCTGCTGGGACTGGCTCCGATTGCGCAGTCGCTACCTGAGAGGGCGGATACACCTGTGATGGGTTGAACAGTCGTTTCTTTGCAAGTACCCAAATTGTCTATAAGCGGGATTTGGTTTTGAATAGGCGTGTTGAAGCAGCCATTGATATCGTTGGCCTCGAGCCTGCTTCCTGAAGCGTTTTGGAAGGCAGTCCGCTACTGCTCTTCCACACTATAACGCCATAACGAATAATGACTAGTGTTTCTCAATGATGTTTCGTGAGATGAAGGTCCACTCTGTGGGCTCCCTAGTGCTGGTGGGGTAGTGTCTTTCGAACTTTGTCCGGCAAACTTTTCATGTTCTTTGGCCGGCTCGTTTGTCGTTCAATTTTGGTGCTCGATGATATAATGTTAACAATCGCCTCTCTTTCCATCCAAGTCCGATATGGTCTAGTGGCTAGGATTTGCCGCTCTCATTCGCAGAGTCAGTTCACTGTACAGTGCCGGCAAGGCCCGGGTTCGATTCCCGGTGTCGGAAAACGATATTTTTGCCTGTTTGACGGGCTTAAAATGCATGTTCTTTTTGCCCACTGCTCTCAAAGGAAAATCTTGGAGATGGACACGACCTGGAGAGTTGGGAAACAACACGCCCACGCTCTCCGCCTCAACAAAAATCCAGGCTTCAGCGTCAGTCTGCCGTTCCTTTCTTCTCTATACTGGTTTTCCTTTCGCACTCCCTCACACGTAAGTCTAGATGCTTGGTGACGCTTGCGAACCCTGTGGGAAATTAGAAAAGGACCGTATCTCATCACATCTGCCTCGCGCTTTCGCTGGAAAAAGAGAAGAAAGACGTCTTCTGCCCCCCGGCCATGCGAGCAGTAAATCAGCCGCAAGCTGAACCATGTCCAATCGAGCAATCATCCATGCGGCACCGCCTAATTTAACATGTTCTTTCCTTCTGCTACATGATGACTGCCTCGCCAGGTGCATCAAGTAAGCCAAGCACTTGGCCTTGGAAATCAAGCTTTGGGTGAACTCACCTCCGCATTTCAGATATCGCATCGCATCAACGACGTTCTCGGATCTCGAATGATCCTTCTGCTTTGCCATCTTTTCATAATGTGTTTGTCACGATGAGTCTGCGAGCTTCCAGCCACCCGCATGCCCCTGAGTTTAGTAGCGCGTTTCGCCGCCGCCCGTATTTGCTGATGCATCATCACATACCAGGCACGTAACGGTCGCGATTCGTCGCCTGAACACTGCAAGCGATGGTGGCGTCTGCTCGGGTAAGATAATGTAGTATTGACTGCGGGCTGCGTGATAGGCAGGAAATGATGTATAACTTTAAGCCCAGTCTGCCGTAACAGCAGCACTGCATCTCTCCAAGTCCATCCTCATCACACTTTCAATATGCGTCCTTCCACTTATGCTGCGTTGTTCGCCGGTACTGCCATTGCGCAAGAGTCTGCGACAATCTTCAACCTCTTCCAGTTCGATAGCACCCTCACCGTGCTTGGTTCCGATGCCAGCGCAACAACCTACCAGAACAGCTGTCCTTCAGACAATGCGGGTATCTCTGCAGTTCCGACCGATATGCGTATGTTGCAAAGGGTTGTCGGAAGATTGTGCTGACACCTGCAGTAAACACGGATGACCCGTCTGCGCCTGATTCGACTCCGATGCCCACACCCGCGCCTCGCATGCGCCGTCAGGACGATGCTTCCAGCGATGATTATTCCCTCTGCGAACCTTACACCATCATACAAGGTTCTGAGACATATGAGATGCACCTCACAGACCCGAGTCCAGGCGCATGGACTGTAGACATCGCCTGCAGTTGGCAAGGTGCGATGACAACAGCTGACCTAACCTGTGATGCCACCAATCGCGGAAGCATCCCAGGTCTCAGTACCACCGAGACGAAGAGTGTTTTGTCGGCAAGCGAGCTACAAGATATGGAAGCTTACCAGGTGGTGGCTTTGGTGACTGCAAGTGGTGCGTCTTCGTCGGGATCAGCTTCAGCGACTCAAACTTCAGCATCTACTGGCTCAGGGACAGGAGCGACATCACCTTCAAGGTCTGGATCTGGTACCGCTGCAACGAGCACTGGTCTTGCACCTGCTGGATCAATCCCAAATGTGATGGCCCTGGTCGGAGGTTCCATTGGTGTTTTTGCTGCAGCCATAGCTTTGTGAGCTTGTTGCAATTAGTCTTTAGTATGTTGAGCCGCATTTAGGTGTACTTTTCGGTAGGCGATGGCACCATCGTGGTGTTCTTTTGTGGTCCGAATAATCGTCATTTTTATTACGCGCTCTCAATTCTCATCGCTTCGTGTTTATCTCTCCATGTCAAACCTTCATCTCGTTTTCCTTTTAGTCAGGGTCTGTCCATACTGGCGGATCCATGGTGAGCGTGGAAGCAGCAATCCACATCGCGCCTGCACGTGATCACGTGTTATGCAAGACGCGACGTTGCGTCGGCTGTCGACTATTGTTTCCGCTAACCCCACATTCAAACAACACATCGTTTGTTGAATTGTGACATATATCGACGTCTTGCGCTCGGCCCTGCGATCACGACTCTTTATCTCACCTTCTTTGTAGCGCCCTTGCCTGTAACCCACGCCACATTTCAACATATCCCACCCAATCTTGGGACCTGACTATCAACAAACACAACATCAAACATGGCAGTCGCTATGCCTAGTTTTTCAGCAACTACCCCAAACCCAAAGTCGCGACTACTGGAATCATTTACACGACATGTCTCTGCGCCTGTGAGTCCATTGGCGCTCGAATCCCGTCGACCAAGTGAAGGAAACTTCGGCGCCAGTCACCATCATACCTTGCCATCTCCAAAGTTATTACGGACAGCTTCAAGATCTAAGCATGATCTCCTGGGTGAACTATCTTGGGCTCAGTCGCTTGCAGCTTTCCTGCGTCGCGATCGAGACAACTGGCGCACACTCGCCCTCAAGCAAGAACAGGACCTCAAGGCCGCACATCAAGACCTCGAAGACCAAGCTCGCAGCATCTTGAAGATGGAACAAGAGTCGGCTAAACTCAGGTTCCGCCATGAGGAGGACACGATAGCTGGGAGGCAACTCTATTCGCGCTTCCATGTACTCATCTCCAAGCATGACAAGCTTGTGGATCAATTCAACGATGCCATGCGTACCGTCGCTCGCCTTAAGAAGAGTGACCGAACTAAGGGCAAGGTACAACAGCGTAATCTGAGATTGAAGGCTACACTGCAACGTTACACATCTCAAGTTACCTCGGCTGCTACTCAAGCGGCTGCAGACACAGAGTCCACTCTAAGGGAAGCACTCGCTTTGGCTAATGAGCGAATTGAGGAGCTGGAGACAAAGGGCGAGGCGATGCTTGATGCCTTGGAGAGGCGCAATGATAGCTGTGACAGTGATGATGAAGAAGAGTTGGAGCGAGGAGATGTCGAAGCAGAGCTCTTGGGAGCTGAAGTGGCATTCCGCGGTGTTCTCGAAGACGAATCTTTCAAGGAGCAGAAAGAGATTTGGCTGAATCTGTTGAACGATTGAGAGAAAGCAAGATTAAGAGCATGCGTTAGTGTGCAAGCGTATTGGAGGGGTGATGTACGATGACGCGCATTCTATTGCTTTCGACTGTTTCCGATCAGCCATCAGAAGTAGTACCAGTGTACAATAGATCATGCCACTAGAGGTGAACTGGATAATGCCATCATAACACCTTCGCAATTGCAGCACTAGATTACACCTTGCACTGCAGAGGCGAACAGGTATAGCCAGCGTGGGAAGATACTGATTGTCATTCGTGTAAGTAGCCGAATCATCATCAGCAATCAGTCGTTCATTGCTCCCGATATTCAGTCACTGAGTTCTAATGATGCAAGATATTGTACAAGAGACATGCATTTTGTGAGGCGCTCTGGGCAATCGGTTCTGAATGAGACGAGATGTTGTAGGAGGCTGGGAGTCCGTTAGACAGAATTTTGACGTCATCCATGACGCGCTAAGCCCAAGATAGGGGATATATTTGGATCCGACACGTTCGAAGCACATCCTGTAGGTACGCGATGCAGCCATGACGTCGTAGAGCGCAGTGTCAAAATGCAGTCATGTCCAGGAAATCACATAGTGAGACATGATAAACGTCCAATCGATAAGTACAACTTCGCTACTCTAATGCAGCCAGATTCTAAGAAGCGCCAGCAGCATGATGTTCAAAAGGAAACTTTGGTACAAAACTCCATGATCCTCCACACCCGCTCGGAAAGATTTTCGACACACCAGAACTATAACATAGGAAACAAATGCCAGGAAAACAAAAACGATATTGATCCGCCCAGAACCTAAAATCAACGCGAACGTATATGCAGTTCTAGCATGTAGATAAGATGAGAGGCATATCGCGAGTGCGACCTAAATCCACCCAAACTGTGAGCTGTGAGGGAACCCATCCCCATGCAGCACTCGCATATTCAGCGCGATCCTCTTGGAGAGTATTGTTGCTGTTCTGGGTATCGCGGTGGTTGTTCCATCTCATGCATATGACGCTCTTCTCGGCCACGTGTACGATCCTCAGAGCGGCGCGAAGAATGATGGCGTCCCTGTCGGGAAGATCGCCGTGCGTTCTGATCATTCCAAAGAGATTCCCCGTGGGGTCGAGTTTGGCCAGGTTGCGCATTTCGTTGCTCGGAGTGGAAGTATGCTCGTTCGGCAGCTTGGACAGGCGCCTCCTTTGGTTGTGCAACTCCGGTTCGGAGTGATTCCTCGTCGTCAAATGGGGAACGAGGGGCGTAGTGAGGTCCCATTGACTTTGGCTTGCCCGCTTTTTTCCACTCCCTGAACTCTCTGATACTGATACCGGAGCAAACAATTTCTGTGTTGCTAGGTCGTGTTAGACTCGACAATCAATAGAAGTTTCTGCTCGACTTACATGATAATGACGGCGAGGACCATTACTACCCAGCTCAGGCCACATGTTACCCCTACGCAAGACTTCATGTTGGCCTGGAACGTTAAGCCAGCAACTCCACTCCAGAACACCACCTCGAGACAGGCGATAATCGCGTGCGCCTTGTAGCTGTGCCAACGCTGGAAACGGGGAACGTGTTCCGAAAGTATGAGGTAGGCGAGCAGGATGAGGGATTTAGCACCCTAGACGCAAGCGTTAGCAACCAAATCGACAGCTAAATCCTGCCTGTGAAATATCCTAGATACCCAATAACATCCAGATACCGAGAACACGACGTACCATTCCCAATGCGATTGTGCTTGATCTTGAACGCGGAATATTTTTTACAAAGAGACGAGGAACCGTAAGGCCGACAGCGGCAGTGACGAGTACGACTTGAGCAATGTGAATTTGTAACTTGAAGCGGCTACTGAAGAGAGGCAAGTCGAGGATTCTTGAGATTCTCATCTTGGATATGGACGCGAGTGGTAACTTTGGATCTGATCAATTGTTTGTGGAAATCGTATCGTAGATTGGTTCTGGCGTGGCTGATTGGAGCTGGAGGCTTGATCTTCGATGCTGTGCGACTGTGGAGAAGGATACATCGTGGAATATAATATACATTTTCTCTACGCTTCTTACATGCATCACCGCGTAAGTCTGTATGCTCCGCCGTGTCGAACGCGTTGTTGCATTTCTTCTTGGCGTGGTGAGTGCGAGTACGGCACAATACGAGTGCGAGTGCGAACTACAGACATAGAACGTGATAGGCGCGGGACTTGCCAAGCCGTTGCGGGATATGCCGTCTTTCAGCCCTACCAGCCTTACCCCTGTCTCAGCCCTGTGTGCCAAACGTTCAAGGTTAGACTTGCGAGTAATTGGGCTCAGAACAGCGGATAGAAGATTAAGCCTTTTCTCTTGTTTGCGCTCGAGCCCTCCTGAACCCTCTCGCTGGAACTTTGCCGGGTTTCCGGTAGGAGAAGAGTAAGCATGGTTTGAAATACAACTATTCAAAGCCAATCATCGAACAGGATCAGCATGTAACAGTGCCCAGTCGCATGCTCAGCTCGCACTCGCTCTCACGTATGAAGGGGCTTATTCCTCAGATTTGTTTCTCAAAGATATTTGTAGTGGTCAATTCGGCCCTGTTGGCTGTGGTCCATGTACATGAGGGTTTCCAGGCATATTCGGAACGCCTTCGGGGCCAACCATAGTCCCAATGTCCGCCCAATTCCACTCGTGAATATTGTTAATCGTAAAATCCATGAACTGCATTTGCGTCGTTCTATCGAACCGGGCATTAGGGTGCATGGCAGGGCCCATGTAGGCCTGGTCAGGGTATATACGGCCTGGCATCGGATCCGCGTACATGTAAGTACCTACGCCGGGCGGAGACTGATGGTACATGTGTGGCACAGCATCCGGCTGCGATAGTTGCTGCGGCGGAAGGGAACTCTGGGGTGCGGTGTCGTGGGTCTCGAGTTCCGGCTCTGCAAATCTGACAGGCGAAGCTAGAGAGTCAGCCATGGAATGTAGTTCTGGAACCAGGGATGCGAATTTCTCAATGGTTCCAGGCATGTAGGGATTCCGCCTATGCCGCTGTGCCAGATCTGCAAGCTGAGACAACAGAATGCGGGATTCTGACATGTCTGTGCCTCCGAGCTTATTCAAGCACACAAGATCAAGTACTAGCACTGAGCTTGATGCGAGCATATACCATACGTCACAAGAGTAGACGGAATCGAATTTGCCAAAAGATTCAAGTTTGAGCAATGCCTTGGCCAGCGATCGGCCAGACTCAGAGCAAGCTTCCGCCATGGCTGTGAGTGCGGAGTTTGTAGTGTCATGACCGCTCTTGGCCAGACTGGAAGCGCGTGCAAGCAGGGCTGAGCGACACAAGACGATGGTTGTATAGTGATATACGGAGTGTATCATCAACAGCGGCCGTTGCATAGCAGGAGGTGAAGCGTCTATAACTTGGTAGTGTAGATGCCTGGGTAACGTCTCCTTCCATCGGACCAGGTCGCGTAGCACACCCGCGGCGGGCGACAAGGGGCCAACATAGGATTCATCGTTGGCGTTGGACTTGACGGTCTTGGGCGCGCGACACGTTGACCCGAGCAGCATGAACAAGCGGGTCGAGCATGCGGACAGGTCAGGGGGTCCGCCAATTATTTTCTCGTTGGGACTGCTAATCTTTGCGCCCGGGTTCTCGATGGCACTCGGACGGTCATAGGAGGACACCTGCATCGTCTCAAAGGCATATAAAGTCCACCATAGAATCTTGCGCACCTCCCTAGCCAGAGGTGTTTGGCCAGCGTTGACTTTGTCCTGATTCAGTCCAATGGCATATGCAATACGAACAGCGGTGCCCGTCAGGTTCCAGCAAGCATCCCGATGGTTTGTGTTGTGGAGGTGTATGGCGGCCAATAACAGGGCTTGTATGGCTGTGATGCTGGAAGTGAAGATGACGACGGGAAGAAGTGTTTGTGTCCTTTGCCACCATAGCCGCTCCTGGTCTTCTGGGAAGGGAATGCGCGCAACGCGACGGGCGAGCAACAGCACACAGGTGAAGCTGCATAGCCAGGCGGGATCGGCATTCCTGGGGTTGACCAACCACGCCTCGTAGGCCTCGCGGAACGAAGGCTCGTGCAGGACTGGGAAGTCTGGGTGTATGTGTTCGAAGAAGGCGCGTATCAGCACTTCGAGGTTTGGCCTGTCGCTGGGGTTCAAGTGTCGGGCCTGGACGGCGCCAGAGCCGTGGGTGGCACTCGATGGCGCGGTGGGATTCGACGGATTGCGCTGGTCGTCGCTGCCTGTTGGCGACGATGCCTGGGCTGCGTTCTTGCCAAAGCTACATGTTGGCGCGGAGAGTCAGTATGCGCCTCAGGTAAAGATGATGCAGGGCCGGTACTGACAGAACAAACTCGCGCAGAGCGCCTCTTCCGACCAGCGTCCGCAGCTTGATGTGGAAGGAGAGCGAGCTGCCAGGGCCGATGAACTGCACCTGCCCTTGCTGGTCGGGCAGCAGCGACACGGTGTCGTCTCCCTCGCCCTCGCCACTGTCGTCTTGGTCGCCATGCGCGTCGTTGGCGGCCGAGTCTGGCAGCGGGATGCCATGCGACGTCGCAAGCTGTCGCAACGCCTCAGTGCTGGACACGTCTGCCTCTGGAAGCAGCCCCTTGACCAGCGCCTCGAGCAGCGCCAGACGGGTGCCCAGGCCTTCGACACTCCCATACAGTCTCTTCTTGCGCGGCTGCGTCGTCAGGCACTCGATGTTGTGCACAATGCAGTAGCGACAGGCGTCCTGGCCAGGCTCCTTCCGGCACTTTTGCTTGCGCGACTTGCATTTGTCGCAGCTCGTTTCGGTGCGCTTCCGCTTATCCAGCGGTACTCGGCGCGAGCTGCTCGCATGGCTGCTACTCGCGGGTGCGGGTGTGGAGGCGGACATGGGCGTGGGCGGGTAGGTGCGGCGGAATTTCAAGGCGCAGGGAGAAGAAGCATGGCGCACACGTTGCGAGAGCGCTGCGAGCACATTGAGACGCTCTTTGTGCCGGTGGATGATGGGACTGCGATTGCGCCCCAACTACTTTGCCATGGTGAATGCAGGGCTCTCTGCGCTATCGTCGTTATGTCCGTTCCTTCGGTAATTGAGGCTGCCGTCTCCTCTCCGGTGGGCCCAAGCTCGACGAATAGCCATGGGTCAATGACCATCTCAGATGCACAACACCATCTACCCCTCGCTGCCTACCCGCTTCTGTACCACCTCCCCTCTGTCTCTTCTTCTCCTTGCTCGACACCACCCGTGGCCAAACGTCCGTCAAGCGAGGACAACTTCGAACCCATCTTGGCACGCGCGGCGCGTCGTCGGTCCTGCCCAGGCCGCCATACTAGGGTACCTCTGTTAACCTGACCCAAGAATCTTGTCTTTCACCAACGAGACTCACCAAACCAGTATCGTTTGGCTCACCAGCCAGGTATAGTCCCATTGTTCCATAAGCATGACTCGATAATACAATCCAGAGCAACCAACCGCCATCGCACTGAATCGATCTAGCACATGCTCGGCGTTCTAGCCAGTCGAGAGACCCACATAGTACCCATTCAAAGACGACTAAGACAGCAGTCTTTTGTCGCAACTCCATCTTCAGCTGCCATCTTGCCCGCACTGGTACGAGGAACACTTCCATGTTGCTGATAAGACTTAGAGCACCTGTGACATACTCAGTATATTGCATCACACCCTTTGACTGCTGTGTATCCGCTTTCTCAGAACATCAGCACGTAGAGACGTGGACTGCAGGCACAATCATGTAGATCAGCGCATTGACGACCAGGCCTCCAGCGATGACCCAGAATCGACAGCACGGAGTCTCATAGCGAAGATCTTCTTCAGCTCCATGGATGCGACTGTCTTAGCCAGTCCGCTAGTCGTCAAACAGCAGACAGAAACTACGTCGCAAGTGTAGATGGCATCCACTAAAGTTGCTAAGGAGACATCCCGCCTGTGCAGTGCCATTCCAATGCTTATGGCGCGCGGATTAGCTGCTGTGTAGACGATGCAGGCGCAGCAGGCAAGATATGAAAGGCAGTCCTCGATCCGAAGCTCTTTACCAACGTTTGCTTGCGCATAGACTTGGTCGAACACGAAAGGTAAGGCAGACAGGCGGATCACTGTGGTGGCGGAGATGACGACCAGCAATACTATGGGGTCACCCATAAAGCCTGGCTCTTGGATTTGATGGTGGTGACGATAGTGCCGGGAGTTGGAGTAAGATCTGTTGATGCCATTATGTGTGTGGAGAACATGTAGGTCCAAAAGAGCGAAGAACATCCTGGAAGGACAGGTACCGGAATGTTAGCTGACTGACAAAGTAATCACACCGCTTCCCTTGAAAGGGGTTTCACTTATCGAGATGCTGCTGAATCCCAGTCTTGTGGACCCATTCTATTCTGGGCCAGTTGTACGTCATCTCCCATGCTGCAAATGGACATCCCTTGCATAGTCTACCACACTTCGGCGTAACACCTCATCAGACACCACGTCGAAACTCAGACTCAGTCCAAAAGCTCTTTTTTACTTATAGGACAATCACTAACGATCATACAATGGTGCGCCAGTCACCCAGCCCCCATGCTGCAGCATTTGCGTGTCAGTGCTTTCAGTTGGAAGGCGAGAATAGTGCGTATCCAGGTTGGCCGTGAACTGGCTTTATACCATGTTCCATCCCTGCTCGACAAGCGAGGGCGAGTCGCGCCTCAATCGCGCATTCGCGCTATTGCCGGAGATACGTGATAGACTGCGCCCTGCTAACTTGATGGCGGATCTGTAAGCCCATAAAACAGCTATGGATACTGTCAAAACCTGCGCAACGACTTGGATTGCGATGTCTGGAGTGTACTAGGACGTGATGGCTAGATGACAAGACTACAAAGATTACACGATCGATGCAACTTCACAATTGAAGACCCTTCCTGAACATTGACAACTGGGATCTGTCAGTCATTCGCGTCTTGAGAAAGTCTCGGTAAACGACACATCGAACAGCATTTGCTGACTCATTGCAGTATCGGGTCCCAGTGGCGTTTGGGGACTACCATAATGGGAATGGTCAGCATTACAGAACAAACTCGAACTTATACGTATGCTCATCACCATTTCCTGGTTGTCGACAAAGGCTATGATATGGATAGCCATGTCATCAACGCGGGGATAGGGCACTGTACGTTGATACGATGTGCTTGTAACTTTATGCAGAAAAGGCACTGATAGTAGGCTATGTAGCAGATCAACATCATAGATATGTACCTGAATGTTTATCAAATGTTTGTTCCGGCACTTGGTGACATGAGTATAGCGACGCTAGTATTCGCAGGCACATTCAACCACTTTCACGTTACTTTTCGTTTTGTATTGCGAGCGATCCCACCTGAATAATGCTAATAAGATACTTGTATGCACACATATCTGCGACATTCTCTTTTGGCGTCTTGCCTGGTACTTTCGCTGATCAAAATAGGATTCAAAGCGAGTCGGAGGTGCGCATGAAATGCGTGTAAAAGAAGGGACTGATAAAGGTTGTACTGGACAAGACGGAGTTTGGGCAGTAAAACAAGGACAACAAGCTTGATAGTACGACAAACTTCAAGGACGTAGCGGGCATGCTATACGAAGACATCGATGGCGACGACCCCCAAGGTTGACACTACACGTTGTTTTCTCAACACTGTCGCGTACATGCATACTCCATGCATGTCCCTCGGTGAACGTACATCTTGTACGACCACCTACCCACCCCCATGTCGAATCATGAATCTTTCGAAAAGCTTTTCGTAAACTTTTTCTACTGACCATGAAGGTAGTCGTTTTAAAAACAGTTCCGAAAAGCGCTAATTCACTATATGAATCTAATATTTGTTGACAGACTTCGACCCAGCCGATGCCGTCATACTGCTTAGCTCAATCGTCCAAGCACCCAATCTCTCGACCAAAATAGTTCGAATTGAAGGTTCGAACCACACTCGTTCCGACTATCGGACATAAGATGAGTTGTCAACATCGAAAGTAACAGCCAAGCATACGAACCCGCTGCGCGCCCTTGAACGAGTCAGTCATCCGTTACACAGCCTACTCCAGGACGGAACATTGCCACCATCGCTCGATGAATCAGGCTCTCTATTGTGGCCCTGCGACAGATCACACTACGTCTTCCAGAGACCAACCAAAGCTTCGTTAGGCCACACCCAGACCACGGCCAGCCCTGAAAACGACAATTCCTTCTGCGAGGTCACAGTGAATTACAACAAGACGAAAGGGTGGTGAAATTCTAACATGGAGCAATTTCCGCAGTGGAAAGCGCGGTACGCCTTGTTCTTAGCCTTTGCCTTGGTCGCAGCTCGCTTTGTTGCTTCCAGAAAATGGCGATCCACGCCCCTGTTCTGGTATTGGTGCAGCATCATTTCCGTCGAAGACCGCAAGGATGCAGATTCTTATTGCCGCAGTAGTACATACTTTGAATTTCATCATGCCCGAGTTCAGTACCATTTGCACTCGAAAGACAAGGGCAATATCGTTCGCTTCTGTTACGTCTCAAGCGCAAGAGGCACTGGAGCTTGACGTCACCCCCAACAAAGCTATTCTGGAACAAATGAAAGTTGAACTAAACATCAAACTGAAAGAAAATGAGGACTCTTATACAGGTCTATCATTTACAGTTCACTAGATTGGAGGGTTCGGTTCATGAGTCGAGTATCCAATAGTGGCTTCGTACAATATCATCAGCAAGAGTGACGGGACAAGCACTCGGTACCGCCGATTGGGAAGTCGACAAGACACCGCAAGGAATACCGAGAAGGATTCCCTCACACTCGGCGAACATTCCTTGTACTGGCTGCCATGCGCATTGGGGATCGAAGAGGCCGACGAGGAGCATGAATCTCGTGCCGAGTTGGATGACTGATGAGCTACTTGATTTTTTTACACCAACAAGTTGATAGATTCCTTCGCAGAGCTATGTGTAAGTCTGTCGGTCCACATTGTTGCTTGGCTCGCCCGATTTTTTTGGTGCATCTTATTGTCAGTTCATATTACTTCTTACGCTACTGTGGAGAATCTTGACACGATGGCTTCTTTCGTGCTTGTTATGATGGAGCTAAAGTTCTCAGACTGTAACGTACAATAGGAGACCTCTTAAGGAGACCTTTTCATGGTGCAAGAGCATATTCGGCTTCAGCATGAACAAGGATGAGGAAACTCGGATTGAGTACTCGATAATTGACTGTGTTATGTCTGAGATAGGTTCGCTCATATAGCAGTCACCAAACTAGACCTACAACTGCGTCGGGTAATCTAATGTCTCAATCTTTTCCGGGTATACGAGTCCGCCCTGCTTCCTCACCTCATCCATGACCTCCATGATTAACACACTCTCATCAAGGCCAAGGAACCTACCCTCTTTCCTGCCGTTGATAATCGCATCCGCAGCCTCATCCGCTTCCCAGAACATGCCCTGACCTTCGCCTTCTGATTGGAGTGAGCCACCGAAGCCATTGTACCAGCCGCTTCCCTTACCTGGGCCTGGGATGGGAAACTCTTTCGACTCAGCCTTGCCTTCTGAATCGATGATCCTGACGGAGAGGGGTCGGAAAGAGTGTCCAAAGACTTGAATCTCGCCCTTGGGTCCTTGGATGCGGACGAAAGGTAGGTCCTGGTTTCCTCCTGGGGCTGTTGCGACGCGGAGCGAGGTTGTAGCTACGGCGTGGACCTCGCCACCTTGATCTTTTGAACGTGGGAATTGCAGGATCATGGTGCTGTGCTCGTCGGCCTTGCCAGTGGGCTCATAGGTCTTGACAAAAGCCTGTAGCTTGGGCGGCTGGCGCGAGTCCTCGGGCTGAGTATGGTAGATGGTTTGGAAGACCCAGGTAAGGGCGTAGATACCAAGGTCGAGCAGGGCGCCACCCGCCAGATCAGGGTTCACCATGCGGTTCTTGCCGTCCGGGAAGTTGTTCTCGGGGTCGAGCGCCATGCTGTTGTCGGAAATGACGCGTGTGATGGGTCCGATGCGACCGGACGTGATTTGCTCGCGGACGTAGATGGACAGTGGGAAGTAGCGCGTCCATACAGCCTCCATCAGGAAGAGGTTCTTGGACCTTGCGACCTCAGCCAGCTTGCGCGCCTGGGCGGCATTGACTGTGAAAGCCTTCTCGCACAGCACGTTCTTGCCGGCCTCCAAGCAAAGCATGGCATTCTGGTAGTGGTGCGAGTGTGGTGTAGCGATGTATACAATGTCGATGTCTGGGTTCTTTACGAACTCCTCGTAGGAGCCATATGCCTTTGCTTCCGAGGGTGCGCCCACCTCCTTCAAGAAGTCTTTGGCGCGCGATTCCGACGACGACGAGGCGGCAGCGACGACGGTGTGCTTCAGGTGCTTGACGCCACGTGTGGTAGGGTCGCAAAGCAGATCCTTGGTGCTGTGTCCATGTTAGTAAACAACTTCAGTGGGGGTGTGGCGCGGGGTAGTTACAAGGTGACAGCGATGCCTCCAGTAGCGAGGATACCCCAGCGGACGGTCTTTGGTGATGACATGGCGTAGATGGATGGTTTGGTAGTCTCCCAGTAGATCCAAGGTGAGATTGTGAGCTCAGCGACGAGGAGCCTTTAGCGGCGTCAACAGGTTGACCTTTGTAGCTGCAGAGCTCCAACGTCATGACACCCACCGAACTTCGGGCAAAGCGCCGCATCTCAACCCCACTCTTGCCCCTCCATCAAGCTACCGGTGCCTAAAGGAGCAGACGGCCCGCGTCGCGAGACGTGGCCAACCTAACGTGTGATTGCCCTGTTAGAGGGCGTTGATGAGTAAGGAGTCGTCGTTAAGGGGTTGGGAGAGAAGCCTATCTCCGAAAGTCGACGCCAAGCCCATCACACTCCACGTAGCGCCGACGAGCTGGGAAACATGACCAGCCATGTTCGAAAAGCGATTGACTAATACCAACAGCAGAACCAAGACTCGTTGCAAACATATCCCGACATTTTCTCAGCACGAGTTCGTAACAACGGGAAGCTGGGGGACTTTCGGCCTAGGGCAGATCAGGAGCCAAGCGCAGCACAGGTGGCGAATGTCACGGAGCATATGGAGCCAGCGTCGACAGATAGAGCATTGCATATTCTCGCCACAACCAAAGGACGTCACGATGGAGCTGCTATAGCTTCGCCTTGCTACCACTTTGAATGCGTGCATGATATCTGTCCCTCATCTCTCGCCTCAACATCTTCCCCGAAGGAGTTCTAGGTATCTGAGAACGACGTCAGTGTAAGTAGTTCATAGCAGTTCAAGCACTCACTGAATCAACAACCTCAACACCACCAGTCAGCCACTTGTGTCGACTCAAGCGTCCTTCGACCCACTGATGTAGCTTCTTTACGACGATATCCTCGCCCTGTTTCCCTCCCTCGTTCGTGAGTACGATCCATGCTCTGACAAACAAAGACCCATCGCCGCGACCATTATCGACGCCAGCTACGCATGCATCGCGCACAAGACCCTCCGGATGGTCCAGCAACGTATCCTCCACCTCCGTGGCAGCAACTTGTAGACCTTTGACCTTGATCATCTCTTTTAGGCGATCGAGGTAGTGAATACGGTCATGCTTGTCGCGCATGACAAGATCTCCAGTGCGTAGCCAGCCCGGTTCGGTGAACATATCCGCTGTGGCTTTGGCTTCTCTGAAATAACCGGGCGTGACAACTGGTCCACGTACCCAGAGCTCACCCTTCTCACCCTTGGCTACGTCTTTGAGTGTGTCAGGGTCCACAATACGAGCCTGCATACCTGGGAGCAGATATCCAATCGTGCCAGACAGCGCAGGCTCTAAGCCAAAGATCCCATTCGCACCCGAACTAGCGATACTGGCTGCTTCACTGAGGCCATAGCCACTTGGTACTGGTATTTCTGCACCCTGTGGTAGCTTCCTGGCCAGCTGATGTGCGACATCTGGTGGCAGATATGCAGCACCGCTAGATGCGACGACCACAGAGCTCAGGTCATATTTCTCAGTCAATGAGCTTTGAGCAAGCTGACGGACTAGAGGTGGGACGAGTGGAAGATGTGTAATCTTGTACTTCTGTATGCTCTTCAAAGCAAGCTCGAGGTCCCACTTTGGAAGGATGACGGAGGTCTGCTTGATTAGATTGAGACGAAGGATCCACAGGATCATCCCGTATGAGTGATACATCGGGACAACACCGAGTAAGGTGACGGGCGTCAACGGTTCGTCTCCTGCGAAGCGCGCAGCTTGTACACTGGTATGGAGCGTTTGCATTCCAGAAGAGTAGCCATTCCTATGCGTGATCATCATTGCTTTGGGCAAGCCGGAAGTTCCTGAAGATTGAAACAGGTATGCCATACGATTTCCGCCAAGCAGCTTCCGCTTTTGTTCTGGCAAATTGAAACCTTCTCTTACAAGCGATTCGATAGTACGATGTCCTGATACGTGGTCTAATTGAGGATTATCGCTCAGTACGATGACCTTTTGAGGGTTCAACTTAAGCTTCAGAGATAGATTGTCGCCCTCGCCAGATCCCAACTTGAGCGCTTCACTCAACACCGGGAGCAGCGTCTCATGACACATGATGCTCGTAATTTGCATTCTTCTCAATACCCACCATAATTCGTAGGGCGTACTCGCTGGACTGATCCCGCCGAAGACCAGCTCTGATCGGAAACATGCGTGCGCTATCATTGGATAGTGCAGATGATTCCGTGAGAACAAAGCCAAGATTTCACCATCTTCTTTATCATCTACCGGACTCTTATCCAGACCCAATGGATTTGGACCATCATATCTGAAGACGCGCGCCAATGCACATACTCGAGCATAGAAGCTGTGGAGGGTGACTACTTCTTCCGTGACGGCGTTGATGAATAGAGGGTAATCTTCCAGCAATGGGTTGTTTGACGGAAAGCAAAGCTCGTGGATATTAAGATCGTCTGGTGTAGGCGGAAGTGGACCATATGGCGACGAAAATACAGCTTGGTCGTGAGGTAGATATTTGTCTTTTTGGGGATCAGGAGCGTTAGGTCCAAGGAACCGAGACCAATGGGGTTTTAGGATATCATGCGTCATGTTGGGATCTGGGTGAATTGAAGTTGCTAGACGTCAATAGAAATATGTTAGATATTAAGACAAGGCACACATACGTGCCCTGCCAGTGTACCTTTGTGCGACATTGAATTTGGACTTCCGAGGTGTACTACACGCCCCGCGTTCTCCCCACATTCGGCCCTGACGTCGTGCAGGCGAGTAAGCCCAGGGATAACACACGGTAAGTTTTGTGTAGGCTGCAATCATACATAGTATGATGACAAGAAAAATGCCGCTGCAATGGCACCGCTCAGTCGGTGCTGTAGCAGAGTTTACGCCACGGATTCGGGCGGACAAAGCTATCGATTTCACCTGTAAGCTTGTATCGTAATTACTATATTCCTGGGCTACATCTAGCCCAACTCGGACTGGAGATTTCTATCGCATAAGCCCACGATGTTTCGGTCAACATCTATATACTTTGTCGCGTGGTACAAGCACTCTCGAAGAGGTTCTAGGTGAGCTGGCATCCCAAGTGTGGCTTTGCTGATGCCGGGCGCCTGAATCTTACGTCTAGACCAAATTGGGTCGGACTCGTCTCAGCTGATGGCGCCACAGACTGAGCAACATGGCATGCGCGATGTCTGTACTTTTCAACACACTCTTTGTCCACACGGTCCAGTACGCAGAAGGACTAACATTTTCAGGCGCCTCCTTGGATGTGGAGATCCGCATAGAGGCGCGCGGGTATACGTCGCTGGAAACCTCGCGTATGCACCCCTGATGCAACCTTGAGATTGTCGCGCTTCAGTCTCAGCCTTCGGGACTTATTTTCAGCCCCCAACATCGCCTTGCAGCCTTGTCACAGAGCTATAAACCCATCGCATCGTCCTCTCTATCGTTAGTACGCAAATTTAGCATTCGAATAACCATGTCTTCTAATTCCGATATTGGCAACGACGATGTCCTGCCTGCCAAGAGGGACACGATGCCGGCACTTTGGAGTGCGAAGCAAATTCCACATAGCGCAGACTTTCCCGATCCCTATGCATTGATCGGAGACGCATATGAACGGATATCAGTGGCAGATGAGTGGGAAATACCAGATCCGTAGGTAGATAACACGGCTGTATTTCCAGATCATCACTTACGCAGCACAGCAACAGTAAGAAGCTACCATACTTGGCGCACATCAAATCGCTGTCAACATCATGGAAAAGCCTACGTCATCTGGCGGACTGGATGCAGGTCGGAACAACCCCATTGCGTTGGAATGAAATCAAACATCACCCAGAGGAGCTCGAAAGGCGGCGGAACAAGACCAATGTCACCTTCGTGGAATACAACCCTTCCACAGCACCCAAAACTACAGCAATCAAGACACCAACATTGCTGCACGAAACTTTACAAGCCCTGTCGCATGAGCGTACAAAACAGCCTCCTCTGCGACTGTTCGTTGTAGAAGATCTGTCTCAGCAAGTCATCGAGCTTTTGGGAGCGCGCTTCGATATTGATCCTTTATTCTTCCGTGAGCAAATCGATGACTACGTGTGGCATAACACTCGCGACCCCTGGGCATCACCGCCCAGCCTAATCTCAAGCATGAAGCATCGACCGTGGTTTAGAATGCGCAATATGAGATTACGATATTTCAAAACAGAGAAAGATTTCGAGGATTCGAGGTTAGAGGCAAACACCTGGAACGTGCTGAGACGTCCTGACAACGATGAGAATCATTGGCACTATCAAGACAGAGATGGAGCAGTCGTATCCATTATGCGTACACGAACCACAATGTGGATTGGCAAAGATAAGCAGTGCGGAAACGGAACTGTAGGAATCGTGTTGCTGGATCCAACCGTCAGCCAGGGTCAACCACTATGTGAGTACTAACACATGACATCTCAACCTGGCAAAATTACACGCTGACACTGCAAAGGGTATGATCGCAGTAACTGGCTGCCGACCCCTAGGATGGAGACCAAGGTCTACCCTTCAATCAAGTCATCTGTATCCTGGTTCGAAGATATTGTCCAAATGACTACCGCATTCCCATGGTTCGAGCGGGGAGAAGGTCACGATATAAACGCGCAAGTCCTTGCTAAACCAACCATATACACCGTCTGTGCGGAATGGCTTATAGTGTGTGACTATGTAAGGGCCCGACTTAGCCAGATAGAATGGGAACTTGAACTGCCGCGCCTCTTCCGCTCAAAAGGCGACGCCATCGATACATCGCTCAAACGGCTTCACACTTGGCGTCGGCAGATTCCTGTATTTCGAGAGATGGTGGCAGAGACGTTGGAACACGCGCTCCCAGCCGCAGCGCGACTCACAACCCCGTCTCCTCAATATTCCGCCGCGCCCAACTCACCTCTTTCTATACGCTCAGCGTTTTCTGATAACCTGGTCATCAACTTTGAAAACGTGGAAGGATTTGAGGATATAGTCCCCGACTTCAAACGTGTTCTTGCCGATGTCAACGAACTACAGGAACGCGTCGACCGTCTTACCAGCATTGTCACTTCGGAGATATCCATCGAAGATTCACGTCGCGGACTTGAAGAGAATCACAACATGGCAAGAATCACATGGCTGGCGACTATTTTCATTCCCTTGACTTTCATATCTGGTTTATACAGCATGAATGAGAGCGTGTCAGCGTTGAAATCAACATACGGGTGGTATTTCCTGACCGCCGTGCCGTTTACGTTGATTGTTATGGCAATCGGGTGGGTCGCAGGCGGCGGGAGCCTCACGCCATGGCGGAAAGATTCTACAAAGCAAAAAGGTATGATTGGGGGAAGAGATATGAAATAGAGCAAAGTTATGAAGACCGGGCATGATACTATCTAACGCTAGCACCGGAAAACATTTCTTCGACATGAAGCGGCATATTAGTCTTGTAACATTTTTTCTCGCTAGCTTCCAACAACAACGACAACGCTTTCGTCACCGCCTGCCCTCGGCTACAATGTGAATCTGAAACTCGGATGCTGATGGCCGAGTCTATCCGCATCCGCTTGCAGAAGTCTGTCATCTCGCTCACCCCTGTCTCGCTTCTTGTTTTCCCAACCCAAGTAGACACACTGGGCAGCAGAGAGTACGATCGTTATCACTAATGCACCAAGGCTAACCGAATGGCCCAAAACATACCTCGGCGCATCGCGTTGGAGGTAGATGAATGTACCGATAAAGGCCGAACAATTAGCAATGGAAATCACCATACCGATTCCGACTGCTCGGACATAGTGAGGCGCAAGGTTATTGGACGCCCATCCCTGGATACATGTGAGCAAGACAAGTACGCAGATCTTCAGATCAAGCTTACCATGAGCATGGGTGAGCCTTGAAAGACACCGATGGCAACTAGGAACGTGCCGGCATATCGTACGGCATTGGTCGTCGCTACTATCAGCATCACGTAACCGCATATTCCCAAAATGCATCCTCCGATGATAAAGTAGCCCCGGTTCTTCAGTTTGTCCGAGGCATACGCCGTGCCAATGACGGTGATGAAGGCAGCCATGTTGGGGGGCACCGTGAAAAGCTGCGCAGTAGTGCTTCGATAGCCCATTCCTGCGATGATGCTAGGTAGGAACAATGAAAAACTCTATTGTAAATCAGTGTTGCCATTAAGACATGGAAGTGGAAAAGACGTACGTATAGCGGTACCAATAAGAAGAACCAGATGAAAGCAGAAAGATAGGTCTGCGGGGCTTTCAGTGCCATCCTTACCCAATACCAGCTAAACTTCTCATCTTCCACATCGACTTCAGTAGACCCTCCCGCGTCAAGTCTCATGCGTCGTAATGCCCATTCTTTCTCTTCGTCGCTTAAGAAACCTGCTGCTGCAGGCGTGTCGGGCATGAAGAAGAAGCAGATGATGCCGAAGACAACGGTTATTGCGCCCTCGACTATACTAAGTTAGTACAATGTATTTCCTGATATAAAAGGTGAACTATGAATGTTACCCAGGCTGGACTTACCAAAGAAAATCCAGGGCCACCTCCGGTACTGTCCAACTTCAATGGTAGCCAATCCTGAAGCTAACAGTCCACCAAAAGCCCCAGATAGAGGCGCAGCGCAGTAGAACATCCCGCTTCTCAACAACATCTCTCCTCTCCTATAGAACATGGCAAGATAGATTATCACGCCACCAAGGATACCACCCTCACATAGTCCTAGCAACAGCCTACATGCGACCAGCCCGGCGAAAGACTGGACGAAGCCCATGAATGTGCACACTAAACCCCATGCAGTTATAAGAGCTGGTAAGTATATGCCGGCACGTAGGCGCTTGACAAGAAGGTTCGAAGGTACATCGACGAGGATATACGGGATGTAGAAGACTAGAAGCGCAATGTTGAACCGAGTGCCGGTTGTGATGGATAACTCGTCTGACAGGCCTGCTATACGGGCGTTACCGATATTGCTGCGGTCTATGAATGAGAAGAGCCTAGATAGATGACTTAGTATATAGCCTGATGTTGTGTACGATAGCAAGCGAAGATACCAAATTCCGAATAACCAAGGTAAGATATGGGTGTCGAATTTACGATTTACACGCCTGTCTAGGGCGACATCGATCATTTCGTCAGGCACAATGGCCTTCTCGATACGTTCAGTGCCAAATTCTTTAGGTTCTTCCATTGTAGCTAATTGGTAGGTTGAAGGCTCAGCAGCGCGCGCTCACAACAACAATGGAGAAGTCAGGTGCGAACAAGAAAAGAGATAGACATTAACAGAAATCTAAGGATCTAACTATTGTTACACTCATGACCCGTAATTGTACGTTTTCCCGAACCAACACCAATAGACTAATGTCCCTCCACACTGCGGGGAAGTTCGAAGGATCAACAGTAATGCGGGGATTTCTCCAAAAGGCATGCCGAGCTATTAAGACGTGCTTGTTGACCAGTGGGCGTCCCACAAAATGTCTTGCGCAAGGGCAATGTGGCGTATGGCGTTCCGCGGAGACGGCTGAATTGCGAGTGCGGAGAAGAATGGCAAGGCTGGTAAGCGAAACAGCAGAAGATGTGGCTGACGATGACCCGAAACACGTGCCGTTAGCGAGCCGCTGCCGCCACTTATTTCGTCATGAACGCCCAGAAGCTTCTAGCCAGTACGACGCTCGGCAGATCAACGACACGGTAGAAAACCTCCGCTACGATTGCAACGAGGGGAGCGCAAACCAAGAAGCACACGAAACTGCTCGCAGCGTTGTTCATGCCGGCGGTGACCATGTGTGTGTATAGCTTGATACCGGCGGTGTATATGATTATGGATTGGACGAGGAACCAGCCTGAAATTTGTAAGTAGTTGTTCGATGGAGCGCTCCAGGGCCGTCACTTACTGAAACTCCTCTTGCCTAGCGAAACAAAGAAACCGCCGCGAAGCACGGATCGAGGCCACTCGAACGTCTCGATGAGGAGCATCGATCCAAGGATGATGAGGTAGTTGTCGACCCTCGGCATTGGCTGATCCAGGTCAGCGTTCTCGTTTAGGAATCCATCGTCGTATAGCGCGGTGTGGCCGTATAGTTCGTTGTCGCGCATGCTAGGCTTCCCGGAGATAAAGGCGAATTGCAGTATAAAACCGGTTACGACCATGATGGCGTACAGTGGCCAGACCGGTATGCCGAAGTTGCCGATCTTGAATCCCTTCAGGGATCGGAACTGAAAGTCCATGTTGAGAACCGCATCAGCGATGATAAGACCAGTGACACTGTACCAGGCCCAACTCTGCACCCAGAATGCCGCTACGATGAAGGCCAACATGGCCTTGACGCGCCATGAAGTGCGGGTGTTCGGGACAATAATCATGGTAATGTAGACAGTGTAACTTTGCTGGAAGAGCACAGACACTATCCAAAGGGTTCCTGATGGAAATACATCGTTGGCAGCTTGACTAGCGTAGCGCTTGTTGACCCAGAAAATCTCAAACAGGGAGTTGAAGTAGAGCAGGAAGTTACGAAGGCGCATTGGTGCGATGGTGGAGATGTTGCCAGTGGAAGCCAAGAATTCGGAGATGTAGTCGGTTGAGCTTGTACTAAAGGCTGCCGCCGCGAAAGAGTATGCAATGAAAGTGGGAATCCATAACCTGATACCGCGACGAAAGATACTGGAAGCACCGACTTCGCGAGTCTTGTTGGCGAGATATGGCAAGCAGATAGTTCGCGCAGAGAGGAAGATAATCCATGAATAGATCAGAGCCTCGTTGGCGAAGAGTACTGAAAAAGACTTGCGAAGTACGACCTGGTATGTCGGGCCCTCAATGTTCTTCGAGTCGGGGAGGGCGGCTGGGAGGAATGTCTGGAAGAAGATAAAGAGGAAAGATTGGAACACGAGTAGGCCACGGAGCCCGATAAGGTAGTTCTGGTCAATCGAAAGACTAGTCGTCCCTTGCGGGGTTGACGACGAAGGGAAGAACGCCTTGAGTTTGGACGAAAGGGTAGGCTCCATTGTTGCAGACATCTTGTTCAGTACCGCGAGCAAAGGTAAGAAACTTGATGGTAGAAGAGGAAGAGCAGCTTACCAACAGGGTAATTTACCCTCAACCTCGATCTCACACGGACAACAGATTGAGCACAAGCCCATGGCATTCATGCGCAGCAGTAGCACCAAGTGCCATAGCCAAGATACCCCCGGGGGAGACCCGAGATCAGCACCTTGGCCACCAGAACGCCCACGTACCTGAAGGTAACTTTTCTTTCCGCAACTAGCACAACATTCACCTACCGAGCACGGGAAGCGTTGAGCTTAGCTGCAACGCAAGCTTCCGAGGAGCCCTCAGGTGCATGCACGCCAAGGTCTACCTATGCTTTTTGTGGCGTTCTCGACGTCCCGCTGTGAATCTGTTGATAAGCGTTGAGCCTAGTGGAGGCTGGTAGCGGGTAACTTTCGCGGGTCACAATAGTTTACAAATTTGTGCAAGCCGAACCAGTCAGCATACAGACAGCTGTTGATCGTTATCTTGTCCTAGGATGTTGGATTGACGGCCTTGAGATTGTGTAACAGTGCAGTCCTTGTCATACATATCCCAGACGCACATCGTGACGTGCTCGATGAAAAGCATCCTGCTCTCTCAACATGCCGGTGAACAGCCTTCCTCAGGACCTTACACGTGTGGCGCACGGGGCAGCACTATCTACACCTGTCAGTTACCGCCTCAACACCTGAGGTTGTCTGTGCATCCCGAGCCCTATCCGTGCGATATGCCATAAAGGGTCATGAACTTCAGACATTTGCAGAAAACATAGGGGCTGACTCGTGCTTTCGAACCAAAAAAGGAAGGTGAAGGGACACGAACAACGAGAACCCACCGAAACCATTGACTGGCCGAGAAAAATGCCGTGTCGAATTTTCCTAGCAGGTAAGCGGATGGTTCCGCTGACTGACGATGTTGTGCTACCCGCCATGTGTTGTGTACTGGATAGCAGCATCCCACGCGGGCCTAGGGAACGCTTGTGAAGTGGATCTATGCGCTAGTGGGCGCGTGTCGATCGCCCCGCATAGTCGACTTGTAATGTCCCGACCACCCCTGATACTGTTGATTATTTCCTTTTTCAACGTCGCTAGGGTGATGTTTTCTGGCAGGGCGGTGGGATGCAGGGACCGTTTCAGTAAGGTGCTGGGCTTCGGCCTTGTTTCGTGCTAAGAATTTACTTATCTTTGAACCTTACCTCGATGGATACAAGGCGTGTCGGATCGGGATCTGAAGCGCCGACGTGATCTTGGTGGGATAATGCGGTTCTTCCGCGTTCCTGCTGCATTGCCGCGCGTTGCTCCATGGATTAATTTTCTAGTCGTAGTCACCGAGAAGACATCGTGATAGAGATTGATCACTGAAGCAAGCTGATTGGTAGACATGAAGAGTCCACAATCGTGAGAAACCTTCCGTACCGGAATTCTTCCGAAACAGTAGTGATCACATGAGAAGTTCGCAGGAACAGCAATGATGATTTTGAGTTGTGGTAATAGTGATTATAGCGATATTAATCGTGTATTATATACTAGAGCGTGACTCATTATAGCCTCGAGGCCACCGATGGCTTCTGGGTCTTCATTCCATTATCCAGAGAGTGCATCTAATGTCCTGCGCCCTCTTCCCTAATATATATAGACAAAAAAGAAATTGATAAAGTGTAATGTGGTGCTACTTCCTGGCTGTTGGGTTCCAGGAGCTGTACTTGACAAGCTGACGAGCGTGACCGTATAGACCGATCGTGGCGTTGAGAATAAGGTAGAAAGGATACAGAACTGAAAAGAGAATAATCATCCTCCGAGAGATGTACTCGGACTTGACCTGGTTGGTAATCCAGAGCGTAGCAATCAAGCAGACGATACTGTGACACGACACTGTTAGCGAGGTACAAATTTAATCGTGCAGATGCTGTACGAACCTGATGATGAAAAGCCACTGTGATACAGGGTATTGGAAATAGACCAGCCTCCACAGCTCGTCCCCGGAAGTCGGAAATTTGACGATAACGAATGAAGCGACGAGACACGTGTACTGGGTAACCAGATAGTACGAAGACTCGCGGATGAGCAGTAGTGACAGTACACCGAAGCGGGCAGTGAAGCTACGCTTGGCATGCTCCTCGTGCAGTGGATCCTTGACTCCGTTCCAGACCATCTTCATGTGACGCATACTCGCCTGAGCCCAACCCTGAGCCCACCGGAGACGTTGCTTCCAGAATGCGCCAAAGGTGGTGGGGGCCAACTCGTACGAAGTAACATTGAGATCGTGAACAGTCTTCGCGCCTTTGGAGAAGGCGCGGAGAGCAGAGTCAATGTCCTCGGTAAGCATAGTGTCGTCCATCTTCAGATCGCGCAGTAATGACGTGCGCCAGTAACCATTAGAACCGCAGAAGAGACCAAAACCCCACATAGTAGAGCGGCCCGGGTGAGAAACAGCGTAGATCTTGTCAAACTCGACAGCGATCATGTTGGTCATGAAACTATCATCGGAGTTGAAGACGATGCAACGACCCTGAACAATGTCAACCTCCTTGTCAGCGACAAATCGTTCGGCAGCCCATCTGGGTGAGTTCGGATGGGGGTAGTGGTCGCAATCGTAGATGGCGATGATGTCCGATCCAGTGTCCAGCGTGAAGAAGTAGTTAAGATTGTCGGCCTTGGAGGTGGAGTTGGGCACCTTGATGACCCTTGCGTGTGGGAAGCGCTGCGGAAGTGCGGCTAGCTCGCTCTCCAATGGCTCGATTGCTTTCGGGGTGTTGTAGAGGATATTGATGCGTATCCTGTTCGAGGGGTAGTCAATCTGCTCAAGCGCATAGAGAGCGCGATCCATGATGATGTCCTGCTCGTTGGGTAGGTAGGCGACGATGAGCAGATCGATGATTGGTAGCTGATGGTGCGGCGTAGGGAACAGCCACTCCTTCTCCTGTGCCTGGGTGACAATCTCTCTTGCCTCACGACAAGGAGTGATGCTGAAGAATGCCTCCAGAACAGTTGTACCAGCGATGTAGAAGTTGGTGCACATGTAGATAAACCAGAAGATGGCAATCAAGCTGTTGCTGCAGTACATGTACAGACATACTGAGAAGACATAGTACGAGGCGACCAGACCGAAGGGCGTCCATTCCGAGATGAACGATGATGTGCGCCCGGGGATCTCGGAAACGCTCAAACTGCTCTTTGGGGTTGACTTCTCGTTGACCACAGGAGAGGCGACCTCTCCAACCTCGATCACGCAGTCCTTCGTAGAGTCTGACATCTTGAAACGAATGTATGATGCGACTGTCACGGTGGATGGGGGGGTAGTCAAAGCGAGTGGTGACTATGATGGAGGGGGTGGGACAACTTGTAAGGAGCGGATACAGAACATATATTCGGGCCTTGATTGTACAATCTCTTAGTGCATTGGGTAAACACCGTGACCATCAACCAACGAATGGAGAAGGGGCAATACCGCCGAAGGGTTCATGTCGAAACCGTCATTACCGCCCGTAGGAGCTGGTCTCCATGCAAGATTCGTGCTCTACTGAGATCAGCATTACCTAGCATCAACAATGCCAAGATGTGATAATGAGATTGGAGTGGGTCGGTCCTGCACGTTGATCATGTCGACCCATGTGCATCTCTACAGCTCGGGAATGGTGAATATGCCAAGTCACATGTCAAACTCACGCTCATTTGTGCGTCCAGCCAACAAGATGCTTTTTACCAGTAGGCCGCAGTTTGATCCACGTCACCGAACTGCTTGTGTATACTGGATTGGGCGGATTTGGGAGAATCCATCGGGAAGGCGACATGCCAGCCGCTATCTTGCGTCGCATGGCCCCAGTACCCGGTATACATGGTATTACTGAACCTGCAGAAGCTATGCAGAAACTGTGCAGAAGCTGACTGCAAGAGCTGAAAAATTGGGCACTTTCCTCGGCATTGACACGACAACGCGCTCCCGCAACGGCATGGTGAGTGCAGCAAGTAGCGCTGGGATTGATGAGTGTAACGCCGGCCCTGGTCGTTCCGGAAACAACTGATAGTGGTCTATGCTAGCAACGAAGATCAATGATCGAAACTGGGATGGTGATGAAGTTTCCTCAACAAACATGAGGCAGAACGAGCGCGGGATGCATTGGGACATCGAAACGTCTGTGCTAGCGCCGACGCACAGGTGCATTTGGGCAGGTGTGCGGCGCACGTTTCCGATCCACCGACAGCGGGGGCACGGCATCTTCCTCAACCTTCTTCTCTTTCTGCACCTCATACGGCGGCTAGTTAGCCCCATGCCACGACGTTCCAACCTACTTGCTGTCAAGTCCGGGCCTGCCAAGGAAAGCTTGCATACCTTTTTTGGCCCTGTTGCAGGGCCACGCACTCCCCGCTGAGGCAACGCTCCGATCATGACCCCCAAAGGGACGGGCTAGGGCTATGTCCCAGATAGGGGACTTTTCGAAGCGCAACGACCTGATGCCAATGTTGGTCGGAAAAGCATCGCGGCTCCTCTCCGCCCGGCGAGCATTGTTGCAAGCTTGTGCCGGGGTCTTTACAAAGGCCTTGCACAGCTAGCTGCATGCATATGTTGCAGACAAATACTGCCTCTCCAATTTGAGCAGCCTGTTTCGCCCTGTTTTCTGTTCAGTCACTCACTCTTCGCCATGTTCAACTCTCATTTGCTCGGTCTTGCCTTTGTGCATATCTTGCCTGCGCTTGCCGATGTTACGCGTGGGCAGGACAGCTGTGCCTGTGGTTTCTACGACAGTCAAACCCAAGAGCTCTTCACCGACTCCATCATCGTCTACTTCAACGAGACCAACCAATTACCAGGCGAATTCATTGCTGAAGACTTTGCTCAGAACTATGCCAAAGACTGGGTCCGTTCTCTGCTGTAGCATGTCCTTTCGAACCACCTGCTAATGCCTTTCAGAATGCCATCTACCGCGAAGGTGCCTCTCCCGAAAACCTAAGATTCAACAATAGCGATTCGCTTCAGCTTGTTGTGCAACCAACCACCAACGACCATCTTGTTCGAGGTGCTAGTCTTCGGACTAAGCGACAAGACATCCAACATGGTTCTTTTCGCACTCTCATCAAGTCTGCGGACATGGAATCCGCCGGTACTGCGGCTTCAATGATGTGGAAGTACAACGAGACTGAGATCACTGAGCTTAGTGTCATGAACATGAACAACCAAAGGGATCCATGGGTGGGAACCTTTGTCAACAACGAATTCACCACACGCAACCTTGGAATGAACTACAGCCAGCTCCTCAATGGTACGGCCGCCAACCGCAACTACACTACGCTCGGCGGTGGTCTTAGCAATGGAAGCATCAACCCTTGGGACTTCACCGAGTATCGAATCGATTGGACCGCAGACTACATCAACTTCTACATTGGCGGCAACCTCACGAGGCAAGTTCAACACACCAACAACAAGGGCATGCCGTCGGTTCCTTCAGCCCTTTTCTTTAAACACTGGTCAACGGGTAACCGCTACTCGATGCGTGGTCCTCCCCAGCAAAGAGAGTCTATCGCTGAAGTTGGCTGGATACGCATGTTCTTCAACTCGTCTTCGATGAACGAAGATGCTCGCGAAGACTTTGTCGCCAGGTGCCCGTTGAACAATGCATGCTCAATGGATGATATCGAACTCCGTGGCTCAACTCCTTACGGTGACGACGCGACCGAGAAGTGGGAGCAGCACAAGGGCAAAGACATCAAGCGTATGCCAGCGCTCTGGCTCTCCGTGTCATGTCTCATCTTCTCGACCATCCTCGTCATCCACGCCCTCATCCGACGTCTCGCTCCCAAGGTCAACAATGACATCAAGAAACCTGACGTGGCTTCGACAACCGAATCGAAAGCCTCCGAGGAGCAAAAGAGGAACCCTTTCAGTGACAGTACTTTTACAGTAGCTTCTCACGAAATCTTCTCCAGTGGCGGTGGTGAGCAGAAAACCCCATCTGCCTCTGAAAAGCGCGATTCAGATGACGACATGGCCATTGAAAGGCTTCCCGGCACCTCTACTCTCGGAGGCTCTACGCCTAAGGATGGCCTATCCAGACCGAGCTCGATTCTCTTTGACAGCCGTGGTCCGACTCCATTCAACAGCAACTTCAACACCACGCGCGAGGATCTCTACGCACCTATGCCACCAATGCCCGGAACAGCAGTCTCAATGGGACGTGACTCCATGCAGACTATGGTAGACCCTCGATCCACTCTGGTGACTCCAGGCACTCCAGGCACCGCAGTATCGAGAGGACACGAATCTATGATGACACTCATGGACCCCCACGCCACGATGAACAACTCTGTCCCTATGATTGCTCCACATGACAAGATCGCAATGGAGACTGTTACTGAATCTGCTCTTCCGGCTCCTCGTATGCGCCCTCAGCCTCTGCCTCAGCGACAACGTATCGACCATCTTGCTGGTCTGACAGCCCTCTGCTCTCTCGTGGTCACCTTGATGCATTTTGGTCTTACTTTCGTCCCTGCCATCGTCACACCGGGTGCACCCGCACACAACGCATCTGAACCATGGGCACAGAGAATCATCGGTCCATTCCTGCTCAACCAAATGTGGCTCGGTGTTTTCTTCACAACCTCGGTCCGTTTCCTTACCGCGCCTTACTTGCGCAAGGGCAAGATGGACGAGATTGCAAAGGCAGCTGTGCGTCGTACACCCCGTCTCATGATCCCCGTCGCCGCCATGGCCCTACTGGAGTACTTCTTCATCGACGTTGGTGCTACCAAGTTCCTGCAATACATCCCTTCCCTAACCTGGTCGACGTGGCCTTATGTGAGCCGCTACCAGAACTTTGGGCAATATGTCTCTGAAGTTCTCGAACTCATGTTCCTCGTTCCCAACGCTGTCCCACAGATCACATTGCACTACTGCACCGGTGTGCTCTGGACTATCGCCGTACAACTCCAGGGTTCCTGGCTTGTCCTTCTCGGCGCTGTCGTCGTATACGAGATCAAGACTCCCTGGAAGCGCATGTGCTACTATGCTTTCTGCCTCGTCAACCACTGGTACGCGCATTCTTGGGGTACATACCTCTGGCTCGGTCTGCTCCTCACCGACCTCGATGTGACCTACAAGTGGAAGGCGTTCCTGAACAAGCGACCTTCAGCCTACTATGCCACCGTCACCTTCTTCTGGCTCTGCGTCGGTGCTGGTTTTGCTGTCAACGTCATTCCTAACTGGGTCGACACGGACTTCAACTTCTCGACTGCAGAGCGTGGCATCCACCCCGACCCTGTGTCCGGCGAACCCATCCAGAACACCGACTCGGCAGGTTACCCTCCATACTACACACCCCGTCTCAACGGTCTGCTCTTCGCTGGTGGTATGCAAGCTATTGTCGAGCTCTCCGCTGCCGTCCAATGGGTCCTCTCTACACCTCCCTTCTTGATCCTCTTCCCTCACGTCTTCACCATCTACCTGCTTCACGGTCTTGTCTTCTGGACGTACGGATCTTGGCTCATGGTCATGCTTGCCAGTCGCGGCTTCAGCTACGGCATCAACGTTACCATTGTTGGAATAACATCCTACGGTGTACTCTTCGCTTGTCTACCTATCGTCACTCCCATCATCGAGGCGCTGGGTAAGGATATGACAGCATTGGTATGGATGACAGCCACGAAGAAGTCGCCACCCAGGCGCCGCACACTCTTCCCCTTCCCCGATGACCTATTCACTGGCCGTGCCGTCAACGCCACAGAGGACAAGAAGGATGGTGGCGATGAGGAAAAGGGCATGGGTAACCGCGCTTCCGATGCCAGCACCCTCAATGGAAGCAACACTACCAGCCAACGGAACAGCAACGACAAGGGCAAGGGTGCCCAGTCGACTGTCATGGAGTACAAGTTGAAGGCGTTTTCTACAGAGGAGGACAGGAAAGAAACGCATCCATCGTCACGCATCAGTCACTTTTCCACTGATTGAGCAACAGACGGGGTCGTTGTTGTCAAAGGGACACACATAGACTCAGAGAACATGTAATGCTGGGTGGCGTTCTTTCTAGTTTTGACATTTACACGATTGTCATGTTTTCTTTTTGCAATCTTTTTCTTTGTAGTTATTATAGTAGAATATGGTTTAGATGCCCAACGATTCGCTTCCACATATCCTCTTGGTACCAGTTTGACCAACACACTTTCTCCTGCTGCCTAAGCTTTTGTATCAAGGTGCTTCCAACAAATCACTGCATGACAGTAGAGGCAAATGGACGTATTAATGTTGAGAATACATTATTGCTTAGCATATAGAATGTTAAAATCGGTATCCATAATGGGTCACGCAGACTTTGTGCGTAACGATAACTCAAATCCCAGGTCAACAGAGAAGGAAAAGACCAACGTCGCGCCCATTACTGCAAGAGAAGACCAGTGATTGCTTACTCGACAATCTCAAGTTCGCCCGTTCTGTGCTTGGCAAAAGTGTCCTTGTGCTCATTCCATATCCGCATAAGCTCGTCAACGTATTGTTGGTGTATCTTGTTGATGTAATCGTTGTCTGGATGCTTATCCTGCATGACCCTAACCGGACGTCCTACAACAATGTTGATGGGCCGTCGGTAGGGCATCATGCCCACATCATAGTTGAAGATACCCCTCGCGTGGAAGATGGGCACGGTAAAGCCCATCAACTTCTTAACGAGCATCTGGAACTTGTGTATGTAGGGATGCGAGTCGGTGTCGAGTTGGTCATAAACGTCGTTTTCACCAAATGCCAGGACAGGTACGAGGTCGGCGCCGGTGCGGATGGCCATCTTGACAAAGCCTTTGCGACGGTTGAGAACAAGTTTTATGGAGCCAGGACGCGCATCGAGGGATTCACGTGCGCCGCCTACGACGATGGTGATTGCGCGACCCATACCTTCGTTGTTAGGACCACCCTTGGAGAGGATGTTCTCGCAGGACTCGCGGGAGACGGACGCCATGCCGAGGCGCAGAGCGTACTCGCGGTAAATGGGATAGCGGAAGTTGGAGTCGAGGGTCAGCAGGGCGTTGGTAATGCCGGGAAAGAGCTGGGAGAAGCCCAGGGCCTCAGTCGCAAAGGCAGCGAAAGCGCCATGGGATATAATGCCGTGTGGGTGGTAGCCGAATATGTACTTCCTAGTTGGCTCCAGCTCCTGCGAGCGATGTAGGCGGGCGGGGAAGTAGGACGCGAAGAGCGACCAGACAGGCAGTCGGCGGAGGCGGTCGCTGCGGAAGGACAGCTCGCCCGATGTGCCAGCATTGGAGAAGAGGACATAGACGGTATACGGCAGGAGGATTGGCCAGAGCAGAGGTATGCTGCAAAGGAAGAAGAAGATGGCAAGGCCGCCGACGATGCTGAGCGTGTGCATGAGGACGGCGAGGGTCTGAAGGCGGCGTTGGAGGGGAACGTTCATGGGCGCAAATCGTATTCTGGACAGGTCAGTCTCGACACGTCTTCAGTAGAGCACAAGTCGACTCACTTGCTCTTGGACCATCCCGCACCGGCCTGTCGTCCCGTCGTGAGCTCCGAGTTTCTGCGCTTGAGGTCGCTTCTTCTGTCTGCTTTGGCGACTTGGAACTCCTGCTGCGGCTTTACACTCGTCAGCGTCTCGCCATGGCCGTTTGCGTGCTTCTCGTGGATGCGGCCCAGCGAGCCATGCGAGTTGCGCGATGAGACGCGACGATGGCCTTTGACCGTGGGACTCCTGGGCGAGCCGTCCTGGCCCAGGCCTTCGAGCGACGTCCTGTCGTCGTCTGCGGGAGTCGTGATGCCATTGGTCTTTACCTCGTCCGTCTTGCTGCCTCTCGACCTGTACCCGCTGTCCTCCATGGTGCCGTCGGTGCCGTCGGTGCCGTTGGCATGTGATTGTGGCTCGAGGGCTTCTTCGGCGGCGTCGGCGTACGACTTGGGCGGCAGGTGGTGCTCTGCCCGCTCTTCAGGCGCCGAGGGCTCGGGATTCAGCGACATGGCTAGCGATGGGCTGGGATAGGAGCAGTGGTGAAGAGATGCTTGGTAGGACAGGTGGAAATGGCCATGTTTTGGGTTTTGTTGGCGCGCATAGCGTGTTGGACCTTCCTGACGTTCCGCGCGTGGAAATGACGTACCGCTGTGGCTCCGTCTCTCCCACACTCCACGGACCCCGGCACCCACAGAAGCCGTGAGCACATCAACGGCAGCCTCTATCAGACAAGCTCCTAGCGAACGGCAGTTGCGACCAACGTATATGGTGTCGTTGGTACTACCGAGTGAGGTTATGCGACCACACAATAACCATTGTCCGTTATGCTTCTCTCAGCCATCTTCGTCTGCGCTAATGCCTGCTGTGGCGCAGCTCCACCGAGGCTTCAAACACTTCAACGCCGCGTCTCACATCGTCGCCACTTCATGATTCGTCAATATCAAGACATGCTTTTACCTACGCCGCCATGATTCTGCAATCTTGTCAGCAATCAAGAAACTGCAACCATCTTCCGCCCGATTGACAATACCCTGCTGCCTGAACACCCTTACCACCCTTCAACATGTCCTTCCACGCCACAGCAGCACATTCATCCCGCATTACCAAACCAAGAAGAAAAAGTGCCGTCGCAGCATTGGGTCTGAAACGAACGACCTCCTCACCCTCGGCTGCAAGTTCCAAGAGACGATCATTACCGGCCGAGACTACAACTGCCTTTGAAGACGACGAGCAACTAGATGATACCGGGGTGGTAATAGCAAACCTCGCCCACGATTTAAACTTCCGGGATGTTCCCCAATATATCGAGTACATCCGCAACAACATGTTTAGCGCTATGCCAGAGAAAGCCGGCATGAACTCAACCAGGATAGCAGAGGTTTTGAACTTCCGAACAAGATTGCCGCCATTCGTCACGGTAGCGCACATTGACGCTCTGAGTACGTCCTCAACGCGGAATGAGCGAGAAATCTCTGAGCTGGCAAGAGCGGGAATTTTGCGTAGGGTAACGATACCGAATCGCGGTGTTGGTGCTGCTGCTGTGGGTGATGGTATCGCTTCGGTACGAGAGTGGCAGGCACTTGTACAGGCTCATGCTGAACTGCCTGAAGAGCTGAAAGGTAAACCACCAAATCTATCAAACGAATGCACATAGCTAACAAAACATCAGCAAAATATATAGCTGCCATGAACGCTAATCCAACATCAACGTCCATCCCCGGCACAACCTTCACATCTCCTGAACTCTCAGCCTTGGTAACCTTTGGCTTCCTTACCTCAGCTTCGTACTTTCCATCCAACACCTCTCTTTTTGCATCACCAGGCGCCAGCTCACTCCTCGCCGTCTCTGCGTCTGGATCTCGCCACGCAGCTGGCTCTCTAGATGCCGTCGGCGGTACACATGCAACCCAACATATCCACGGCGGATCGGGATCACGTCCCTCCGTAGCAGCACAATACAACTTATCCTTGCCCAACATGGGTGCGCATATCAAGCTCTTGGTTGATGCACGGAACCACCTTCTCGCTCTGCTGAACAAGACCAAGTACAAAGAGATGCCACTTGATGCCCTTCGCGAGCGGTGGGACGGTGGTGTTACAACCAACGATATCAAAGCAGAGAGGAAGAAGTTGAGGGGAGAGTTTGCAGGCGTATTACCTGGCCGGACGAAGAAATGGAGAACCTTTTACGGCATGAGGTTTGACTGGGTTTTGGAGGAATGTCTAGGCGCTGGACTACTCGAACTGTTTGAGACGGGGAGCGTTGGCAGAGCTGTTCGAGCGATAACATAATTCAACCATTCTTTGTTATCCCGACATTTAGATTGCCTCGCGTCCGACCGTCACCGACCCGAGTGGAGTTGATGATCGACAGTGAACATTCCACCTTCCTACACGCGTACAACACAATGCCGATCAGTTTACTTGAAACTCATTGTGGAAAACATGACGCGTACCAACACACCATCACACGCGAGCAATGCGCACAGTAATTTCGTCACTTTGTCCTTTCTTTGTATGATGCTGTGCTGAGCTGTTCTGCCATCTACAGTCTGTTTCCGTACAATGTTTCATATCGAGTACTTTGCCCTCTCGCCCTGCGTGATATGCCTCACAAACTCCAAACACCCTGCTCTACTGACGTAGCCTCATCAAGTAAGCATAACAATTTGGTCCGCCCATTCCTCGTAATCATACGCCTGTATTAGTAGAATATGAAGTACATAACTGAAGTGTTCGTGTGGTCATGCAGGCAAGAGTATGCTGTGTAGCCGATTTTTCCAAATCAACAAGGAGGGAGCCTAGTGGAAACGATTGTGGTATGCGTACTGCCAGCAATGATAGTTGCGCATGGGAATATCGCCAGAAGCACAATAGGGCTAAGTCCAGTAATCGCCGTTACCGTACATGTGCATTCATGCGTGAGCAACCTCACTGAAGCCGTATTTGTAGTCCGTTGATCGCTCATGGCCATGGGCGATACGAGAGCCAGGTGGGAGTAGTCCTGGAGTAGATGAAATTGGGTTTGATAAGCGCTAGAGCACTGATACACGATCGTGGAATAATCTGACGTCTCATCTGTAAAGTAGATGGTCCTGCAAACAGGACACGTCAGTCACTAGAGAATAGGAGACACGTAACAGACCACCTACCAAAGATTGGAAACATCAAGCTACGCAAAGAGACTAATCCATGTAAAAGTCGCCCTTGAGGATCCGCTCCTGCATGGCGTCGGGCACCTTGGGCTTGGGCATCTCGCGAGCAGGTGGCTCCATTATTGTGACGCTCTTAGCACGCTGGTGCGTTGGAGGAGACGGGTTCAACATTCCGCTAGGGCCGGAGATGGAGCCTCGCTCGGCTCGCGATCGGAGGTTCTCAGCGAAATTGTAACCTTCGCCTGTTGAAGACGATGTTAGCGAGTAGTTTCCCAGTATATTCTCGGACTGCTCTGCAATAGTGGAAGGCCAGATGTGTGATATAGATGTAGATCGCCGCGAATGTGCATGGGTAAAGGGACGAAGCAAGGTAGCGGAAGAGGGCAATGACTGCGACAATGAAGACAGACCTCGACCTCGACCAGTCGGGGGAGAGGAAGCTTTATGGATGGGTGGTCTACCATTTGGGTTCCCAACGCCTCCGTTGCTCTGCCTGACATCCCGCATTGCACGAGCTCCGAAGCTCAGCCGTCGAACAAAGGGTGTGGCCGGGTTGCTGCTGCTAGCAGACGTGGAAGGGGCGTAATCATCCTCGAATGGGCTCTCGTCGACAGAGCCAGAGTTGGCGCTGGAGATGCTCTCGGTTCGGGTTCGCGGGGTCTGGAGGAAGGGTGATGTCTGGCCGGGCGAGGCACCAAGACCAAGCGTGGTGAGCGAGAGCCGCCGCCGTTGAGCATTGGCGGCTGCTGTGGTGATGGGGCCTGAAGAGGGCTGTTGCTGGCCTACATAGCTGTTTGACCGGCCGAACAGGTCCTGGAACGTCTGGCTGGTGACTGAAGCACGTCGGCGAGTATCCGGCGAAGGTAGCGGCGGTGAGTTTCGACCGTTGGAGGACATTACGAGGGTGACAGCGAAGTTTGGGACAAGTTCAAAGTGTGTACAAGAAGGTTAGTTGGATCGAGGGGGTGCTCAAAGCAACAAGGCAAGGGGGGGGTGGGATGATTGATATGTCGCTAGGCGCACAGACAGGGTCCCCAAGATGCAGTACGTCAGCGGGGGTCGATGGCGTGATAAGCGAATTACGTTTGCAAGGGAATCGCGTTGGATAACGTGGACTAGCAGGAGACTTTGGTTCAACAGGTTAAGAGAAGAAGGTCGAAATGGCAAGAAACAGGGACGATGGACAGGAGAGTAATATGGAAGCAACAGCGGGTGTCTTGGCTGCGCTTGCCAAAGGATGCCCATCTGCCCTAGTTCTCGAAGCGGATTAGCTCCGCTCCTTCCCCGCAGTCCGGCCATGCACATGTGTGGATAAAGGACGCGGCCCTTTCACCTGCCATCCAACCACGTCCAGAGGCAACTCGAGCCTAGCCGCTGCACTCCCCGCAGTCGAGCGCTCGACCCACCTTCTTGTGCCCACAACGACTATCACGATCAACACGGACACGGTAAGTTCCTAGCTAGCATAAGCTTGGTACGAGCTATCTTGCCACTCAGATCCCTTCACTTATTCACCTGCATGTGTACTTGATCATGCCATTCACACGCCATACAACTCCGACGTTGATGCTTCTGTCATCCCTACATCTGCTCACAATCTTTGCAAGAGGAGCGTCTATTACACACAATCACTCTATCTGCGTCTTGTGCTTGACGCCAGAAGCCTGCTTATGCTATGCGGAGACGGCGGAACACCTAGATAACACATGCTCTGTAACATGTCGCATACTGCGGGGGCTTACAACAAGCGTCACATTGTGTATGCGCCGATTTAGAGGCCGCGAGCAAAAGCGGAAGGTTAATCGCTAGTCTTAGTGGACATTTTGCACTCTCCAGGACGAACACCCCACCATGTCCCAGGCCAGATGCACCACAAAACAACAACCACTTGAGCAACATCGTGTGTACGCCAGATGAACGCCTTCCAACTTAGCGCCTCGGTACACTGGCCACTTAGACGTACCAATGACAGAGTCGTTGTACGACGTGCATCTGCGTCTTACATGATTGGCTCATGTACACGTCCGACGCCGACTTGCTATCTTGCATGCTACGAGATATCTGATCCGACATTCACACCGACATGTAGTTTGATCTATAATAGCTTCCATGTGCCAGGTCCGCCAAGCGCGTAGTAAACGAATCATCAACTCTTACCGCACTTGACGACATGCGAAAGCCTATGGCATGTGAAGTTCAGCTATGAAATGCACCAGATCCACTTCGTGCATTCCGGTCTTGTTTCGAGTCAGTCAGCCGTCGGCCATGATCCCAGTTCCGCGGGGTCTTTCTATATATCGGACCTTGGCACTGTATGAATGCGGAGCCTCATATCATCTGATATGTGCAGCTTAGGGGTCGCACTTAATTGCTTTGGGTCTATCACCCTCCAACATACTCAACGATGTCACAAGTGGTTGCATAGAACTATTGAACGGACTTTCTCGACTCCGACTCCGGAATGCATTTAGAAGCATAGGGTTTGTAGCTTACAGTGCTAACGGTAAATTGAAGCGTAAAAATAGTGCTCAAATTATGTATACAAGGAGTGTGTAGAAGAGAAAGGGCACATCAAGTGTGCCCTTGAAAAAGTCAGGGACGTTAGAGTTCCGGTGAGCAACCGGCTGAAGAGAAAGCAAAAGAAAAAAGCGAAGAGATTCAGAATCATCCGGCCTATCGTTGGCCAGAGTCGGGTGGCCTTGAAAGGAGAGAACATAACAAAATAAAGGCCGACGAAGACAGACCAAAGTCCGACGACCTTGTGTAAAGAAGAAGAAAATGACAGCTAGCGCTGCAGACAGCCGTAACGTCGTAAGGAAAGACATGAAGATATTAAACAATGAAAAATGCCACAAAGAAAGGAATGGAACAAATGCAAAAAGCCGCCAACGCCAGAACAAAAGTAAAACGAGAGCGCAATGGCACCACCGCCCACTCAACGGTTGTTTTGACCGCAAGACACACCGCTTGCCGACCGGGATTACTGCATCGCCCGCTTCGGCTCTCGTTCGCGTACCGCCGACCCTGGCCTTTTACGGTTCTCATAGACCAGGTTGCGGAAGAGATTCATGTAATGAGCAGGCGCATCAGCTTCAATCAGCTTGCGTTCGACATCCTGCAACACTGTCCAGTGGTTACGGTATACGTCTTCTTGTGGTAAAGACGCAAGCGCTTCGAGTACAAATTGATGGTCGTCATCTGTTTGTGCTCCAATGAGTGCAACGTATAGGTTGTTTTGCACAGGATCCGATAAAGCCTCCATGCCGCTCCATGTAATGCCTTCGTATGCATTTACATTGCGGTCTGTGACACGGTCAAGGATAGTGACAAGAGCCATCGCTGCTCGAGCAGCTGCATCCTCGACATCAGCTTGGCGATGGTAAAAGTCATCAATGGCCCCGACTAGTGAGGTCAACTGCTCTGCGCAACTGGAAACGTCGAACCGAGGCGGGCCTTCAGAGAGAGTTTTGGGCCCTTTGGCAATGTACTCATCCAGAGCATCGAAGGTCAACGCGATGCGCTTTTCAATCTTCTCAAAGAAAACACGGCTTTCGAAGTCTGCATCGATGATCTTGCGCATCTGAAGGTACAGACTGGGGTCTCTACTTGCGTACTGCGTGAAGAGATCTGCGAGCTCTTGGTACTTCTTTGATCGTTCTGAAGTCAAGGGCGATTCAGGATACCGAAACTCCCCAGGAAGCGCGTCCCGTGGCTCGAAGCAGGAGAACATATCGATGACTGTTTCCTTCAGGTCATCATCGTCTTCAGGTAGGTCGTCGTCGTCTCGGTAAACCCACTTCAAGTCGTTGGCGATGTTGGCTAAACCCTTAGTATCGAGTATCTCAGCAGGCTTCACATCTTCGATTTTCGAGCCGTCAGGTGAGAGGTGAAGTGGTGTCTTCACCATGTCGTCTGGGAAAGTCGAGATGATCTGGTCTCCAACCCAATAGATATGCTTAGAGTCTTTTTTTAGTCATGTTTCAATAGTCGTACGCTGGTAGTCATACTTTACATGCGAGGCCTTTTTCGTTAGCACCACATGTACACTCTGGCCTCCTTAACCTTCCACCCATCGCCACCGTGATGTCGTCCTCAAGATGGAAGAATTTCTTTGGACTACCACCCGGACTGTATTCGTCTTCCGAGACTGCGCAGTACTTCAACCTAATCTCGCTACCTTCTAGTCCTTTCTTGGCCCGTCTTCGTAGGTCGGTATCGAAAGCCGAAACATTGTAGTGGAGATTCTTCGTCGATATTACCAGGGAAGGCGTAGGCGAAACGGTCGACTCGACTGATGGTAGGGGCTGGTCTTGGTCAGAGTGATCTGATGACTGTGCACTAGCTCTTGCTGCCCTTGCGGCCCCAGCACGAGTTGTAACCATGTCCTCTCCAAGAGAGAGCTTCGAGAATTGCTCTGCTGACATGAAGAACCTTCGTTTTGAGGTACTTTGATACTAAAAGCCTAGATGACGAGCTATATATCAACCCAACTCCCCCAGCTCCACGCCACCATCTTAGCTGATCCATCGTGTAGGCAGAACATGTCCTCCATCTTACGACGGCGCTTAACGAGTAGGCCTTCCGTGCCGTAGAGCATTGGGACGTGTGAAGCGGATGTGGCTTGCTCGTGAAGAACCGAAAGTAGGGGAGGGAAACGGCCAACGCCGCAGTACTGCCTGGCTTACTAGAGCGAGTGTGGTAGGGTCACAACGGACATTTGCCGCAATTCCGTGTACATTGGTGACTTTATCGCGTCAATCACCTGCTTCTGGGCACCATAACTGTCATAATACCCACTTATTCACGAGCATTCTTTGTTGTACGCCAATAGAATTGCATCATTAGACCGAATGCCCAGTCTGTTTGAGGCGAAGCGACGAATGCTTTAACCCGACACGGTTAAATTAGGGGCGGCCGACGATCAAGGAATTACCTTCTCCAGAGAATTATCTCGTTTTGCCGCCGGACCTTAATCTCAGAAATGCCGCTAAATGGTCGAGCTCAGCTATCGCAGGCTGAGTTGGGGTGATAATGCAAGGCACGGCTTTCGCGCACCGCAGCGGAGGCGACTCTCGTGATGCAGGTTGCAGCAGCAGGAATGCCACCTCAATGCAAACCTGAATGCGTGCCGAGAGGCTGTACGCGAGAAGGCTGCTAGCCAGGGACCATCGACGTAATCGTAAATTCGATAGAGTTGCCTGAGGTCGCAGGCATCATCGGTCGGTCCGCGATAGTGGAGTTGCAAAGGTCGACGTTCGCTCGGACTCCAGCTCAGCCTTCGCGGCGCTCCCAAACCTTGCAATTGCCAGTCAATAAGTGGCCTCGAATCGTTATAAGGCTGACTGGAGTGAAAGGAGTAATACACTTCTAATTAAGCTTCTGACTGCCTGAAGATGTTCATCATGCGTGGCACACTCTGACGATGTCCACCTTGTTGAGGACGCCTTGGGCCTCGCATCGCAGGCCTAGGAGGGGGCATGTTCTTCGCTCGAGACTGTACTATGCAATGCACTAGCAGTAGTCACGGCTTTCGTGGCAGTGAGAGCGCTCAGGTGTTGGCGCATGCCGTTGTTGATGGATGCATACCGTGGTTGTGTCGCGTTCTCAAGGTTAGATCGAGTCGCGAAGCCCGACCACACCAGCTGGCTCACCGTTCCCGTATCGAGTTGTGACGAGCGCGTCAACTTTGCTATACCACCCCAAGCTACATGTTCCGAAGATGATTTTCGGGAATACTCTTAATCAATGGGGCGGGTCAGATTTACGCCTCTTGCATGATGTTGCCCATTCAGCTGTTTCGAATAACCGCCGTGCGAGCGAGAGAAGCGGAACGGCCCCGGACGAGCAACAATGAAGATCGAAGTACTATGAAGTCTTGTCACAGATTGAGACAAGCCCCCAAAGGTGTGCTGCACAGTGAGTTCGTCTCTGAAGTGGACAAGAGTTTGCGAGGCGTGGAAAGACGCAACAGCCTCCACATGCAGTATTCGGTCGCGGCGTGACGGCACCTCAGGTGTCCAACACCGTGGTGATCCACGCTAGCTACCTAGGCACACTAGGTAGTACCATCACGCAGGGCTGGTTCACTCGAGATCTTGACAGATCTTGTAGGTTGTTGTTCTGTCATTCGAGTTGGTGGAGGAAGGCAGGATATACCCGTCTGTGGGCGATCGAGGATGACACCATCTGTGCAGGTACAGGCGGGATGGCGCTGCGTCATTGCGTTCACCAACGTGCTGCACCACAACGGAAAGTTCGAAGCTGAAGGATCAAGGTGGAGCCCGTGTGCAGTATGGATTGTGTTGGTATACGGGTCTAATCACAAGCGACTTAGTCTGCGGTGCTATAGCGGCACAGCACCGAAGCAGTTAGAGCGATTAACGCGCGGCGCGAAGCTGACATGTGGTCAAGCACAAGGGACACTTTGAGTCGCACATTCCATCCACACTACTACGCACACTGTCACCAGTTCTGGCAGAAAGTCTACATACCTCGGCCTCGTAAAGACGCTGCTATCCTCGTGCCCGACATCTTGAGTCATAGATCGGATCACCAAACCGCGATCATGTCTCAGCCCACGTCACCCTCTATACCCGCCTTCTATCGCATATTCTTTACTTATGTCGACCCCGTAATCTGCGCCTGGGGTGCGACCATGGACTTTTTCATGCCCACCACTGTCCTTTCGTCGCATATTCCCTCTCCCACTCCGGACATTGGTCATGTTATGATCCTGAAGCAGCGCGGCGGTGGTATGCTAGATTTCGGCATCATATCTGCTGTTCTACTACGCTACACACAGGATATGAACGTTTGGCGCATTGTCCAGTTGTCTTGCTTCGTCGTCGATTTGGCATACTATTGGGCGGTGTGGGAGGTTCTGGCTAAGCAGAAGAGACTAGACATGGGGACATGGAGGGCAGAAGATTGGGGAAGTATCGGAATCACGGCATTTGCGGGATTGGTGAGGCTGGCGTTTCTGGCACGAGTGGGATTTGGTGGATCTGGGAACAAGGAGGGTAAGAAGAGCTTGTAGACCTTGAGAAATGATTTCATGTGCACGCTTGTGTGTGGTATGAATGTAAAGGTCTGAGTCTGTAGGAGATCCCAATATTCATATTCGTTTCGACCTTTTGTTCATTATTTCAAGAAGGTTGAAAGAGAAGAGTCGTTAAGATAATCCTCTTGCTGCGCCCCTTGTTGACTCTCATATTACTCCAGAACCCAACGTTATCCACTCGGCTATGTCTTCACGATCACGCGCTATCGTTGGTTCATGTTCCTGAAGCTCCTGTAGCTCAGCTGCAAAAACGACCGCCTGTCTCGACCCAATTCTCAGTGCAACAAAATGGAGAATCTTAATGATCCACTCCCGCAGACCAGGTGTAATAAGCACACACATACCCACGGTATATATTGGCTGGATGACCTGCATCAGCCTTGGCGAAACGACCGAATTAATAAAGGTGCCCGGTTCTCTCATGACATCTTCGTCTGAAGAATTCTCATCGGTCTTTTTCCCTTGTGCGAAAGGCTGTGCAGGTGATGGTACCATACCCGTAATCTGAGGCACCGCAGAGATGATTGCCGCGATATTAGCCCGCAGTATGTCCTCCTCATACTGTATGCATGTCTTTAGGGAAGCAACATCGAAGCTTGGTGGCGCATGATCCTCATAAAGCCTGACCAGATTCGTTCTTATGATTTCGTGTATCTGAATCGCAAGAAACCGTGTATAGTTCCACATCTGAGTTATGACGGGATGGAGACAGAGGCTATACAGATTTCCATAGTAGTGGTCCGAAGGCGCCTTGAGATGGACTCTTATGGGTTGCCATATTTGAGGTAGGGAAGCCTTGATCTTTTCTAGCTCTTGGTCGTGTTTCCTGGCCTTGTTGATTATCTCGACGGGGCTGTGGCTTTTGTCTTGGTTGAGTTTGACAACAGCGTGCATGAGATGCAGCATGCCCATCATAAACTTTTTCCCGAGCTCGTGGAATCCCCCGCCTGTCGGTATTTGATCATATAACTCTTGCACCCCTTCTAAAAGTTCGTTTATGAAGTAAGCACATGTTTCACTTGCATTCCGAACAGGAGCTTACTAACTTGGAATATTCGTTCCCAACTCCATCGTGAAGAACAACGCAACACCATAAGACTGCAAAAATATCTGCCGTCCAAGCTCTGTATCGAACTGGGACTTTCCTCGGAGCATGAACAACGTGTAAGCGCCGCTGACGTGCTTGGACCACCTGGCTATAGAGCTCTTGTCCGTGTATCTCGTGCCCTCGTACATACCAAGTAGGATTACGGAGACCACGGTGCTGTCTTTGATGGCTGTTTCATGCGACATGAGTGCTCTGTTGGTCTCCTCTAACGCGGATACGTATGCAATACGTGCTTTCTGCATGACGGCAGGAGATTTTACTGCATTGGACAAGACGGCTAGACTCAGGGCTCGAAAGCTTTCGCGAAGACTGCCCTCGACATCCGGCCGAGATAGGAGCTGAGGAATCCACTCGAATTGGCCTCCTTGGGGGAAGTCGGCAGTGCCCGCGTAGTTGGCAAGGAAGTACCCTTGGGCTCGCGCGTCGACATTCGGCGTAGGTTGCACAACCATCTCAGCACTTGGCGGTATCCGCACCGGATACATCCTCTGCACGCTTTTAATTTTAGCGGGCTCTCCACGTCTCCAAGGTGTTGTTGGTTCTTTTGATTTGGCAAGCTCTTCGTAGCGCCTCTCTGCCTTCTTCGCCACGACATGGCTTTCGTTCTTGAACATCAGCGACACCGGATCCCGGTATCCATGACATTCTTTGCCTGCGCGGAGACATTGTGAGCATGAGGGCCGCTTCTGGTCACACTTCAACAGCAGGTTAGCACTCTAGACGCCTGGTCGCGGTTGCGCTACATACCCTGATTCTCCTGTCCCTACAAGTCTTGCATCCTGGAGAGGGTCTCCCTACATTTGGCATCGCGATGAATGATGACTAATTGCCCAGTGACGATGCGATGCAGTCCGGACCCGCACTACTAATTTCTCACCCACATTGATGGGGTAAGGAACGCCACGTTGTGCCTGGAGAGAGCAAGCGAGGACGCAGGAATCACCTAGGCACCGTAGGTAGGTACCAGTTGACTTACCCCGCTATCGAACCACGGGCTAGGTCGAACCACGACTGGGCAACCGTAGCGAGCCATCCCTGCTTTCTGTTCCAAGACTCAACTATCGCATGCTACTGCTGCAACAAAGCTTGAAAACACTCGAAGTAGCATCATGTTGGATTATGTTGAACAGGTTCTATTACACTGGAAAGAATGTCTTCTATTTACAACACATCGATAAGTTCATCAAAGATAATATATACAAATCATCAAGCCTTCCCTGCTATCCCCTAAGCGACTCAAGCAGCATCCCTGGAATTGACCTGCTCTAGATGCGTGGACACACCTTTCTTCTCAGCATACTCGCTCTCAGTATCACTAACATGGAAGCTATCGACGACTGTGCTCTTGAATTTCCTGGCAGGAACACGCTGCTCAAAGAGGAGATCGAGCTCTCCGTAGGTTCGTCCCTTTGGTTCAGGAAGACGGAAGAACGCCCAGATGAAGCAGCAAAAGCAAGTTCCAGCGTAGAAGAGACCACTCTTTGCGCCCCAATTCCAAGCACCAGGGTTGAGCATGCGTGGGGTGATGACGTTGCCGATAATGGAACCGAAGTTGTAGAAGTTCCTAGCCAAGACAACCGTCTTTTGGCGGAGACGGGTGGATGGGATCTCTGCGACGATGGAGTAACAGACAGGTCCGACTGTGCAGTTGTATGCAGCAGCAAAAAGCAAAAGCATAGCGCCGATGCTCCATTGCGCACCTGTGTTGCCAGCTGGAATAAAACCAAGACCTCCAATGATGCTCAAAAGCAGAACCATGACGAGATCGCCGTAAACGTACAAAGTGCGTCGGCCTACGCGTTGGATCAAGATCCAGGCCGCGAAGACACCAACACCACCAATCGCGTATTGTCCAAGACTCATGGAGAAGGCGTTCTCGTCGCTAAGGCCTGCTTGCTGGAAAAAGTAAGTTGAATAGCCGATAAGACCTGCTCCACAGAAAGCTTGTGTAAACCATGCCATGGCAGCAATTTCAGTTCGTCGAAGATCGGTGCCTTTAAAGCAGTCCAAGTATGAAGTACCCTCAGAAACCGCCATCTCCATGGCATTGGTGTGGCGCATCATAGCAATGGTCTCGTCGGCGTTGAAGTTAGGTAGCTTCTCTGGCGATGTCAGGCGCATCAACATCTTCTTGGCTTCGTCATAGCGGTCTTTTCGAACAAGCCACCATGGTGATTCAGGTGCGAAAGAGATACCGATCATCAAAGGGAGTGGCCAGAGCCACTGCAGAGCATATGGAATGCGGTATGCCCATTGGTCGGGGCGCTCGGCCACACCCTTGAGAACGCCTGAGGCGAGGAATTGACCGATGACCCAGCAGAGATTGACGTATGTTGTAAGAATTGGGCGGAGCGGAACCGGTACGACTTCGGCAGCATAGGTGCAGGTCAGGGTCTGGAAGACACCCCACGGTATACCGCACAGGATGAGACCGCATAGTAGCATGACGATGTTCTGCGCAAAGAAGACGATGAAGATGAAGAGGTTGACGACGAATAGCGCGCCGATCATTGTCTTCTTGTACCCGAAGCGATCCGCAATAAGACCGTTCAGGAGCAGACCCGTGAACTCTCCTACGTATGCACCGTTTGTAAGGCCAGCTTGCCAGGCGGCTGTGAGTTCCCAATCGCCGTTGGGGAGCTGCTGACCAAACTTTTGCTTGAAAGCAGGAACTGCCATCAAATTGGCGATCAAGACTTTGTCGAAACCTTCCATGATGATGGCTGCTGAAAGTAGCACCGACCAGGCAATGGCCTTTGGGTACAACTTGACACCCTGTCGCAAGGTCATCTGTTGTTCTGATCGGGTCGCGTTGCCGGCATCGTGGGCGACTTGTTTGATGTCCGGGACGGCAAGTGAGAGGCGGCGTGCCTGTTCGGCATCGATAGCGACGACGCTGCTGTTACGACGGGACATCGTGGCCGTGTCGAAGAACGCAACGATGTCGAAACGTATTGACAATTGTGGGTATATCAAAAAGATGAAGAAGGATTCTGTGGGTCAAACCCAGACTTCCCCTGATGTGGAGCTGGTGGGACTTGAAGCTGGATGATGATCTCTCCTGATGGATCTCGTCGTTCTACTTATATAACTTCACGACTCCAGACACGCAATACCCATGTACAGACCGAGCTCGTGCCAAGTCAGAAGCCGGGGATGGTGGAGTGAGCCAGAGGATGCGGGGAGGGACGCCACTCTTGCAGGTGTTGAGGCCATGCTGTTCGCGCAACCATCCCTCAGGACATGGCTGAAAGGCTAGGCTGTAGCTGGACAGATCCGCCGACAAAGGCGTGCCGTCGAAAATTCTCGGAGGGAAATTGGATGCGATGATTGGGGCATTCTCGGCCCGAGATCGCAGAGAGGCAGGAGAAAACTACGCGTGTGGCAAGCAACTGACGGTTCAAGGTTTGCTTTGATGCTAGGGGCGACTGTGCACCCGTCCCAGGGCTGGCGCAGTTCACAGGGCTTCATGTTATTCGCCGCATGTCGGCTCATGTCCACGGGCAAATCGATAGCCCGCGTATCCACCATCTCCCCGCGCTCATCCTCGCTTGTTTCCCGTAGTGCTGGATTTTGCGGGAGAGAACGTTGGAACCGTATGCGATGGAAACCATCTGTGGGGAAGTTGTCGCTCAGTTTTGTGGGGATCTCCAGCTCCAGAGAGCCGGTCCGATGTTCAGCGAATGAGCACTTGAACAATCCTACCGAGAATTCTTCCGGACCTGGGGCGGGGCCTCCACGTGCAGAATCCGATGATTAGATCTCAACGACAACTCACTCCATCTGATAAAGGCGCATATTGCAAGACGTTTATAAGAAAGCTACTGGTGCCGTTTTCAAGCCACCGAACGAACGCTTGTCCTTTTTGACGCTGCGTACTACTCTTACAATACTCAGGTTGCCAAGCATCTTACAAACGACGCAAAAGTTCAACAGCATCACAATGACTGTTCCTCAAAGGCCTTGGTGGAAGGATGGTGTCGTATACCAGATATACCCTGCCTCCTTCAAAGACTCCAATGGCGATGGTATTGGTGACCTTAACGGCATCATCTCAGAATTGGACTACATCCGCTCTATCGGTGTTGACGTCATTTGGATTTGTCCCATGTACGATTCACCCCAAGTCGACAGTAAGCAACGTCTTTGTACCAAGTACAAACAACACACACGCTGACTTGGAGACCCAAACTCCAGTGGGGTATGACATTCGTGACTATGAGGACGTGTACAGACCATATGGTACCGTCCAAGACATGGAGAGACTGATTGCCGAGACACATTCACGAGGCATGAAAATCATACTAGATCTAGTAGTCAATCACACTTCTGACCAGGTATGTCTCGACTGTACATTCCCATCAATACCCGCACAAAGCTGACTCTGGAAAGCACAAATGGTTTCAAGAGTCACGGTCGTCAAAAGATAACCCCAAGAGAGACTGGTACATCTGGAGACCAGCTCGGTATGTTGACGGCCAGCGCAAAGCTCCCAACAATTGGGTCTCCAACTTCACAGGGAGTGTCTGGGAATGGGATGAACACACCCAAGAGTACTACCTCCATCTCTTCTGCCCTGAACAACCCGACCTCAATTGGGAAAATCCAGAGACTCGACAAGCCATCTACAAGTCCGCCATGGAGTTTTGGCTACAGCGCGGTGTCGACGGCTTCCGTGTTGATACTGTCAACATGTACAGCAAGGGTGAAATGCTAGACGCCCCAGTCACTGATCCAGGTTCGGAATGGCAGTTTGCTGGATACCAGTACTGCAATGGTCCAAGGATGGCAGAGTTCTTGAATGAGATGAACCAGATCTTGGAGAAGTATGATGCCATGACCGTTGGCGAATGTCCGCACACACGCGATATGAAGAGGGTACTAGAATACGTTAGCGCGAAAGAGAAGCAGCTAAACATGGTCTTCCAATTCGTAAGTAGACCACGACACGGTAGGATCATGGAAGACTTCACCAGCTGACAAGCATTGTAGGATGTCGTCGACGTCGGTCAAGGTCCCTACAAGTTCCAAACTACACCCAAGAACTGGACACTTCCAGACTTCAAGCGTGCGATGGCTCGCACACAAGATTTAATTCGCTCCCCCTCAGATGGCTGGACCACTGTCTTCCTCGAGAATCATGACCAAAGTCGATCTATCTCGCGTTTCACTTCCGATGCGCCTGAGCACCGCGTCGCAGGCGGTAAGATGCTTGCATTGATGATGGCAGCACTCAGTGGCACACTATTCATCTACCAGGGCCAAGAGATTGGTATGACCAACTTCCCTCTGACCTGGGATATGAGCGAGTACAAAGATGTTGACTCGTCGAACTACTACAAAATGGTAGCTGCGCGGACAAACAATGATCCCAAGGCCCTCGAGGATGCGCATGTATCGCTTCAGCACCTTGCCAGAGATCATGCTCGTGTCCCAATGAGCTGGTCGACTGCACCGCACAACGGCTTTTCGCCTCCAGACGCAACCGCAAAACCGTGGATGCGGCCCCTCGAGGATGCGGATGTATGCAACGCCACCCAGCAACAAAGCGACAAGAACTCTGTCCTGGCTTTCTGGAAGCGTATGCTGCAAGTGCGCAAACAGCACAACGATCTCCTTGTTCACGGTCAGTACGACGATTTGGACGTGGAAAGCAAAGATTTCTTCGTTTTCAGCAAGACATGGAATGAGAAGAAGGCAGTATGCATTTGCAACTTCACGGACAAAAAGAAGGATCTGGTATTCCCAGAAAGCGTGATGGGCAGGAAGATGGACCTCCTTGTTAGCAGTGTTGACGACTACGAGGAGAAGAAGTTGGCTGCTTTTGAAGGGAGGATCTATTTACTTGCGTAGATAGCATCACCTGAACAGAGGTTTTGCTTGATGCTGCACCTCATTGAGCTACATGAGCGACCTGCATCGACAGACGATGTGAGATATTGTTCCAAGTAGCCAACTGCCCACTTCTCACTTCCAATCTTGGGATCTCTTGGGCTTGGGTCTGCACCAATTCATCGGCCAAATCTTCTAATCCTGCAGCTGTCTTCGACTGTGTAACCTGGTACCAAGGGTCATTCGCGCCACCAGGACTGCCAAGTGGCAGGTTCGGCGAGCTGGCGTTGCTGAGTGCTTCAGGGAACATAGTCTGTAGTCGTAACAATTTCTCTTGCAAAATTCCCCGCCGTGTTTGATCAAGATGTGGAATCAGCAAGACAAAGTCCAGGATGAAAAGGAAATCATCAACCCGTAGTGCTGTTTCATCGATAGTCGCTGCAGGGACGTGAATCAGAACATCAGCAATGGTGTCCGTAATTTCGAAGAGCTTTTGTGTGATGCTGCTTCCATGTACTTCGATATCTTGGCGCGACATGCTGGATAGTTGTTGCCGTAACGTCTGTGACAGTCGTACTGGAAACAAGAGCGATAGACACTCTTTCGATGATCGGGAAGATAGGAGGGTCTGGCTCATAGCTAAGCGCCAGACCAAAGTGCGCAGCCACTCACGGGTGATGCATAAATCGGCCCGTTGCATCATCGACAACATGGCCAGCTCTCGGGCATCGGCTTCAGGATCGCCTTCAAGCTCGCGCGATTTGGCTTCAACCCAGGTGCTAGTTACGCTACCTCTTTGGGAATCAAGCCAACTATCTAGGAATTCCGTGTCGAGCATGCGAAAAAGCTTGATGATTTGGTTGAAACCCTCGTGAATTTGTATCGGAAGGGTGGGATCGTCTTCAGGCAGTGTGAAGAGCGGGGGCAAAATAGCTCGTCGGTAATCTAAAATAGCTAGAAATCGCTCGTGGATGTACGCTTGCCAGTACAGCCGCTGTCTTCGCGATCGCTCGGGAGGGGATAGCTGTGCCACATTTTCCGGGTTGTCTATCCGCAGAAGCTGAATGATCGTGATGGCGTCTCGCATGTAGTAAAACGCGCTGTCGCTAGCTGACAGGCTCATGAGGCAGTTGTGAATGAACATCGACTGGACAGCTCGCATGACAGACACTTGGCAATGTTTGTGTGTTCGCCTCATGGTGTCGATCGAGTAGTCCATAAGGCTCTCGATGGTTTGAACGACTTCGTCTGTTCTTTGATCACCGTAACGCGTAAGATTCAGCGTACAAGCGCCAAAAGCGAAGACGAACGAGCGGACATCTGGATCGTTGTCCATGACCTCGATGTACTGTCGAAGCTCATATTCGGCAATGACCGGATGTACGGGATACACACCATCCACATAATCTGGGACAAGGTCGAGGAAATAAGCTTTGGTGTACTGTGATGCAGATGATGGCGAGGGAAATGCTGCCCTGAGTCAGCAGCAGCATTTTTTCATTGGGGTTGAAGTCACCAGCGCGACATACTCGGCGTGCCTCCATTACGGTCAACTATCGGCGAGACGGGGCTGTACGGTGTCTGAAAGCTGGGCGTCCCAGAATGAGCTGGCAGTATTGGAGGCGATATCGTTGGCAGGGCGGAGGTCTGGTTCCTGAACTCTGAGATGATATGGCCTCTCTTGCCCTGAGACCTTTGCTTGCCGGACGGTGAGTAGATGCACCGCAAACCGAGATGTGCGCATTGTTGACAACGCGTTTGGCCATTACACCGCACCTTCCTCCTTTTGCACGCGTCGCACGCTTTCGATACTCGTTTTTGAGATGGCTGCTCCATGGTAACGGTTCCTGTTGCGTGCATGATAATTTTGTAGAACCAGGAGCCTCGGAGTCGGGATGATCAGGCGATCTGGGGAAGGCTTGCGGAGACGCGCTAACGGAGCGTAGTTCCTAATTGGTTCGCCCGCAGAATGGGTTTGCTCGACCCGCGAAACAGGCAGGTGCGAGTGGTATGGAAGTCGTGCCGAATAGTCTAGAAACGCGTACCTGAGCCGTAAGGACGAAATGTGGGGTAGATGCACGACAGCTTGTAATGTCCTCGGAGGCGTAAGCTTACCTACATGTGATGGCATGCATAGTTTCGAGAAAATCATTTTGCAGGAGAATGCATTGACTGACTACGCCCGAACCGGGAGGAAACGCTGCCGAGCATGCCAGGCATGCAACAGCCAGGAGGTATCCCTGCACAACTACAGATCAAGTGAATACTAGTAATGCTGGCTTGGAAGATCCGTTGCTTGTAAATTACCCTTGTTTCAAGAGAGATACTCTTTTGCGCGCGACTTGAGTGACTTGATTCTTAACCCTTTGCTGCGGACAAAATGCGGATTTGGAGTTGCTGTGGTGCAGTTTCGGCTTGAGATCGAAAAGAGTTACCCACCTCCATAAGGTTTGGACAACTGAAACCTCTCCATGGTTTTATCGCTCAGAACTGACTTGACAGAACATGTGTCAGTTTGAGGTTTGATGAACAGTAAAATTGCGGAAGGAGGATGTCGAAGCAGTCAAGCGGCAACTACTTGCAGAGCACCTCGTTTACAAACCATATCTGTCTGGCCCGAAATTACGAGACGCGCGGAATGCACACCAGCGAATGATAGCAGATATAAGCACTCCAGAGTCAGATCAAGCAGCGAGTGTGAATAAGCAATGTTGACCATGACTTCCCTCCACGTGTATCACCTAGGCATGGCAACAGCGTGGGAAAAGCATTGAGAATGAGGTTGAACAATTGACTCGGGAACAGAAAAGAGGCCTATGAAATTTGAATCGCCTTCTGCCAGCGATGACTGTGGTTTCTACTGCTGCCATCATAAACGCCGTCCCATCCTTCCTGCCATAGATGTCCTGTTAACGCCTTACATACATTCGTCCTACCATGTACAGCCTGGATCCATCCCAAGGAGTTTCAAAATACCCCAGCAAGATCCACTGAAACGTCCCTAATTCAATTTCTGAGAAAGCTCCGGAGTACCGCTACCACCGTACATGGACTCATTCTCAGCCTGCTCTTTCGCCTGGAGGTACTGGTACTTTAGACGAGCGGCCTTGAGCTCAGCCTCCGCAACTTCCAACTCGGCCTGTAGCTTCTGAACCGCGACAGGCTCGTTGGATGTATCGGCAGCCTCAACGGGGTAGATGCGTCCTCCTTGGGGACCAGGAGAAACGGAGAAGGCAGGAGTCGGATGGGGAAGGAGAGAACGACCGCCGGAAGAGCTGATGGAGTCTTCATCGTCGGTGAGAATGGTTCGAGGAGGACGATGAATGGCGGGGCGGCGACCTTCAGGAGTGGCGCTGGTGCGAATGGAGCGACTGCGCT